CATGGAGCGTCAAAGAGCGGAGGCCGAGTTGCTGCATCCTGATCCGGTCATCGGAATGCTGCAGACCGATCTGTTCGACCCAGATGAAGCCTTGGCCGGCTACGAGCTCGTCCGTGGCTTCAGACTCGATCTTGCCGATAGCGACGACGAGGAGCCTGGAGACGTTGAAGCTGCCTTACGGCGCTTAGAAGGTGTCATAGATGAGGATAAACAACGGTCCAAGGCGAAGCGAGTGGAGAAGCTCTTCCTGGAAAGCCTGGCGCGGAACGCGCAGACGTCAACAGGTGCGCAACTAAGTGGGCCAGCTGCGGACGATTCTCAGATCGCCGGCTCGGAAGCAGTGGCCCAAGCAGACGCCTCGAAGGCAAACGAGTCTCACGCTTCTATGGCAGAAGCGCAAGCAGAGCCCCGCGCGAGCAGCGTGTCGGATCTCCCCGATCTCATTGCTGCCCTCAACGCTGATCGTCAAGGTCGCTTTGAAGCTCAGCGCTCCGAGCTGCCTGCTCCGCGCCTGGGCGGAAAACCGACGCAGCGCCGCAAGAGCCACGGAGGCGCTCTCAGCAACACGTTGTCCCCTGGCAGCACACAGCAGACTCCTCAGCTCTCAAACGCGCAGTGGAATCCGCCGCCCGTCCATCGCTCCTTCCTCTTGCAATACAGCTCGGAGAGCATGGCGCAGCAGCTGTGCCTCATCGAAGCCGAGCTGCTCAAAGCTGTCACATGGGAAGAGCTCGTTTCGGATCGGTGGAAGCAGACGGTTGGCGTTGTCAACGATTGGGAAACTTTCTACCAAGGCCGAGTGCGCGCGAAAGCTGAGGCCATCTCGTATCGCAAAGTCCATACCGATAGCGCTGTATCTGCAATCGTTGCTCGCTTCAACTTGACTTGCAATTGGGTTGCCAGCGAGATCGTCTTGACGCAGAACGTCGACGAGCGTGCTGCCGTCGTAGCTAAGTTCATTCGCGTTGCCTTTGTGAGTGTGGTCTCCATAGTGCGCTTAGGGATATGGTAGAGACTGACCATGCCTTTCTCGAACGCTCCCGCAGAAATGCTGGCAACACTCCAACTTTGCTTCCCTTGCCCAGATCATCTTTGGTCTACAGTCTCCGTGGGTTGAAAGACTGCGGAGAACCTGGAGCAGGGTTGGCATGTGGGAGATGAGGGTCTTGCGGGATCTCAAGAGCTTTGTCAGCCCAGTGCGCAACTTTAGACTTATGCGAAACGCCATGCGCGATATGGTTTCGGATGCATACGTAGACGACATGGCCAGCGTCGGCACTGCTCGACCTCCTTCTGTTCGTCTCAACGGCGCTACTGCGGGCGGAGCGACGGCAAAGGGAACCGTCAGTGAAGGCTGCATACCTTTCTTCGGTGAGTCGGACGCATGTCTAGCTGCTGTGATAAACTGCTGTTGCTGATCGAAATACCGGATGAATCTCGGTTCAGGCCTCTTCATCTCCGACTTGGCCATCAATGACGCGCTTCCATCGCTTCTCGACCCATCATCTCCTTCCACGCAACCGGTCGATCTCAGCAAGAGCGCGCCCGCCGGCCTCAAGCCAGAATTGATCCCGGCAGAGCCTCGCGCCTTCGATCATTTGCCTCCCTTGCCGCCTTCCATCAAGCTTGAACCACTGATCAACGTGTACAAAGCTCGCAACACTGCGGCCATCGTCAAGACGGTCATGGCCTTTCAGCAACGCGCTCGTCTGTATCCCTACGAGGCCAGCGCGGCCGTGTACGTCAAGGCGCTCAAGATTCGTTCGTTGGACTCGAACCAGATGACTCAGTGAGCACGAAGCAGTGTTCGCTCCCGCGACGTTTCGACTGGGCAAATTTCTAACCTTCCCCTCCCCTTCCGCTTTTACCTCCTCCTCCTTCGAAAGAGTCTCGTACATCGCCGAGTCCTGAGCCTTGGCTCCCCCCTCTCCCTCCATTTCCTTTCAGCCTTTGCCCCTCGTCCAAATCATGATGCACGCATCCCTCAGCCCCAAATCTTCCCCACCACGTCACGCAGTTTCCGCGCTCATCCACATCACAAAGTCACGCTCGTTCCATTCCCTCGCGAATTGCAGTCCTTCTCATCTCCCCCCCGCCCACCTGACTTCAAGCTCGATCCGACAAGGAATTCTGACCGTCCGCTCGCCCACACATTCTTTCTCCTTGCACGTGGCCCCTGTCAAATGCGTTCATTCTCCTTGCCCCTTTGTTCATCGCTCTGCACATCCATTCGCACGGCGTGGCCTACTCGCGCAAGCACACTTTCGAATCCAACCTCGGTGGCACGTGCAGATCGCAACAGTCATGATCCATTTCATTGTGCCATCTTGATTTGCGTCGTGTGTGTGAAGCAGCTGGATGGAAGGTGGATCAAGGGCAAGTCTAGCCAGTCATGAGTGTGGAGCGATCGAAACATCACGAGAGTAAGGGTCAGAGTCTAGAGGTGGGATGATGGGGTTGTGAAGGCGCAATGCAGAAAGCTACATCGGGATGAATGTCTACGACGTGCCGCGACCGCATGTCGATTCCATCCAGCGCGTTAATCGGACGCGTCGAAAACTTGTGCACGCGGGTCTACCGAATCTGCTGCTGATCACTTCAGCTTGGCAAAGGAAAAGAAGAAGAAAAAGAAACAAAGAACACAAGGCATCCTCTGAGCCTCGTTGCGAGATGCGTCAAGCAAGAGGATGCATCGCAAGCATTCGATCCAAGTCGACATTGTAGGTGGTCGAAGTAGAGAAGCGCGAAGCTAGGGCATCTTGCCCAGGAGCTTTGTGTGGAGCTCCTGCAAAGGTACATTTGCCAGGCTTTGGTAGCTGATCGTGTTCCTGTAGTTGAGCGTCGTCCGATTTAGAAGCGATCACGCTTCCACGATCAAGAGTCACCGACGTCGATTCATCTTCGCTGTCCGAAGCCTCATCGCTCTCCGCGTCATCCTCGATCAAGCTTGGGAGCGTTTCGATGGAAGATGTGCAAGCTGTCGCTATATGTTCACTACCCAAAGATTGGCAATCGCAACGAATGTCTTTGCATGAAGAGACGTCCGAAGACATCCACGACGAGAGTGACGTCGAGGAGGCACCGGAACCAGAGCCAAATTTGGGCGGCGAGTGATTCGTAGACCCGAGCTCCTCGAGCAGATCATCAAAGAAACGCGCTTCATCGTCGTTCCCCTCATCGAGCGTCGAGTTATCGATGGATGCATCGTGAGATTCGTCCAGCCAAGCTAGCTGGTCAAGCCTGCGCACACGCTCTTCATCTCCAGCTTCATCCTCCAACGCTTCATAGTCGTAGTCAGAAGTAGTCACGTCGGGCAGCCGATCGTAGCTTGGCTCCTGATTAAAAGGTGGCAACTGCTCTTGCTCGCGCGTTCTAGTAATGGCGTTGCGAAGTAAAACGCTGCGGCGCAGACCTTCACCTGCGGTTTGATCCAGATGAGACGAGGCGCCAATGAGCGTGGCGCGGCGACTCTTGGCCATGCGAGCTGGTCGCTCGAGGCGAGAGGAGTCGTCGAAGAAGGTGCGCAGCGACATGATGAGATTGGACTGACTGCACAACCGCTGTTGTTGCTTTGGTCGTGAGGCGATTTGTTTGATGCGCAGCTCTGGGAGCCGGACAGATGCAGGCCCGTCGAGCCGTGGTGCCGTGGCAGCGAGGTCGAATGCCCCTTTGGTGAATGCGATCCCAATTCGTCGCAAGGTCTTTTCTTCGAAATCGTCGAGAGCTGTGTTCAAGCTCGAGTGGGAATGTATGCTAAGCAGCGTCGATATAAATCGAAATGCACGCGAAACGTATTCTGTCGATCATGTTTGGTGAGTAAGCAAAAAAGCTTCAAGTTTTCCGCCTTGGGGCAAGGAAAAAAAAAGAAGAGGATGGTGAGGTGGTGCGAAGGAGGAGCTTGGAGGAAGCTAATGGCAAGTAGACAGGCTTGATGCTTTCCTGGGTGCGATTGCAGGCTGATGATGGGTCGAACGCTCAGCACGACATGGTCGCGACGCTCGAGGGAGTGGGATGAGTGTGATCGCGAGTGCTTGTGGGTGTGTGCGTGTAGATTGACTGAGCCAAGCTAAGCTATAGCTGCACTACTGCGATCCAGGTGGGCGTGGCTTGATTGAATTGCTGCTGCTGAGTCAAGAGTCGCTTTGCGTGGACTTGCTGCTTGCGGTATGCGTGCTGATCAACTCTGAAACGAATTTGATGTCAAATGTACGAGGTGAATGTGGGGAGGAGAAGTGAGGCTGAGCAAAGAGACAACCAGTCTTTAACTCTTCGTAAAGCGCTTATATTGACGCGCGAGGGTCCAAGCATGGATTTGGATGACTCACCTGCGTAGACAATCACGAATTGCTGTGCGCGCTGCATGCACGCATGGCATCAGCTGCGCACTACTACGGTCACGTCCCTGATGCAAGACGTGAGATCAGCACGCGATAAGATCTCTAAAATCCATCATGACTCGACCAGCATATGTGCATGCGTGGCGGGCGCCGCGGGCTGAAGCACGTCAGTCCCACCACACGCGTGGTGCGCGAGCTCAAGCCACATCACGCGACGCGTGTGCAGCTCCGCGCAGCCAGCCGCGCGTCTCGCGGTGTCGCTCCGAATCGCATCGCGCCTATCCAAAGGTGGTGCCGCATGGCCCGCATTCACGATTCAGATTCATCAAGATTGTTCGTGATATCCGGCCACGATCCCTGCAGCTGCTTATTATGCGCGCAAGGTGTCATCGGGTCAAGTGATGGGATGAGCGGTTTGAGTCTGTGAGTCATCTTGTTCAGATTTGGCGTAATCAAAATCATCACGTGAATAGACTCTTTCGTTGGCCCTCTCCACCTGACTGCAAGATCGTCAGGCAAGGAGTGGGCACGTCATACACGAAATATCGAAGATGGAAAGTCGTGAGTGACTAAGCTCCGCTCGGATCACGCCCAATCGTTCATTTTTCACGAATCACGCAAGTCACGCATCGTCGAGCTGGGAGCGATCATTCGCAGTTGTGAGTTGCATGGAGCGGCAAATCTCTGCCCGAAAGTGTAAAAGGAAGAGAGGCATTTGTGCGCGACTCGTACTCCAAAACAGCTCGTCGCTCCTCATTCACATTCCGTATCGAGTCGGCGGATGTCATATGGCGGGGAGATAGAATGACTTCGCTGTCTGTTGCGCGATGGATCTGGCCTTCCACTCCCCCCGCCAACTCGTGATCAGCTATCGCGCCGACATGCTCCATCTCACGCTGCACAGCCTTACCAAAAGAGCCCAAAGGGGCATTGACATAGCACCTCGTTACAAACGTGCTTGCCATCGCGTCACATGGCATTGCTGATGATTGTTGGTCCTCTTTGCACATGCAAGGCGCAGCTCTATCCGACCTCGTCCACCTTGGTCCGATGTAACGCAAAAGCCGGCGTGATCCATTCCCCGCTGTATTGAAAGGCCGAGTTCGCCCATGTCAGCGTTCATGACGAAGCGTGCGAATGTTCTGTGCCCCCAACTCAGCTCGAGGTCGGGTTCGACGGGGGAGAAGGGGGAAATGCTGCCGAGGCTCTCAAAGCGCCACTCACCATCCGCATTGCATGCCTGCCCAATCCCAGTTTCCCAGCTTGGCTCCACACCGCGCATTAGGACAATCCAACTTGCCCGCAATCTCTCCTTCCTTCAGCGCAGACATCCACTGCAACGGTTCGACAAAGTAAGCGCTACAATTGTTCGAGTGGATCAATCTGGTCCGTTGATGATCGTTTGATTGCGACCATGCGGATCGGTCCGCGAACGCTGGCGCTGGCGCCGAAGAGGTGGTGGAGGTGGATGAGCGACCAAGACGCAACGCGGCTAGGGCCGGTGGCAAAGAGGCGCTCAGCGCCGCGGCTGATTGCATCGGACGCTGTGTGGGCGTGGGCGTGGGCGTGGGTGTAGGTGTGGGTGTGGCAGACGAAGATGAAGCAGAGGAAGCAGAATGGTTTTCCGCCACTGCGTCGCCTTCTTGCCGGATCGCTTGATCGCCAAGCCCCGTCTGATCGCTTTCGGATACTGATGCAGCGTCCGAAGCACTCGTCTCTCCACTGCCCAAAGCGTTGGGCAGCTCTTCCTGAGCCACATTCGCACCATCGTGAGCCTCTTGCCAACCTCGCGGTCCTCTAGGGCCATTCGCAGCCGAAGAAGAAGACCCAAACTTTTCCTCCCTGCTCAACTTCTCCCAGTCCTTTTTCCTCCTTCTAGATTGAAAAGTGCCCTTTCCGCTCGAGCTTCCGGGCAAATGATCCACCACATGATCGCTCGCCGCCAATTCCCTCCTGCACATTTTGCAAGACAATTTGGGTCCTTGAAAGGTGGGTCGTTGCAAAGTGCCTCTATTTCGAATGCCTTCGTTGCCCCGCACACTCTTCACTCCGCCCGGAAGTCGACCATTGTTGGCAGTGATTTTGAACTCGATGTTCGGCGGGCCCGTCACGGACGACTTCAGCTTCGCAGGACGTAATGGTGCGATAGTTGCGGATGACTCTGTGCTCGAGGTTGCTCGGGGTGCAGCTAATGAAGCTTCTCGCTGGTGAGGATCTGTATCTAGCAGCTCGGCTCCGGCAGGTAGGGGAGGCGATTTGGATAAATCCAAAGTCTCACTTCCCCCCGATCTGCTGCTCACTCGGCTCATCGTGGTTGGACTGAGCTTCGGTTTGCCAGATCCGGAGCTTGTAGCGCTGCTGCTCCTTCGTCTGCTCTCGCTAGCTGGAGGGCTTGGATAGTAGGCCAGCAAGACGTCGTCTATGCTATCGCCGTTCAAGATGCTCGTTTGTGACATGAGGAACCTCCTGATTGGTTGATGCCTCACATCCACCGCACACCCTCCCGCCTCGTACAATTCCAATTGGGTCATGAAGCCAGCATTGGGTTCGATGTGAGACCTCCTGCTCTTGACCAGCTCGAGCGCTTCTTGCAGAGAGAGGGAGCGCGTGTGCATCAAGTAGGCAAGGACAATTGTGGCGCTCCTACTTACGCCGGCCTGACAATGGACATAGACGACATTTTCTCCAGGTTGCCACCAACCCTCTTCCCCTTCTTCCTCCGCTTCCACCCACGTCTCATCCAACGCTTCTTTTAGCCAATCGACGGCGGCGGGTAGATGGACGAGGATGGGTGCGTCATCTAAATCATCCACTTTGACATGATGCATGCTGGAAGAAGAGATGCTTCGGCCGCCTGGAAGCATGGGAGGCGGTGGAAGACGCTGCTTCATGGCCGTGAGAATGTGCGTCACCCCTGCTAGCTCTAGATAATCGGGAGCCAAGGCGCAGGCCAGGTCGCCAAGCCACAAGTGAGGAATCACTTCGTCCATCTTGACGCTCGCTCGAGGAATTTCCGCCCAGCGCTGACGTGCTTGAAACGTGCAACAACAGCCGGGTACGGTCGAACGAGACTTGATCAATGCGCGAAAGTGGTTGCGGAGAAGTCGAATGGGGGGACAAGAAGAAGTGAACGAAGTCTGTTATTCTTGATTGTGGGTCTCGGCCGGGGCTCTCCAAAGCTTATTCTGGATCAAGCGTTTGATTACAATATTAAGATGTCAAGCTTGCTGCTTGGCTCTATTCTAATCGAATCACAAATTTGGCAAGCATGCACCGAACCGACGGTGCCAATAATCAGAGAATCATGCGCGCGACTCACGACTCACGGCTCAGCCTCGTCACAATTGTGACTCTTGTCCTATATAGCTGCATGCTGTAGCGTGCAGCTCTATGAGATAGATGAGCTAGCTGCACGCGCGCGCGCGCGCCTGCTGATATGGTATCTGGAACAATCGTGACTTCGTGAATCGTGAATGATCTTGCATCGTGAGCTTCCCCTTCCCGTCGCAGCGCGATCTTGTTTCTTGATTCCTGCGACCCGCAGTCCCAATCCCAGTCCCAGTCCCATTCCCAGTCACAGTCCCACTCCCAGTGACAGTCACTTTCTGTGTCTGCATCAATCAACGCGGACCATCCCTTCTTCGCCCTACACAAAGACAGCGTCCAAGAGGGAGGCGATCCCGTCCGCCGCGCTGCAATTACCGAGGTGAGGCGGACGGGTGTAGGCAGGCAGGCAGGCAGGCAGGCAGGCAGGCAGAGGCATGCGTCTGCATGGACCGCTAGCGCCGATACCGCATGTGCGCATGTATACCGTGAGGCCGCCTAGCTGAAGGTTCAAGCACAGTAGGTAGACGTTCAAAGGCTCTTTTCCTAGCTGTTCGTGATTAGCGCTTGATGAGCATCACCGTCCATCCATTTATACATCCAATCGTCCATCCATCCGCTCAACGCTCACGCTGGACCACTGCTCGTGGTCTCGCAAGACAGGACTCCATACTCTTCGTTGCCGTTGAGAATGAGCACGCTAACATTGAATGAGGAAAGTCAAGTCAAGTCATGTCCCAGTCAAGAGTCCCGTCTACAGCGCGGCATGCGTATTCGCATTCGTGATTCGCATTGACGATTGTTGCTCCTCGGCATGCCAGCCCTTTGCGCACTGCCTCTGTCCGACGACTCACGCTGCTCGTGGGCCTGGCACGCTCCCCGAGTCTGCCCCGCAAGGCTCGAGGGTGAGCCAGCACGCTGCGATAGGGTACCATGAAAGGCAAGAGAAGGTGCAAGCCATGGCTGCGGTACAGCGAGCGACCCCTCGTCATGTCATGATGCATGCTTATTTCAAGACGTGGCTTTGTACGTCGTTGAATGCCACGGCAAGCCGGTTTTTGTGGTCCCTGACCAGCCAGTCACCACCTTCATCTTCCTCCACACACTCTCTACCCACTCACTTTTTCTCTTGCTTTTCTCTTCTCCTTCCTCTTCTTCATCTCTCCAATCTCTTTCTTCTGTCCCCTTTTTACTCCTCCTCCTCCTCCTCCTCTCGCCATTTCGTCCGCAGGTCCGGACAGACCCACAGTCTTTACTCAGCTGCTCGCAGGTCGAGCAAGCCCCGAAAACGTAGTAGCGGGGCCCGCCTTTCGCATTTGAAGCGCAGAAGTGGTGCTTGGATTCATCATGAACACTTCCTCCTCTGATCCTTCCGCCGTCATCCTCGCCCGCTCCATCATATCAATTGCCAAGGACATTTCTTCTCGTCAAGCTTCATTGACAGATTTGCAAAACAGCACGGAAGTGAATGCCAACAGCACACTGAGCAGCGCGTCCAACGGCACAGCATCGCTCTTTACCCGCGCATTGCCCGTCACCTCCTCCTCTGTGCCGGCTTTGCAAGCTACTTGTCTGGCGCTTCTGCTCCTCGCGAGTCTTTTCGTCGCGTCGGACCTGCTTTGGGGTCTGGTCAGACTAGCGAAGTATCTGTGGTCTTGCGAAGGAGGTCAGAGCAAATACAATCAAAGGAGCAAATGGAGCGCTTGGAGACCTCTCTACGCCCTCTTTTCACTATCCGCTCTAGCTTGCAACTCCGCCGCCATCTTGCACAGGTTGATCCTAAGCAACGACGGAGAACGGAATGCTCAGATTCTGGAGAGTGCAGCCTTTGGAATGGGAGCTTTGGTATTCTTGTTCCTGATCGGCATCTCTGCTCCCACCAAGGATAGGCGCACTTCTCCCCGGCTCGTCAAATTCAACAATGCTCTGCTCGCTCTGGCGCTCGTGTCTGCTGCTTTGGGCAGCACCGCGCTGCTCGTCCTCACCAGTCGGAGCAACATTTCAGCATGGTCAGCTGTACAAGCGTCTTTGGCCGCTCTGCTTGATGCGGCCAACTCGGACATCTTCGGAGGAGCCTGTTCTGACACGGACCCGGTCTGCAGCCCAAACGCCCTGACAGATCGTCTACAAGCGCTGGCGAATGCCATCGAAAAGGTAGACTACGTCAAGGGAGGGATCTTGGGAGTCCTCCTTTTGCTCTTGCTGCTCGTTAATCTGCGAGCTCAAAGAAACTGTACGCTATCTGCTCGCAGTGCAGAGGAAGAAGCGAGCCGACTTGCGGTTCGATTGTCTCAAAGTCGTAGAGGTAGCGCCTTCTCCTTTACTGGTCCGCATGATGAGATGAGCAAAGCTATGCGCTGCGGTCCTGCTGATCGCTTCACCGATCCAGCGCATCCCGCCAGGATTGCGGCTGCTCGTTTGGCCCGATCCCGAAGATCCAGAAGACCATCAGAATTGTTGCGGTCCGATTCCGGCTCTTCGTATGGGTCGATCGAGAAGCAAGGCGATGCGGTCGACGTGCCAGGAGGATTCAAAGAGGATTGGTTTGTCAATATGAATGGTCAAGCGCCCCGCATGGCTTATCACGGCGACAAGATGGACAGAGCTGGTTCGTGGGACGCAAGAGAGCTCAGACCTGGAGATCTGACTTCCCTCAGCAACGATTCCAACCACGCAACTCTAGACTTTGGCGCAGGTCTAGGAATCATCATTGGTTCTCCCGGTGCTGCCCTCTTTTCTAATCCTTACGACGATCGTGCCGAGTTGCAAAGGCGAAGATCGGCCCTTTCGAATGGCACGACAAACGGTATCAAGCTTGACACAGAAGATCTTTTCGGAGCTGAGCTCGCACGGCTTTTTGGCTCGAATCGAGCCCAGGATCGCAAGGTGATGGGCGTCGCAGGCTCCGAAAGAGCTTCGTACAGAAATCACCATCACAATGTGCAAGAAAAGAGCAGCAAGGTACAACTGGCCAGCTCCAACAGCTGCGACGCATCGGGGCAAGGAGCAAATCGAAACGGCCAGACCAATCATGCATTCTCTCGCGGCATGCAAGAGCAGAAAAAGTCATCGATGCGCATGAGTCGACAGAGCACATTGCGATCCACTCGATCGGCTCAGTCCAGTCTCTCCTGCGCTTCGCTCGGTACAGTCATGTCCGACGTGCCCATTCTTCCAGCCTGGGAAGCCTACGGTCTGTACGTCTCCCACATCCACTGCTCCTCCCTCACCAACGGAAGCGCAGCGCTAGCTTCTTCCAAACACGTAGCTCGTCGTCGACGATTACGTCTAGATCTCATCCTAGCTCTGATCATCCTCGCCATCCTCGCAATCTTGCAATTCCTAAAATTCGCAGCCGGCGACGATTTGGCCCTCGGTCTCAGACCAACATTGCAATTGGTGGGACAGTGCTCCACGGCTGTCATCTTTGCAGTCGCTCATGCTCTCGTCATGGTTGTGCTCATCGCTAGGGGAAGCGGCAGCACCAATCTGTCACTCCGGGACGACGATGAAGATCGCGGTCATCGAGTCGTTCTAGCCTGACTCGTATAAATCCTCTTGTCATCTCGTTCGCTCTCGTCTGTGGCCCCCACTCTCGGTTACCCCCCTCTACGCATGGAATTGATAGCATCTCATACTCCACGTCTATGCTTGCGGTGAACTTGCTATGAAATTGACGAAGGACCTCGAATGCATAGAGCCGGTCATGAAAGAAAGAATGGGTTGTGTGCCTTTGCGCGTGACTAGCTAGAACCATCGTCGTCACACCTGTATCCTTTCGCCTCGCGCCTCAACGGTAAAGGTGGTCCTGACGCAAGTTGGCAGCGTACTCCGCCTCCGATCTGTCCCCGTTGGCCAGCAACTTTTCCTTGTTGTACAGCAGCTCCTCTCGCCACTCGGTAGCAAACTCTGCGTTTTGCGTCTCCACAATCGCATCGACGGGGCAAGCCTCGACGCAATAACCACAGTAAATGCACTTCGTCATGTCGATATCTGCAATCGAGAGAAGATACATGAAGCAATAGCAATACGATCAGCTTCGAGAGCGACGCTGCGTCAGAAAAGGCACAAGTCGCCACACGCACCATATCTTGTGGTACGACGAGCGCCGTCTTCTCTGGGCTCGGCTTCGATGGTGATGGCCTGCGCAGGGCAAATTGCTTCACAAAGCTTGCATGCTGTGTGGCAATTTGCAGAACAGATCGACACTCAGTCTCGATGTGCTTGCCTCGACATGCTGATCTACTCACCAATACACCTCTCCTCTCCTGTAGGGTACCTCCTCAACGCGTGCTCGCCACGGAATCTAGGAGACAAGGGTCCGGCTTCGAAAGGATACATGATCGTGTAGGGTGGTCTGAAAAAGTTTTCCAAGACGATCCACATGCCTGCGCGCAAGAAGGAAGGGGATCCCGAGTAAGTTTCGAGTTTCTCGAGTCTTTTGGCAGCGAGAGCGGGCATCGCGAGCAGACGCGGGACGCTGATCTTGAAGGCGACCAGGAGCATCATGGTGGAGTCGTACGCCACGAGCATGCCCATGTCCTTGGCACATTCTGTATGCTTCGCGCTCGTAATGGTACACCACTCACCTCGAAGAATTTCGGTGAAGAAGAACAAGTGCGCAGCCTTGTCGATGGCGCTGGGACCCTTTGCATAGGGATTAGCGTACGATGCAGCGTTGCCGATGGCCTCCCGCTTGGCAGCTGGATCAGCAACGATTGAGTCTCCGGGAATAATTGTTGGTCCCGTCTCCTGCTTGGGAACAGCTTGCCACGCGATTCTGGATGTGCTCATCGATCGAAGAGAGAGAAGAGATGAGGCTGATGACTGTGAAGTGCTTGCGGGAGCGGCCAGACGAGAGGCCAGGAAATGAGAGCCGGATGAGGGGCCTACTCGCGCTTGAAGCGCTGTGCGCAGAACTGATCGTGGCAAGCTCATCTCGGCTATTGCACTGCACCAGATGCCTTTATATTCGCAATCCTCGGAAGAACTTGAAGGAGCAGGTTCGCAAGCGTGGGAGCTTTCTTCGGAATCGAGGGATTGGAGGTATGCGCAGCTAGCGAAGTGTGCGAATCGAGGGCGAGAAGTCTAAGTCACGAGTGCTGCGTCGTGAGGGAGATGAATTGTGGGCGTCCTTGCCCCTCCCTCGCCGTCGCAACCTTCTCGCGTGTGACAAATCGCCAACGCTCAAGCGCGAGCGTGCACTCAGGACTCACGACACGGCGGCCGCACGAGCTTCTTCGCCGCCAACGCGAGCGGGTGGGCCGCTTCGCTGTGACAGCCAACCAGAGGTCAAGCGCCCGTCAGCGCGTGCGCACTCGCGAGTTCCCAGCCCGCAGGGTCCGGGCCGCCAGAATGGTCTAGAAGTTCTCTTATGCGCTACTTCGATTTCACGAGCTCCGGCACTCTCACACTTGGGCTTCGGGCGGACGTTGACGAATCTCGCCCGGCCGGAAACATGCGACCGGTGAGAACAGGGGACGTCACAGGTCACGTTGCATGACGCAGCTGATGCTTGTGCGTGCGTGCGGGGGATCGTGGAGAACACGGCAGAGGGCAAGACTTCCGATTCACGCTATTCACGGTTTGGTCATGACAAGGCGAAAAGCATGGGGGAGTATCGCATACATCCTCCTTGACCTCAACCCATCTCTGCACCTGCTGCACTCACAGCTTCCAATACGTGCCAATTCGAGGCATGTGTCCGCTCAAAGCTCGATAATCTCGGATAGATAGAGCGGCAACCTTGCTTGGGTCGTCATGCTAGCAAGCTCGTCGGGCGCAGCTCTGCTTCGGCAGGCAGCGAGCACCAGCAGACCCGTCTGGGCAAGAGCTCGTCTTCAAAGCTCGGGGACGACTGCGGCGCCGACAAGCTCTTGCGCAGCTTGTGCAGGGCTGAGATCCGCACTGCCATCCAGGCATGCCTCCTCATCCACATCCACCGCATTTCCCACTTATTCTTGGAAACCTCCTTCGCAGCCTCGAAACAAGTCTAAAAGCACCTCGGCTGCCTCTTCCTCTTCTGCTCGAAGCGATGCGTCGAGCTCAGCATCCGAGCATCATGGAAAAGGATCGGATAGCAGACCTTTCCGAAAGACTTATCCTCCGCCCGCAGCTCAGCCCGATCCCATCGTGTTCGACAAGCCTGCAGTTCCCAATCCAGCCGAAACGCAGCAAGCGCATGCTAAGTTCAGAGAGACGAGCCGAAAAGGGGCTGTAGTTGCTGCTTTGTTGTTGGGAGCAGCTGCGGCTGCTTGGTTCACTTACTCGAGCGTGTATGCGGATGAAGCGCAGGGTCAGCGACAACATCCTGCCCTCAAGGGCATCGACATCTCGGTGGAGGAGATGGAGAAGAGGGTCAAAGAGGCAGAAGCTGGCAAAGGTGCCGGAAATTATACCGTCATTGCGGTCAAGAGGTGAGAGCAGCCCCTATACTAAGCATCCCAATCACGACTGTTCCGAGCATGCGCTAATCTCGCAAGGCTGCTTTCATTCCTTTCTACGCCCGCGCTCGCACAGATGCACAGTGATTGCCACTGCAGTGGCCCTGTGCGTGTGGGACTACCGAAAGACGCTCAACGCCAAGTACGAGTCGAAGGAGGCAGAGCAAGCCGAATTGGAAGATTGTCACCTGCGCTCTGCGCATAGATTGCTGGCAGCCCTGCAAGAGAATGGAGGATTGTACATCAAGTTGGGTCAACACATGTCTTCGATCGCATTGCTACCCTTGCAGTATACTCAGACGCTTCGGCCTTTGCAAGATGCCAATGAACCTAGTCCGCTGCCAGCCTTGGAAGCCATGTTCAGGCAAGAAACAGGATCCACATTTGAGGCAATGTTCTCCGAATTTGACGCAAACCCTTTGGGCGTCGCGAGTCTGGCCCAGGTACATCGAGCAAAGGATAGGAAAACGGGACAGTGGAAAGCTGTGAAGCTCATGCATCCCGAGGTGGAGAGATTCAGCATCATCGATGTCAAGACTGTGAATGTCCTCGTGAAGTGGGTCAAGCGCATATTCCCTCAATTCGAGTTCACCTGGCTGGCCGAGGAGATGAATGAGGTGAGCAGCCTTGCTTGCTGTAGATCAGCAGGGCGCGCGCTGGGAGCTTACCTGCCTGCACTGCGTGGCCGACTTAGAATCTACCTCTGGAATTGGACTTCCGCCACGAAGCAGAATCTTCCCGCAAGATGGTGTCGGACTTTGCCCACTACAAAAAGACGGCCATCTACATTCCCAAAGTGGAGCATGTGTCAAAGAGGGTCATGGTCATGGAGTACATCGACGGCAGGAGGCCCGACGACCTGAATTATCTTCAGAAGCACGGAATCGACAGAAATCGCGTCAGTCAGGAATTAAGCAGGGTCTTTGCTCAGATGCTGTACATGCACGGATTTTTCCACGGAGACGTGAGTTCGAATGCGCTCGGGTGAAGAAGAGACGCTCTGAGAAGCAAGACTGAGATGCGATAGCAATTGTGCCCCGCAGCCTCATGCTGGCAATGTGCTGATCCGGCCGGCGCTGCCTGGAAGCAGAAGCCCTTACAACTTCGAGCTCGTTCTGTTGGACTTTGGTCTTACATTTGACATCGACAAAAAATTGCGCACGGACTATGCACGTTTCTGGCTCGCGCTCTTGTCTCCTAGCACCCCCAGAGTGCAAAAAGAGCGTCGAAGGCTGGCTTCTCTCATTGCGAATATCCCCGATGAGCTCTATCCTATTTTGGAGAGCGCCATCACGGGAAAGAGTGGATTGGAGGGTAGCGACCCCAGCAACCCTCATGGAGTCAAGGGCAGACCGAGAGCCAGTAGTCTGCTCGATCAGCCCGCGACCTCCGGAAATGATGTGAGCGACGAAGAGCAGGAGCACATTCGCGACGTGAGTAGGTTCTGAGACCTGCAAGAATTTCTATGCTGCTGCCGCTCATGTACGTTTGTTGTTTGTCGCAGACCGTCATGGCGAAAGAGGGCCTGTTCGTCTCCATCCTGGATATGCTTCGGCGTGTCCCTAGACGGATGCTCATGGTTCTGAAGATCAACGACCTCACGCGTTCACTCGACTACAATTTACACACGACGCACGGTGCTGCCAGACCCTTCATTATTGCTGCTAGGTACTGCGCCTTGGCAGTCTGGGATGATGATAGGGAGAATCTGAGAAGGAGAAGAAAGGAGCAGGGCTTGAGCCTCGGCTTGATCAGGGATTGGATCGGGGCTTGGTGGAACTACTTTGTGAGCTGAAGCTTGTGCCTCGAGCAGGAGCTGAGCCTGCGATCGCTGACTCGTGCCTCCTTTGTTTCTCAAAGTACTTCTACCGAGGATTATCGATAATGGAAGCGTGAGTACTGACGTGCCTTGAGACCTTGAGTCTGCCTTTTAACAGCCTTTCGCTTTGGTCGGTGCGATGTTTGGCAGCCTGTCAGACTTCAACGCCCGTCGACGTAAAGTTTTTAGCTTCACTCGAGCTTTTGCAGTCGGAGGAGACAGATCTTCGGCACTCAGAGCCGCTTCTGGAGTGGATTCGCAGGCTAGCCAGAGGTTGAAGGAGCAGGAAGCGAGCGAGAGGGCCATCAAGGCGATCAAGGATGAGCTGCATGGTGAAGATGCGCAATGAGGCTTGTGATAGCGAGATATAGAAGATTGTGCAGAGCTAGCGATAATACCTTGCTCCCTACAAAACGACATGATACCGCACATCATAGAAGCTTCCCCATTTCAGAAATGAATGGACAACGACGATTCATAGCATTGGACACGCTTAGCGGTTCAACGCGTTCAGTGCAGGTACGATTTGACAGTCTTAGGTAGTGCATTCTGAGATCAGGATAGCGCAATGGACAACAGTAGGAGCATGGCGTCGCAACTCTTGTGCCGCTTGTTCATGCCCACTGTCACCTCAAGCTGGCACCTGGGTGGGCAGGGAGTCCCAATGCAGAGACTTGGCGACCTGTCGCAGCGGCAATGAAAGTTGAAGTGGTCAGCTCACGAGTTGGAGGCACGAGATAAAGGCTTGTTGCGTTCCTCGACTACCCACCGCATCCGTGATCTCAGTTGAAGTCCATGGAAGTCTAGGAAGATATGACAAGGCGCAGCACAAGCCTGTCAGCCACGAGGCACCCCTGCAAGGTCTTGTCAGGAAAAGAGGACCGGCAAACACCTACCTGGTCCCCGACACATCGAGCGTGTATTTGCAAGATGCCTGGATCACAAACTTTTGCTCATCTAGCTTTTCTCCATGAACGTTGACGTTGGATGCGGGCGGAAGGATGACGTAGTTTTCATACGTCAAGAGTCCGTCGGATGTATCGCGGACCTTTTGGGCGCAGGCCACGCCGAAATCTTGCTTGGACTGTTCCAGCCAGAAATCGTCCAGGTCCGATTGAGCCTTGGAGACTCTGAACACTTTTGACGTCAGATTGCAATGGGAAGGGAGCCGAAAGGAGATATTCGTGATTGTGTGATTGAAGAGCTCAGCTCAGAGGAAAGCAGCTAACGCAGTTTGAGCGCGCCGATCAGAAGCGTCTGATACTCACACTTTGGACCGTCGCTTACTTTGTGGACTAGCTGGGGCTGATCCTCGAGCGGCGCAGCAACCACCAAAGTGAGAGCGATTGCGCTGAAGACCAAGCCGAAAAGAACAGATAGATGCATATTGAATTTGGAGTGGGAGGGGAGGTTGTGAGCGTATGAGTGTGTGGATGGGTGTAAATGAGGGAGGCAGATGGACGTATTGAGGCAGTCGAGAATTCGCGGGTGATTCGCGAGGGGTTTAAATAGCGCTGATGGAGCTCTCCCCTCTGCTTACAGACGCATGCTTGTCCGTCCGACGTTCTTCGAATAGCCTGACCGGCAGCACACAGCAGCAGCTGCACATAGCGTTATGCTCCGCGAAGCCAAAAGTCACACTGGAGATGTTGCGCAGACGTGCGATGATGTGTGCACAAATGTTTGTGATAGCGCTTTTCCACACAGCCACTGATCCAATCCATGATACGTGCCCGCCGCACGAATGCTCATTTGGCTCTCGATTGGAAGGTAATTCCGCCACATGACTCACTTTTGTGTCGGTCTCTTTGGCGTCCCGGTATCAGGGGCAGCTGCTATATATACCCGCTTTGGCGTCCAGCGTCATCATTCACCATCCTGCTCTGAACGTCTCGGTGGCAGACGTGCTGTTGGGCTCTTCGGCAGAACGTACGGTACGTTGGGCAAGCAAGGATGCCATGCGCCCATCGCCGCCGCGATTGCCATGGACACTTGCTAGACAGGTACCGACGGCGGAGGGGAGCCGTGAATGGCCCACAGCGTCGCAATGCGTATGCGTGCCCTCTCGTACACTTCAAGGGCGCCATTCCTGAGCCTTCATAGTGTGCCTGGATTTTGAAGGACCATCATGATACGCGTTCAAGGGCATACGATCGATCGCAGGTGAATGAGCTGATCCGCGGACTGCATTTGTACTCAGCCGTGCGCCGGCCCGCCGACTTGGACTTTTGGACAGTCTGCTTCGGAGCACGCGCTACACCTTCGTGCCATACAATTAGCGACAGTCGAGTCTTCATGAACTGATACCGCGTGCTTAGTGTGCTGTACGGTCGAGCAGCGAATTCTGCATAATGAAGGCGATCCCGGACCGCCGCGTCACGGAACCCGGGAGCTTTGTCGACGCTGGACAAGGCCCGCTGCCGCTTGACCGTGATCTAACAAAGAACCTTTCCGAGTGAGCTCCAGCACCTGTAGGACCAAACTTCTGGCGCAAAACAGCTTTCCTCGACGACATCCGAGCCGTTGGGGGTAGTCAAGCGCGGAATTCCTGTGTCCATTCTGTCTGGAGAGCGGGCGGGGCGTGCAAGTACACCGGCCATTTGCTCTGCGCAAAGCTCCAAAAGTGAAATCTCTGGTACTGTTTTTGTTTCTTGTCCGTAGGGTGCGTGTCGCATCTTTTCGTGTTTGCGCTTCGACGCTCTTCGCCAACCCACCACCCTAGCGTCCAGTACAGTCTCCATCCCGCTGAAGCTTCGCTTCTGCCTCTCCCTCCCCTACTTGTCGGCGAGAGCTGCATCTTGCCCCCTTGACACTTCTTGCGCCTACGTCTGCACTATGCGGTACTCATCGCTTCTCCTTGCTGCCTTGATGGCCTTGTTTACCCTTGCGACGCAAAAGGTAATAGCTGTCGAGGCGACACAGCCAGAGACCAGCGCGGGGTCGGGATCCGATGATTCTCGATCTGGCTTAAGCTACCCTGGCACAGCTCATCGTGAGTATTGTGTGATAGCTTCTTGACAACGGTAAAGTCTAGTAATGGATTCCGGACTACATTGTCGAACTTGTGCTGATTCATGCCACGCACAAGCAGGCTACGTCGTTCCCGATGCAACCGACGATGATCCCTTCTGGCTGCTTCAAGCCAAAATAAAGTTTGGCAAAGCTTGTACACGTAAAGTCGCAGATATAGGAGATACCATCCTATTTGAGAACTACGTCATCAAGAAACGTTGGGGCAAGAAAATGGTTAGGGTTTCGTGTCAATACGTCCTCGACCTGCCTCCTATCAGGTAAGTTCGGATCCTTGAAACTCTCGACTCGGCGACAGCGAGGGGTTCGAATTGCTTCTTGCCCTTGACGAAGCCTGGCGATCTGGTTGATGGTGATCTATTACCGACAATTGGGCGCGTTTTCTTCCTTCACCCTGCCAGAATCCCAATCGGGCCTCACGACGTCACCGACGAGGTGAGTGTTCTCGAATGGCAGCATCTATGCGCAGCATACCGTGCTTCTCATACTAAAATACCTTCGCTCTGCTGTCAAACGTCGCTTACGTGAAGGTGGCCAAATCGGTCGGATGGGCCGAGGCAGAGGCCGTCATCGACTCAAACTAATCGAGGTGTCACCGCCGCACCCTTCCGATATTCGGGCTGTACGTGATGCCTGACTAGTACTTCAACCAAAGTCATTAATCTCCATGCAATCATGGCCTGCTATGATCCTCGCTCGCCTCTGTCCATGCCAAATACGTTTTGCGCTGTCAGCCTCCTTCACAATCTGTCCAATCCGTTTGCTTGGCGGCGTTGATAGAGCATTTCGGGTTCTTGTTTGAGCCTGTCCAGTCTTGCGCGCCCGAGCTCCGAGCTCAACCGAACCTGCCACCTCCGATGACTTCCTGCTCTCGAGTCCGACCATGATTCCCCAATGACCATTGAATGATGAAGTGGTAAAGTTGATGCATTTACGCAGGCTTAAGCGTGGAGACCTCAATCACGGTCAAAGGTACCGCTTACAGATACTGCAGGCAGATGCATTCATGATGTTTGATTAATATTCACGATTATTCTGCTGGATTTGATTCTCCGGGCGTCTCAGAGCGCCTCACGTGAGACGCGCAGAGAGCTGCTGGCAGGATGCCAAGCAAAAGCCAAGCCTTCAATTTCTCAGGACCCCCGCATGCGATGCACTTTCTGCAAGCAGCCACACACACGCTCGCGGGTACACTCACGATCGACCGATCATCAGGACTTTGAGGCATTCGGGCTCACCTTGAATTCCTGATCGCCCAATCTGCGTCGACGAATCGTACGATCGGAGGAGACCGGGATGATGTGCCTGGCAGGTCCAGCTGAAGTCTTCAAGGCGTCAGCAGGAACGCGGGTTCATATGGTAGAGTGCAGCTCTCGTGCTGAGAGAGTACCGCATCGGCGGTGCGGCGTTTGGCAATACTGACGGCTGCATGGTACACAGTAGTGGTACTGCTGCGATCGCAGGTGTTTCTCTCGAGAGACCAGAGGAGAGGATGCAGGAAATCAACGAATCTCGGGCCTCTTTGGGCAGCTCGTCTGTCCACAGCCAGACCTTTCTGCTCAAAGTATAGGAGGCACTGCTCACTTGATCGGACGTGGGAACGGAGCTTGGCCAGCCACAGCCGCGGATAGTCGACATGCGCAACGTCTCCTGAGCGCAGTCAAGTAAGCCATGCACTTCATCTTGATGTGCCCTGCAAGTCGGACGAAGGACTTGGTGCCAAGTGCATACACGCAGCTACTTGACGGCCTATGCTCGATTCACTTTTTGTAGGAGGCACACCGAACCCTGATCAGGCCACTCTTGACACCGCTATCACCTCGTACTCGTGCCCGACGTTCTGGTGGTCATTTGATCTATATGAGTGCCTAGCACTGCTACTCGGTCCCTCCAAGCTTCAAGGGCCCTCCTAGCTGGAAGCATCTGCGTTGGTTGCTCGGTTTAGCAAATCTCCTGACCATCTTTGAGCCACGATCATCAACCTCGTATGCAGCATGCCTTCTTTCCGCAACGCAGTCTCAAGCATGAAGTCGATGCTCTATCCTGTCCTTCTGGTCTTGCTCGCCCAGGCAGTACCGGCGTCCACAGCGCGTCGACTCTCTCGGCGAGCATTGCAATTGGCTATTCAGGCTCGTCAAGCGTCCGACGTGGGAACTTCTGGCGAAGCAGATGCGTGCAGTCTTACCGCCTCGTCGGGAAACAGCGATGGATCGACAGGTCAGACCTCGCTGTCTTTGGCAATCGGAGGCATCTTTGTCATCCTGATCGCTTCTCTGCTGGGCACGCTGATTCCTCTGGCTTCTAGAGCGCGCCAGTTGTACCTCATCAAACGCAGATCGCAAACGCGCAAGGGTGTGTCCAGTACCGCGGACCGGGCAGATGAGCGCAATGGGGCAAAGATGGACCTTGCAGATATGTGCTTCTTTGCGTTAAGACACATTGGCACGGGAGTCATTCTCAGCACAGCATTCATACACTTGCTCTACGAAGCTTTCGAAAGCTTTCAAAGCCCTTGTTTCCCGTGAGTAGCACAGCTCATTCTGCAATCGCTTGCGAAGTCTTCAACCAACGCAGCCCTCGTCCGCTTCTCCAGAGAGCTCTCCTTTGAGCCTACTTCGCCAGCAATAGCTATGGGATCTCTCTATCTCATCTTTGTCCTGGATTTCTTTCTGCTTCGAGGTCTCAGACGAAAAGCAGCGGCGATGAATGGCGCAGCTGTACCTCCTGGAACGCTAGATGGAGGATTGTGCTGCACCGCACCCAGATTGAGGATGCCGATACCTCTGACAGACGAAGAGCTGGCGCGCCCAGATCCGCCTAGCGGAAAGAGCAAGGGAATGTCTGGGGCAGAAGAGAACCTCGATGAGACTGAAGAGATTGACTCGCATCAACAAATCGCCGCAAAAGGGCCTTCTCATCAAAAGGGCGCCGCATCGAGTACAGATCGTGTGCAGCAGCATCATGCACCATTCAATCAACCGCCTAGTGATGACGATGTCTTTAAGAAGCGGTCTGGCCCGCACGCGCACGATGAAGCTGCATCGGCATCAAACTCGGACTTGGATGCAGCGCGCGCGCACGCAAAAGTGGCCAAGTTCGAAGTGATAGCTCTAGAAGCGGGCATCATCTTTCACTCGGTCATCATTGGCGTATCGCTCGGAGCGTCGAGCGGAGACACATTCGTCACTCTGCTCATCGCAATGACTTTTCATCAAATGTTCGAAGGCTTGGCCTTGGGCGGACGCATAGCTTTGCTGGATGGACGATTTGTTCGACTTCCTTTCAAGCTCCTCATGGCTATCGCTTACTCACTGACCACTCCGACAGGCATGGCAATCGGGCTTGGCATTCGAGGATCCTTTTCCGAAACCGCTAGCACATCTGCCTTGGCCATCGGCATCTTGAACTCCATCTCCGCTGGCATTCTCCTCTTCACCGCAATGGAGCTCATGATTGCCGACTTTGTCTTTGGTCCTCTGAGGGATGCACCAGCCGTTCAAGGCGCCGCTGCCGCCATCTCGCTCGCGGTGGGCGCCGCTGGCATGGCCGTCGTCGGCAATTGGGCTTAGTCAGAGACACAGCAAATTTCTGATGCTTTCGCGCTCCCCCCCCCCAAACATGCTCCTTGCACTATAGATTGTCTTCTTCACATGTCGCCCTTCTTGCAATGACATGACCGGCCCCTTGCTCCAGGCCTGCTTCCAGCCCGCCAGCCAAGATGTGCCTGAAAAATGTTGGGAGAGCGACCGCTGCTCGAATTTGTCGAAGTATGTTCGATGCGCCAGGCCAGCAGCAAAGATTGCATTGAAGACATGTGCAAGAATGATAGCACAAAGGGTAAGAGTATAGTAGAGGTGCGAGAGAGCGAAGTCACGCTCGCTAGGGCGCGTTGGGCTGGAGGCTGTAGCAGCGTAGAACCAGAGATGCGGTACATCGGCAAAGCTGCGAGGAGAGAAACTCTAAAGTCTCTCCCGACAGCGGAAGAGCTGTTCGACGCACGCCGTTGCGAGAAGGACGACTGACGAGCTGACGCATTGCGCCTCGCCTGGCCCCTTTGATGGATTTTGTATTGGAGCAGATGCACGCCGTCCTCAGAACGGCTATCTTTGCATAGTGGAGAAGATGAGACGCTTGGACGTTTTTGGTGTGTGGGGAGGGAGGGGTATCGAGGTTATGAGTGGGTGCAGCAAGAGGCGAGATCGGGGGGTGGGCAAAAGGTGCAGCAAAAATCGAGAAACAAAGAAGTGCGAACTAGTGTCGGGAGCAGATGCGGCGGGTGCGAAGAGTCCAAAGGGGCAAGCGGATGCGATGGTGTGGGTAAAGCGAGATGGTAGGGAGCAAAAAGAAACGAGCCATCTTTGCACCGCTTCACATGACGACGCATTTCTTCTTGTCCTTGTTGCCCTTTTCCTTCGCCCCACTGGCGAAGTGCGCCGCATCGAAAGCCCTACATTGCCTAACCACGTCCGCAAATATTTCATCCACATTGATCCGTTTCCGAGCAGAGGTCTCGTAGTATGGCACGTTTCCCCACGCCCTCGACAGATTGGTTCCGATCTCCCGAGGAACCTGCCTCTCCGCCCTCAGATCCGACTTGTTGCCCACAAGCACGAGCGGAACCTGCAGAAACGAGGCGGGTAGAAATGAGCTCGTGATCGAGACGTGTCTGACAGCTTACATGAACCTCTACTTCTTTGATACTTCACGCTCGCGAGAAGCTCACCTTGGAGTTCTTTATCCGAACGATTTGCTCCCGCAGCGGACCAAGCTCGTTAACACTCGCGAGATGCGTCAATGAGAAGACGAGTATGAATCCATGCCCACTTTTCATGTACAACTCCTTGAGCGCCATGAACTGTTCCGTGCTGCCCAGTCGTGGTGCCCCCAGGTTCGTTAGCATGTGGTGGTTCCGAAGAGTAGTTCATCTCGTATCGCCCAGGACTTACCCTGCCGTGTCTAGGATCTCCACCAGACAGTGTTGCCCATCGATGATGATAGGTTTCCGGTACGTATCCTCGATTGTCGGATCGTAAGTGCTTACGAAGACATTTCGAACAAATTGAACTGTCAAAGCTGATTTGCCCACTCCACCACCTGTCATTTTGGTGAGAGAAATTCGCGGTAAGCCTCTGCTCTGCAAAGAGAGCCAGTGATCTTCCCACCTCCCGACCGATGAGCCAAGATGCCCGCTTTTGAGCCCAGGAACTACGCGCTTGGCCATGATGCTCGCAAAGGGCGAGTGATGCAAGTACCTCTCGCGTGAGGGAAGTAGAAGACTGTTCAAGCAAGCAGCCAAGACATGCCGTGCAAAGCACTTTACCTCGGTAAGCGAATGCGCTCCTCCTCGAACATCCCTTCGATGCGCTCGAGGAATGTATGCACGGCATCGTGCACCTTTCCGACAATCTGCGCTCCCTTTTCACTCCAGCATGCCATTTCCCGTTCCTCTCGTGCCATCTCGACAGCCCCAATGCTATTGTCTCAAGGTGACCGCTTCTGCCGCGAGAGCGCATAGGCCAGCTGTACATTCGCGGAAAGAGTGGAGGAATCCTCCGCTTTACGCTGGATGCTTGGCACCCTGCTCATAGGGCCACTCACCTCCCATGATGACCACTCTGGTCTCCTTCATCTTGGGCGCGCCCTATCTCCGTTCAGCAAGCCACGTTTCCGGCTGAAGATTACTTTTCGCTCACTAGACGAGTGACTCCTTCCTCGAGCTAGGGTCGATGCTGCCGCTGCTTCGATAGCTGACTGGGCCTTGACGCCCAGAAATAGTAGCACAAGCGATTCGGAGGATTTGACAAAGAAAGGTTGCGAAGGAGCTTCATACAACTTGTGATGTCGATCCCAACGAGCCAGTCGCTGCGGAGGGCACAAGCTTGGCAGAAAGATTGGTGATTCCCAGATCTTGTGCGTTAGGCTGCGCAATTCGTTTGTACCCCGGACCGGCAATTGTGATTCTTCCCTGACCCTGAGGTCGTTCTTGCAGCTCGAGATACAAGCACCGAGCTGTGCTGGCCTGCTGTGATTGCTGGAGCGTGTTGCGATACTTGATTCGCTCGTTTTCGATGCTCGTCACGTCTTGGCAAGGGTTGAGCTAGTAGCACCCTTTAATCTTCGTCTATCGCGACTCGTTACAGAACAGAAAGAAGGCCCTTCATTCGTTTTCCCTTTCACCAAAGTTGACGGAAAGCAACAAAAGGTGTCGTAAAGTGCGAAGCCAATTTGCGAACAATAGAGTCAAGATCGTAAGTCAGAGACTGCGCTGGAATGAGATAGGATGAGGCCGGAGGGGCGGTGTCGTAACGAAGCCAAGCCTGCAGCAAGGGCAAAGGAATCGCAAGAGGCAGCGGCAGATCCCAGCTCAGCTATAGCTTTGACGGGATGCTGTGCATGGATAATGGTTCAGCAAGCAGAGATCGTCCTACCTCTGATCTTCTATACCTTTTCCCATTTGATTTGCTGAAAGAGGCAAGTCAAAAGTCTGATGAGTGAGTGTGCATCATCATCATGTGTGCGCGCGTGCGTGCGCGTTGCGCGTTGGCTCAAGCGCCCGGGGAGGGAAGGGGGGGCAGAGAGGCATGCAGCACAATCACGAATGAGGCAGCATGCCATGAGGCTCATCAGCTACAGTAAATACCGTACCGTACAGTACGGTACCGCTAAAGCTGCCGCGGTGTAGCATGCATGCAACAATCGTGAATTAACGGGCGCGTTGCATCATTCCATGGATCGGCATCAGGCACTCACCCACCCCCGCGCACCGCACGCGGACCCACAAAATCGCTAGGCCGCGTCCTAAACTAATTCGGCTGTCTTTGACCCAACGGACCGGCGTGGGCGTGAGCGTGCGAAAGTGAGGTGTGCCTGTGCATGTACGTGTGCCTTGTGTTATTATGTCTAGCTTGATATGCCTGCTCACTCGACGGTGATCGGTGCGCGCAGAAACCCGTGACTGGATCGCCAACCAGCCCCTCCCATGCGGTCACAGTCGTCAATAATAAGCTGCGTCGACGGCGCATGCAGCAAAGCTCAGCAGCGCGACTTGTAAGCCAATCACATGAATGCGCCTTGTTCCTTCACTCGCGACTCACGACTTTGTTTCTACGATTCCATCGCGGCTGCACATTCACGTCAGTCACTAGGCAGAGAGGATGAAAGGGAAGCAGCAGCACCAGAGTCCAAAATCACGCTAGATCGGAACGTTTCGCGTTGCACGGTACCGCGGTCGCAATCAGACTCAGCAGCCCTCCCATTAGCTCCTTGCCATGCACGCGCCATCAGGTTGCATGCGTCGAGGTGAATTGTGTGAATGGATCCAGCTCGGTTTACCACGCTGCAGCAAATGAGGTGGTGAGCCTAACAGCTAGCCAACAGCTCAAATGCCGACAGCAGGGCTGGGAAAGGGCAGCTTTCGCTGATCTGAAGAGACGAAGCGTGTATCATCACGAAGGACGAATGCAGCAAGAAAGACCAAGTAGCTACCGCCCTTGCAGCGTTATCCGATGAGCTTCAGGGATATCAGAGAGTCCTGCCGCGCTCTCCGATGTGGATGCAGCAGGTGTTTTGGTCTCTAGCGACTGAAGCAGGGAATCCAGGGTGAAATCGGCACAGCAGTTGTAAACATGGTCTCACAGTAGCGACACAATTCCCGGATTCGCGCATACAGAACAGCTTGGACCCCTATGTTCGTCATGTAGCTCGGTAACGCAGTCGCGCGATGAGCGCCAGATATGATATGCAGGATGCTGAAAGGCGCATTTATCGGTCTGCAGAAGCACAAACATGCGACCATCAGAGCATCTGCTATCGCGAATGTCGGGTACGGCACCCCACATTCTGACTATACCTATACGAAAGACTTGTCCGCTGTTCTAGCCGCAGCAAAAGCAGAGCGCGAGCCCTGCATTGCAAGAAAAGCGCGCCTCCAAAAGGACAAAAGAAGCTTGATAGACGAATCAAAATGAAGAATTGATTCCCAGTCACGAGTCTTCCAACATCGCACCTTCCGCTCGCACCTATCACACGGTGCCCCGCTTCTCCCGCGTGCGACTTGCACCTCCAACGATAGACGAGAGAACCGATCACCAACCACAAGCCAATTCTCAGCGCTGAGCACACCTCGCAAAGCGACCAAGAACACAAATCTGACCATGTGCATTTTGCATGCCTACGCTCTAATGCTCTTGCTGCACTCGCAAATTGCCAAAAAGATGTATCATTGCGCAAGGGTGTGAACCTTTTTGAATGTCGTTGTGTGGGATGAGAGTCACATAAGGACTAAGCCTCTTCTCGGCCGGTTGCGATTCGGATCAGAAGGTTTTGGTGTGAAGCAGAAAGGCAGGCGCTAGGCGGAGGTCGGGAAAGGATTTGGCGATGTGCTTCGTGGGAAAGTGCATGAGTGCATGACGTGAAGGTGGGAAATTTGGACTGTAGACGTTTGAGATGGGCCAGGACTATGGGCGGGACTGCAAGAGAATTGGCTCTTCGGTGGAGAGTCAAGATGCATCACCTTCCTGATCTGTCGCCCTGATGGTCCCGTGGCCGCGCGCCAGTGACTAGCGCCGGTCTCCGCTTTCTCTGTCGCATATCCACAATCCTAAGCCGCAGAAAGAAAAAGACTGTGTTGTGACGGTGACCATCGGAATCGGGAGCAGTCGGTGGTGAAGATGCCGCCACCCGTAAATTAAAGAGCTTCAAGGCTTTGCAGATGCAGTGAGCAAGGTGAATCGTTTCGAGGCGGGCGACTATCGTGGATCTAAGCACACCTGCAGGTGAGGAAGTCGACCAACTTGGCGCCAAAGCCTCTCCTTTCGGCGGGATGAGCGTGTTGGTGAGCTTCGCTACCAGCCAAGCCGCCTTGCACAGGTCCTCGACCATCCAATCGCCTTCCCCCTTCGATTCCGCCAGTGCCATTGGGCACGCCAGCTCCAGATGACAGACCGCCCGCGTGGCTGTCCCTGGGTGTGTTGAGAGCGTCCCCGGTCGCTGCTACTTGCGCACCGTGAACGGCTACATTGGATCCTGCAGGTCCTGGACCTCCTGCGCCGTAAGCCGAGTTGCCGTTGTTGGCAAAGTCTGCGCCGGGTGGACGCAGAGCGCCAGATGCGGCGCGGCTGTCCGCACCGCTGCCTGGTACGAGTTGGGCAGGGACGCCAGACTTGCGTCCCTGCTTGGACGCGCTGCGTTGAAGCTGTTGCTGAGGCGCCGCGAGAGCACCGCCGGCAGCACCGCCAGCCCCGGCGGCTTGTTGGGCGTGAGACGCTCGGTGATCTCGGGGGTCTCTGTACCGCTCGCGCTCATCACGACGGTCTTTGCTCGTGCCTGCTTCCCAACCCTTTCCGCCGTTCAGCATCATCCAGTCATACACGCCATCTTCTTGCTCTCCGTGCAGCGCTTTGCTTAGCAACTCCCTCAAGAAGTCGTAATCGGGTGTCTCCTCGAAGCCCAATTTTCTGACGTAGTTCAGATAGATACCGAACTCTTCTGGGAAGCCCTCGCAGAGCTCCTTGATAGGTGTGCTCTGCTTCTTCTCTCCAATCTTCTCGTACTTTTGCTTGTTTGTTGCCGCCTTGAGTCCTTGCCATGGCAGACCGCCCCTCAGGAAGTACATGAACACATGTCCAAGCGCTTCGAGGTCGTCACGTCTGCTTTGCTCTCTACCCAAGTGAGTGTTGATGGACATGTAACGAGCCGTGCCGCTCAGACTTTTGCGCTCGCGGTACGGGATGTGCTGCTTGGTCTTGGGATCCCGGTATTGCTTCGCCATCCCAAAGTCAACCACCCAGACGGTGTTGGCAGATTTGGTCATCGGTCTGCCAATCAAGAAGTTGTCTGGTTTGATGTCGCGGTAGATCAGGTTCTTTTCATGGATCGCTTGGACCCGGGTGATCTGTATCACCAGGCATCGCAGAGTCAGTGGAGTGCATCAGCGGATGCGATGCGTCTGCGACGCACCATTTGCTTGGCAGTCATGACAACAGTCTTGATGCTAAATTTGCGTCCGCACATATCGAAGAGGTCTTCCAGACTAGGGCCAAGCAGGTCGATGACCAGGATGTTGTGAAGGCCTTCCTGCCCGAAGTAATAGACCTGAGGCACACCAGCTGCAGCGGATCGACATGGAAGGTGGTGAGTAGGGGCGTAAGATCGAAAGCGATGCTCTTGACACTCACGGCATCCAGCAAGAATCTTGTAGGTCCTGTACTCATCGCGCAGCTGAGGAGCATCACTTTTCCGAGGTTCCTGCGCGCAGTGACGAGCTTGAGTCAGATCAGGAGCATGCAATACAAAGTCGTCTCGAACGTACTCACAAATTTAATGGCTACTGTCTGGCTATTCAGCAGGTTCGTTCCTGAGAGCGCCGAAGTCACGTCAGCCGAGGGCCTCGTCGATCATCCCCTTCTTGCCTGTTCAGGGGGCACGTCACTCACCTTCGAAGATTACGCCAAAGGAGCCTTCTCCCTACAAAGCGGGTATCAAATTGCAACGGACGCAGGTCTGAGCGCATTACTCTGCGCATACATGCGTCTCTGCCACAAGACACAACTCACGATCTTTTTGCCTACTCTGTAGTGCACTCCAACCACGTTCGACCCCGAGCTACTGCTGTGTGATGTCGACATTGTGCTTGCGGAGATGTAAGCAGAAGACTCGAATGATGAAGCTCGGGTCGCTCTAGAGTTCGACTGCGACAGCGATGCGCGTATGCCCCAAGGTCTAGGTGCGCGCGTGCGGTAGGATCTGGATGGATGCGTCGCTTCAAAGGATGTAGCTGTAGGGACGAGTGTCAGGTAGACAAGTCGTCGGATCGCTTTGCAAAGGCTAGGATAAGCGCAAGGATGTGCAAAGCAGATGGAGGCGAAACAACACGGAGGATGCTGCGCCAATCAGGTAGGTGTATTGTGGAAATCGTGATTTCGTGAAGAGCAGTCGAGGCGGGACTCGGTGCCGTGCCGTGGGTAAGAAATGTGCGAAGAGGCGATGTTCGGATGCTGTCGCACTTCTTTGGCTTGATTGGCGTGTCGGACTGCGTCGCACGTTACGGATAGGTAGAGTGGGCCGGAGGGGTAGTCGCGTAGACAGGTAGCAAAGAAGATGGGCAAGGGGATAGGGAGGAGACGTGGATGGCTCAAAGCGCTGTGAGATGCACACTGGCAATGAAAGGCAGATAGGGAAAGGAGAGAGTCTACCTTTGGCAGCGCTTGGGACGCCTTAGCTAGGAGGAATGCCGTGCAAAGGCGCAGGTGATCGGGCGGGCGGCTTGGTGGAAGCTTTGCTCGCGGTGCTGAACGCTAAGCTGTTGTGATGAATGCGTGATCCGGCGGGAATGATGCTTCATCGTGCAATCACGGTGTGCGCGGTGTGCAGAGGCTAGAGCAAGCAAGCAAGCGCTCGCAAGACGATGCGCGCAAGATCTCCTGTGTCGTCTCCTGGCGGGTACTACTGTATGCGCGCTGAGAACACTCATCAGACTTGCATCACTGACGGATCCAGCAGCAGCAAGTCGCGTTCGTTTGACTCAGACTGCAAGCAGCCAGCAGCAGCACCACGACCGGAAGCAACAGGGGGCATCAAGCACGCGCACGCATTGAGTGATTAAGCGTGTCAGCCTCCGCCCCAGCAGGCCGCCATGCAGCAGCAGCGTCAAGGGAAGCAATTAGCCATGCGCGGCTGCAGCGCCTGCAGTGTGCATGGCCTGTGTCAGGTCTGCCCGAATGCAATTAAGTCTGCGCGCATGTGATGCCTGCGCGCCGCGCGATGTCGTCCAGCCATGCAGCAACGCGCTTGCATGCCAACGCCAGCCGTTGAAGCGCCGATGCTTCATCAGCACAGCAGTCGAAAATTCACGACGCGCGTTTATATATATAGCTGGTTTGCTGCTGCTGGCCGCGGTGATCTTCGAAAATATCGAGAATGATACTCATCAGCAGCCGCTGACTGCATGCGCTCTCGGACTGCCCACTGATGCGAGATATTGCTGCTGAATGCAGGATGGCTTGAGTTGGCTGCATGCATGCAGTCGTGAGGGGTGAGTGCAGGCTCAGGAGCAGCCTCTTGGGCTATGGATACTCGCGCCTCAGCAGCAGGCCGGTCAGAAGGGTATCGCCAGCAATCGTGAATAAGGAGCCTCCAGTACGTGGCGGTCTGGCTCGTCGTTGCTCTACTGACATCTCCGTAGCGGTGCACAAACCTCTTCGTCTCTATGATGATTCGACTCGCCGTCAGTCGAAAGGGACCACATCTATGGTAGATCTAGGTGAGAAGGACAATAACAAAACCAGTTTCCGCTACATGAGGACGTCCAACGCGGAAAGCCTCGTATAGCTTCTCTGCGCACCTGTGGGCCACTTGCAACACGTACACAGCTAGCGAGCTGTTGGTCCGCCATGCAGAGGAAAAGGGGCGTTTTGGCTATGCATGCAGGGCAGCCAGAGACCGAGTCACGTGAAAGCAAACAATCTTGAATAAAGCATCGCGTCCAGCAACACACACACGCACCGTTATCGGCCTCGGGATCAGAAGGTTTGGCAAGGCCTGACAAAAGGAGGCTAGAAGCTACCGCTGGCTCCAAAAGGATCAGTAGAAGCTGTTGTGCATGTTGAAAGCTCGGCGCACAGTCACGAGCAATCTGAATACGCCGAACGAGGACGGCACTCGATCGTTGATGACGTGCTCGATCAAGGCGAAAGTCCACAAATCGAGTTCAGCGAGTAAGCCGGTCACCATGGTCACGAGTCTTTTCTCACGGCCCAGATCGAAGTTGCACGGATTCCGGAGTGACGAGTCGGTGCCTTCCTAATTCACCTCTTCGTGCGTGTGCCGGTCAGCTGTCTAAGGTCTCTGCACCTGTGCGGCTTCGATACATGATGATGCTCCGCTCAAGATTCCGCAACCCAAGCTGGGACAATGAGAGCGCACAGATCCGTATCCTCAATGACTGCAGTCAAGCTTAAGACCAAATGTTTCTGCTGAACAACGTGACCAGACATACCTCGGCACTACTCTCGTGAAACATATCATTTCGACTTGGATGTGATGTGGGCGAAATGTTTCGGGAACAAGAGTCTGGCAGGTAGTAGAAAAGGAAAGGCGGGCGCGGATGGGTCAACGCACCCACAGGGACGATCGAACGTATGCGCGGAAAGCTTTGGGACGGAGGATTGGGGAAGGATACATCGGACTGGTATGTGCATTTTCGTCTGCAAGTTGGGTGAAGTGGCGCCCATAGGAAAGGGAAGGCATTTATGGTGGGGGAGGCGGCTAATGTGAAGCCGGTCATGATGAGTGCATCACGGCCACCGTGCCTCAAAAAGTCTACCGAGACCTGCCTTTCTTCCGTTGAATTTGTCTCAGTCAGATGCTGCAGCCATACCATGCAGCGCTGAGGTTCTGCTAGGCTGTCGCGACACCTGACACTGCGTGCATACCCTTAAAGAAGGTAGGCTCCAAGAAGGAAAGAAGCGACCAAAAGAACTCCTACAACCTGAAGGCTAACGCCTTCGGAGTTGGCGGTCTGGATTTGTTGAGCTCCCTTCCTGGTAGCGGAATCGAGCTGCTGCTGAAGTCGCTTGATCTCGCTTTGGTATTCTGCGGGCGTCTTCTCCACCGCACGAGAGCCAGCAGACTTGGTGGCAGCGAAAGCAGCCCCAGCTCCAGCGGCGGCCGCACCGCCCGCTGCTACCGCTGCGTTGCGAGAGGCGGCCAGAGCGCCACCGTCGGTGTTAGCGGCGGCGCTGCGCGCAGCGGCAATGGGGTTTGTCGTGCCATTGGCAGGAGAAGTCGAGCCCTGAGTAGGCGAAGAGAAGGAGCCATCGTCATTTCCTGGAGAGCTACCATTGGCAGCGCGAGAAGGCGTTCCACGCACGGTGCTGTATTTCTGCGAGGGTACCATTATGCCAAGGGAGAGGCGAGAGTGTCAGTGAGTTGTGCGCGAGGCGCGCAGACCACAGAGCTCCGTGTTGCTACATTTCCTTCTCTTGCTGTGACTCGCGAATAGTTTCAACTGCCCTCTACTTACCTCGTCGCCGTTCGAAATGTTACTACCGACATGCTCTTCCTCTTCTGGCACGGGCGCAGTGGCAGCAGGCAGGAAAGCAACTCGAATCTTTTGTTCGTGAATTGCGCTCTTGTCCTCCTTTTCTACCACTCCCCAAAGCTCGCTGAGAGAAGTAGTCTCGCGCTCGGGAGTGATGATGGTGGACTGGACCAGAAATTTGTCGCGACATTTGGCAGAGGTAGGTGGTTCTTCTTTCATAGGCTGCAAAAGGACTGCGAGAAAAAGCAGCGTAGGGCATACACATAGCGTCAGCGCACCGTCCCTGCAGAATGGGCGCAGGTGGCGCAAAGGTGCGGACTTTTGGTGACCAACCTTGTACTTCGACCTTCTCTCCCGGCTCGATCCTCCCCGAATTTGGGCGCACGCAGTACTGCTTGGGTGCGGTCGTCTTGACCTTGAAAGCCACCGGTTGAGCGTGAGGGTTCGAGACTTGCAAAGAGCGCTTGACGAGCTGCGTCAAGGGTCCTGGTTGTGTAAGAGAGTCCAACGTCAGACTACTGTATTTACACCTGCGTCCAGAAAAAACAAGCGACCAGCGAGGTCCAAAGTGACTACATCTCGAGCAAATTGGAGCGCAAGGACCCGTGAAGGGGTGAGGTGGCAAGAGCTTTCCCGCTCTGCCTTTAGACTGGCCCTTGCATGCGCATGCACGCAAATGTTGCGCTCCAGCTTCTGAGGACCATTTCGAGAGCGATCGGCCGGCTCCTGATTCGCGCCCCGAAGCAGCGAGTCGAAGCGTCCTGGGAGCACTCGAAAGAAAGTCCCCTCCTAAAGACGCCCATTGGCGAAGTGGATTTGTGGGACATGCAGCGTGAGAAGCGAGGCACATGATTGCACTCGTCCGCCCTACTTGCTGAGCCAGTCATGACCGAGGCGCAGCTGAAGCCCGGCTGGTGTCTGCTGGCAAAACGCAATCGACAGCGATCCGCTCGCGAGACTCATCCCTGCTACCTCTTCCCGCGGCTAAGTCAATCACTGTCGCATCCCGCCCGCCTCTTACTCACTAGGGAAACCAAGCTGGACGTGCGGATTGAGACTAGAAGAGGATTATGCAAGGGAGCGCGATCAGCTACAAGTCTCGACGTACTTGATGCCTGCGAGAGAGTTGTCGAACGTCGAGGTCAAGGTGCCTAGACCCTCCGAATGGCGCAGGTGGCAATGACTCTGCTTTAGAAAGCGTAAAGATACTCACTCGACAGACATGATGGATGCAACAACAGCTACAAGACTTGCAGATTTCCGTGATCGGCGATGAAGAAATCAAGATGGGATGGAGAAGATCCGCTCGGCTTGCCTGTGATCCGCTTACTGGATGCAGTCACTTGCGATGGTCGTTGAGGGATTCAACGAAGAGCAAAGCGAGAATGATGCACGAGTGTTTGAAGCGACGTCGATGGCCCCGAGGTGGCTGAAACGATGAGTCGTGAGTAAGGGTGTTGGGGTAATAGAAGGTGCAGATGGATGCGATGTGTGCAAGCGACTGTGATCAGCACAGCGGCAAACGCGGTGCTATGATCTCGGGTGACAGAACGCAGGCCTTCAGTCCGGTCTTGCGTCAATGTCGACGTGCCGTGCGCGCGCGGCATGGCAGGCAGGCAGCCAGGTATGTAGGCAGGCGTGAGGCGCGAGGCGTGACGCTCTACAGCCTCGCGGCTCTCACACGCACGTTTTGCTGATGACCACGTCGCCAACTCGCCAGCGTCATGCTCAAGGCACGGCTGCTGCGTGCGTGCAGAGCATATATGTGTATCAAACATCGATCGCGGGCATGTGCTTCGAGCACTACGAGCGTGCTTATCCCCGCGCGTCCGGCTTGGCCAGCATTTCTTGATTTGTGCGCTATACGAGTATACACGCCTACACGGTATATCCCTGCTATGGCTTGGCCGCTGGCGGGCGCCCAATTACAGCGCGGGGTGAAGAATGAGCGCTTTCTGCGGTGCTTGATGGGCGGAGGAGCAAGATGCGCACTAGACTGCTTCACTGCCCGAATTCAGTCTGGCGTGCTTCCGTGGCAGCAGCTCGATCGGTCAGCATCCATCTCGGCCAGACCCCCAGCGCACCATGCATCACCATCATGCAGTGTGAGTCGCTGGTGCACGCACTTGCACTCGTCCAGTCAGAGAGAGCCCGCTGTGCGACCTACATTCATTTTCCCCGCGAAAGCTTTGGCTCCGCCCCCGCATCTGCAGACGTGGCACCAAACCACGAGCGCTTCGCCATCGCCGCCTTTCGCATGGCTTTCACGAAGATGCAACGAAATGCGTGCAAACGCTTCTCTTGCGTCTAGAGGTTCACAATTCTGATTGGGAGGCTGCGGTCCAAGTACGCGTTACATTTAGACACTATGTACCCAAGTCTCCAACTGTCGAATAGGGTCCAGAACGATGAGCAGTCGAGAATGTGTATCACCAGCTAGCAGCAGCTACGTGCGGCCTCAGTCTCGTCATTCGCCGATGTCACGGCCGTGAAAGCGGACACCGCGACCACAGTAAAGAGCACACCGGGCGCAAACGTAATATGTCATGTGTGGACTTGCGAGTGTGATTTCAATATCAATTCAGATGGTATCTTTGGGTATACGATGAAGGAGACAGACAAGTAAAGCAGGTGAAACTGTTGAAGTGAGATTCGTGACGCAAGACTCAAATAGGGCGAGACAGACGATCCAGGGCAATTTCCTCTGCGGTCTGTTCGATCTTCGGATAGGTGCGGGGTGATTCTTCTGCGACCTGCTCGGCAAACGCAGATTCCTGATGCGTGCCAGGAAGCTCGTATCTTGACCCTTTTGGTCCATCTACCAGATCAAGGTAAAGATACAGCGTCCGCAAATGAGCGTTCACCTTGTATGGCTGGAGCGCGAGCCACTCCATGACGCGGTCCCTGGGCAAAGGAGAAGGAGGGTGGTGAGTTTATGAAATGCTAGTATCAATGTGCTTCTCCACAGCTCACCATATGCGCTCGGAGCGGGTAAGGAGGGGTCGACCACCAAGCCTCTGCTCGGCCCAAGGCCAGGCGGGTCTCTCGATGATGTTGCTGCCGTCGTGATTAGTTCCGCCACCCGTAAAACGAGACATTGGGTCCAGACTAGAGTCAATTGTGTTGATATCGTGCTCCTCTACCTCGACACGTCCGTAGGCCCGGATGGTGCCGAGAGCGACGCGTACCGCTGCATCGCTATGGTGCCGAGCAATCCGCCCCGAGGTCGCATTGGCCGGCAAGAGAGGTGGGTCGGCAAAAGGATTAGACTGGTCTTTCATGGTGTGAGTCTTGATCCACGAGCGTGTCCGAGCGAAGACGATCATATTGAGATAGAAATACAGGCGGTTCAGCAAGCCGCGGTTGATGACGCCCCTCGCGCCCTGACATTGCCACAACCCGCGTTGATCCAGAAAGCGTTCCAATTCGGCGCGAGGCACTGGCTGATAGGCGATGCTAGATGGGTAGTGTGGGCACAAGGCACGGCGATGTCGTCGTAATTGGCTGTAGTCGCGTCCATTCTGGCGCCAAAGGTCGTCCCAGAAGAGCCACCACCATTTGTGGACAGGGCTCTGGTTGACGTGCATCAGTCGCTCGTGAAGCAGGGTCATTGCCGCTCTGTATTGGCGCGGGAGGTGCTGCACTGAAGGATTTCGGGTCACCATTCTCAAAGTCTGACGTAGCTGAACGCGGTCCAACGTTGGTGCGTCAAAGACGTCCGTCAGGAAAGCATAGTCGAGCGTCTCTCTTTTGCGGATAGCCTCAGTGGCATAGCCATCTCGGTATTGTTGTAGGTTCCGCTCGACATTGTCTCGACGGGCATGTACGATGTGCTCATTGGCACGCAAGAAGCGCACCAAATCGGAAGTGAGTCTAAAGTCGTCGTGTAACCCGAACGCCGTCGTGCCATCGACCGTCAGGGCTTTGCGGACTCGAGTAAGGCCTTCAGGGTCTTGCCGGGTGCCCTCGGCGTATGTGACTGTCACTTCGAATCCGGAAGCAAAGTCGTGCGGGCCTCCCTGCCAACCGAGCTCTCTCCGAGCGATGCGAAGGGTGCCAGTCTCGTACGAGGTCGGACACGCGAGGGTGAATTCGCCTGAGCCTTGACGAGGGCCCAAACCGAGCGCCGCCCGCACGCGGCTTCGTCGCCTTTGCAAGAAACTCTCAGACGAAGCAAGACGGCCGCCGATCTGCACCACTTCAGTGTGAGGAGCTTGAACTAGCTGACCGTCCAGTGCGCGTAGAGCTGTCCGCACCCAACGACGAGACAGCACCTCTGGATCTTCATTTTGTGACACGAAGAGCTCGAGCTCCCCCAAAGTGCTGAGCTGCACGGTCTCGTCTCCCTGGACTTGGTCGTACCGCATGACCAGCGTCGGTGGAAATGGCACTAAGAACGCCTTTCCAAACCACGAAGAGACGCCAACGGGGAATGGCGGCTGGGTGGGCCGCCAATACGCATCCGGACCAGCTAGTCGGGACTGGATCGCGTCCATCACTGCAGTGAGACGTGCCGCGTTTTCGCCATTGCGCAGGAGGTCAACTTGCTCTCGATAAGTGTCGCTGCCAATCGCCTTGAGGATCTTCAGGTTCTCGACATGTCGCTCAGCTGGCGAGCCCTCGAACCACAGCATGTAGGGTGGCCAATCGTCCGCGATGGAAAAGGCAACTACTTTGCCGGGACGCATGTGATAAGGGCGTGCGCAAAGGAGCAGAGTGGAGAGTGTCTCTTGCCAAATGCGCCGCTTCACATGCTTATCGAGGTCTAGAGCAGGCGAGAAGATGTCGATGCTGAAGTCTATCCGCGATTGAGCTCGTTTGACCAGGTGCTCCATCCAGCCAGTGCCGGCCAAGGAAAAGTAGATGTTTCCCGCATACGTCAGAGCTTGGATGAGGTAAAGAATCGTGGACCGATAAACCGTGCTTCCTTGCACTTGCAGCGCAACAAGTAAGCCAACAACAGCGGTGAGCACGTAGCCGGCTCGGGAAACCTGTGCGATTGGGTTGCTATGATAAGCAAGAGCGTCTCACGCTCCGACGCGGTGGCTACTTACCAGTTCTGACCGGTTGCTGATCCGATCGTTGAATGGCACGACGTAGAGGTGGATGGCGAACAGAACACTCCACAAGACGATGAGAGTGCTTTGCTGCACGACTAGCATGGTTCGTCCAGGCATGGACCTGAACAAGCAGTTATCTTTGGTCACGATACCGATCACCAAAATGTTGGACAGCTTAAAGCATAAGATGTAGAGCGGTTTGTCTGAGGGGAGCTTTTGGATCAGGACCAGCAAGGGACTCTTTCGTCTCAGCACAGCGAACACTCACAGAAGCCCCACCGCCTCCTGTAAGCCTTGTACATGAAGTTGAGAGGGGATCGATCGCGCTCCAATAGGCGAAGATACTCTACCTCCTTCTCATCTTCACTGCGCGGCACTCCAAGCTCGTTGAAATCGCTGACGCGGGGCAGTAGCGGTCGAATCGTCTTCGCCATCGCGTACGGGTACCACAGAGTATATATGATCACTGTCAAAACAGCAATAGGCACGGCTAGCCAAGCGAAATTGAACTCGTCTTTTGCCATGGTGGTCGTCCAACAGAAGTCCATCGGATCTCGAAAACGCGATGCGGGACCAAGTGGTGCAAGATCGCCGACGTTGTCGCCGTTCGCGTACGGGTTGGGGACCGGCCAGAAGTCCGAAGACCAACTGATGGTGTCGACTGCCAGCTTGGACAGAGGGATGTACAGCGTTGTCAAGATGAAGACGGTGAGGATGTTGACGAGCTTCGTGCCCATGGACGGTGACGTGAACAACCATGGCTGGGAGACAAAGCCCTCGATCGTGCGATTCGGGTTTGGAGCGCGAGTCATCCTCCAAAACTTGATGAGCAAAGCGGCAACGACGATTATCCAAATGAGCAACAAGATGAGCGCTTTGCCGAGAATGCTAACAAAGTCAAGCGCCAGTATAGACGGTATGAAATGCAAGATGATCCATCTCGCGCTCCACTTCTCTGCCCCGCCCGTTGAAGGGGAGACGTCAAAGTGCAGCTGCAGAGCCATGATTTGGGCAAAGTCTCGTAGCAGCTCAAGTCGGAAGATGCCCGCAGCAAAGGCGCTACCCTCCATACCAATGATAAAATCGACAACGGTGCTGATCATGCTTCCCATCGGCGGCAATTTGGCCAAGAAACCACCTGGAGGCTTCCGAGGTCCTACGGCATTTGACTTGAGCTCGTCGAGCGAAGACTCTTTCAGTAGCATCAAAGGCGGGAACATCTCCAGCCTTGTTTGTGGCTTGCTTGCAGAGGAGAGTGAAGAAGAAATTCCCAGTGAGACGGTATCGCTAACGATGCCAGTGCTGGGCGTCAATGACAGATCTGCATCTCCATCTGCGGGGGACGGAGGCGAAGCTCCATTCTCTTGACGCAGCAGCTTTTGGTCCTCATCGACTGGGTTGTTGGGCATCACCGTCCGCCGACGCACGCCGGTGTTGGGCTCTGCAGCTCGACTGGGCACCAAAAGTTGGGCGCCCGCAACCTCAAGCAGGTCGCCCCTGCCTAATTTTCCCCTTCTTCTGTCATAACCGTAAAGCTCTCTCTCTTCATCGGTGGCAATTGCGTCTGCTTCCGTAAAGCTGGGCGCGCTGAAGCGGACAGGGTCCGCCAAGAAGGCGTCCAGTACGGGGAGGTGCAACGGCGGGGCATCAAATGCGAACACCTTGGCTGCTGGCTGGGCAACACGACATCCATCAGGAGACTGTATCGGCGAGAGTCCAGCAGCAGGAGATTTGCTTGATGTTGGAGTGGTCGGCTTGGATGCATCCGGAGACTGACACGGACAGTCCTCAAATTCGGGCCTGCCCCCGTGGTCCAGCCGCAGGCTAGACTTCGGCTTCGGTTTGACGATTCCATCAGCATCACGTGGAGGTGCTCTCGTATCACGTGAAGGGGTGGAAGACCGACCCGGGCCACCAGTGCTTTCGCTCGGCCTCGACAAGGGGTCATTTGGGTGTGGGAACTGATCTCGTTGATTCGGTTGAGATGGTCGATGATCCCGCGACGAAGACTCATCTCGCGTCCTTTGTCGGCTGGGCATATCTAACCGAGTCTGGCCACTCCGCGGGCGCTTTTCGGTTCGTGCTGGCGAGGGGATGGGACACTGATGTGGGGATGTGGAGGGCGACGCCAAACGTGAGAAAGGACCGCTGATGGGCAGCTCCAAGGCGATATTCTGAAGCGCAGGCACCGGTCGAGCATGGACCGCTCTGGCGCTTGGCTGAGCAAGTTCTGGGGATGTTGGATGTAGAAATGCTAGATGGTTGGCTTTGTCACCACCCGCCGCTGGCTGCAGGGGGGCGTCCGAATGCCGCCGTACCCGTCGGGACGTCGGCACTATATGTGCTTGCTTGCCACTCGACGCGACTGGTCTGGAAGGCGTAACCTTATTCTGTTCCAATGAGGGTGCACGCACGGGAGCTTCGTTCCTGTCGGGCGCCACCCGAGGTGATAGTGCATTGTCCGGACCAAACAGGGATGCGTGATCGCTGTTTTCTGGAAGTCCGTCGATCCTCCTGTCGCGCGGCCGCCAATCCATGTCACCAAGACGCCCACGCGTAGCAGGGCCAGCAGCGACATTCGGCTTTGGAGTCGACGTTTGAGGTGCTGTCTCCCGCCGCACTTGCGCGCTGACACCTCTCGTAGCCTGTCTCGATCGATCGGTCGCCCTTTGAGCCCCATCATTACTTGCTGAAGCGTCAGACGACGCTGGAAGGCTGACTCTGCGAAAGCGCTGGGCATGCGCAGGTACCATCAACGCCTGAGCAGGTCTGCCAGCTGCATCTTGCCTAGCTTCGGCTTCGAAGCGTTCCAGTCGGGCAAGAAAGGCCGGCGAGGGAGGCGGTCTCGACGTTCTCGGCTTGCGAGCGGGTTGCGTTGAGCCGGCTGAGGTACCAGACGCCACGTCTGCGGCTTGATCGCCAGATGAAGCTACCATAGCTCATTGGCTGAGGCAAAACATGAATGCAAGAACTAGTGCTGAGGCGTCTGCTGGGGGCAGAGCCAAACCTGGAACTTTGCTTCTCGTGGAGCACGTATGGGCGACCCAAAGTAACGGTCGAGTCGGAAAGTCAGAAGATCATGGCAGGCGAAGGTGGGTGCGCGATGCCATGTGGACCTGCTAGTGGGCGGAGCTGGTCATGGAGGAGATTCGACACCCTAGGCCTGTTGTGAATGTATGCGCTCATAAGGGGTTCGCGCGCGTGCATGCTGCAAGGTGTGCACCGCATCGTTCAAGGGACGCACCGTGGCTCGCGCGCTCGCAGCGCAATATAATGCAAGCAAGGCTGCACTCACTGCACGGCCTGCAGCTCATGATCGTCGTTGCGCCGTGCCTTGAAGCGTTGCGTGCAACTGTCCCGACAGACTTTCCCTCACAGCTCCTCACATGACTGCCATGGGCGATGCTTGTCCACAACTTTGGCACTGAGAAGTGTAGTCTTCAGCAACTTTGATGGCTGACAAGAGCCAAACCCAGGTGCGGATCTTGTGTGCGGAATCGGATGAGCTGTACCACACCTGCAATGACTGGCGCCATCTGGCTATGGGCCAACGGCACGTAGGCACCGCGATACCTCGGCCCGGTCGAATCGTCGTGGAGGCGAGCGTGGAGGGCTGCATGATATGCTGTTCTCTCACAAAAGCGGCCTGACTCGCAGACCATCGTGCAGTCACCACCCAGTCAAATCACAATGGGCCAGGCGAGCTGAGGAGAGCAGCAAGCTCTACTTCTCATCACAACGCTAAAAGGAAGTCAAACGTACGCAATGCGCGGCCGTCAAGGATCGACGCAATGCATGCATCAGGTTGCGCCGGACCGTGCTGTGATGAACCCGCACGCGCAATGAGCCCCTGAACGCACGCACCGCGGCTCGAAGCGCGCGTCTATCACGCGGTGCCGCCGAGTGAGCAGGAGCTGCGCTCGGCCATTGGGTCTCGTGACTGCCACACGATATTTGTACGATGTGTGCCAAAAGCCTCTCGGCAACTCAGGCAGCTTGTCTCATCAACAGGCGCTTCGGACGTGCGCATCACCAAAGTGCATTTCGTGGATTGGGGCAAGCAACATTTCTTCGGTCGCCAATCTAGCACAGTGTCATCTACCTGAACCGACTTCACGGTCACATTTAGGCCTCGAAGACGAGAGAGAAGCCTGCCTTGTGTGCGTTGGCACCTCCATTGTCAGAGAGCTTGACGGTGTCGAGAGCGAGACCGACGCTGCCCTTGACGCCAGTGCTGTGATGGATATAGTAGCAGCAAGAGTCAGCAAAACACACATCGAAGTGCGCAGCAACCAAAAGCTCAACACTCACGCAAGAGCTTGCGTGTAGCCGAGGCACAGGATGCCGGAGTTGTTGATCTTGGCCTTGATGAACGAGGCGTTGTCGAGGTATGTCTTTGTTCCAACTTCGAGGTTGACGTTGCTAGCAACGGCCTTGGAATCATAGGTGGCACGAGCGCTAGTCTCGATGTCCTGGTTCACACGGTGGTAGTAGCTGGCTTGGTAGGTGCTCAGGTTACCAAGACCGTGCAGGGTCACAGCGTACTCTGGAGCGTGGAAGGCAGCCGCGAGGTTGTAGCGAGACAGCTTGCCGTCACGAACGTCGTAAGCAGCCTCAGAGCCGAGAAGGAAGCCGTCACGGCCCAGGACAACATCGGCAGTGACTTGAGGACCCTAGGAGTACGCAAAATAGAGCTAGAAAGTCAGCTTGATGTCACGTCAACAAAATTGGCAGCAATTCCGCAGCGCTAGGAGACCGCGAGATAAAGGAATGGGGAAGCCTCGACAGCTTCCAGCCAAGATGAACGAATGACGCGCCGCGGCAGTGTCCGTAGTGTCTGCAGTGCAATTGCACTCACTGGCACAGGCTTCGCCTCGCCACTAGCCCCTGCTTCCAAAGCTGCCACACCTATGATGGTGCAGCGCCACCTTACTCGATGTGTTCCGACCCCACTCCAACGAGCACGACCGTTGAAGCGTGCGGAGAAGAGGGGTGGAGGTACAAATTCCCGCATGGGGCGACGAGGCCCAGTAGGCGAACCAGGCCGAGAAGGAGGCAAAGGCACAGAAGCAGCCGCAAGAGTTCGCGAAGCAACTTCTTCATCGTCCCTGTTCAAGAGGAGCGACGGCGACGCAGGAGTCTGGTACCCAGACGTCGATGGGAATGGGGGCGAGGGAGGCGGCAGGAAAGGTACTGCGTATATTGCACTGGAAGTTGATTCGCCGCTCTGAGATACGTTCGGAGCTGGAGCCTCGTGTGAAGCCGATGCAGCGGAAGCTCTCGCTCTCGTCTCGGCTCCCGTCTCGCTGCGTCCCCTGGCGTCGCCACGTTCCACATTGGGATCTAGATTCAGACGCGCCCTGGCGCTTACCTTGAGAAGATCCAAGTGTTGGCGAGTGTGCAGACCTGGCATCTTGTAGGTCGAGGTGAGCAGGAAGTTCTTCGCTTGCTTCTCGGGAATGAGAGTGGAAACCAGCTCAAGCTTGAGACCCTTGGCGATCTGGTTCTCCAATCTGTGATAAAGAGTGGTGCAGCTTAAATTTGAGCTGTGAAGGCGTGAACGAGTGCCACGTCTTTGCACTCACTCCACGTGGTTCCTCAGAACATTGCTGGTGAGCCAAGCTTGGGTGAAGGTGATGCCGCTCTTCTTGTCGGACCACTTAGCCTCGAGGTCTCCATTGATGTTGCCGCTCTTGGCATCGCGGTTACCAAGCACTCGGAATTGAACGCCGTTCGGTGCCTTTGTCTTCACCTCAAGGTTGCTTCCGTGGATGGGCCTGTCGTGAAGATGCACAGCAAGAACATCGAGAGTCAGCCCCTCACTCGTGCGCCCTTTCGAATCTCGTAGCCGGTCTCATGTGCAGTGCGTGTACGCTGCAATGGTGAGAGAGTCACCCCGCGACCTCCGCAGACTCTGGGAAAGCTCCCTCTAGCCTATAGGAGCGCCAAATAGCCTCATCAAGGATGCCATGCAGACGCTTTCGGCCACCCAGCGCTCGATTGACACTCCCGAACCCCTGCCAGCTGTGTGCTCCCACATTCTGATTGATGCATATACGCACAGGTCCTTGCCAAGGGTGTCGTTGGCCAGCTTGCCAAGATCCTTCCAGGAAGGTGGGACAGTCTGAACGTTGCTCATCTTTGAAAATTTGAGAGGTTGGGAGGTTGCGATTGCGCAAGGACAGAAGAATGCGATGGTGGACGGTGAGAGGGAAGGGAAGCTGATGCTGCCACGCGCGTGGTCCAAGCGTTTTCTGCGCCTCTCCTTCCTTCTTGCGCTGAAAGAACTCAAGACCCGCGCCTGGCCAGTCGAGTCCTAGCTAGGCAGGGCCTTCTTCAGGCACGCTGCAGCATGAGGCGGGGCACGAGATGCATGGCGTGACGCGAGTGCGCAGCCCCAGCAGCACCGGCCAGCACACGCGCACTCCAGTGTTGGGGAGCGTCGTCGGCTACAGCCGGCGCGCTGTTCAGACGCACGTGGCTCTGCTTAGAACCCCTCAGCGCTCTCATCACGACACCAAAGGACTAGAGCTATAATAGGTGCAGCGCAGCGAACGTGACCCTTCCGTCACGAAGCGGAGCGCCGCCAGGTGGGCATCCACTGATTTTGATTCACTGTTCCGGACTCATGACTGATCTTTTCGACGTAGAAACACACTTAGACTTGCTGAGTACGCGCGGACGAGCTTTCAAGACCTCAAGGAGGCGGCAGCGCGACATGCTACTCCAGCACACTGCCCACAAATGAAGCTGCTGCGCTTCGTAGACTTCAGAGCGAACAACAAGGAGGAAGCCACAGCTTGACCCTCACTTTGACTTACGCAACACCTGGCGTTCGACGAACCGGCACGATGAAATTGTGAGTCTTACTGGACTCATTCAAAAGTTGCTGGAATTCTGCTGCAGACCGCTGACCGCTCCTCCATGATGGTCCCTCACGTCAACAAAGTGCTCGATATCTAGATGACAGCGCGGTAGTGGAATGGAAGAGAGCGTACATTAATTACCGAGGGCTGAAGCGGCTGAGTGAGGCGGGCTGCACGGGAAACATGACTACAACGGTGACGCATGACTCATCCCCGCACCTTCTTGTGTTACGTGACAGTCAAACAGGTTGCTGTTCGGCACCAGACCCGCACAAGCCTCGAGCTACAAAAAGCTGCCACTTCCGAGTCCACCGGCTCGGCATTCGAAGGCTTGCGACGCAGAGCTCTCGGCAAAGGTTCGAGCAGCCACAGAGTCTCGGGAGTCTCATACGATGCCAGGAATACGCTTTCAGAGGAAGATGATGGTGCTGCTCGACCCCCTTTACGCGAGCGCGAGCGCAGCGGGCAAGAGCTCCCTCAGGTCAATCTCGCCACGACCGGATTAGCCATCGCTAGCCAGAGCACAGCCAGCGATGTCAACGCAGCGGACGAATTCGGACCTGACAGCGATGATACTCGCGTAGGTGTGGAGCCAGCCAAAGCTGGCAAGCTCAAGGGATCGAGGACGGGCCCATATGACAAACGTGATCTTGAGGCCCAAAGGCCGAACACTGCATCAACCCTGGCCAGTGCTGGTCCCTCACGCATTGCCGAGGCCTCGCTGAGAACGCCCGAGCCGGCACATTTCGGCTCGTCTGCTGAAGCACATCTTGGAGGCGCATCTACCCGAAATGCATCGCAAGACGCCTCCAAGTTGGCTGGGAATGGAAAGGAGGAGTTAAAAGGCTCTCGCAACAAGAAGGGAGGCAAGAAATGTACGCATCTCTCGCGACTTCTTTGCAACCAGAGCTGTTCGACTGACAAATTAGCCCACCTGTCGTGCTTCAGCTGAAAAGCACAGGGTGTCACTTGACCAACTCATTGCCGACAACTTTGACAACCAAGAGTCTAAGTTTTTCAGTGCGTTGGAGTTTGAGCACACGCGTATCGTCGATTTCTTTGAAGCGAGAGAGAACGAAGCGCACAAGAAGTTCGAGCTACTGGCACGGCAATTGCGTGAAGTAAGTGACGCACCAATCATGAATGCCGGAAAGATTCCGCTACCCAGCTGACATTCGTCACCGCTAGCTCGCTGACCATCGAAGAGAGTACAAGGCGATGCATCCGCCCAACCTCTCGGACAAAGTGGCAGACAAAATTGGAGTGGCCTCGATCATTCCAGTTGCTAAACGTCTGACAAGGGGTCTAGACAGCCCACGCTCTTCCTTGCCGCCGGCCGCTGGAACTGCTCTCTCTCCCAACGCCAAGAACGAGGGCAAGGTGGACCACGGCAAGCGGCGAGCAGGTGACGCCGGTGAGTCTCAGGACGAAGGCGACCGAAGACGGTCGCTGGCGTTGCGGCGGCTTCTGGACGCTGGCAATGACTCGGACGTCTGGAATGACGAGGAGCTACGAAAACAAAATCGTGCTGCTGCAATGTCCCACGATCCTCAGCGATACACAGGTGAGTTGCAAGCAGTCAGCCAAGACAGACTCTATCTGACATGGGTAAGTCATCCCAGCCGCCCGAAAGAAGCTCAAGGCTGCAGTGCTAGAGTTCTATCGAGGCCTCGAGCTTCTCAAGGTGAGAGGCGCTGGAAGGCAGCGCAGATCAAATGGCTGCAGGCTGACCCTCCTTTGAATTTTCGAAGAATTATCGCGTTGTCAACTCCATCGGCGTGCGCAAGATCCTCAAGAAGTTCGAAAAGGCAACAGGAGTACCAGGCATCAACGACGCGTGGTATCATGTCCACGTGTCCCGTAGTGTGCTTGTGACATCGGACAGCATCGAAAGGCTGATTAAAGGCACCGAGGAAATTGTGAGCGAGCGTCCTAGAATCTCAGCTCGCCCTGGCCGCTGATCATCATTAGTGACGCTCCATCGACAGTACAGTGCATACTTTGAACACGGCAACCGCAAGCGAGCTGTCGAGCGACTGCGGGTAAATGCCGGCACGGGTGGTGAAGAACATCATACGCATCACATGAGCGCCTCTCGAACAGGCTTTTATTTGGGGGTAGCAGTCTGTGCTGCCGTCGCAGGTCTCGTGGAAGCAGAGAAGCAGGGTGGTTCGCGATTCGACATTCCGCAGTGGGATCAGCTTTTGCGGGTGTATGGGGCACTCTTGTGAGTAGGAAGGCAAGCAACCTCGGCCATCATAAGTAGGCCTCTAAAATGCGCCTCTCTGCAGCTTGCCTACGTTATTTGCGCTTTTATTTGGGCTCAATTTAGCAACTTGGCACCGAGCACGGATAAACACCAGCTTCATATTTGAATTTGACGTCAGGCACGCGATGGATCATCGACAATGGTTTGAAATGTGAGCTTCGCAAGACTCTACCCACTGCTCTCGTCGTGTCACGGCTGAACAAAATGACTTTCCAACGGCACACTTCAGCCCGGCTTTCCTCCTGCTCCTTCTCGCTGTGGCGTTTTGGATCAGCTTCTTGAATCCTTTCCCTCGCGCCATCGCTCCAACGACCTGGCCCCTCGTCTGGCTTGTCATCGTCGTCCTCGTCCTTCTCAATCCGTTGCCGATCAATCTTCCCCACAGCCGGCAATGGTTCGTCAGGAGCTTGGTTAGAGTCTTCGCGGCAGGCTTGCTATTTGGGGTGGAGTTCCGGGACTTCTTCATCGGCGATGAGCTCAACTCTCTGGCGTGGCCAATATCCAATCTATGGGTCATTGGATGCGAGTACAACAAGAGCTGGCGGCCACCAACGTGCAATCCCAATGGAACTTTTTGGACAGCCGCTCTCTCGTCATTGCCTGCTCTACTTCGTCTTGGGCAATGCATCCGGCGTTTTGAGGATAGCAAAAGAACAGCATATCTTCATCTGGTGAACGCGGCAAAATACACAGCGGGGGTCATTTTCTATTGGTCTTACCTAAATTACAGATATCACGGCAGCGGCAGGCAGCGCGACCTTATTTTTTGGTGTTTCTTTGCTACTCTATACAGCCTGTACGCCGGATCGTGGGATCTTCTGATGGATTGGTCGGTGTTGCGACCTCGTGCAAAGCACTGGATGCTTCGTGATGAAATCACCTGGCCACCAGCTTTCTACTATTTTGCCATCATCTCCAATACTTTGCTCCGTTTTAGCTGGACCATTTATCTCTTCCCTGGACCGGCATCCGCAACACTCAAAGTCTTCATCATTGCGCTGCTGGAGGCGCTTAGGAGGCTGCAATGGAACGTGTTCAGATTGGTGAGCTTAAGTGCATCGATGAGCGTTGGCGATCCGGTCTGACACAGCCCTATCGGCCTGCCACGCACAGGAGAACGAGCATCTCGTGAGTGAAACACGCAGAATTCCGAATCTCTGTAGTATCGTTCTGATGCACTATGTCGTCTCTCACGCTTCAGGGAAATGTGGACATGTACCGCACTACGCGGGAGACACCTTTGCCATACCGGATCCCTGCTGCAGACGCAGTCGACGAAGTTGATGACCTGCCGGCCTCCAAACGATGGCTCCCGCTTCTCGCACTTCCAGCAATTCGTAAGCTTCGACGGAAACAAGCCGGAGAGGTAAGCACAGGGGCGGACTCGGAGTCTTCTGACGAGCCCGAGCAGGCTTCACGCCCGCCTCCAGCTAAGGTCTTTTCGGGGAGTCACAAGGCGCAGAAGACATCTGCGGTCCTTCCCATCTCTACCGAGCGTCCGCAGGGTCAGCGGTCCGTCGAGGTCGCGCGTTCGGAGCGTCAAAATCAAGGTGCACCTGTACTCAGCAAATCGCGTCTGTTGGACAAGCTTCACGATAAACTCGTCCCAGATCGAGGCGGATATGCAGTTCAGGGGCCGGGCATCACGGATCAAGGAGCGGCGCACGGTGCTCAAGCTCGGGACTACCAGCCTAGAGCCGTGGAGGTTGATGGTGCAAGTCGGCTCAGCACTGATGATGGTGATTCAGACGCTGCACTGGATGATAGTGATCGCTGATAGGCCAGAGCCCGCCTCTGGACTGAACGCGGCAGGTGCATCTGCTCATACTGGCACGGTTTGCAATGGATTACATTGAAATTTGCGCACACATACGACGTGACTCAAACGGAACGCGACATGAGGTGCAAATACCCTCAACGGAACAGAGTGCGCACAACTTGGCTCCTTGATGGCGAGAGTGAGGGTCAAGCTCAGTCTCCGCGCGGCAGAGGGAGGACAGGCAGGATTTTGACTCCTTCCTCAGCCAGAAGAACCGATGCAGCGGAGTAAAACTGAATGAAGAGGTTGCGCGCGCATTTGTGAGTGCTGTTGGCTTTTTTTTTTTTTTTTTTCGATTGGGTCAAGTGCGCCACGCGAACGCACCAGTGTGACGCCTACAAGAATGAACAAAGCACCTCCGGTCTTCATGAGGTTGATGGCCGGAAATTCTTTGAAGCCGACTCCGAGCACAATCAGGGCTATGACGATGAAGAGGGCTGCTGAAGAGACTGGAGCTGCGGTCTTGAAGGACGCAAGAAAGATGATAAAGACTGGAACGAATGAGCAAATGAACACGACCGCTAAGGCCTATCAAATGTCAAGAGATAAGTGACGTAAACAAATCTGGTCAGCTCGTGTGGCCGCTTCTACAGAATTCGAAGACGTACATTGTAAAGCTCTTTGGTACCAAGGGGGATATTGCCCTCCGCTTCCATGACGTAAGCAGCCTGAATACCAGTCCAGGGAAGGTTTACTGGCAAATTGAAGGGACAAACATTGTGAGCGAGCTACCTTCCGTGCTGCTATCGCTCGTCCTGCATCCTGCTCACCCAAGCTTGTACCTCCGATAAGCCCACCGAGAGATCCAGCAGCAACACACAAGAAAGTGTTGCCCTCGGCAAATGCAAAGACCATTGCCGTCAGCAGTCCAATACCTCCGAGTGGAAGACCGACATTGAGTCCGATGTGAGGGCTTGTTAGACCTCGATGGCCGACAAATACTAGACCCAGAATCAATAAAGAGGCGCCAATACCAATCGCAAACAGAGGGAAAGGGCTTTGAAAAGGGGTGCGGGCGTGCAGGGTGGTCAGTCTCGACAGTCAATTTGGTCCTAGCCTTCTCTGCATGCTGAGCCTTCTCGAGAGCAAATGACAAAAGGGCCCCTTGTAGTGTAGTGAGCAGGCTAGCTCGGTTCCGCTGTTTGAAGGCGCGCGCCTTGCGAGATCCGCAGGGTCCCCCGCCCACAAGCTTGGTTCAAAGGCTCTACTGCGCTGTCGACTCTGCTCAAGCTGTACTCACTTGGCGATCCTACGATGATAGACAGGCAGACCGGGCTGCTGGGAGCCGACTTCGTGCCCACCAACGGTAGTAGTCTTGGTCAGCCTAGTCGAGCCTGCCATAACATGCTCATCGGCATGAGGGTCCGCTTCCAGACCCCATTGTTGCTTTAGCGTGCGCGACATTGCGAATTTAGCAAGGAGCGAGAACGATTGTCGATCGTGATAAGAGGAAAAGGCGCGAGGCGGCGCGGATGTGTGTGAGAGATGAGATGGTCGAGTCTCGGGTCAGCAATGTGGTTGCAATCTGTGTACTGATAGTTGCTAGAGAGCAACTCCAAGAGCACACACCTGTTGGCCCAAGGCAGCAAAGATGTGTCCTACGGCAGTCTTCCTCTGCTTCATTTTGCGCTTTCGTCTGAGTACCGCCGAGCGGGCCGGTCAACCACTCGTAACGGGACCCTCTGCTGGCTACTTGGCATTTGGGCAGTAAGTAGCTCAAGAAAGAACCGAAGCCCAGCGGAAACCCCCTCGCCGTCATTTCCGTCTCCTGTGCGACATTCTGATTGTGTGGAAAGCTAGTGGGGTCATTGACTCATCAGTGTAGTATCTCCTTCAAGTCGTACGGCTGAACACCCAGATTGCTCCGAACCACACCAAGTGACAGTCACGACCTGCTGCTCGTGCACTCGCGCCTCGATTAGTGTGAGTCTTCGGCTCCATGTCCCCTTGGTGTTACGGTGCTGGCTGGAGGACCCTCTCCTCCCACTTACCCCGCACTTTAGCGTGGCACATAAGCTCGATACAGTGCCTCGTACGGCTAGCGGGTCCGTACACGACATTTCCGATGCATGCGTACGCGCTACATTTTCCCATGCGGGCACAACGAGGCGGCGGCATGCCTCCACAACATGCAGAGAGATACGGAAAAGCCGCAATGCCAACGATCGAACGGCACATCCTCTGCCAGAAAGTTTGAGTGGGAAAGTGAAGCTGATATGAGCAATTGAGGGTCAAGAGGAGGCTTATTCGGTTCCTCCCCCTTTTTTTACGTTGCGTCGAGGACCTGCGGATAGGTTGCCTGACTCGGCTGACCCTCCGTGTGGCTGATCAAAATGGCCATAGAGAGAGTCAATATTCACAGTGCGATTGAATTGTTCGGTAGCCAAGCCGGCACGCAGAACGGCCAATTTTGTGGGGCTTCACCTTCTTGGAGGAGGTCCCTGATAATGTGGAGTCTATATGCATCCATGAGATGAGCTCTGCGTCTGTCTCGTCTCATCCACGTCTTGGCTACTCGAGGTTGGTCCGTGGTAGCTCCGCTCGCTCTCATTTCCAAGCAAGAGGGAGTACGGCTGAGTTGACCCTGTTTCTCGCCCGTCTCAATCAGGGGAGGGGCCTTCGAGTCAGGTCTCAGCACAAGCCGCATCGATAGTCAAGACTCTCTCTCTCTAAATGCAAAAAGCCCACAAGATCCAAATGGGCGGAGCAGTGCAAGGCTAGTCTTGTTTATTGGTAGAGATCGTTATGATTGGTGAGCCTCGACATCCTCTCTTTTGCAGACGTTCGCTCCCCTTCTCACATCGCTTCCAGCTCAATTTCATCGCTCTCACTTGACAAGCAACTCTGCCGCTCCCCACTCAGCAAGATGTCAGTCGTTCAGCATAACGAAGGAAGCTCGCACACGGAGAAGCATCTCCACGAGACGGAGGCGCAACAACCTATGAGCGCGCGAACTGCCACCAACGGCGATGGCAAGGAGTATGCTGGTGGAGAGAGCATGAACCGATGTGAGTCCAAAAGTAGGGCAGGAGAAGAGTTGGCACTCGACAGTACGATAGCCACATCCGAGCGCAACTCGATCTACAGTCGAGGTTCCTACTCTCTTGTGTCTTTCTTTGCTGACAGCTTCGGATTGCGGATGGCTTGACTGCCCTCGCAGACATTACGCCGGGTGGGCACTTCGCCAACGATGACCTGATAGCTATCGGAGCATCGCACCGCAAATATGCCAATCCTCTACCCCTAGGCGCAATGTCCTTCGCAACAACCACGCTTGTTCTCTCGCTCTATAATGCCGGGGTGCAAGGAATCACCGTTCCCAACGCGGTCTTGACTTTTAGTCTCTTTTACGGAGGGTTCGTGCAGTACCTCGCTGGGCTTTTGGAATTCGCAAGCGGCAACACGCTCGGTGCTAGCATTGTGAGTGCGACACGGCGCACAGACAGGGACCTGGGCTATGGAGCATGAGGCTGGTTCGATCTGACGGGCGCATCTTAACGACCTCGCCTCGAAAGTTCTGCTGCTATGGCATGTTCTGGTGGGGTTTCTCAATGATCTTCATTCCGGTGAGTCGAGCTGCCCTCCTTGTCCAGAGCTGAAGACCCTGGCTGATCAGATCGGACGCAAAACAGTTCTTTGGAGAGATGGGAACGTACGATGGCGTTCCTGGAGTATACTCCATGAACGGCGCAAATGCTGCCGAGGCAGAGAATGCAATTGGCCGTGAGTCTAAATGGGAAGTCTAGGGCTTTAGATGTTGCTGTGGCGCTGACAACCGGCGTGCGGATTGTTCGCGCTCAGTTTTCCTATTCATCTGGCTGGGCAGTGAGTCAACAAAAGAGATCGATGGCGCAAGAGTAATTGCTGAAGCCGTCCTTGCTTGCCGACCTCAGTCACTCTTGTGTTCACAGTCGGTGCTATGCGCTCCTCGATCACGCTCATCGTCTTGCTTGTTCTGCTCGACATTACCTTTTTGCTGCTCGGATCCTTCTACTACACCGGCAATACTGCATTGGAGCGTGCTGGAGGTGGTTTCGGTATCGCGACGGCCATAGTTGCCTATGTGAGTCATCGCTTTGACCATGTGCCTTGTGCTGCTGGAGCGCTCATCTCAGTCCAAGCGTCATGCCACGCAGTACCTGGCAATGGGCTCGTTCTTGACGCCTGCCACGAGCTACTTTACCCTTCCCCTCGGAAGCCTTGCCGTTAAGGAGTGATGCTTTTCATCGAGCCAACCGAATCTCGGGGCTATGCTTTCTGCACTGGTCGTGGCCGCGTCGTAGCGCAGTGGTTGTCGCCGGTACACGTCCAATGCTTGAGTTGTCCTTCTCAGCGAATTGAATGCTCGTCACAACGTCCGTCGCGCTATCGGATGATGACCGGCGAGGTCGATCTCAAGTTAAGTGAATATTGCGAAATTGTCCATAAAGTACACGCTTCCTGATTCAGACTACAGTCGCAGGCTTAGCGCAAACTAGCCATCAAGCTGGCCCAGCCGTCAGCGCCGGATTGACTTTGGTGAGGCTGCGCGGTAGTCTCCTCGGCCGAGGGCCGCGAAGAGTTGCTGCCACTTCCAAAGGGACTGGTGTCCAGATCAGCAAGGTCCAGCCAACCCTCCAGAGGCACAAAAGGCACAAAAGCGTCCGAAGGTCCTTCCAGTGATTGTAGAATAGCGTCAAGTGCATCGTTGCCGCTGTTTTGCTGCGAAGCCAAGTGGGCGCCGGCAGTGTTCGCAGAAGCTGGCCAGAACGCATCGCCTGAAGCGCTGTCGGACGCAGCAAAGTTGGTCGACACGTTCCAGGCCTGGGGGTTCTGAGTCGCGTGAGACAGACCACTCGTTTCCTCCGCTCGGCTGATCGGAAACGGTGTGGTAGCAGCTGACGCATACTCAGGAAAGAGATCTGCAAAGCTCAGGTCGCCCGGACGGAGCTCAATGCCTGCAGGACCACCCGTGCCGTGTTTGGTGTGATGTCCTACGCCCAAGCTCGAACTCGGCGGCGAGGCTCCTCTCTCCGGTGCGGTGTAGAGGCCCGAGGAAGCGCCAGCCCAGGTGTCAGCGGCGGCCACGGCCTGAATTGGCTGTAGCAGCTCGCCCTGAGACTCGGGCCGGCTCAAGACCGGCGCCGCCCAGTTCTGAAGAGCAGTGGACTGCCCTTCTAACAGATCACCGCGACTAGGATACGACGGGGCAGTGGAAGACGGAGCAGACAAAGTGGCGGTAGTTGGCCGAGATGACAAAGCTAGCAGTGATTCGGGTGTTGCGCCTGGCTCGAATAGGTCGGATCGCGTCGTTACGCTCGGACTGTTATCTGTGCTCGTTGCCGCCTCGCCTGGCCGAGAAAAGACTCCTGCTTGAGTCGACCACCTCGGATTGTACTCGCCGGTCGGCGGTGCCCCACGCCTCTCTGCGATGCGCTTCCAAGTCTCCATGATTCCAACGAGACCGCGCACGAGATGAGCCCCTGCTGCGCCCAAGTTGGCCTCGCGAGCCGTGTTCGCCTGGCCGCAATTGACCGCCCAGACGGATTCGAGTCTGCGTGCGACTTCAGAGAAGAGGACAAAGTGCGTGGTAGCTCGCTTGTGCATTCCGCCCCACCCCTTGAGCCGTGCAGCTGCATCTTCTGTGTAGGACTTGCAGACGAAGACGACGTTGGCCACAAGAAATACCGGAGGCATGGCACGAGCCGAGCGACACGTCGACGAAGCGAGCTGCACAAAGGAGCCCAAGGCTTCTTCGAATCGGTCAATTTTGGTAAAGCCAAATCGATGCAGTAGCTCTCCGATGGGGCCTTGACTACAAATGCCGGCGATGATGAGACTCATAATGTCCTCGCCCTTCTTTTGGGAGACTGGCCGGTTACTGAGACGCCTAGCTGCGAGAGCATCCGAGGAGGGCGTCGTGCTCGTCGAAGTGGCGCCGTCTGGAGATTCCTTTTCGCCGCCAGTCGCCTCGTCGCATGATTTGGCTTGAGACGATCTGTCCTTCCCAATGAACGGGTCCTCAGCCTCAAGTTCTGCCTTTGCGGCAAAGATGGCGAACCACATGCTAAGGTTGTGCAAATTCGAGTCGTGCACTCCAACGTAGAAGTTGAGCATTTCGATCATAAAAGCAAGGGTGTTGTGTGTCTCGTTCGTGTTCAGATTGTCAGGCAACCAGGTCAACAATCGCGCTAGCCGAGGGCGACAGATGCAGACGATGCATCAGCATATACAGGAGGTGAAGAGCTCGACAAAACTCACCTTTCGCGAGTGCGGCTTCGTCCTTGGCGATCTCTGTTTCTTTCTCGTGCTCCTCAAGGGAAGAATAGTGGTACTGCTGACTTTGTTTTGGCTTCATGATGATCCGACAACGATCGCGACGGATGAGCATCCACTTGTATCTGAGTGCCAAAGAGTACCGGCCAAGCAGAGGCGGTATGAATGGAAATTTGAGAATGAACGTCTCCGCAGCCGCTGCAATCTCTTCTGCGTCGTTGGACGCGCAGGCTTGTCGCGACAATCCGTCGGCGTGCACTTGCACTGTGTCCGGCACGTTGAACGGCATCGTCGCCAGTATTGGCGTCCCCAAATCGGGATCCCCACCCAGTAGAACCATCATCGCGTCGTCGACCTCGCTTGTAGCGGTGGGGGACCACGGATCGTGGCCGATATCCCGCTCGTTCTCAGCCGCAATGAGCGAGTACCATTGGCAAGCGTCCCACAGCAATGGCGCCAACAAGCGTGGATTTGGCGTTTCTCGTCGTTGATAAATGCGTCGACACATCATGTGCAGGCGTTGAGGTGCCTTGTCGAGCTCGATACACTCCGCGATGCGTCGAGCAGTCGCCCCGAGCGTCGCAAGGCCAATACCACCCTCAGGTGCGCATGCGCCAGGACTCATGCTGGAGGCTGGCAGTAGCACAAATGGCATATACTGCGAGATTAGCTCGAGTGCGAGGACCGCGTGTCGGCAAAAAGGCCTGCTCAAAAGCACAGCTATGCCGTGCGCGTGTACCGACGCTTCCAAAGCGCACAGACGCTGCTTTGTCGCCTCGGGATCCGAGCGAGGCGCGGAGGGTGAATCTGAAGCCCTCAGCGCAAGAATGTATAGCACGGCTAATAGCAGCGCTGTGGCTTGCACGGGATCGTCGAGATGCGCAGCGCGCACGAAAGACAGCGTAGGTATATGCGGGTACATGAGTCGGTGGCCCATCAGGCTGAGAGGGCGGCCCGCTTATGCCTCAGCGTACGTGATGAGTGTCAAATCTAGACTGACCTCCGCACTCACTGCTCCTCCAATTGCTGACTGAGACCTTCGTCGACAATGTCCGCAGGGTCGAGAGGAATCCTGACTCTCCGATCCGCAGGCCTAGCCAAGCCAGAGCCCATGTCGCGCCCAAAGCCTGGGTAGGAGTTCAAGACTTCGCTAAAGAGAAGATATGGATGGAAGCTGCTGTTGATCACTACCTGCTCGTGCGGCTTGCGTCGTCGGCGCTTCGCCACTGATACAGTGCTGGCCGAGGTGCCCTGGGCTGCTCCGCGTTGCTCCTTCTCAGAAGCCGAGTCGGACGGGCCTGGTGCAAGCGCAGCCGCGCCGTTCGTCGCATGACCGTTTCCGCCCTGTTTGCCCTCTGCAGCTGGAGCAATCGGTTCTGGCAGCCACATGAGATTTTGAATAGCTTCGCCTTCTCTACTATCTTTTTGCCCTTCTTCGACGGCGCCATCCGACGCAATCGAAGCAACTTCATCATCCTCCGGGCCGGCATCTTCCTGCACGCTCCCACGTTTGGCTGGTGAAGGATGGCGTCAAGCACGCACGTTGAGCTTGACCTGCTTACCAGCCTGCCATCTTTAAAGACTCACCGTCGTTCTTGCTTGGTAGTTTTCGGACACGCTTGCGATCGCCATCCCACACAAAGCACTCGATCTGCAATACGCTGCATCGGTGACACCTCTTGGCAGCCGGCACTGGCTTATCCTTGCTGCTCTCGACGTAAATATCCGGCAACTCGCACCTGGTCTTCTTTTGTCTGCACGATAAACACGATCTTCTGGCATACGTTCGATGGGGTCGCTTAGTGGAGCCAGATGCTCCGGTTTGCGCATTATCAGCGCGGATGACACTGCCAGAAGGATCAGAAGAGGATGAGGATGGATCTGCTGACCCCTGCATTGGATTCGGTGCTGGTCGAAAAGCCATAGCGGCTAAGATTGGCCTTTTCAGCGGCCTCGAGCAGGACAGATAGCTGTCGAGACTGTCGTTGCAAGTTGAAATTGGTAAGGTAATCACCAACGTAAGCAGGAAGGGGCGGCACACTCAACTCTTAACTGTGTGACTCTCAAACCTGAATCTTGACTCGTGACTGTGCAGCTTAGCGGAGCTCGAGTCACAAGTGTCCAAGAAATGCACGCATACATGCACAGTGAGCACTTACGCCCGAGGTGAGGCGCTGCACGTGCTGCATGACAGCAACCGCGTCGCCGCTGCTGATGCAGGCACAATCGACTCGTCGATTCTGATTGCGATCGTAAATGCTGAGCACGTCTAACGCAAGCCAGAAGGGCCGTCGATGCACCCACCGCTGTAGCTCGTACCTGTGAGCGTCGCAAGCTGTGCTCAAGTTCACATACACAGCAGTCGCGAGTCTTTATTGCGATCGCTGAGCCGGGAAGCCCCGCAGAGCTACACCAACAGTCGCACACTTTTAATCACGAGACCATCGAGCCGCTGCGCGCTGACCGAGGACACTGTGACTAGCATCGAAGTGATTCGCCCTCGCCTGCCTTTCGGGGCGCACGGATTTTGTGCATTGGCAGGCAGGCGGTCGTGGGTCCGAATCCGCTTGGACTCCAGCTGAGAGCCAAGCGTGCGAGTGAGGCCAGCTCGCATTACAGAAGAGCTTCTCATACATGTGCGTCCCAGACGTGCTAGTCAGGAGCGAAAGGCTCAGATCGTATTGCGCAGAGTATCGTGAGCTCTCGAGCTCGTGGAGGGGGCAGCGAAAGGGGGGATGAGAGAGTATCGTGCTTTGACTCAAAAATGCGACGAGCTAAATCGCAGCGCTTATGGCAGGACGAAACGTAGATTTGCTCGTGGAACTTTTTGTCGCGGGTACTGATGAAGGCCGTGCGTGCGCCCATCGACTTTCAACGTTGAAGCCGTACTTGCCACCGTCGGCTTGGGCTCAAATTGAGCGTGATCGGCAGCCTTGTTGACTCCTTTGTTAAGTTTCTAGGCTCATTCATCTGCATCGCCATCGTCACCCTCGTGGGCCTTGTAAAATGCCCTCAAAGCCTCCTCTGCTTCCTTGTACTGCACTTTGACCTCCTTAAGAGTAGCAGTCAATTTCTCCAAAGCGACTTCTTCCGTAATCTCCGTCGCACCGTCAGGCTCAACTTGCTTGCCATAGTGCTGCATGTTTTCGCAGGAGTCGCGTACTTTCGACACGCCGACTGCTGCAGATGATCCCTTCAAGAAGTGACCCAAGGTGGAAAGCTCGAGCAGGCTCTTTTCCTCGCTACGGGGGAGACAAAGCAGGAGAGGTGAGTGGTCAGCTGTCTCAGCACATCAGAGTCGAGAAGTAACGTGCTTCGCTTCGCTTGTCCATTGGCACCTGAACAACAGCTACATCGTGACGACTTACAGTGCCTTGTCCATCTTGACAAATGTAGCCGCAGCCTGATCAAAGTAATTCCAGACGATTTCCCGAGAGAATTCCCTATCGTCCTCATCGTCGTCCATCTCGAGCAGTTGGCTGAAGATGTCCATGTCTATGATTTCTGGGTTGATTGAGTCGCCCACATCTGCGCCGCCGCCCGGAGGTGAGGAAGGCGGAGAAGAGGTGGATGCAGCCTGAGAAGCGGGGGAAGACATATCGGGCAAGACGTGAGGTCAGGTGGTCTTGTTTGGAGGCTTGGTGAGAGGAAGACACGAGTGCTCGAGATATTGCCGCTTTTGTAGCCTGGCACGAGCCATGCAGAGCTCGTGATCACTCGACGTCAGGCGCGAGGCTTGGTCACGCCAGTCCCATACTCCTAACGCCGAGGGTCCCTCATTGCGCCTGCAGCGCCTCCCGAGCAGCAAGTGTTCGCCTGAAGCTCAGCAAGCGGAAGAAAAGCGGGCGGCGCAACGACGTTTCGGCCCTAAAGCATGTCAGACGACGATCGTGTAGTGCAGCTCGAGGGATGGTGATGTGCGCCCTCGTTCCGCCACGTGTTTGTGGTGATCCTCTAATAATGGCATGCCCAGGCGCAGCCATCAAAGGGCTGATGCGCAGTCAATTGCACTGACTCAATCCACACGTGGTGGCAGCAGCAATCTGTTGCACGTTGGTCAACACCCGCCCACCTCGATCGTCGTCGCCTAGCTGAAGCTCCCCTTCCTTCTCTCTCTCTCTCCCTCCCGCCCCCCTTTCCTGGTCCAAAAATGACGCCATCCAGCTAGCATTGTCCGAAGCAGCTCGACAGCATGAGCAAGCCCGTCTCGAAGGCTGCTACTCAGCTCGATCTCGCCAAAGTAGCAAACCCCTTTTTGAGTGATCCCTAACAGTGATCGAGAGCCGCCGCTCTCGGATCGGTCATCGGTCGACTACCCGCGGATCCGACGCCGTTTTGGAGGTCCTGATGCTCATTTGTTTCGGCTGCCCACGTCCACCAAGCATGCTGCAGCCTCGCTGATGAGCATGTCATTCAAGCGGTGCAGCCCACGTGCCAACCCCAAATCTCTACGCCAAGCGAGCGTGAGAGCAGCTCTTGCTGCGCTGAACCCTCTCACAGTAGCTAGACCGAGCAGAGCAAGTAGGAAGCCCCCCCCCCATTCGAAGCGCCAAGTGTATGAGCCAATTCGTTTCAGCTCAGTACTACACTTACATTGGCGTCTGTCATGGTGAGACGATTGGTATTGCTCGGCGCGCGGTCGGAGCTAGAACGGAGAGTTGGAAGCTTTTTTGCTCGTGAGACGTTTGGCCGCGACTGAGTTGACTATATTGCCGTGCTTCCTCGCGATGATGCGAAGAGCCGCGGGTCTTGGTGACGAATCACGAGTGTCGATGGTGAAGGGACGATGGGGCGAGACGGCCTGTTGTCTCGTAATTGATCAAGGTGCTTGCTTGATGATGGTGGTGCTGATATACGGCAATCTCATCAGTCCTTTCCGAGCGCGGGGACCAGTCTCGAGAAGTTTGCAGAAGCCAGCCACCCATATCACAAGCATACATGTTGCTGGCCTGCGCGCTCGCACATCTCACCTTCGCAGCCACGCACGCGCCACCGCCGCGCAGCTCGATCGCGTCGACGTCACTTGGATTGCGCGCCTGTCATGCATCAGTGGCATTGAGCGGCACATCATCATGGTATATGCAGCACATGCGCAGCTCTGCGCAATAGCAAGCCACAACGACAATCGGAGCTTGACTCGAGAAATAGAGTAGGCGTGAATCAAATCTTGAATCACGAATGTTCTTAATTCGACCAGATGCTGCTGTGAGCTCCCCCAATCAAGCCTATACAAACGTACGTGTTGCTGCAGATGCTGCATGTGGAGTCTCGATTGTGCATCGCGGGGCTGCTTGACCGAGCACCCATGCTCTCATTTCGGATCACATTCGTGTTTCACAGCATTCGTGGTTGTGATGACAATTTCTAGGTACACAAGACTCGTGACTGCATGCAGCCATCCAAGCTGACTCTACTTCCTGACCCGTGTAGTGGAGCCAGTATCGGAGTATAGTACGCGCGAACCGCGGGTTGCGCTGGCCGAACCGTGTCGGTGCGGCTCGGAGCTCATCCGATTGGACTCTACGAAGACTAAGAAAGTCCATTCACTGATTGTGTATCATACGGGTCTTCTGATGATGGAAGACCAAGCTTGAAAATCGAGAAGGTCCCTCATCTGTGCGACCCGCGCGGGTCAGCTCTCGAGAACCAGATACCTTGGATCAATCGCAGTTGAGTGTTGCAGCTATCGCTGCTTATTGCGAGGAGCGGTCGAGGTGTATGGCCGAACAAGTTGGGGAGCGAACCAAGGAGCTCTGCTTGCTGTGCGAGAGTTCAAGCATGTCAGCAGTGACGTGAACGAGAAACAGTTTGGAGATTTGCAAATAGTCAGTAGGGATTTTAATTGCAAGAGCTACATTGGCGTTGATGACTTGGTTGATCCACAGCTGCGAAGCGCCGGCACCTCGTGTTGCGCATATCCGAGAGCCGAAAGCCATTCAGTTGGCCGCCAGGCCAGGTCGACCACTAAGTCACGAGTGACTTCAGTTGGGACTGATGACGGTATCGAGGAATCGAAATATGGCAATGATGATGTGTTTACCACTTTCGCCATGCGCCATTCGTGATTCCATGTCAGTCACACTTAGGATCGCAGGCGCTGCTTGCGAAGATCCAGAATTACCCTGCGGCTTGCCTCACGTGATATTGATCTGTGCATGAGTTGGGCCCTCCACTCACAGCATGTGCGCGCGTTGACGTCACCCACGCAAGCGTTTGATGCAGCCAGATCAAACCAGCAAGGCAGGCAAAGGAGCTTCCCCCCTCCCTTGAGCTTGTCGTGCGACAGGAACAGCTCTTGACTTACATTACTTTCATCACGCATTCGCGATCCGACACACGACCCAATTGACGACACCTTCCATTTCCAACAGCACCCTCGAACGACTCATTGAAGATGCCTTGGCAAAAGACTTTTACGCTCGCTTCAAGAGGCAAAGGCTGCCACTTGGTCACCTCGGAGGTGGTCAAACAGATCGATGAGGGTCTCAGGAAGACGGACGTAGGGATCTTGAATTTGTTGTGAGTGTTGGCGCAGCGAGAAAGCATGAGGAAGCAGGATGTCAAATGGCAAGAACTACAGGTAGTAGTCAAAGGCACACTTTAGAGCTTGAGGGACCAGGCTTCCAGCGGTCCTCCTGGAGCGGATGTTCCAAGTGAAAGGGCTCGGATGAGAATCACATATGCGGGCGGACTCCGAAGGCAGGCAGACCAGCCTGCTTAGGAAGAGGGGGTGGGGGAGGTGTATAGGGGGAGAGGGGCGCTTCGGCGCGTGCTTGCAGCGCCGCCAACAGCCGCCAGAGCGCCAACCATCGATCATGAAAGGACCTTCACACGAGCGGTGGTAGCCGGCTCTGGGTAAGGAAGAATCAAGTCAGGGGGTCAAGGGATGATCCTACAGAATGCTGTTGTCGCTCCACGAATGCAACAAGACTTGGTCCTGATGCATCGCTTCGCTTTCCCGTCTTTACAGCATCCAGCACACTTCTGCCGGCTTGTCTCTGAACGAGAACTTTGATTCAGACGTTCGAAAGGACATGGAGATGGTGTTTGTGAGTAACCAACACCTCTTTGTGCTCAGTCACTTGTGGCTCAAGGCTCAAGGCTGGCAAGCGCTTCCATTTTCGACTTCAGGACCACCTTGTGCCCCAATCCTTGCCGTACAGGCACACTGACGAGGGACCGGATGACTCGCAATCGCACAGTCAGTCGGTTCTTGCAGGTAGCAGCATCTCCATTCCGATCTCGCACGGCAAGCTTGCCACGGGTACTTGGCAGGGCATCTATCTAATGGAGTTCAGAGCTGCAAAGCACAGCAGAAACATTGTGGCTACCATCATTCCATGAGGTCACATTGGTCCAATCAAGTAATCTGATGCTTCCTAGGTTGCTTGTTCGCACGCTGATGTTCGAAGAGAGCGACCTCACGCTCCACATCGTCACGGTTCCGGTCGCGTCTCGTGTCGCATCGCGTAGTCGTGAGTTCGATTTCTCTGCTGCCCGATCTCGTCTTTCTGCCAGCTTGAGCGAGGCCGCGTCTGCGAATTGTGATTGTATCACGTACACTCGCCACCCTTCAAATCGGGTTAGGCGCCCGCCCATTATCTGCAGGAACCAGCTACCCGAGGTCTCTCAAGGGAGAAGTCTGAAAGCGACAAGATGGGCTCACCGCCCACGGCATCTTTAACAATGCTCTTGCATTGATTGCCTGGGATTCTCGCGACCTGTACGAAGGCGTCTTTGTTCCGCTCGATGAAGCTGTCCTTACTGCGCAGCAATACTTCCCTCCAGACTCAGTCAACATTTGTGTCTGTACACCTGTCGCTTGCTTCAATGAGGATGCGAACGCCAGCTTGCCTGCCGCTAGCAGCTCTGGGGCTGGCCAACGATCGCACGTTCCATGAGCGCCAAAAGCACGATTGATGCGACTTTGCGACGGAGCTGCAGTCGTGAGTCTAGGGCGTCAAGCACAGCGTGTCTACATGCATGCTCCTAGTCAGCAAGTCGTGTCGCAAAAGTTGCGTAATCTCGTCGAGACTTCCTTACGACTCACTGTGCTCTGCGAAGCTCGCTGCGATGCAGTGGTGCAGCATATCTTTCAATTCGATAGTCAGCAAGGCGGCCCTGAGCGGGTGCTTGCTGCTTGGGCGATTGGGGCATGCCACGGCTAGAGTACGTCCACCTGGCAGTCAGTATACGTTATATTATCTGAAGCAGACATCAGCCTGCCCGTCCTCAACAGCGGTCACGAACGCTTGGTTGCAACTTGCGTAGTCCGCTCACACTCGTGACCCGTGACTCGCCTTGACCTGCACTCAAGACCTATACGTGACCATCAAGAAACGTACCGCGCTCACGTTTTTGCGAGCGAGCACCCGAAAATGCAAGAGTCGGCTATCACACATAATCCCGCATCTAATTGCTGGATGGGGATTGGAACATATCCCCGAAGAGCGGTCGCTACGCCTTGCTCGGCCCCTCGGTGGTTACATGTATACTGCGGGCGCAGCATGCGAGCCTTACGAAGCCTCTATACACACGATTTTACCAACTCTATTCGACTGTGCATGTAATGATGTTGGCCCATCTTTGCGCCATGCAGAATTTGAACTCGAGTGTGAGTGGGAGCGTTGACTCTAGTTCTGTCTCGCACATCTCGATTAGGCTGACCCTTGCGGAGATCTCACCCGATCCAGAGCCTCTGCGGATGAAAGGAATCGTCGAGTCGTAAGTGTTGAGCTCAATCGCCAAAGAGCGAGTGATTCAAGATTCGCATGCCACATCGATTGGAGTGACCCAAGCGTGGACCGGGCGTTGCGTGCTGTCATTCGGCGCCTTGCTGCAGTTGGCGCATTCAGCCACCTTAGCGCGTCCGAAATGCGCCCAACAGCATGAGAGGACGCGATGGTTAAACACCGACGCGTGCTATTTTACATCCGCGCTTTGGACAGGCGCGCACTTCCGACGAGCCCTGCTCATGCTTCTCTGATGATGCCCACATACCTGATTGTAATCGCAAATTGCTTTCTTCGTAATGCTCGCCTCGCCGTCAGCGAGAGCAAAATTTTTCAAGTGAGGTGCTACGAGGTACAAGGTTCTGGACCTGCATATACGCCAGGCACCCTTGCGCGACAAGTCCTTGGCGCCTGACGCCCAGCAGCTGCAAGCTATGGGCTGTTGGAAAGGCTCAGCAGCACGTATGCATACATTCTTGAGAACGCCTGCTGGTCGATCATGAATGCCCATTACTCACACTGCTCCCTATTCCACCAAGCTGTGACATCATGGCGGACAGACGCAAAGTCATACAAGATTGACTAAGCTATTTCTGGGACAGGCTTATGCGGCATTCACTATTGGCGTCTTCGTGCATCGATGACAGCAGCGCCGATGCGCTCTTTACTTTCTCACGCTTTCTGTCGCTGGAACGCCGGACCCGCCATAGATCAAGCAATGGCAGAGTGCGAGACGAGGCAGTGGTCTGTCATCGACCGAGGGAAGCATGAAAGGAAGCTGCGAAATATATAAGGAGCACCCAAGTAGACTGCATCCCGGAACTCTCCTCTTCACCTTCCGCCTCGCATTGTCTCGTTTCATTCTGGTCCGATCCGGCATCGCAGTGACCCCGCTCCCGCAGTCAAGTCTCTACTCTCGTACATTCAAACGCCAGGAGCGTTCTCACTACAGCACAGCATCGTCACCACGCTCACATAGCATCCAGCTTTCACGACTCTTGCGTTCTCGTCCCTACTCATCTCATCCGTCCGCTTGTCTTATCCATTCTGCTACCTTGACGGTACACCGCATCCATTCCCGACAACGACCCCCTCGACCTGACCATTCACATCATGAAGTTCACTCTGCCTCTCCTCACCGTGGTTCTCATTGCCACCAACGCTGTCGCAGCGCCCATTCCTGGTTACGGTCGACGTGCATCCGACAATGCATCCAACAACAACGTTCTCGTTTCCGGTCCTACGGTGGATGGTGAGTTCTGCATGAGTAACGGGTGGATGTGATACAGGCGATGCTGACGATCTGCATGTCGTTTCGCTCGCAGCACAAGGCAAGACTCACGATGGCACCATCACCAAGTCCGACAAGACTGCCATTGTCGGCGCTTCCAACGACTTGACTGGCGCTCAAGGCCAGGTCATCAACGCTCGTGAATACATGCCCTTTCACGGCGACCGCACTCGCGAATCAATTCATCGTCCGCGCAGCGTAGCGGAGCAAGCGTACATCATGTACGAGCGCAGAAGCTCCTACAGCGTGCAAGGCCGCGGTATCGACGTCGTCGGCGCCAAAGTCAATGCGGATGGATCTGTTGAAGAGGGCAAGATCGTCGACAATGGTCTCGATCACGACAACGTCATTGGCAGCAAAAACGAACAGAGTGCGGCTGCTGGCTCGCCTGTAAGCACCCATTACCGCCGCGGCACCAGCGTGGTCGGACCCAAGGTCCACGCCGACGGATCCATTGAAGATGGCAAGATCGAAGAGAACGGTCTCGACCACGACGACGTGATTGATAGCAAAAACGAGATGCAAGAGAATGCTGCTGCTGGCGCGCCCGTACCTGGTCAGTATCGCCGCGGCACCAGCGTAGTCGGACCCAAAGTGCACGCCGACGGTTCGATCGAGGCAGGCCAAGTGGGAGAGAATGGTCTGGACCACGATGAAGTGGTGGGTGCCGAGGACCATGTTCAACACGAAGCTGCTCAGCGAAGAGGCACATTGGTCAAAGGCCCAGTGATCGATGCTGATGGCACGGTGCACGAAGGCAAGGTGGTGCAGATCGATGGACCGGACCGCGTCGAGCCTGCAGAGGATCACAGAACTGGACCTACCGGCGCGAGCGCGCCTCCTCCCTCTACACCTCCTCCACCTCCTCCCTCTACAAACGCCGCCGACACGACGACGCCCAAGAAGAAAGTCAAATCCAACATCAAGGACACAGTTCACGTCAGCAACCACGACCAGACAACCAATCACTCCGAGACGGTCACTAATGATGGTGCGAATGTAGACAAGGGCGAAGATGCGGGCGAATCGACTCAGCTCGCTGCTCGTCGCCAACAGCTCGAGTAAGATGATTGTCCCCCTCCTTCAGGCCATAGAGATGAGAGACTCTTTCGTGTGCTCGCAGGCACGAGCCACGAGCAATCCCTAACGACTGCGACGGCAATGGAACGAGCCTTTTGCTTGACAATCGAGTGTTGTGTGGTCCGTGGCGCTCTCACGCTCGAACTTGTAGAGACAATGTCCCTGTGCATTCAGACAGTGTGCCATCGCACGCAGGTCGGTTTGAGCGCGTAAGGTGGTATCGATTGATGAAGTGTGGGCATATTGTATTGGATCGTATCCAAGCCCTTGACAAGGCTCGATGTTCTACTCTTGCTTGGCGAGCTCTTGCCTCCTGTTGGTGGCCATGTGGCTCGTTGCTCTCTTTTTCGAACTTCGTCGCAAGAACGCCGTCGGATCAATCCCGCATCCCACGCCGACTTCTACCTGGCGCGCGACGGCCCAAACCCAGATGAGTCCAAAGAGGGGTGTGCAGAGGAGCACGTTGAGGACCGGATGAATGTCAGGATACCTATCATAGACGTGCGCAGCCAAGCCTGGCGCAAGTGCAGGTAGCAACACTTCGACGAGGTGCAAAGCGAGGATAGCAGCATGAGCCATAGCGCTCGTCCACCCGACAAGTGATTTGCGTCGGCTTTGCAAGGCCAAAAAGGGATTGTAGCCCGCGGACCAATTCCACAAAAAGTTGAGGACGAGGTATTGGAGCGTCAATCCATCCCTTTGCAAGAGGGGCCACATGCTAAACACTGCCACGTTGTTCCCCAGCATGGCCCACTCAAAGTCCGTCTTGCCACCTCCGCCGCCCCACTCATCGCCCTTGACGGTGATGAGCAGCGAAAGCGGCACAAGAGGCAAAAGGATGCTCTTTTCGTGCGTCTGAAAGCCAAGCAGAAAGAAGGCCAAGGAAGTGTTGAGGAGGGCGTAGGGCAAAACGCTAGCTGCTGGCGAAGGCGTGTTGCTCGCCACTTCTTGATCGCCCACAGTCGTCAGTTTCGAGCTTCCAAACAGGCTGCCCGTATTGCTCATGGCGCCAGATATGCTGGGAGCGACACCACCTTCGGAGGCTCCCGCTTCAGATCGAGCAGGAGCACCCGGCACGCTCAGTATGGATCTTGTCCTGTCCCTGCGTTCCGAACGGCCCGCGCTCCTTCCACCTGCGCTGCGTCCCATCACCGACCCCTCTCCTCTCTGCCTAGCCAATTTTTCCCTTGCAGCTTTCGCCCCTTTTCCTTCGTTGAGAAACATCTCGATGGTCACAGTCTGGCTGGCGGCGACGTACAAGTGGGCGCATGGAGCCAAGATTGCCAGTAGCGTCGCGATGAGGCTGACCTTGGCCAAGCTGGATACTTCAAAGAGGTTGCGGAGCTTGTATCGCTGGGGAAGAGGCAGCACGCTCAAGAAGCACCAGACGTTGCTGACCTTGTCCTCAAAGATGCCCCGTGCTAGTGGGAAAATGCGATGAATGACTTGGAAAAGCGCCGAGGGACTGTAGAGCCATGGTGAGAACAGCACCAGAGTGGTGATTAGGGTCACGGCGCCGATGCCGGTAAAGCAGATCAGGCTAGAGTGGCGAGCAATGAATAATAAATCTCCTGAAAGTGGGCATTCGCACGACACTGACGATCACTCACCCCCTCTCAAAGCCAACGCGCGCAAGTCCAGCGCAACGCCCGAGCATGATGGCGAAGACGGCAGGCGCAAAGTAGAGTGCCATCTGCTTGAAGCACAGAGCCAAGGTAAAGAAGAAGGCAGCGAGCACATAATCGTAGCTGACTCTGCGGCTTAAATTGCGCGTCCTCGTTTGCCACTCCGTCTGTTGCGCCAGGGCTGTCTCGGTGCTCGGGTCAGACGCTGAGGCGACGGGTGCGGAAAAGAACGGCAGGTCCGGATTCGGCAGGCTGGAGTAGAGCAGAGAAAAGGCGCCTACGCAAAAGCCCAGCATAACGCTGTTGTATTGGAAGTGCCCATGGTCGATGAGAACCAGACTAGGCTGCAGCAGAATAGTCATCGCCGCGATGGAACGCGTGCGCCTGCCTCGTCCGTGCAGCCGCCTGGACAGGAAGAAGAGCACAGCTGGAATATATACGAGCGCGTCAAAGAAGAGCACGGTGGCTCTCAGGTACGTGACCAGGCTTCGATTTTCCGCGCCTCGCGAGGTCACAAAGGCAAAGCACTGCGAAAGGCCAGGGATGCGAGATCCGCTATAGAGTGGCACTACGGTGTCAGCCTCGGCACAACGCAAGGAGAGCGTGCGCTCTCGACACTCACATCCAGCCGCACACCAGACTGACGTACGCAGTCAGCGGAGGATAGTCCAAGCCCCAGTACTGCAAGTCGTACTCGTACCACTTGTGCACAGGCACGTGCAAAGTGAGTTCCATCCAGTGTCTCTGAGCTTCCAAGTCGCCGTACATGGGACTGATCCCTTTGCCTGCGAGTCGAGCAAAAGTCAGCCTCGTTGGTGTCCGTGCGCCGACATACTTGGGAACCCGACCACAGCTCACCGCTCCAACCTGCGAGGCCCACAGCCCAGCGAATCCACACAGCCGACAAGAGCACGACGATCCAAGTACCTCTTTCTCCCGCGCCTGCAGAAATGCCCTCGCTCTCCCTAGCCATCCACCTGACCCACCTCCGGAGCGGACTATCGTTGTCCTTTGCCGACTTCGAGCTGCTACCAATTTTGTGCAGACCCGCACTTCTTCGATTTGGCGCAGAGCTGCCCATCGGGAGAGGAGCGAAACTGGTGCGCGAGGTGGATGATTTGGCCGGTGTCAAGTCGGCAGCGGTTGAGGGGGTTCTGAGAATCGCGCTAGAGCTGGGCGTGATGCCCGTGCCAGCCAACGTGTCCAGAGCCACTGCCGATTCTTTCCTGCGCGGATATTCTCGACCCACAGACCGACTGCCAGTGCTCCTGCCATCATGGCTATCTTCCCTCCTTCGGGGAGGTTTGGGCGTCTTTTCTCCTTCTCCTTCTGCCTCTTTCCCGGGCTGAACGTCGAGGTCCGCCTCTTCCCAATCGGGCAGTCGCCTGGTGCCCTCATTCTGCTTTGCTCTTCGACGAGCTCCGCTGCCTTGACCTCGAGCGCCAGAGGACCAAGCGCCAACACTGTACGCTGCATCCGAGCCCGCATCGGATGAGGGACCTCTGCGGGTGATGCGACCTGCAGGAGCGCCCGATAAGTGTTCGCCAGCGCCGGAAGACGATGGGGCATGCACTGCTTGGGATCGTAGCCAAGTTTCCAAGCCTCCCGATGCAGGCGCAACGGGCGAGACGGGCGAGGGCAAAGCGAATGGATCATCTGCTGTATGTTGAGGACCCGAGTGACCTGCTATGGCATCCCTTGTGTTCCCACCCGTTCCAGATCCGCCGACGTACGCTGCACCTCGCCTCTTGCTGCTCGATCGATTCTTGCTAGTGAAACCAGATCCGTTCAGATTGGGCAAGGCACCAGGAGCAACGCTGCTGCCCACGCTCGACACGCTATCGTATCTTCTACGATTGGCGGGCGGCAAAGGAGCCAAAGCATCCGCATCGTCTTCCACCTCGTACCGCGGTGCTGCTGCTGCTGCTGCTCTGTGAGAGTCCGCAACACGATCAAGCGGATGAACAGGCAGGCCGCTATCGCGCCCTCGTCCACCGCTGCTTGAGCTGTGATTGGCAGGGAAGCTCAAGCTCGTTGGATCGCCTGCCGTCGCTGTGGATCGCTGAGGCCGATGTCGCGAATTTCTATCTCGTGCTTGAATGGGTGAGACTGAACGTCCATCGCGAGCCAGAGCGTCGGAGCCCGACCTGCGATGACCTGGAGGTGTGCTGCGTGTTGCACCTTCGGCTGATCCGCGTTGGCTCAGACGATGCAGCGTTGTTGGTGAGGTGGACCTCTGCATCGCTGCTTCTTCAGTCGGAAAACGATCCATGATCAGCGGCGACCGAGATGGGTGTCTGTCGAAGCGAGGTGGCTGTATCACTCGGCGCTGAGGAGCGTGATGCGCGTGCAGTCAAAGCCGTGCGTGTGAATGTTGGGTGGGATCAGCGTTTGTCCCAACAAGCTCTTGTTTGCTTCGAATGTGCCACGCACACTCTGGCTGCTAGCCATAACAAGTGCGAAGGTGAGTGTAGTGAGAGCTTGCGGGGATGAAGTACGCTACTCCATGCTTGCTGCTCCGAGTGCAGTGTGAGTGATGACCCTCATTTCGCTCAACCTCAGCCGCGAATTGGAAGAGACCGATTTCCGATCCGTGTGCGGAGAAGTCCGAAAGTCTTGCTCGCGATGCATTCGTGATTTCTGTCAAACGCGATCGAGTGCGTGTGTCGGGTGCCCGTGCGTGCGTGCGTGCGTGCGTGCTGGCGTGCCGTGCGGGCTTGAGTGTGCGTGAATCCGGGGTGCGTGCAACCATCATCGGCATGCACGACACCACGTGGCTCGACGCGGAGCTTCTCTTGCCGCGCTGGTGGTGAAGCAAGACGCGTCGGGCTGAGCGACGCGTAAATCGTTGCAAAGCACACGCACAGCAGTTGGGCACACGCGCACGCTAGGTAGGACCCTCTCCTGGGCACGCATCCGCTCCAATCACAGGCACAACAGTCAATCGAGAAGGCAAGCGCGGCGCGGCGCGGATTGCACATTCACCATTGTCATTGGACTTATCGCACCCTGACAAGCTCGCACTCTCCGCGACTTGCTTCCGCTCAGACTACACTCTCACCTCCGTCACTAGCGAGTGCCGCGCGCGCAAACAGCATCTCCACTCGTTGGTCAATTCGTCCAGCTTCCACCTTCGCGATGGCCTCTGTAGCGACAACTCGGGCTGCATTGCCTCCTTCTCCCGCCGCGCAGCACAAGCGTCGAAGAGTGGAAGGCGCTGCTGGTGCGATGGTGGTGAACAAAAAGGGCGCAGGAGGAGCCAAGTCAGGTGCGAAATCCTTTGTAGAGACCTTAGAGAAGCTGCGTGATGAAGCGGAACAGGTGGCGATGGAAGAGGCGGGATCGGAGGAGGACAAGTGGGCTCGACCAGCTTTGCAGCCGCTGGATACCAAGAGGGATGGCATAACATTTCAGCAGATCGACATTGAAGAGTATCAAGCGCCCAATCAGGCTCCCCTCATCCGAATCTATGGAGTCACTGCTGCTGGCCACTCGGTCCTCGCTCACGTATCCGGATTCCTGCCTTACTTTTACATCCACGCACCGCGGGGTTTTCAACAGAGCGATTGCAGCTCCTTCGCCAATCACCTCAACTCGCTCTTTGGCGCAAGGAGCGTGACGCGTGTGGAGATGGTGGCGAAAAAGAGTCTGATGAACTATTTGGGCGATCAAGACGTCGCCTTTCTCAAGATCACCACTGGCGATATTCGCAATCTCGGCAAAGTCAGGGGAAGTCTGGAGCGGGGAGAAGTGTCGTTCAGGGATCTGATGTCGTCGGGGGATGCGCAGGTCAGCTACGAAAACATCGCTTACTCGCTGCGCTTCATGATCGATCACAAGATTGTGGGCATGAACTGGTTGACCATTCAACCCGAAGGCTACACGGTCCGATCAGACAATGACAAGCTGTCCCGCTGTCAGATCGAGGTCAATTGCTCCTCCGAAAGCTTAGTTTCGCATGCACCAGACGACGAGTGGGCGGACATCGCCCCGCTGCGCATCCTCAGCTTCGACATTGAGTGCGCAGGAAGAAAAGGCGTCTTTCCGGAAGCCGAGGTCGACCCGGTGATCCAGATTGCCAGCATGGTCACCCGTCAAGGCGAGACGGCGCCCTTTATCAAGAACGTCTTTACCCTCAACACTTGCTCCCCCATCGTGGGCACGCACGTCAAGGACTTTCAAAGCGAAAAGGACATGCTGGAAGCTTGGGCGGACTTTGTGCAGGTCGTCGATCCGGACGTCGTCATTGGGTACAACATTGCCAACTTTGACTTTCCCTATCTCCTCGATCGAGCCAAAGCGCTCAAAGCTACGAAGTTTCCTTATCTGGGCAGAGAGCGGTGTGAGTTCTGTGCACGCTGTCAAAAATGTTCTTCTGCTCATCCAAATCGCGGTGCACCACCACTGCCACAGTGACACGTACCGAGGCCAAGGACACGCACTTTTCATCCAAAGCTTACGGCACCCGAGATTCAAAGAATACAGAGTTGCAAGGCAGGCTTCAGTTGGACATGCTTCAGGTCATGCAGCGAGACTACAAGCTGCGCTCCTACTCGCTCAATTCCGTCTCGTTTGAGTTCCTGGGAGAACAAAAGGAGGATGTACACTTTTCGCTCATTACGGAGCTTCAAAATGGAGGGCCTGAGGCTCGTCGAAGATTAGCAGTATACTGCTTGAAAGACGCTTATCTGCCGCAACGACTTATGGACAAGCTTATGTGCTTTATCAACTATATTGAGATGTCTCGCGTAACGGGCGTGCCCTTCAACTACCTCTTGGCAAGAGGTCAACAGATCAAGGTGGTCTCGCAGCTGTTCAGAAAGGCCCGCGAAGACAATTACTTGGTGCCTTCGCTGAAGTCTGAAGGTACAGACGATCAGTACGAGGGAGCGACCGTGCTGGAGCCCAAGCAAGGTTACTACGATTCGCCTATCACCACTTTGGATTTTGCCTCGCTTTATCCTTCCATCATGATGGCGCACAACTTGTGCTACACTACGCTGCTCACCCGAACGACGATCGAGCGATTGAAGCTTGTCAAGGACAAGGATTACGTGCTGACGCCCAACAATAACACGTTTGTCAAGCCAGATGTTCGAAAGGGGCTTTTGCCCACTGTGCTGGAGGACCTGTTGGCCGCTCGTAAGCGAGCCAAAGCGGATCTGAAAAAGGAGACGGATCCCTTCAAACGTGCCGTGCTGGACGGAAGGCAGCTGGCACTCAAAATTAGCGCCAACTCTGTCTATGGTTTCACAGGTGCAACGGTGGGCAAACTGCCATGCTTGGAGATCAGCATGAGCGTCACGGCGTACGGTAGGCAGATGATTGAGCAGACCAAGACGCAGGTAGAGTCGCACTACTCCATCGCCAATGGCTTCGAGCACGATGCAGAAGTCGTCTATGGTGATACCGACTCGGTCATGGTCAAGTTTGGCACGCCAGACTTGAAGAGGGCCATGGAGCTGGGAGCGGATGCGGCTGCAAGAGTATCCACCACGTTTACTAAGCCCATCAAGTTGGAATTCGAGAAAGTCTACTTTCCTTATCTGCTCATCTCCAAGAAGAGGTATGCAGGTCTGTACTGGACCAATCCGGACAAGTGGGACAAGATGGACACGAAGGGCATCGAGGTGAGTCTACACCAACGCCTCCTGCCGCTCGTTGGACGCGCATTTACGCATTCCTCTTGTTGGCGCTCCCCAGACCGTCCGCAGAGATAATTGTCGCTTGGTGCGCATGGTCATTGATACTTGTCTGCGCAAGATGCTCATCGACCGCGACGTCAGGGGAGCAGAAGAGTAAGTGCAGCGCGTTGGCCGGCGGCCGTGTTGCGTCGTGACTTATACCTATCCTGGCACACGCTGTCTGGAACATCAGCTTCGTCAAGCAAGTGATTTCCGATTTGCTGCAGAACAAGATCGACCTGTCTCAGCTAGTGATCACCAAGGCGCTTGCCAAGGCGGACTACGCAGCCAAGCAAGCTCACGTAGAGTTGGCAGAGAGGATGCGAAAGAGGGATGCTGGGTCTGCGCCGGCGCTCGGCGACCGTGTCGCCTACGTCATCGTCAAGGGCACAAAGGGCGCTGCTGCGTACGAAAAGTCAGAAGATCCCCTGTACGTGCTCGAACACAACATTCCCATCGATACGAGGTATTACTTGGACAATCAGGTGAGCTGCTTTGCGATCGTCCTGTCGTGCTCGTGATCCATCCGCTGACACGCCGCCTTTGGCCCAACCGATCAGCTGGCAAAACCCTTGATGCGAATCTTTGAACCCATCTCTGGTGCAGGTGCACAGAAGCTGCGTGAGTGTTCATTGTCAACTTGAGCGTGAAGCAGCGCCAAATTCTCACTCGGGCCGCTTGCTTTGCGCAGTCAATGGGTCTCATACGCGCACCGTGCAAGTGGCCACCTCTACCGTAGGCTCGTTGATGAAGTTCGCAGTCAAGACTGCACAATGTCTCGGATGCAGGACTCCTCTGCCTGCAAAGCTCGGGGGTGAGTCTAGAGGTGCTCTGCAGCTGTTGCAATATCTTCCCTGAAGATTCTTTTTGCTATCGTCTTGTCTTCCGGTAAAGATGCCCCGGTCTGCGAACGTTGCAGACCTCGATTGCCCGAGATATATGCTGAAAAGGTGAGGCTGGTCCGAGCCTGCGTAGTCAGTTCGGTCCGAGAGCTGATCGATCCCCTTGCCCTGCCCCCCTTTCGCACCCACATCTCCCAGCTCGCGAGGCAGTCATCCCTCGAAGAAGAGTTCTCTCGACTTTGGACATGCTGTCAACGTTGCAGTGGCACAGTGACGCAGGACGTCCTGTGCAGCAATTCTGGTGAGCAAGAAAAATGCACCCCTCCATATCCTTGTCCTGTCATTCTCGTTCCCACCGTCCGACTCGCACACTGATATCTGATGTCTTGGCGCTCTCTGCATTTGACAGATTGTCCTGCTTTCTACTCGAGAAGAAGAGCGCAAAAGGATGTAGAGGAGGCTTCTAAGGTCATGGCTAGGTTCGACATTTCTTGGTAGACAGATGATCAACGCATACCTTTGGCACGCACGTGTACCGTAGCATTTCCCTTTTCTGCCCCCTCTTTCAATCAAGCAGCGTCCACGCGCGCCTAGAGACCCGTGTTTTCGGCATCGCTGCCTGACTCATAGGCTCGCGCAAAAGTGCGTAATCCAAACTCGCCTTGACAGCACCCATTCATCGTCCCTCGTCGTGTCCTGCTCATTAAAGCAACGCACGCAGAGCGTATCGGTGCAAAGCCAAGATTCTCGATGTAGTTTGTCAGAGAGAGAAAAAAAGGTGGGGCTGAAAAGGGGAGGTCAAACAAAGAGATTTCGTGTGGAATGGACATGGAAGTCGGACTTGGGATTTGGTGCGTTTCGAAGCCTTGTCAAGAGCCAGGGCTGATTGGGAGCGAGGGGGGGGGGGGGAATGCACTTTGGGAATGGGTGAGGAGGAGGAGCAGGGATGGTAAAGGGAGAGCCAAGGTCGTCAATAGGAGCGTGATGTTGGGATGGCTGTGTGCAATGGTAAGAGAGGATCGTGCCGCGTCGTCAAGGCGTGAAGAAGACCAAGATTTTGGAGAGTAAAGGCGTGCCCGAGCGGCCAGTGATCAAGGTCGTCGCCGGGTGACGGAGATGTTTGCGACTGGTGACTCGACTGCAGCTCGTGTTTGCCAGACTGATCCGATTGGGAGACTGACGTCGCTCTAGCAATCATGCTTCACTAGCACCTCCGTCCTTTATTCTGGCCACGTTCCTCCCCGACACAGGCGCAACCGCCCGCACCACTCCAGCTGACCTTGCTCAGATGCCCCTCTACGCTCCCAAGAAAGTAGCCAACCTGGCCCCCTTCCTTCTGCCATTCAGAGGATGGCGCACTTGGTCTTCTTTGAGCCGCTTCTCTTGCTTAGGAGCGCAGCGCGAGTAGCATGCTCAAAGACTTCCCGCACACCCTCTCCCGACTTGGCACTGCACTCGAGGTAACGGGCAGCTCCAATTTTTTGTGCCACAGCCATACCCTGCGCAGAGACGAAGATTCGTCAGCCAAAAGACCAAAAGAGACGACTTGTGCGCAGCGCACTACGCACCTCCTCTGGGCTGACTGGTCGCTGACTAGTCTTGCGGAGCTCCTCGATGATCTTGGGATCACGACGCAGATCCTTTTTGCATCCGACGAGGATGATGGGCAGGTTTTGGCAAAAGTGCAAAACTTCAGAGATCCACTGCAGAATGATCAGTGATGATTTGTGGCGTCAGTCATAGTGCTCTCAACACGGACAGTGTGACTGAAAACTCGCCTTCTCTTGAACGTTGTCCAAAGAGTCGGGACTGTCAACAGCAAAGCAGATCAGGATGACGTGCGAGTCGGGGTAGCTGAGAGGACGCAGACGATCGTAGTCTTCTTGACCAGCGGTATCCCAAAGGGCCAGCTCGACGTGCTTGCCATCCACTTCGACATCCGCAACGTAGTTCTCAAAGACAGTGGGAACGTAGACCTGAAAGATGCGGAAGAGGGTGTAAGAGCTGGAGACCCGCGAGCTGTCGAAGCGCATCCGAAAGAGAAGCCTGCACCAGGGTGATGGCAGCAGTCGCGCGAGCAAGAGAGCATCTTTCCAGTTGGAGCTGATCGCGAGTGACAGCCCGAGGGAGGTCATGATGCCACAGATGGCCGAGCGCTCCGCCTTCCGCTCGGGCGCCTTTGATGTGAATCCTTCGAAGGTGTCGACCCGCTTGCGACTGATGCCATCGCCCCTACAGCTCCCTACGCGATCGCCCAAACATTCTGCTCACCTCTGGGAACGTTCCACGGCTGAAGACGATCAACAAGCAGGTCTGATAGGCATAGTTGAGTAAGAGTTCGAGAGTCAGCGAGATGCGATCAGGGATGACTAGTGTGCTGACATGCCTCTCTGCCAGCTCGATGACTCAAAGTGGAGCAACGCGCCACAACTTACCTTACCGCAGGCACCATCGCCTACAATGACGAGCTTGCGTCGGAGGGAGTCGCCAGAGCTCTGTGTGCGTGGACGTGCAAAGAAGAACGCGCGATCAGTGTGCGCAGTCAAGGCCAAGCTTAGAGTCTCGCATACACACCATCTTGAGTGCCTAGATGGAGTGTGTTGCTTTCGCTGGTGTTGCTGTACGGAAAGTCCTGCTATCGGCAAGGAAAGTTGAATGTACGCGAAGAAAAGACCTTCACGAGTCAGCGCCAATTATCTCGCTTGTGAGACGGTTGCAGTCACCCAGCAAAGGAGGGCGACACTTGTGGTGAGACCAGATACCCCAGATCTGTGAGGCGAGTGGATGTGCTGACTGGTACATAGACAGAGCCATCGCGGCAGCCTCCGGCTGCATCTTATCCCACCGAATCGGTTGATCTGCCCTCGAAATTACCAATCAACCTTGCCTTCTCTTGTCTACCTTTCGTGGGCACGCTACCGCGCATTGATAGAGCGCCAAGGTCCCATCGCGACTCACTCGGAGTAGCAGCGTCAATTTTGCTGATGATGCGTGCTGTCAGGAGGACGTAGTGTGCGCTCGTCGTAGACAATCTCGGAATGGATGCTAAGGTGCAAGGTGAGCGATGTGGAAGTGGGTATGGATGTGAACGTGAATAGCGTTCGAAACGACGACGACGACGACAGACCGCTCGATATGACGCTCCTGCTCGCTTTGGGTTTGCGATTCGTCTTGCTTGAGCGTGGATCAAGCAAGTTCAAACGTGATTTTGAAACCGAACGCCCCAGAGCTGCGCGCGCGCGTGAGCCGTCGCAGCGTGGCAGTGATGAGTGGCGCGGTGTGGGCGCGGGCGTGCGGGCGGAGGGTGCGGCGACAGGTAGGTAATTGGATTGGCTCAAGGCCAGCCAAAGTCACGAGCTGCTGCTGTATGATGCTGAGGCAGTTATCAGCAGCAGCTGTAGCACAAATCACGATGCAGTTGCCCCTGCCTGCCTGCTGATGGCTTGATGCATGCCTTTTGCACCGCACGCGCGCGAGCAGCGCGAATGAATCGCATGCAAATCGAACATCTTGAATGTCAAGCTCGAAAGGGGTGCATCTGCCGCACTTTGAATTCAAAATTTGACGAAAGTCAAGTCGCGAGTCAAACGCGTGTAGAGCGTCCTCTCCTCGTGCGTCTAACTGCCGCTGCTGGTGATGCGCTTAGCCTTGCGAAGCATGCATGCATGAGCTGCCTTGTGACGCTGAGCCTTGGTTCATGAGTTTATAGACGCGCGGGCATCTTGCATCAGGCCTGTTAAGCACTGCATGCTATAGCTATTCAAGATTATTATGGTCGTCGGAGCACCCAACATGCAGCACACGCGCGCGCAGCACGGTACACAGCGCAACCGCGAGCTGATGCTGGCTCAGGAGCAGTCGCAATTGAAGATCATGAAATTTGAAGAGGCAGCATTGATAATGATAATAATCATACGACATGCCTTACATTCTTGATTCACCATTCACATTTTGAATCGCTTGCATGACTTGCGTATGGGGCGCTCGCAAGCCTAGCTCACATCTTGCGCGGACGGTGCACATGCAGGATATATGCGGCGGACGTGAGCTAGGCGCAATCCCGCAGGTCCTCACGCGGTGAGCACCCTATCCACTCAAGCCGTCTGGAATCTGAATTCTTGATTTGAAGCGCTGCTCACTTAATTAGAAGAGAATCTGGTCATTTGATTGGAGTGGAGTCAGAAGAACATCATTCAAATTGCAGCGAATAATGACGATGAATACTCACACAGCCAGGCTACTGTTCATGTTGCCTCGCGTACAGCATCTAGGTCATACATCAGCAGCCATGCGAGAGCTAGAAGGCAAGCTAGACGTATGTCGCGTGGGCGTGTCTCTGCTGCGTCGATGGGACGATACGCGCCATGCCCCAGCGCTCCACTCCGTATTTCGTGCCTCCAGCGGTGGTCACGAGACACTTCAATGCTCAGGGTGTCTCTGTCTGATGTCTCTATAACGAACAATGCCCTCTCCAATACGTGAAGCCTCGAGTCTGGCCATTGCAGCTAAAGTATCAAATCAATCAAGAATTGAGATCCAGAATCTTGAATTTGAATGCGCAACCGCCATTCCCACTCTGGAACACAACGGTCACGTGGTATTCTTGTTGGTTCTTTTCCGTAATCTCGGCCGAAAACGCCGCGCTATAGGCGTGTTCTATGTCTGATGAGACGATTTGGGCCTGTGTCGGCGGTGATATTCCGGATTGAAGGTTCTAAGGCGACATGACATGACTCATGCACGTCGGCTACGAGCTTACCATGATGCTGGATGCCGAGCAATTCAAGCAAAGCACGATCCACGAGATTCGATCGACGTTGTCTTAGCGCGCGTCAGCTCATTTGCGTGCGCGTGCGCGTGCGCTCATCGTTCTTCTCGCTCATTCAAGATTCACCATTCGTGTTTGTGATTCGTGTTTGTGATTCGTGATTGTGTCTCAATTGCAATTCAAGGTTCACTTGTTACTGCTGTTACTCGTCACATTCGTGCTTCTTCACGCCGAACAGACGCACAAGCAGCGCGACCGCAGTTGCATGTGCCCAAAGCACTGCTACTCTCCACTCGACTTCCACCATCCTCCTACCATCCCATCATCACACGCACACTCTTTCAGCATGGCACAGGGAGATACGTCCGGTCTGCGCGCTCGAGCAGACGAGTTGCGCAAAGCGAACGCGCAAAGAGCAGCACAGCAAGAGCTGCAAAACGGGACGAATGGGGGGAGCAGCAGTTCCACGGGTGCGCCATCGGCTGCCCAGGTAGCAGCTGCAAAGGAAGCGCACGACAAGATCGTCAAGGCGCAAAACACTCATTTCGAGCATGGATATAGAAAAGTGGACACGAGGGATGATCAGATCATTGGAGGTGGAAAAGAGAGAGCATTGACGCATTACAATCCGGGAATCGTCATCACCGAAAAGGGACGCGAGACGGACAAGCGCGTAGACACTCACGAGTCGTGAGTTGCGCAAGCAGGGCTGCTTCTTGAGCATGAGCTGCACGAGCTGAGGATGAGCGCTACGTGCGCTGCCCACAGATGGGAATTTGGCGGTCCCATCGGAACGGCGTTCATGATGGTCTTCTTTCCCAACATGATGTACTACCTCTGGATCTGTCTCTGGTTCTATGACGGCAGGCTCGTCATTCCAAACGGTGTGGATGACATCGTCCCCTTCTTGCAACGCATGGGTCAACACGTCTACGAGGTGAGCGCCGTCGATGCGTGCATTGCATGTGCCTCTCAGTGCGAGCCGCTGACTCACTCATACTCTCTCGCGCAGGACGCCTTCCCTACTCCTCGCGCCATCATTGGCTACGGCGGTCTAATGGTGTTCGAGTTCGCGCTCGCTTGGGTGATGCCCGGATGGATGCAAGAAGGTCTGCCTGTGCCATCGTTGAACTACAAGACGCTCATGTACAAGTGCAACGCCCTCTCATCCTTTTACGCCACGCTTATCGTATCCGCCGTTTTGCACGTCACTGGCATCTACAGGCTCACCGAGATCATCGAGCACTTTGGAGAGTACATGACCGTCGCCATGATCTCCGGCTTTCTGCTCGCCATCGCCATCTACCTCCACGCAGTCCTGACCGGCACGGCGCAGCGTATGAGCGGTAACCTTCTTTACGACTACTTTATGGGCGCCGCCCTCAACCCCCGCATTGGTCCCGTCGACCTCAAGATGTGGGCCGAAGTACGCATTCCTTGGGTGCTGCTCTTCCTCATCAGCGTCAGCGGAGCTTGCAAGCAGTACGAAACATACGGATACGTCACCCCCAACATGGCCTTCATGGTCCTCGCGACTGGGCTCTACATCAACGCCTGCGCAAAGGGCGAAGAGTGCATTCCTCAGACCTGGGATATGTTTCACGAGAAGTTTGGTTGGCTTTTAATTTTTTGGAACTTCGCCGGCGTGCCGTTCACCTACAGCTACTCGTGCGTCTACATTGCCACGCATCCTCCTCACGTGTACAAGTTTAGCACGCTTGGCTACGTCGCACTCTACACAACGCTCCTCACGGCATATTGGATCTTTGACTCTTCCATGGCGCAAAAGTCTCGCTTCCGCATGCAGCTCCAAGGAACCTTTGTCGTGCGCTGGACTTTCCCACAAATGCCTTGGTCCACACTCAAGGACCCGCGATACTTACAGACCGAGCACGGCAATGCACTGCTCGTCGATGGGTGGTGGCAATTTGCCCGCAAGATCAACTACTCGGCAGATTGGATCCAGGCCACCACGTGGTGCGTCGCTGCTGGATTCGGCTCCATCATTCCTTATTACTACTCGATCTTTTTCTTTGCCGTGCTCACGCATCGTTGCGGACGTGACTTTGAGCGGTGCGAACGCAAGTACGGCAAGGATTGGGAAAAGTACTGCAAGATCATTCCTTATAGGTGAGTGTGCCGGCGAGCGTCGACATGCGATCTTGCTGCTCATCTGCATAGACCCGCTTCCGCTGCAGGTTCATTCCCTACGTCTATTAGGCGGTCTCTCGCAAGAGTCGCGGCTCATACCTGAAAGGCTGCGACTCTCAAGGTTCATTGAGCACTTCTCTCTCTCTCTCCATCTCTGCGCTCTGCCGCTGAAAAGAACATGGTTGCGGATGCGTACCTTCGCGCCCAAATTTGCAACCTCTTACGTCACTTGCATGCCTGTTCTCTCGGACAAAGAGCGCATCGCCCAAAGTAATCATTACCAATCATTCTCGTTGTCCTTGCGCCCCTTGAGTGCCGCCATCTAGGTTTGTGCGGATGTCACTCAGAGCAGGAGGACCGTCTGGTCAGGCTTGCGATCGCGCGTTGCGCTACGCAGAGCTCTTCACTGCCACGACTGGCTTGATCTTTGCTGCATTCTCTGCTTGTTTTGCTGGATTGCAGGACTTGCACATTGGTCTACATTATGCCCGACCAGACGATTCGTTTGGTTGAGCTGATGGGCAGCGCGCGTCTATTTTTGCGCTTGCCGATGCGATGGCGATGGCGGTAGACCGATGGATCAGAGAGACCTAAGCTTTCGAACGAAATGTGAGTGACTCGAGGTCTCCTCTTGAGGCATCCTCCTCGTACTGCCTGCATAGCTTTTCGTACGGGTTCAGACGGACGTTCAGCCGGAAAGGCAGGCCCTTGTCACCTGCCGGCTTCTCGTGAGGCACTCGTGGACGACGAGACCGCTTTGACCTCTTCAGACACTAGCTTAGAATTCGTACCTATGATTTTGGGGATATCGCGAAATATTCATTCCTCGAGCGCCAAAGTTCGTCGTTATGGTCCATCAACTCGGCTCCGATGCAAGCAGGCACCCGTGTCCTCATCTCGGTCCCATCTTTACCCTTCAGATCGACCTCGAAGCATCGGGATGGGACTTTTAAAGCACCGAGGGTACAACGGCGTCATCTGTTGCCGCTGGTGAGGGGCGCATCGCGAGTTGCGGCAGAGAAGGGTAGATAGGCAGCTCGCTGCGATAGAGCCTCTGCGCCAATGCTACGCTAGGTGGCTGCCGCCTTATACCGAAACGAGTGGTGGTGTAGCGTAACGCAGGTAGCGAATGGAGTACGTTGCGCAGTCAACGCTCAGCACGCTCCAATGCTCAAATCAGTCTGCGCGGCGACGGAAGTGCACTTACCGCCGCCGTCGCCACCGCGCAGCTCCCCATGAAGTTGCCTTGAAACTTCAGTGAGCCGTTTCTGTGCCTCGTTGAAGGAATCAAAGAAGGGATCCCAATGTCTGCGTACAGTAGCTGATCGAGGCTGCGTGTCCTTCCCAACGCACTTCGACGCCGATTTGCTCGTCGTTGAAGCCGCCTCTGTCAATCTGCGGCTCTGCGCGAGGTCCGCGGGTAGTGTGGGTGCTGTCTTCTGTGCCTGCTCATATTGCTTCTCTCGCTCTCATCACGGAGAGAATGGACCGTGCAATCTGAGCAGTCGGTGTTTGTGCGTGTTCGGTTGCATGCAACGTTGGGAGACCAGTCCGTCGATGGTATATAAGCAGAGTTCTGCCCAAGCACGCCGTAGATCCTCCCACACCCCCTTCGTCCACCCTCTCACCCTCCCCCCTTCCCCCCTGAGCACGATGCGTTTGACCGCTCTGTCCGCGCTTGTCGCGCTTTCTACCCTGGCTCTGCACGTCACGGCTTCTCACCAGGCATACAAAAGCCAAAGCCTGAATGCGCGTCACTTGCTCCGTACTCGTGATGAAGCCACGTTGACGCCGGATTATGAGCGTTTTGCCGACCCCGAAACGGCCAAGCATAGTCTCATCTTTGGTGGAGACGACAATGTAAGCCACGAGATCAAGGGTGAGTGGCATGCCGCCCAGTCCGCGTCTGGCGACCGCTGACATGCTGTACTGTGCAAAGGCAAAGGTGGCAATGGCGAGCCCAAGAAAAGCTTGAGTCTGCAGAGCGCAGACGACGGCACACGCACCGATGCCCAGCCTGACGAGAAGTCCGTCGCTCCGAAGGGCAAGTTGCCTCCCATGGCAAAGCTACCCGAGAAGATCTTTGGCGTCAACCTCGGAGCTTGGTGAGCCAGTGCGCTTGGTTGGCGCCAGGAAGAAGTCGCACTAATCTTGGGTTGTCTTCCATGTTGCAGGTTCGTTCTTGAGAATTGGCAGGGCAACTCGATTTTCCTCACGCTCGACCTCGTCGATCAGACACTGACAGACGAATATTCTTGGAGCATCGCTGTTGGAAAGGAAGAGGGCGCCAAGCGTCTGAAGGAGTGGTACGCCACGCGGTACACGGAGGACGACTTTAAGCAAATCAAAGCTGCCGGATTGAACATGGTCCGCATTCCTGTCAGCCACTGGATGCTGAACGCCTCCGACACGGAGCCATACATCGGAGGCATCCAGCTGCCATTCCTGAAGCAGGGCCTCAAGTGGGCCCAGAAGTATAATCTTTCCGTCATGATCGACCTCCATACTGCTCCAGGAAGCCAGAATGGTGTAAGTCTTTCTTGGCAGGGAAGGGTCGGCGAGTCGGATCGCATTCACTCACGCGAGCCTCCAACGACCTGACGTGTTAGTACGACAATAGCGGCAAAGGATCCAACGGCAACCTCGGCCAGTCAATCATAGAGTGGCACCGCAACTCGACGAATTTCTTGCGCACTTTGTCTGCTCTCAAAACCTTGACGGAAGAAGTGGTGAACACGGAAGAGTTTGGCGGCATTGTCAAGGCGATCGAGGTGATGAACGAGCCTCACACTGGTGCGTCATAGGTCTGTCTGATAGACCGCGCGCACGCTGACGGTTCACCCTAAGAATAGGCAAGGACGCCATCCCCATCTCTCTGTTGGCTTTGTTCTTCAGCGAGTCGTACAATGCGATTCGTTCGACGGTCAACTCATCTGCGCCAGTCACGCCTTATGTCGTCTTCAACATCTTCCAAAGCCCCGTGAATCTTGACGAGCCTGGAGGTCTGAATTGGGATGGCGAGTCTGGTTGGAACACTTTCTTCCTTTCCGACGCTTTCCAGAATGGCACCTTCTTCCTCGACACCCATCAATACCAGGCTTGGGACGGTCTTCTGCTCCACGACGACCACATTGCGCGTGCTTGCAACAAGACGGCTTCCCTTGAAGCGCAGAATGCCAAGATCCCGACGCTCGTAGGGGAGTATAGCTTGGGCATCACCGTCCGATGCGTCAATCCCACCGTCCCCTCTTACCACAGCTGCCAAGGTCTCACCATCAAAGATGATCTGAAGACACTGTCAGCTCCAGAGCAAGTGCTGTTTGCCAAAAGGTTCTACGAGGCTCAGCGAGCTGCCTATGGAAAGACCATGGGCATGATCATGTGGAACTGGAAGACCGATTCTGCTGCTGCTTGGTCCTACTAAGCATCTCTCGATGCTGGATGGATCACGAAGAATCCCACCGAGGTGCGCTTCAAGGTCTTGCCTGCCGGATCGCCTCCACTCTTTCAGTGTGTCGCGCACGATGATCTGACCACGACAGTCGTTGAGAACAAGGCCGACATGGAAGGCATGTAGTGAGTTGAATGTGTCGGTTCCATGAGGACTTTAGGATGCTCAATGCCCGCACTCCTGCACGCAGCGTCGACGACCCTCGTTCGAAGCAAATTGCGGCGAACATGGCTCCAGCTCTGCAGCAGTACCTGGCGGAAGGAACACTGCCTGCTGAGATTCAGAAATATGGAGCGCAGTACTCGAACGAGGTGGGCAGACTGCTGAGAGCGGCTCTGCCTTTCGTTCCTTCGAGCAAGCAAGTCGTCGACCCGGGACCGCCACCTCCGCCTGCTCGTCGCTCAGTCGTAGCGAAAGACACGGCTGGCCTCGCACTTCGTCGTGCGTGATCGGCTTGATCTGGAAGCAAGCCTCACTCAGCCCCTCGCCTTCATCCAACCCTTCCAATCATCCCTTCTCCCGGCGGTCGCCGCCGCTAGCGACGCTTCCTGGGCAGAGGTGCCTGCGCCTATCCCAATCATTTGGAGATCTTGACAGTGACCTGGCCGTGATGCTCTTGCGGCAGGGTCCGGGATGAGTGGGTGGATGATGGCGCTTGTGCAAGGGGCGCGTTCTAGATTCACGCACCTCGATTGACAAGCCAACTTGAATCGACAGGTGTACACGCGCACGCAGCCCTGCATCACGATTCACGTGATCCATACCGCGCTTGAATTCCTTTTCCCCCTTCGCCCAGAAGTTCATCAATCACAAAGCCGATCGAATTCCTCTCTGTTCTGAATTATACTCACAAGCATTCAATCCAATCCTTTCATCTCTTGTTATGTTTGCGAACATTCGCCTTCTGTGACAGGGAAAGCCCGACGTAATGGCTTGCGAGCGTACCAGCTTACTCAGGACTACTTCACATGCTCGAGTTTGGACATCCGACTGCGGCGAAACTGCGATCACATTGCTACAACAGTCGAAATGACCTTTTGCGCGACTAGCCAGGCAAGGGAAATGCGGCGGATCATAAATTCAGGATGGAGGATGCGGTATCGTGATTAGGTGTGGTCGGGTGAGTCGTACTTCACTTCATGGTGCGCACACGAGTTGGCGCTGCGCAAACGACTAAAAGACAAGTGTCGTAAGAGCTCGTTCAGAAAGCGAAAGTATGGATAAGAAGGGAGGTGTATATGCGAAGAGCTTGCTTAGTAAGACCACTTGGGGTTCTCTGGGTCGGTGAAGTCAAAGACGGTGCTGGAGTGAGGACGAGCACCACCGCGGTCAGGGAAACGGCCAGCAAAGTCGATGGTACGGTTGAAGCTCAATCCACCGTTGGGGAGAATGTCGATGACGTGAGAAAAGTAGTTTCCTGGTGTGTTGAGGATACCAATGTCGCCGGTGCGGACAAAGTAGTCGGTGACGGTCAGCGTCTTTTGGTCTGGGGACAGAGACAAGAAGTGAGGTCCGAGAACGGGAACGCCACCAGCTGACTTCTGTTGCTCGTCGGGGTTGTCCAGACGCTTAATGTTCTTCAAGTCGCTGATGTCCAAGGCAAAGACGTGGTTGCCGGTGGTGATGGAGCCGTACAGGAACTTGCCGTCGTTGGAAACAGCAGTGTAGATGGCAGTGCTGTCACGAGCGCGGGGGCCGAGGTCGAAGAGCAGCTCGGCGGTGCCCTGCTTGCCGTTGGCATCCTTACGGTTGGGGTAGATGATCCAGATCTGACCGAGGTGGACAGCAGTGGCAATAGCTGCACCATCGGGGTTGTTGGGGATGAACTTGACGTCCTGAATTCCACCTCCGCGGGGGATCGTGATGGTGTTGACGATCTCACGGTTGTGGAGGGTCCAGAGACGAAGGGTGTTGGCACGCTGAATACCAGTGGAAGGCTTGAGGACGGAGAGGGGAACGACGTAGTCGGAAGTCAGGATCCAGTTGTTCTTCCAGTCGATGGACAGACCATGAGGGCTGAACTGCTGAGTAAGAGCGTTGATGGAGTCAAGAGATTGAGGCCATTGACCGATGATGTCAAAGTCGGCGTTGGTCTCGACGAGACGACCTGGGGAGGTACCGGCAGCGGAGCCCATGTAGGTGATGAAGAAACCACCGTCGGGCTTGGCACGGATCTCATCGGTGATTGATGCCAGCAAAGCTCTGTTGCTCTGAAGGATAAGCGAGAGTGAAAGGGCATTCTGTCAGCTCAAACTCCTAGCACAGCCGCCCTTGGTCACCATCAGGAGCATCGAATCGAAGCGACTCTCACCTTCTTGAATTTGGGTGCGTATGGGTCAGAGATGTCAAAGTAGAAGGCGGTGTCTTGAGTCTTGAGTAGAGAGAGCAGACCACCACCGACGAGGGTCTTGCCGTCGGCACTCGCACCGATGTGGTGAGGCTCGTTACCAGAGGTGGGAACCTCGGCAATGTTGACGAATTGACCGAAAGTGTCATCGTCGTGAGACACGACAGCGAGGAAGTCTTTGTGCTTCCTGTCCTCAGCACCAGTCCAATAGTAGCCGACCTTCTTTGGCTTGATGCTCAGCTGCTTGAATGGCGGCGAGCTCAGGGCAGGGGTGGGCGCCTGGAGGATGGGAAGTGGTCCCAGAATGTTTTGCAGAATCGAAGTGATGTTGTCGTTGATTCCAGGAATCAAAGAGTCAGGAATAGAGAGCTGACGCTTTTCGGCGGCAACCTCGCGGGTCGTTGGCACAGCCAAAGTCATGGCGGCCGAGACCATGGCGCCAAGGGCAACAAATTGAGAACGCATCTTGGATGTGTGAGTAGGGAGGGGTGAGGGGAAGAGAGAGTGGGGAAGGGCAGAGGAGAGAATGGCGATGCTGAGTGAGGAAATAGTATCAGCCTTTCAAGGTTGGACTGCTCGACTTATGAACGCTTTGCTCGTTCGCGCGAACGTACCGTGTAACGCTCTACGGTCGTTTCATCAAGCGAAATTTGCTCAAGACGAGTCTTGGCGTCAGCAGCGAGCAAAAAGGACTCCAACGAACGAATCGCTTCGAGCGAAATGCGCTCAATGAGCAACAACTGTGCGGTATGAGCGAATGGCGCCATTCAGGTCGCCAAACTCGCACCGTAGATGCTCGGACCACCTCTTGCGGCGGATAGGTGCGATCTGGCGACGGTCCAGGATGGCAACGTTCAGTACCTTATTGCTTCCCATGTCTCGCGAAGGCGAAGCTAGTCATTGGCAGTCATTCGCCGACCTCAGCACGCCATACCCAACCAGCTTTGACATTGCAGGTCGTTCGGATGGGTCGATGAGCGCCGTCCACCTTGATAATCAGTGGTCCCTGACCCTAATTGAGCGAATAAAGCGCTGTTGTTGTCCCGAATCACGCTTGTTCTTGGCGGAATTGTCTTAGCGCCCTTTAGCGTAGTGTCCTGTGATGCAGCAGTCAAGAACATTGTCGAAAGAATGTTGGCAGCTTTTGGATGTCAAAAGGGTGTGAACCATGGTGCTCGCCAGGCCTGCGTAGAGAGCGACGTTCTGTTGGTGACGGCCATGCGCTTTGACGATGCTTGCTGCGGACGCGTCGCAAAAGCGCGCTAGTGTAAGTCGCATTGCGCGCAGCGATGGCGTTATAAGTCCGCTTTCGGATATTCATCGTCGGTCAGCTCTTGGCCTTTTGGACGCCACTTGAGCTCGCCCGTCAGCTGTGTGCGCGATTTTTGCCTCCCACAGACTGCTCCAACCCGCATGATTAGCAGCTTTGGAGAAATCTTCCGAACGCTAATGGGGCCCCCTGCGTTCATTCATCTGATCAACCTTGCTGTGGTAGATCATTTCGCTCCAACTCGCCCGGGTCTGCGAGCTGAGTCCCAGACCGTCGTGGGCTCAGAGCCAGCTCGCTGCCTGCAGGCACCCAAAGCGGTCAAACAAAGCGGTACAGACTTAGCCCAGCTAAGTTTGATAGCCCACGTCCACATCACGCTTCTTTCCGCGCTAAAGAGGTGTCACCATTCCTTGGCAATGAGCGCAAGGTCCATCGGTCAGCTTCGTCAGACACCACCGCACGGGGAGCAAAAAGCACGCAAAGGTGCTTTCTTTCTCCTCGAGAATACCTAACGAGCGGCGGTTCAAGTGACCCATCGCACACTCCTCGTAAATCTGATGGAGCTAGTGAGCACTCACCGCGTGTGCGACCGGTCGCTAGCACGTAGCATGGTGCACCACCTCCTTCTGGAATCCAACGCTGCATGCAGTTCACTTTCATGGGTTGCTTCTGGTCTTCCTTGTAGCCAGGCGCCAGCAAAGAGCCCAAAGGTCGTCATCTGGGCCGGCGATGTCGTCAAATCCACACCCAGATGGTGAAAGGTGTTGTCCGTCACGCAATGATCGCAAGCATACCCCGCCGCGCCCTAGTGGTCCAGTGTACGTCTACTACCTGCGCCCTTTTTGCTCGTGCTACTCGCAGACACTTGGTTTCGTTGAGCAAAAGTAGCGCGTTTGTGTCCGTCCGTTGCAAGATACCAAGCGCCCTTGCCGCTGGTAGTCGAAAATCATTGAAAAGGAAACTGCCAGCAGAACTCCATCTCTTGTCTCTGTTCCATACTCTCCTCCTCAAATCTTTCCCTCCCACGCAGCCTTCCTGAACCGCTCCATACCCTCTCACAATGCGTTTCACATTCACAAAGCTTGCTGCCATCGCCCTCGTGGCTGGCTCCGCGGTCACCATGTCCGCCAACGGAAACCCTCTTCCTCAACAGGACGTGAGTGTTGCCGCCTTTGCCAAGAGTGCTGTTGCGCTGTTGAAAATTTGAAGCTGATGCCAAAGTGCTTTCTGAACGTCAGTACGGAGGTGTTACCCACACTCCCGACCTTGAGGGACTCAACAAGCTCCTCGAAGTCCTCCAAGGATCTGTCGAGAAGCTCACTCAGGCCTTGAGCGGACGTCAACGCCGCGCAGACCTGCCAGGCGGTGACTCTGACCAGAGCGGTGGCCCTCAAGACCCTCCCGAGCTCAACCTGCAGGACACCATCCTCAGCGTGAGTCATTTGAGGAAGTCCATAGCGAGGAGAGATCACCACTGATTCACATTGCTATGTCCGCCTACAGATCGTCCCTGAGCTGCTGCCCCTCCTCAAGTCTCTCGGTCTCAACGTCGGAAACCACTAGACTTCGTCGCATTGACTTTGTGTGACAGCTGATCCCGTAGCATACCTAATTCCTAGCCATGAGACTTGTGTGCTCGAGCCTCTTCGCATTCCCACCTCTTGCGGCTCGCTGCAATTCATGAGCCTTTTGACCACAATTCGCTGCCTCCTTATGCTACTTTGCCTTGTACAACCATCGTGAATGCATCTTTGCTCTGCAGCCTGAACGCCGCGTGACTTTGTTCGTCGGGGTGGACACCCCCTTTTGCCTTTCGCTGCGAGTAGTCCTCTTGCTCGATGAGTGAGCAATTGCGCTCTCCAGCCGTCGTTTGCTAGACACACTTCGCTACGGCCGCTCAAGCATAGCTTGATGTGACAATCCGATTGCAACGCGCCAGGCATTGGCGGATGATGGCTTGGACCGGCCGCTATGTTGCGAGCACGGCCCGTGCTCTTTCCAGCCGACTAGGGAAAGAATGACCATGTCCGCATTCACCGCATCAGGTGTGAAGGCGGCAATGGATGGTCGCGCCGGGATTCCCAGATGTTCCCAAGAATCCTGATCGTGTCGAGAGAAGATCAATCTAGACAGCTACAGAGAGGGCAAAACGCAGACTGAGCAGAGCGCGCAAAGCTGACGACGCGAATCCGAATGGTGGTTGGTGGGTCAGTGCGGGTATCGCCATAGCACGCGTCGATGGCGTCTTGTCGGCTAAGAGCGCGCGCATCGCATCGCTTGATCAACTTTGATCACAGCAGCTAGATCTCCAGCTGATTGATTGCCCACGCGCAGCATGACAACAGGCGGGGAGAGCGCATGCACGATGTATGCAGGGCTCGCATGTTTGCGCTAGTCCACGCGCCAAGAAAGCTGGTCAGAAGCAACTGCAAGCAGCTGCTCGAGCTCGCGCTTGCACACATGTTCCAACCTAACATTTCTTGTGCGCATTGCACCATTATTGCCCGCAAATAGCCTCGATGTCCTCACCATGAGAGGCATCTGGTCAGACCTTGCGCGCCGACTAGTAACAAGTCACAAGTCAAGAGTGTCAGCGAGAAACAGAGGGGCTTGAAGCGGAGCTCATTTGTCGAGCCATGCTCACGACGCGTCTGCTCCAAATTGATCAGCACAAACACAGACTCCGCCTTCCCGCCGGCTGATGCCGCAGAGTGCCCGCAAATGCGGCACTGGACCGTTAGTGCCGATCAGTCTGGTTTGCGAGAACATCTTCAGCAGCGAAATCAAAGCAGATGTGGACGTGACGAGCTGATCGAATGATCACTGTGAATGTCGACATTCGTGATTGTAGTCAGAGCCGTTTGCGCGCATATGTATTGCCCACTCGATTTGGCTGATTTGCATGCTTCCTGTGCTGCTTGCGCGTGAGCAGCATCGACGGAAAGCGACGCTGACGCAATCGCAAGCCTAGGGCACCACAAGCAGATCGTGAACGTATACCTTGGTAAGGAAGGCGCCAACGTGCAGTGCTGAGTAGTGTTTGCGCACGATGGTGAGAGGCACTCAGGTTGACCCACCTCGCATATCTCACGTTTGACATCTGGCAGCCGATAGAATAGCAGCGTGGCGGCACTGGTGCGCTATACAGCACTCTTGCGTCCGCCCTCAAAAGTGATCTGTCAGATCGCTGAACCAGCCATCCTCGCCACAAGTCCCCCCTCCTGTTCCTTCTCGACGCTCACGCTCATCATCAACTTCCATCATCCTCTTTTCCCCCCAACAATCCTTACCATGAAGCTTTCCGCCCCTCTCATCTCCCTCGCCCTGCTCGCTGCGGCAGCGGTCGACGCCCGTGTGGTGCGCTTGGAGAATGCACCGTACGCCAAGCGGGACGTCTCGGCTTCTATGCAAGAGCACGAGGTACCCTTGCCCCGCTCCGAAGCGGCCAAGAGCGTCTTGCACAACCGTGTCGCTCGTCACATTCGTCCCGAGACGTGGAGCGACATTCGACGCAGGCAGACCCTCGGTCCCGTCACCGACCTTGGCGGCATCACCGACTTCAAGGGCAAGGATCCCGAACCTGTCCGTGGCGAAAAGGGTCTGCCTTTCTTGGGCGAGTCCAACAGTGAGTGCATTGGATTGTGCGCGTCTGCACTTTCACTGTGCTCGGTGGATGCTGACCGTACAATCCCGCTGCTCCGATCTTAGCCGCCATCGACAAGCAGAACATCGACTACCTCAGCCCACCGGCTACCGACAACGGCGTGATTCCCAACCTCAAGTGGTCGTTCTCTCTGTCCAAGACGCGCCTCTTGAAAGGTGGCTGGGTTCGCGAGCAGGTCGTCACTGACCTCCCCGTTTCTAAAGGTGAGGCATGTCGGTCGTGGCAGGCTTAGGACTTGGAATTTCGCTGCGTACGCATATGCTGACAAAAAGACTCGATTGATGCGGCACCTCCGCAACAGACGTGGCTGCAGCAGAGCAGAGGCTAGCTCCATACGCGATCAGACAGGTGCGTTGAGCTGTATAGGTCGAGGTGATGTGTGACAGGCCGCTTCGAATGTGGACAGAAGGTGTACGATGAAAAGAAGCTGGATGGACGCATTTACGGTGGGTAGGATGCTATGGATGATCTTGCGGCATCCAACCGTGCAGCGTCCATGTACCGGTACCAGGTGACGCGCCTCGCACGACCGCTCTTGACGCGCCGTCGCGGTGATGCGGATGATGCAGCAGCACTCACGACTTGACTCGACACTGATGACTGCATGACCAACTTCTTGAGTCTGACTTGCCCATTCTTCCTTTTCGGCACTGGTGACTCGCCTTCTCCTGGTCGCGCACCTCGACACTGTTCCCTTGTCAAATCGCCATCATGCTCTTGCTTCTCACTGCCTCTCTCAACCGATCGACTGTAGCTACACTGGCATCGAGTGGCGGAGTGGGCATTTGTCATTAAAGGCACAGTGCGCATCACCGGAAGCGACGAGGATGGCAAAAACTACGTTGGGGAGGCCTCGGCAGGAGACTTGTGGAGTTTCCCCACGGGTTCGTAACAATTCTGCCACATCTGAAGACACGCGAAACCCGTGCTGATCCCTCCCCTCTTGCCACCATGACTTGCTCGCAGGCATCCCTCACAGTCTGCAGGCTGGCCCAGAAGGTGCTCAATACCTTCTAGTCTTCGACGACGGCAATTTTGACGCTTCGGGAACGACGTTCATGCTCGATGACTGGGTCGCTCACACCCCTCGAGACGTCCTTGCCGAAAACTTCGGCTGGAATCAAAGCGCTTTCGACACTGTTCCCGCTCAAGATCAGTACATTTTCAAGACTCCAGAATGGCCAAGTCTTGAGGAGGCAAAGGCTGTCGTAGAGCAGAACCCTGCTGGCGAGGTCGAATCTCCTTACGTCTATGCCCTGTCTAAGCAGGAACCTACGCAGGCACCAGGCGGCGGCGGCTGGGTGAAGATCACCGACTACCGTCAATTCCCAGCTAGTCCTACTTTGGCCTCCGCATACGTTCACGTCGAGAAAGGCGGCCTTCGCGAGCTTCATTGGCACGCCGGCGCTGAGTGGGGGTGAGTCTGCTTTTGACGTGATCCTGATCGGACTTTCGAAAGGCAATGTTGACGCAAGATCATCATCCTCGCACTTAGCTACATTGTCAAGGGCAAGGGACGCGCCACTGCCTTCGCTGGAGGTGCCACCGCACGCACTTTTGAGCTTCAAGCAGGTGATGTGAGCATCAATCGGCGTTCTCGTACTGACGCTCCTGATCGAACGACTCGACTGACACGTGATATCTGGAAACTGCAGTCTTGGGTCTTCCCGACCAACTTCGGCCACTACATTCAAAATGTTGGCGATGAGCCTCTGGAGTTCATCGAGATTTTCCGTGGATCAAACTTTGGCGACAAGATCAAGTTCACCGACTTTAGCCTGACCCAGTGGCTCAGCTTGACCCCACCTGAGGTTGCTGCTCAATCTCTGAACGTCTCCGTATCTCTGATCAAAGAGCTCAAGAAGGAGAAGCAAGTCGTCGTCGCTGCTCGTCGCTAGATTTCGGCACTTCCCGCCAACGCACGTGCCGTCTCATGCGTCTATTACGTCGCATACCGCAACCCTCGCAGCTCCCCTTCACAGACAAGCCTCAAGCCTCCTAAAAGACTCGCAATCAAGAACGAGGTCGGAAGCGACCCACAGCCTTCCTACTCGGTATCACTCGGTGTCCACCGTTGACGCACCCTCGACTTTTATCTCTCCTGCCCAGCTCGAATTTCGCTCCGCCCCTCCCACTTCTTCTTCCCACGGCTACGTGCAGCTCGCTTGTATGCTGTCGAATTTCTTAATACCATTGATCCATCCGCTGCAGCGCTGTACTACGCGATCTTGAGAGGTGGGATGCTGAAACATGGCTCGTTTTCGATGTGATCATGCCAGGGGACTGGGGAACGAATCAGACCTTTCGAGAGACTCAGCTCGACTCTGACTATCAATTCAAAATTGCAAATCGTGGTTAAGACCATGAACTTTTCATTTGTCCCTGCAGCACTCCTCACGTGACGGGCTGTTGCAGCGCCTCCACGCAGCTGCACGGACGCGCGCTCGCTGCGCGTTTCTGGTGGCTTCTAGATGCCGGCGGAAATCCGCGGAGCTCTCGAGACAGACCGCTTCGTGGCTTCAACATGGCTAAGCATCCACTCTATCCTCAACATATAACGTGGCTGAAGGTTGCTTCGCTTTGCATCTCGTCGTAGTCTTAACATTGCTTCATGCCCGGTTCTTACAGGCCTCTTCAAGCGTCTTCAGTGATCACGTTGGAAGCGTCCGAGAGGTATCAACACTTGCGTCGCCTCTGACCGGTGATTGCTACCGTCTCGTCAGGCATTTCGAGTGGAGGCATCCAATTGCCACTGGCGCTGCGCGGCTGCTCGACCCGACAAGCCTTTGCAGGGCCTAGCGCATACTCTCGATAACTCAAGCTCCCCACGACACCTGAAGCACCCGCAGCTAGCACCTGGCCATCATGCTGCGACGGGCTGTTGCTCGGCATAGCAGTGCGCTACCCTCAGCATCTCTTCTGCAGCCAGTGCGGGGCATCACGGTACCACAATTGAACAGACTCGCCCTCGCAGCACAGCTTTCAGATCCACACTCGCCGCCTCATGCCTATCGCCTTCACACTTCTGCGCGGCGCAATGCTCAAGGACCTGGCGGGCCTGGCGGTGGCGGAGGCGGAGGCTTTCCCGGCATGCGAATGCAAGGTCAGCAAGCGCCTCAACCTGGCGAAACGCTAAAGCAGTACAGTCAAGACCTTACCGAGCTGGCACGTCAAGGCAGTCTGGACCCCGTCATTGGTAGAGATGCCGAGATCAGACGCACCATTGAGATCCTGAGTCGAAGGACAAAGAGCAATCCTGTACTGCTAGGGCCGGCCGGTGTTGGAAAAACGGCCGTAGCAGAAGGATTGGCTCAGAGGTTGGTGAACAAGGATGTTCCCGAATCTTTGCAGGGCAAAAGAGTGCTCGCTTTGGATCTAGCTGCGCTCCTTGCAGGCGCAAGCTATCGCGGCGCATTTGAAGAGAGGCTCAAAGGCGTTCTTGCAGATGTGGAGCACGAGCAAGGAAAGATCATCCTCTTTGTCGATGAGCTTCACATGCTCCTCGGTCTAGGCAAAGCAGAAGGTGCTTTGGACGCGGCCAACATCCTCAAGCCTGCTCTTGCCCGCGGATCGGTGCAGCTTGCTGGTGCGACTACTTTCAACGAGTACAGACAATCCATCGAGAAAGATGCGGCACTGGCTCGTCGATTTCAACCGGTGCACGTCAACGAGCCGTCAGTGCCAGAGGCCATCTCTATCCTTCGAGGTCTGCGTAGCCGGTACGAGGCACACCACGGCGTCAGCTTGTCTGATGCTGCTCTGGTAAGCGCAGCCCAACTGGCCCATCGATACTTGGGAGAGCGCAAACTACCAGACTCGGCCATCGACCTTATAGACGAGGCTAGCTCTGCATTGCGCTTGATGCAGGAAAGCAAACCAGAGGCGATAGAGAAGCTCGATCGTCAAGTGCTCAGTTTGGAAATCGAGCTCGAGTCTTTGAAAAGAGAGACGGACGCGTTCAGTCGAGAGAGGAGGGAGAAGTTGACGAGGGAGCTGGAAGAAGTGAGGGCCGAGGCGGAACGTTTGACAAACAAGTGGAAAGTAGCAAGGGAGAGGCTGGACGCGATAAAGCGGACAAAGGCGGACATCGAAGAGGCCAAGATCGAGCTCGAGCAAGCTATGCGGGCCGGGGACTACGAGCGCAGCGCCAAGTTGCGCTTCGCTAGACTTCCGGACCTGCAAAGACAATTGGCCGAATTTGAGGCGGCAGAGGAGGAACGTCGCAATGCACACAGTGGAGTGACTTCGAGGGCGGAAGAAGAAGAAGCTGACTTGGCTGTTCACGAGCGCGTAGAAGCGGACGACATCGCAAATGTAGTTGCCAGGATGACGGGCGTGCCTCTGAGAAGCCTGCTCAAGGGCGAACGAGAAAGACTGCTGCGACTCGAAGATGAATTGAGAAAGCGCATCTTGGGTCAAGACGAGGCGCTCAATGCCATTGGAGAAGCGGTCAGATTATCAAGAGCGGGCTTGCAAAACGAAAGGAGACCGCTTGCCAGCTTCCTTTTTGCTGGTTCGACGGGTACAGGAAAGGTGAGTCTAGTGATGGTCTCTCCGCTTGCTCGCACCGCTGACACCGTCTCCATTTTACAGACCGAGACATGTCGCGCGCTCGCCTCGTACCTCTTCGACGATGCTGATCGGGTCATCCAAATCAATTGCTCGGAGCTAGGAGAACAACACAGCGGTGCCCGATTGATCGGCGCACCTCCTGGCTACGTCGGCCACGAGGAAGCTGGCCAATTGACTGAGGCGGTCCGTCGTCACCCCTACTCGCTTGTCCTCTTCGACGAGATCGAAAAGGCTTCGCGACCCGTGCAAATGCTGCTGCTTCAAGCGCTCGAGGAAGGAAGTCTGACCGACTCTCAAGGACGAAAAGTGGATTTCAGAAACACCATCATTGTGCTCACTTCCAATCTTGGTGCAGAAGTGCTGTACGAACCCAATTCTGTCGATGCCGCGACTGGACAAATCACTGAAACTGCTCGTTCTGGAGTGTTGAGGGCCATCGCCAATGCGCTACCTCCAGAGCTAATCAATAGGCTTGATGATCAGCTCATCTTCAATCGACTCTCACGCAGTAGTCTACGTGGCATCGTAGATGTTCGACTGGAAGAGATTCAAAAGAGGCTTTCTCCCAAGCGCATCACTCTCGAGGTGGACGAGGCGGCCAAGGAATGGTTAGCGCAAAAAGGCTACGATCCAGCTTATGGTGCACGACCGCTCAACAGGACGATTCAGAGATACCTGTTGAGCCCGCTCTCCAAAACGCTCATCAAGGGCGATATCCCACCTGGTTGCATCGTGCCTATTGGAGTTTCAGGGTCGGAGCTCTTCATTGGAGCTGCGATACTTGCGAGTGGACCCGAAGCTGCGTCAGCTCAGTCGCCCATCGATTTGCAAGAGGGTCAAACGGCAACGGATGACAAATCTTCGCGCACATCGCCGGAAATCGTTGATGGCGAACCGGTCGCACCCAGACGCAGGCCGTCGAACTGATGCCACTTGATAGCATGAGCACGAGGGTGGCACCACTTCGTTGAGCCTTGGCTTTACCTCCTTTGTTGAGGCTACCGTCCCGCATGACGTTGCAGAGCAATCTGCGCAACCATCAAAGCTTTCCTGAATGCAACATACCAAGAAACGCCCCACGCAACATCATGTCACCCGCCTGTAGTCCTTTGCATCTTTGCTCATTGATAAATCACCACTCATCTCAGTGTCCAAGACACAAAGGAAATGAAGGCGTGTGGCGCGAGAGAGCCAGAGACCGTGTGCAGCCGTAGGCGAGAATAGGCAGCCGGTGTGGGCGCATTCATGATGTGAGATCCATTGCACAATGGGCGGTCCGAGACTAACAGTACTTGTACATGGGTGAGGAAGCAAAGTGTGGCACGAATGAGCAAAAGTAAGACTCTACAATGTGGCCGAGTTGGCGTTGTTTGAGATGCAAAGGATTACACGCTTTGGTCGCTCAGTTCAACACCGAGCCTACGACTCGGTAGATGGCGCGATCCAGCACGTAGTAGACAGACTCGAGCAGACCGTACAGCGGACTCGAGCTCTGCAGTTGAAGTGACAAGCTCGGATGGATGCCAAAGCCAATGTCGATGACTCTATCCACCGTAATCACAGCTACCCTTCCATCCTGAGACACGTTGTGGTTGATACCTATAGCGACAGGGCAAAAGGGATACTAAAGATTAGCGCTGGACTCGAGGCGAGATTCTATGCGACGAAGTACTCACCGTGTCGCCCTGCGTCCAAGAGACCTTCTACCCACTCTACCTGCCCTCTCCACTTCCAAATCTTCCATTTGCCCCCCTTGAGTGCAGCTTCGACCAGCATGTCCCTGCCCGCATTGTATCCATCCTTGTCGATTGTATGATGAAACTTGAGATTCTGCGAATCGAGAGAACAAAGGCCAGACGCTGAGCACACGGGCCTGCGAGAGTGAAAGGTGCCTCGGCAGCTTTTCTGGCTCACCTTCTCTTTGGATACAGCCAAAAACCAAGCGCCCGAATCAGCCAGCGTTCCGTTCTGCTTCCAAGCTCTGAAGTGGTTGCCTCCGTACAAGCTCTCCCAGCAAGCTCCTACCCATCTGCCGGGCGCACCAGGAAGCTGTGTCTGCCTGAACTCGAACAGCTCCGTCTGCCAACCTTGCCCATCGCCGAGATCTGCCCTCTGCAAACCACCAAGATGCAGATCCAAGCATTCGAAAGAGAAGCCAATCGTGCTGTGGTGGTAGTGCAAGAGAAGCAATGAGCGCTCTGGACGAATACTGCGTTAATCGAATGCTTTTACGACGCACCGAACATAGTCTCGCAAACCTGCATCGCTCAACACCGCCGCATCCGATTTGCCTGAGATGATGGCATTGATGGGTTCTCGCAAGCCATTGCCGACCAGCTGTAGACGCGCAAGGATGTATGGATCAATGAATTAGCTCGCGCATATGAAGAGGCGCTTGCGCAACTCACATCGAGACAGCTACCTCCACCGACCCTTGGATCGACCCAGCCTACGTCCAGTCCTCCCCTGCCATCATCATGACCGAGGGCCTGAGCAGGCGCTGATCTGTACACGCTTTCTTTATCGAAGCCTTGCAGTCCGCGGGAGCGCTGCGAGCACGACTCTTGTGATTGCAGATCCGAGAGCGCGCTGATAGCTCGGCCTTGAACGAGCAAGAGTGGCGAGGTGGAGCACAGCAAAGTGCATGCCAGAAGTGCCGCCGCGAGGGCTCCTGACGATCGCATCGTAGGAGCAGCGATTGCAGCGTTCCAGTCGAGCAGATTTAGAGATCAGTCTAATATCAAAATTGACAAGCCAGCGGACTTATAAGCAGAGCATGGTGAGATGATGGATGAATGGATCAGATTTTGATTGATTACCAACGGCGTGGTTACGCAGCTTCGGGTGCTCCACCCTCAAACCCCGCACGGCCGCGGTGCCTGATGCCGCGTTTCCACGTCAATTATGCGCGCCAGGCAGCGTGCGCCGCGCGCGTACCGAAATAAGCATATCACGTGATACCCAGCAGCCATCCGCTGATCCGCTCGATCGTCGCACCCCAGCCCCGTTCCCAGCCTTTTTTTGAATCGTGAATCTAAATGCGTGAATGCTAAGACTGGGAGGCGATCCAACTCTGCCAATTGTCCACCATCATCCTGCGGATGGTCACCACATACACCTACGTTCCTGACCTCGCAAATCTTTGCGAGTCGAGTTCGTCGGTTATTTAGGCTGTTCGTGACTGCCTAACCCAATTGTCAACAGGACATTGCGTATAGGGTGTCGATTGATGGAGCGGATCGGAGTAGAGATCGGCCCAACCGTCGCCAAGACACCATAGTCTCTGCTCTTGCATCGCTGGACAGCACTGCCGGGCGTCTCGGGCGCCCAAGCTGCTGGAAACCCCCAAGCTTGACTTCAAGAAGTGATCTTGTCTTGAGCATCTCGGCTCGTTGACCAGGTAACGCTTCTGGGGTGGCAAAGATGGCAAGCGCTACCATCGGTACCCCATCAGCCAACGGCTCGTCTCAATCGAACGGCAAGCAGAGATCTTCGGCCGGTCCATCGCCGTATGCTCAGCCTTTTGCACTGTCGGAGCAGTACAAGCAGGAGAGGCAATCTGCAGCAGCAGCCAATGGCACCTCGGATCCTTCTCCTCAGCCTACACCCTTTGCGCACGATCTTTCAGTCAAGCTGATTTGCAGCAACTGTCATGCTGACCCGCCCAATATCATGGAGGAGTTTGCGAGCGGGGATCTGGTTTGCGGAGAATGTGGTTTGATTCTCGGTGATAGGATCGTCGATACGAGAAGCGAGTGTGAGTAGCCTTGCATGACCCGCTTTGGCGATGGGTATGCGCACTGGCCGGCTCTTCGCTGAGCTCACTGCTGCACTTGCACGTGCTTCCGTCGCTAGGGAGAACGTTTGCGAATGAGGAAGGAGATGATCCTTCGCGTGTAGGTCAAGCCGACAATCCGCTCATGGACGGTCTGACCGAGACGCTGGGCACTCGTATCGCCTTCGACGGCAGCGCTGGCGCCACGCTTCAAAGGGCCATGAACAGAGTCAATGGTACTCAGCATCAAAACATACTGGATGCCTTTGAGGACATTCAGCGCAAGTGCGATTCCATTCACCTCAACAGGCAAGTGAGCGAGATAGCCAAGCAGCTGTACAAGAGGGTGGAAATGGAGCGCATCTTGAGGGGTAAAAAGACGGACGCGATCATCGCTGCTACCATCTTCATCGCGTGCAAGATGGCCAATGTTCCGAGAACCTTTGTGGAAATTTGTGGCTTGACGAAGGTGTCGAAGAAACTCATCGGGCAGTGCTACACTGAGATTCAGAAAGTGTTCGGACTGAGGCAACCGATGGCAGCAGCAGCAGCCGAAGGATCTGGCGGAGGGGTCGGACCAACGAATGCCGTGGACCTCATCAATCGCTTTTCGAATCATCTGGCGCTGGACCAGCCTACCAGTAGATGCGTCAGGGATGTGGCTGAGCAAGTTAGGAGCGAAGGTCTTCTCGCTGGTAGAAGTCCCATCACCATTGCTGCTGCTTGCATCTTCTTTGCCACGACAGTGATGGGCAAGGAGATCAGTGCAAAGGCCATCTCGAACGCGGCAGGCGTGAGCGACGTGACGATCCGCACGTCGTTCAGAAACCTCGTTGAGCACAAGAACAAGATTCTGACTGTAAGTCTGTCGTTGTTGCGTCGTTCATCACTCGGAGCAATCGAACTGAAACAGATACGTCTTTTCACGTCGCCAAACATGCACAGTCTAGCATGCTTGCCAAGCACAAAGAAGCTGACCCGGCGAACCTGTCTTCTTCCAACTGAAAGAATTTACGTACTTGCTCCTTCCTCGATCGTACCTCAGTCTGACATAGTTTACCGAGCGCAGAGACTGACCTACCGAATCTATCCTCTTCGGAGTCTGCGTGTATGCAAGCCCTCATTTCTGATCGCCCTGTTCGACACGCTCGCCACACACACAGAGTTCATCCCTTCTCTGGCACGCCACTGCACCGCACTCTCGACGCGAGGGAATTCAAATAGATGATAGCTGACGCGGGGGCGAGCCTGCCAAAGAGGTGGGAGATAGAAAAGATGGGCGTTTGCGTTTGCTGCGTGCTCAAGCTGCGTGAAAGCAACGCAGAGCGTGAAAGTCATCGTTGGCAAATTTGGCATCCAGAATGTCAAGTCCTTGATCGCGTGGTAAAGTCACGAGTGATCGAAGTAGTTGATGACTTGCCTCGTTGCCGATCGATGCGCTAGGTGGTCATTAGCAACCCGGCAAAGAGCACTTTCGTCTTTCAAGTGGTGCAAGATCACTTGTGTGTTTGGGTGCGGGGCTGCATCGGTCGTGCATCTGCTCTCGCGGCAAAGCGATGCATTCATTGCCTTTGCGCAGCGTTTGAGCTCCGCTTTCAGAGGCCGACCTGATGAGCAGCATCATCACTGGTGCAGGTGTGCACGCGGGACAAGCAATGCGGGATCAAAAGCGCTTCGATGCAGTCACTGCAGTCACCAGCATGGAAAGGTGTAGAGCACGTGCCGTGCAGGTGATGCTTGCTCATGCCTTGCAAGCGTATATACGCATACCCACACCCAGCACGAGTACGGTATCTATTTGTAGAAGTTCTGTTCAGGTACGCGCAGCAGGGCATCCAGTAAGGTCCCGCTGCGTTCCTAGGCCAGCCACTGACGGCACTGTGCGCTCAGCCCTGAGAGATCTGCTCGTCTTCGAGCTTCCTGCCACGCATGAGTTGCGCATGCTTGCTCAAAGGGACTTTCACGAACTTGGAGCATCACGACCCCGTCTTTCGCAGCTGTCATCGGTCTGCAGGTAACAGGCAGAGCTCAACGCGCACTTGATTGAAGAGGAGAGAAGAGAGCGGGCCCGCGCTGTCGTGGCTCCTTTGGGGACGATCCACTGATAGGAAAGGCCGCTGATGATGTGCTGCAGCATCCACGCTTTCATATAGCCGTACATCCGGACCGCAGAGATTGGCTTGATCGCGACCACGCGGTCGTGAGCTTCATTTCAAACGTGATGGGGAAAATTGCGTCAAGAAAGGCGAAGGCTTCACGATCAGGAACACGACGCCGGCAGCTGGCTGGATGGACGTCCCGCGTGGCAGGTCGTCCTCATGCGGAGCGCGTCATGATGAATTCGTGTGGCTTGCACCTGCTGTCCCCGACCCACCGGTAGAGGGCTCGTGCTTGGCACGACTCTGGCCAGCGTTGGATTCATTTACCGCACCACGTACAACACACGATCAACAACACAGAGACGTGTGATTTGGTCAATGGATCGGACAGCTATGCTTCAGGAAGCATTTGTCAGGAGGATCCCGGGAAGTCCCTCGTCCACAGCAATCGCGGCTTCGCGCATGAGTAGCTAGGTTGTGCCTCAATCGTGACCTCGGCGACCTGGAAGCCGCGCGGAAGTCGGGATCGCTTGAGTGGGGGCCTTCTTCATACTTTCATTTCGGCAACGCCCGGACTTTTTGGAGTGCGAGTCAGTGGACTTGGGACCCGTGCGCTAGGGGTACATACCGGCATTGGCGCCGCTCGCAGATAGTCCGGCGTACTCGACGATAACGATCGAGCTAGGTGAGCAACAAAGCCAGAATTTCGGTCTTCCGGGCTCAGGCCTTGGCAATTAGGGGGAACGGTCTTGGCCTTTGGGCTCAGGGAGAGGTTGCGGCAAAGTTAGGCCCGTCTGCTGCTTTCAATCGTCGTGAGCCTTGAATCGGGACTAGCTGACGCAAGACGCGGGATGATGGATTCGAGGCCTCGTCTTCGGGCTCCAGCGCGAGCCGAGCGGGGCCAATTGGGCGCGGACCCATCCGCGCACGTTGGCCAACGCAATCGAAGCGTTTAACAAGGCTCGTGACTCTTCGGATGGGCTCATAAGAGCCGAGTCAAGAGCCGTTCGGTAGCCTTATTCATCCATGCAAAATTCCTGCGAGGTCTTCCTGTGATGGCCATACAGCAAGGCATCCAACAGGCGGCGTGTGCGACGAGCCATCAGGCAGTCGTGAGTCTGCTGAGTGATCATGCTATTTGTTCGTCTCCATCAGACCCAAGACCTTCGTAACTGTGCTTCCATTCATGCATGCATCTATCCATTCATGTGAATTAGGGGTGAGCGAGCCATATACTGTGACTGTAGCTGCACAGGAACGCTCGATCGGGTTGAGTCGGCGCTGCGGCAATGCGCGTACGTGGGCTGAACTGCCGGCTTCATGCACGCTGGCGTTTACTTGCTGACTGTACAGCCAGCACTCTGACTGCAAGCAGCGCAGCAGCAGTTGCTAAGCAGATCGCTCGAGCGGCAGCAGTATGCATCACGCCTCAGCACGAGCATGACCCGACTTCTTGCACGTCGCAGGTGAAGGCAACAAGGCATCTGAGCAGTCAGAGAAGAAGGAGCAGCACGATAAGAGAGACGGAGTCGTTCGGATTTTCAACCACCGCCCTGATTCAGTCGCATCTCGCATCGCAAGGCACCAGATCAGTCACAGTGCATTTGCCTATGGAAAGCCGCGCTGGATCGATCGACCAGAACGAGCGATCTCGACCTTGCTCTCAACGGCCCAACAATCGTCAAAGCCAAAATGCGATACTTGACGCACAAGCCAAAGTTAACGGCACGGCATCAGTGCTGCAGGTGCATGCCTCCATGCGAATGAGCCGATTCGGCAATTTGCACGCGGCGGGTCACCGCAATCAATTAGACCTGCATGATCGATGGCCGGCGCTTTGTGCAAAAGGTAGGTACAGCGCAGTACGTGGTGACCGTGCCTTATTGCAGCTCCCGGGTCCCCGCGTGCACGCTTCCAGATCTGGCCACATTTGTCTACGCATCCGACCAACGCGTGGACCCCTAGGAACACTTAAAGCCCTCAGTGACCCCCGGATCTTCTACTTGCGTCTCCCATCGACTTTCAAGCGCCTGTTCAGCCAGACTAGACCAGATCTAGAGATCCTTCCGAAAGCATACCAGCGGCAACATACCTTCTCGAGTCAAATCGTCTTTCCAACTACTTGCACGTTGACCGCTTCGCCACCTTTGAGCACCCGCTCCCATCGCTAGCCACCGCTTGCTACTGCTTGCCACCGACTATTTGACCTCACATCGTACAGTCTCGCACCTTCACAACAGCTTGCCGCACCTTGCCAAGCTCCAAACTTGAACTCAAGTACACGAATTCAAGTACACACAATCGAGCGCATAGCCGCTATCAACGACACTCACGGTGTTTTGCGCAACGTTTCCGTGTCTTCGCCTCTTCGGATTCCAAGTCTAGCCGGCTCAGCCGACATTAGCCACACATCAGCGTCACACTAGCCCTTTATCCGAGCATATTGCCGCCATAATGAGCCAAGCAGCGTCTACCAGCAACGCCACTCTCATCGGAGGAGCCATTGCAGCAGCAGCAGCATCATTTGCCGTGACGTCAGTCGTTCGGGATTACATCTTCCGTCTTCAAGCACAAGCCGACATTTGGTCCGATGTGGTCGAGCAATCCGCTCCAATCCAAGACGAAGGCGACGAGGACGAGTGGTACACATCAGCCGCCGTGGTGTCCACACCAACCGTCAAGACGGTATCGCTTCCAGTCGAGTCTTCTACGCCTGCAACTAGACAGTCGCACGCACGCTCTGACAGCATCACGAGTACTTCGACGGCCGAGAGCAGTGTTGGTGCTCGGACCCCCTCAGAATCTGAAACGGAGTACTTTGAAGAGCACAAGGACGACTTGAAGGATGGCGTGTTCATTGCTGCTTTGCCTAGGAACCGAGGAGCTCGGCCGCAAGTGGTTCTCGTTTAGACCTCCGGCTTCGAAGATTGGAACAATGTGAATCGTCCGATTGAGCATACCCTTGCCGGTGCGCCGGATCTGGTGCAGAGTCCATCTTGAGTTACGTCACCATCTTGCATCTCTTTGTATTATTATTATGGACTTATACATTATGATTGCTTGCAATGCATTTAGCGCCGCGACTCTTGACCCTTGCGATTCAAGATTGCCTTGGATAGAGTGTCCTACCACAATTGCGATGATCCCTTGCTCTTCATCCGGTGAGCCACAAGTACTGTGCAATCCGGCGCGGTGCGCATCGTAGCGGTGCTGGAGCCCAGTGGGGGTGAGCCCTGTCGAGTGGAAGATTCGCTTTGTAATCAAGGCAGCAATTGCTGTTTCGGCAATCTGCCGAGACCCGGGCCTCTTCTCACGCATCAGGGCATTCACATCGACACTTGCTGACGTGAAAGGGGTGGAAGTAGGCCCAATTCGCCGTTCGCACACAAAGTCTGCCATTGTGCCTCCATTCGACGGGAGGGGATTGTTGGGGTGAGAGTCGGAGTGAAATCTTGGCGTACTCGACCGGCCCTGATTGATGCCTTTGTAGAAGGCGCAAAGGCAGACTCGATCAGTTTGACCCTGCGTGGGAAAGCGCGTCGCGCTAGCCGACGCTCGCGCGCTTTGCCTAGCGTGGAAGCCCCGGAAAAAGGTGGCTCTTTGACTGGCCGCATGCGACAACAACTTGCGCGAAGGGACACCAGCAGAGCATCTCTGCTATTCTTCGCGCCGCTCACCATGAGCAGGCACACTCGTGACATTCACGATTTTTCGAAATCTTCCCACGACCTGACTGACCGTCACATCCTGTTTCGAATCCCCTTCGTCGAATAGGGTGGTGGAGGTGGGTAGTAGAAGAGCTAGGATTGTTCTCGGGCGACGTATGATGTAGACGCACAAAGAGGGTAAAGCAAGGGTATCGTTCTGCTCAGTATGCAAAGTTGATTCAGGGTCTTGCGACGATCTTCAAGAAGTTCCTTTCGAGGGGTCTTCACTGTTTTGTTGGCGAATGCGAGTTGTCGGTGAATGCGAGGTCTAAGACTTTTCGCAGTCCTCCGGGAAGAAGTGCTTCAGCGCTGATGTTTGGCGGCGAATGCATGTATTCAGAATATGATAATCGCCCCGAGCGAAGCACTGTGAGCACACACCTTGGGCAAGAGAAGCATCCTGACGACTCACCTCAGTCGATCGCTTCATGTTTGCGATGGCGGACTAGCGCCTACAGCTTTCAGGCTGCTCAGAAGACTCAAGCGGTCTACTCAATCCAGCGCTGCCTTCGTCAAAGTGAGCCTGCTCTACCAAGTGATTGCGAGATGCAATGACCAGTGGGGACGCGTCTGCCGTTGGCCTTGCCTTTCAGCAGCCTTGTCAAGCTGTCATGCCTGCGGTGGTCCTTGACACCGAAGCCGGAGCCATCATAAGGTCGTCGTGTATGTACATATGTGGATAGGTGACCCGTTCGAGCCTTGTCACGTGCGGCCCGGCGGCCTAGCGCTCGTGCCGAGTCTCAGCAGAGCCATCACGCGTTCTTTGCTGGAGGGCTCAAGCACTTGCCTCAGGTCCCACAGCCCGCCTTGACTCGTGACTCGTGACTGGCGTTTGATTGCGCACGCGATACCCGCAGACATGATGCTCGTATCTCTTGCATCCTTGTTGTTGTTTCTTCAATGACCATGGATCCAACATTACCGGCCAATTGTGGGCGCTTTAGTGAGTCGTGAGTGGCGATCGAGCACTCGAGTGGTGACCATGACGGACACCCTGCGCAACAGAGCGCGCATGCTCCCCTCGGTGCCCGATCGTAAGGGCAGGCTGAGGCTGTTGTCTGAGCGGCCATGTAATCTTGAATCTTGCATGCGTGTGTGCAATTGACTAGTGACTTCTATACTCAGATTTCGTGGCTCTTGGCGCTCGGCGCTGGGGCAGACGTGGCGTCCAAACGCCCACGGGGATGTCTGCCTCTACACCATCTTTGCGCGGAATGGTGTTTGCGGACACAAGGACGAGATGAATGAAAGACGACACACACAACAGTGTGAGTGTAGTCACGAGTGACTCGTCATACAGCTAGGCGTCGACAGTCACTCACGATCGATTGGCCTCGCGAGTCGTGACTGGATGTGGTTTGACCTCGAAAGTCTGATGAGTGGGTCGGTCTGGGCTCGCTCTTTAAGCATGCGGCCTGCACGCGCCTTGCAGCTCCTTTTGGGCTCTCGTATCAGGACCTCGAGCGCGTCCGGAGAGGCACACACAGCACACACACAACAGCTTTGCATACATCACCTTCGTCGTGGCTTGCGTGCCTGCAACAGCAGCGCATACACATCTCTCGTTTGTGAGACAGATTGGCGCTCCCAGACACTCACTACTCGGCCAGAATCTGCGATGAAACTTCTCCTCGGCGAGAGCTGCGTCTAAGCTTCACAAGTCGAGAATGAGGCCTACACTCGAGCACATGTAAATTCTTTGCGCCGGAACTTCCATCTCGCCTCGCGTTGGTGAGCGGCGCATCATATAAGGTCCAGCCCAGCCCTCATATCACTCTGACTCTCATCACCGCCGAACGGGCTCGCGTTGCACACACAACATTTGTCAGAGGTGGTGCAGGCACCGCTGCAGCTCTCCACTTGTCACTCTACTGGCCTTCCTGAGCTCTTCACCAGTCGTTCCAGCAGCCATGTACCTGCCACGCTCCCCTGCTCTCGATCCCTCTGGAGGCAAGTCATTCTCTGGCGAGTCGAGCATCAAGGGTCGTGATACCTCGACGTCTACCCCGGCCTCACAGTCTTCTCGTACCCATCATACTGGATTGCACCCAAACACCTGGGCTTCAGCAACCACCGCGCCGGCTAGCGTGCAGGTGCACTACCATTATTTGGCCGGAAGGTATCGAGACTTGAGCACCGAGCACGGGCTAGGACTGGCAAAGCTTGGCAGTGTCGACGAGAATGCTGTGCCGGCGCCTGGCTCAGACAGGAGTGACGCCGATTCCCGCGCCTCCCACAAGGCATCCTTGGGCGGGATCTTTTTGGGCGCTGGTCCAGAGACGGCAAGCAGAGGCATTGAGAGATGGGATTCGACCCGAACATCTGCTGCAAAGTTGCACGTGCCAATCGGCAAGAAAAGCAGGCGAGAGACTGCTTTGCAAAGGATGAAACAGGATGATCTACTCAGACGCCGCATTGAGGGCACCAAAGATGTCGGAAGGCTCAAGTGGGAAGCCAAGGTGAGTGTAGACGGCGTCAGCGCTTGCCATAGAGCTGTTCAACTGATCAAAGGCATGTTTGGCAGTCGGCGCTCCTATCTCATTCGCATCCTCTAGCTATCATACTTCTTGCTCGAGCAGCTAAGCTCTCTTCCCTGTCGTCTTGCATCACCCTTGCATCCTTGCTGACCACCGGTATCACGCGCGGAAGCGCGCCCGTAGTGGTATTGCTCGAGCGAGATCCTCTACGTGCGCTGTCCTGGTGCTTGGATGCCGCTGCACTTTTGCAGAAGCGAAGCTCTGCCCGACATCGACGAGGCAAGAGCTCACCAAAGGAAGAGGAGCGGCTGAGGCAGCAAATTGCATCACTACTGGCTCGTCTTGTCAGAACGACCCAGGCTGATCCGATGCGCCAGCATGGGGAAGAAGTCAAATTGCCGGTCGCAAGGACTTTGCCGGCACCAGAGCTGTGGAGCTCCCTCTCGGGCCTGCTAGGTTGGCTCTCTGGTCCGCCGCAGACGCCTTCCTCCGAGACACCTGCTGACCTTCCGGGACCAGACGACGAGGATGAAGAGGGCAAATCAGCGGCAGTGCTGCGAAGTATCGCAGTTGATCTCGCGCTGGTGCGAGCGGTCGCAATCACACGAGCGACATTGGCGCCGGGACAATCCGGCTGGACTCAAGCAGTACGCCGAGAGTGGGACGAGGTCCGCGATTCCGCAGATGCAGCTGGCAGAATGGATTTGTCTGCGGTGCTAGCGGCAGCTCAGACAGTTTGTGCTGAATTGGACAAAGGCAAAAGGGGGGCGATTGCCGGCCCTGCGGCTTCGCTTGCTCAGGCATGTGAGGAGAGCTTGGTGGAGAGAAGTGTGCGAGTGGTCACGACCACAAACTCAGCGGATGCGGCGCCCCTCAGGTCAACGAGCGTCAAGAAGTCACAGAACGTTCAGCGGAGCAGAAGAGGCTCTCTCGATCGAATGACTAGCCACACCGGCAGCTCTGACTCCAGACCGCCTTCGCTGCTGTTTCCTGTGGCAGGATCTTCAGCGCCCGCGCAGACAACGCACACACCCGTGCAAGTCGGCAAGCCAGACGTTTCAGATGGGCCTGCACGACGTCAAGTAGGCCGCACCATTAGCCTTCAGCCGGGCTCCAGCCGTGATCGCGCGGCAGCAGCCGCAGCAGCCCAAAGTGCAAGCTCACTGGGGCCTTCTCGACAGTCGGCCATTCGCGCGCGGAGACCGAGCAGTGTCTGCTCTGACTCGCCATCTCTATTGTTTCCGAATCACGACTCCGACGAGGACGATGCTTCATCTGCTGCTCTCAGCTCGACAAGAATTCCGTCCGGGAGCCAGGCACGGCCGACTTCGCTGTGGGCTGCCGAGAGCGAAGATGCCACGATTCGCTTACCGCCCTCTCGAAGTGTTGCCGCTCGTCGACGTGTGACAAGCTTGTACGGAGAGCCTAGCGTCACGGATGCCAGCGGGACAAATGCCACGGGCAGTACAGCATCGGACTATGGGTACGAGCCGAATGGAGTCTTTGATCCTACTGCAAGCCTGCGCAACGCTCAACGACGGAGAAGAGTCGATAGCTCAGCAACAAGCGCCAGCACAGCTCTAAGTGTGTTGAGCACCGCGCCCAGCATGGCCGAGAGCATGGCTTGGGAAAGGGAGCGAGAATCGCCGCAAGCCTATGCCCACTTTTCACTGCCGTCGACCGATAGCGCTAGCGCGCGCCTAGACGTAGTCGGTCGAAAGTCTGATGCGCAAGCGCCAGGTGCGGTAGACAGCCTACGTAGTCTTTCCAATACCCGCACGGCTGCGCCGCGCAGCGAGCAAGCTTCTGTGCACTCTGGAGATGGGCCCGCCGCACGTTCACTCACGAGCCGCCTCGAAAAGGCGATGACCTCCTCTTCCTCCATCAGCCGAGCTTCTGGAGCAGGCCTTGCGCATCATCGTTTTCCCAGCTCGACCAGCGGCACTTTTGGCCTGAGCGCACGTCAACGTACCACGTCAAACGCAAGCATTTCGAGTCTCAGCAGCTTCGTGAGCTCTTCTAATAGGCAAGGTCGAAACGGCACCCTCAGGTCTCCGATCAGTCCGACTTTTCCGCAGTCAATCACGACCATAGCACCGCCAGGGAACCGCGAGGTCGCCGCTACGGCGACGATGAGCCCAGCGATCACGCGACCTACAGACCAGCCGAGCGCTGATCGTGCTGGCTCATCAGCCTCCGCCATCAACTCGCTGCGACGATTCGGAGGCAGCAACGGCAAGGCACGCCCTGCTGTGCCTTCCGACTTGAAGGGGCCGTCTCCAACAACGACTGTCGGATTTCCAAGCTCAACGTCCAGTTCCAGCCGATCCGCGGCTGACGAAAACGGCACTGCACAGGAAAATGGCTCCAAGCGAGCGTCGCTGGCTCCCTTGAGGCCTGTGGAGGGCCATGCGGCGCAAAGGAGTAACACGCTCTCTCCGCCTGGCAGCGCTAATCGGAGGAGCTTCTTCGGCGTCGATCCGACGAGCGCAGGCACGTACGGTCAAGATCATGCGGGCGTTTCAAATCCAGACCCAAACCCAAATGGGGCGACCGTATCGGAGAGCGAAAGCTTGATGCCACTGTCCCCTCGACCTATTGATCAGCAACATCCACAAGAGAAGAGCATGACGGCTTCCTCTTCGAGAACGGCTTCTGTCCATACCAATTCGGACCTTGACGCGGCGCTTGCATCAGCGGAAGACAAAAGTCGACTGAAGACGGCCTCAGCATGCTCCAGATGCGGCACTCAGGTAGTCAATGCTCCAGTCAGCAGATCTGGACATGTCTTCTGCGGCAGGCAATGCAGAATGGAGCACAAGGCAGCAGAGAAGAAGCGCTAAGCGGCCTTGGAGTTATCTCGCGTATCGCCGTTGCACATCGAGACTGTGCCTGATGTACTGCAGCCTCTACCACTTCCTGACACCTCGGTGGCGGATGGCGCCTGGTACTCGGCCGCTCACATTATTCCGCTCTCAATCGCCATCCTCGTGTTGTAACACCACGTCTAGGCCCAATCAATGACTTGCTGGCTTATCTTCGCCACTCGCAGCACCCAATGTGGCTACCCAGTCCCTTGATGCGTTTCGTCCGCCACTCGCTTAGGGATCCAAAGCGTTGTGACAGCGCATCAGAGCGCGTGGTTGCTCTAGAGGCGTCGAAGGTTTGACATGGCTGAGATCGCGCCGACCGCCACCGAACGCCGAGGCATTCGGTTTGGAGGAGGCCCAAATTTCGATTTAAGGAGATAAGCTGCGCCGCACATCCGCACTGCTGAAAGCACGACGCAGAAGGGAGTTTGATATCTCCTGATGTTTGCACTGCCAATTTTTGGTGGCACTGATTTGTCTCGATTGCTCAAAATCGCCGTGGTTCCTAACACAAGGAATTCGTCATCCAGGCTCGAAGCAATAAGTCGAAGCCACTCGTAGTCATCTCCTCTACCTCGCCCCGCCATGCCGTACAACTTGACGACTGCACCACTGACGACATCATCATCTTTTCTGCTGTTGCCAAATGAAGGAACACTCGGTCTCGTTTCCCGCTTCAAACTTTGTATATGTACTTGTAGCTATTGTGCTGTGCAGCAGCGCTTCATTTACGAAGTGTGCACCCGTAGGAGGAGACTCTGCTCCTTCCACTGCTGCCAAACATGCGGACATACAGGGCTCACGTTATACATCGACCGTCATGCATCCCGATCACCCAGTGCGGCAGAGAAATCGAAAGTACTGGCATCTTTATGCTCAACGTGCTAGGAAGACTACCGTGCTCAACGAGACATTTCCACCGCAGCATTTGATTCAGGCAAATGAGAGCTTCGATGCAGCTTCAAAGGCGCCAAATTCACCGATGAGGGATGTGAGACTCTCGTTGAAAGATGGAGCCAGCAACCGAATCAATAGACAGGCTATTGAGCTTGCCGTCGCTCACTACAAGAAGTATTATCTGCCGACAATGGCTCAACTTAATGTGTGTCGCATTGGCCATCAGTGTTGCTAAATTTCGAGACGCTTACTTTGCATCCTATCTCCCAGCTTGGCATAGGCTTCCGGCGCACTCCGGAGGAGCCAATAGCGCATGCAAAGGGGGTCGCGTGGGATAGCCGGGGCGCAAAACTTCATGGTGGTGGAGTGACGTCTGAAGGTGAGTTTCAAATACCACCTGCAAGCATGTGGGGCTAAAGCTGCGCTCAGTCAATTCAATTTCGTGATTGTGGTGCAGGACATACATTCGAGGGACATCACATCTTCATGGCGCCCAATACGGCAGCTGTAATTAATCACCGACTCAATGGTGCTGTGGGAACTACTAGGCCGTATGGATATCCAACCACTAGTGACAAGGAGCGACCGCCTGATCGCGCAATGGTCTTCGTTCCTCCAGCTGATGCTCATCTAGGCACGCGTACGGGTCGCCCAAGGATGGTGCTCCGAGACAAAGCCGTCCAAGCGGTGAAACATCTGCCTGGCAGGGTTATCTTGCCCGCTGATTGGGCGGGCTCCAGCAAGCTCTCGCCCGTAAAGAGCAAGGGGCGGGTTCAAATCGTGCTTGATCGCCCTGTGTCGGATGTTCACGGTGCAGCGATAGACAAGGCTTTGAATGCGCACAGGGATAAGTACCACCCGCAGATCGACAAATTCAGAGTAAGTCATTGAGATTCGATTGATAGCAACGATGGCCAATTGACCGTCCAACTTCGCCCCTCAAAGGTCCGGAAGACCATCCATGCGGACGCGAAAGAGCCGAGGCCTCACATCACCGCAGCAGCCTACGATGCCAAAGGAAACATTGTGCCCGGGGGAGGAATCACAAGTACTGGCGTACACCATCGTGAGCACAAGGTATACCTTGAAGAGGGAACTCTCGTGCACTTGAGCAGAGGCCGGCACGGGAAAGTAGGCCGCATCGTTCATGCAGAGGATCCAGGTCCTAAAGCGAAAGTGTCTTCAACCCGTCACGATCTCGGCGGACGGTACCCCATAGTTGACAAATTCGGACACTGGCCAGGTCAGAGTGGAAGACCACTTCAGAACAGGCGGAAATCAAGATCCAAACATAGCATTTATGAGGTGGGAGAAACGAGCACGAGCACGACAATCAAACCAGAAGCGGCCAGACCGGAGAAGGCCACTCGTCAACTAAGGATGCCCCAGCGCACAGCTGAAAAGCACTCCGTGAATCAAGAGGGATCGCTGGCACCCATTGGAAAGCGTAGAAGAATTCCTTTGGGGGCCGCTCCAACACTGTCGCCTCCAGCTACGACATTGGCCCCCGCTGAGACAAGCAGGGCTCGGATCAATGAGCCTTTGCCCTCCCCTGGAAAGGCTACACGCGCTGATGTAGAAGCCGCTTCCGATCATTGGGCGCTCCATGCTCCTCCAAGCCAAGTGTCTCCCGCACACGAGGCACGTACGAGGCACACGCCGCCTTCTTCCGGCTCGAGTGCCCTACCAGGAGAGCACATACACCACAGGCCCACAAATGTCGAGCCTACGGACGCATTCTGGCATGCTCACTTGAGCGATCGCAATACACCAAAGCGGCTCAGGCTCTCTAGCCATGCGATTGCTGCGATTGCTGCTGGGGTGTCCTCGAAGAATCCGTCCAGCCAGCAGACGCCTGGCAAGGACTTGCTGCAAAAGGTTCCAACAGTGAGCAGCACGCATGTGGGAAGCACCACTACCGAGCTGGCGAGGATTGCAGCCGCACGGGAGACTGCTTCTGGCTTGACGCCGCACGTCGGCGACCACCAACACTTGAGAACGACTTTCTCGAATACTGGCGCGTACGGCTTGCCCTCGACGGGGCTAGAGCACGATGTTGCGCCTTTCCAGACGGCAGCGCATACGAGTGCTCCGGACAATGCGGGGACGGGTGAATACGCCCATCTTCGCGCACAACCCCCATCACCGAATCACGACGTGGACACCCGGCACCACTTTGATTACTCGACGCAGAAGGGCCCTGCGCCTAGTGAACCTGGAGATCATCTTGGTATCGCGACCCAGCGGGATCCAAGCTTGCTCGACCATGTTCATCCGCAATCCCCTTTGTTGAATCATGACTGGCAAAGACTGCACCAATCTCAGTACTTGCCAGAGCACCACGCTGTGCTCACTCCATCGAGCGCGCATGTGGGCGCCCCGCCCATTTTACACACAGGTGCTCCGTATCACGTGGACGCTCACTCTCCTCCGCAAGATCACGACTGGGACGATCTGCGCCATCTGCTTCGCACGCCCGTGCACTCGCCTCTGCACTCGCCCGAACGACTCTTTGAGAGTGGGCTCAAGATTTCGCCCCGCGCACGCTTCTCCCACTGGTAGCTCGTGTGCTTTGATGGCGGGCCAGCGTCTGATCGCCCAGCTCAACGCTGAAGCACAGCCTCTGACGCTTCTAGGGCATGAAATATGATCTGTCGACTGATCTGGATGAGGTTTGACCGTCTTGAGTGGTGGAGATCGCGTGGACATATCTTGATGCTTCCGTTCTTGAAATCGAGAACGTGTGCACGCAGACCGCCATTTTGCTGCATGAGGATGGGCGAATGGCCGAACTTGCTCTCTTCGCTCCATTTTTGGCTCATGCAGCGAAATCTTTGCATCGAGTGGAAGGAAGCCTCCTGGATTCGAGCGATCAAGCAACAAGACCTCGTGATCTCTCGGCGCGATGCATCCATCATGCTTGGCGATCCGCATGCAGGGCATTGCGTTAGCGCTGCATGCACCATGCGACCGGATGGAGGCACCTGCCATGCTTTATGCTTGAAGTGTGACTAGCGACCGGAACTCGACGTCCGTTCTTGACACATCAAGAGACACGAGTACGGTACGGCAATCGGTCAAAGCTTGGCTGCGTTTCGTACTCATTGACGACTGACACGGTTGTCATTCAATTCGCTGCACGCCAACGACCAGGAAACGTGAACAGCCCGAGGCGCTCAGCTGCCAAGGCCGGATACCATAGCTCTGCGAACTTGTGTGCGCTCGGCGATCTTTTACGTCACGAAATCTTACTTCGCAATCCTCGGATCCATGCAGATGGACCGTTCGCAACTTGAATCGAGAACGTGAAGCGTGACGTGTCGGTCTCTGGCCGCTTGCCATCGCATGTGCGAGCAGATCAACACAACTGGTCGCGTACTCACTTCCACTCACGACTACGCTTCTCCTATGCATGCAAATAGATGCCGAGACGGCTTCGCTGCGAAGGGCCACCGCGACAGCAGCATCTTCAACTTGCGCGGCGAACAAAGGCTCTCTGGATTGTGAATTGCGAAGCGTGGCGAGCTTGGACAAACAAGGCTCCTCGAACCCCGCATACCTGCTGTCGAACGAAGAGTTGGAGCGAGAAGGGAAAAGCCTTCCGGGGCTAGCGCTGCTCTCTTCCAAGAGGCCAAGAAGATGTATTGCAGACGAGAGGGCGGGCGTGTGGAACGGAGCTCCACGGAAAATGGTAACTTGCACGACTCTTTCCCGTGGACACCCTCCTATCGGGACTGCGGGATGGCGGAAGCAAACGCGCGCACGCTGCCCCAGGACCAGCTGCTGGGTCGCGACCGTATCACGCATTTGATTCACGATTTGCATTCAGTGATTCTAGATTCTATGATCGTGATTGCTTCTGCGTTGCGATCATTAGAACTCGTCCGCGACCTGAAACAAATGCACCAATCATCACACGCTATCATCGTGCGCATACACCTCGGCTCGTGATTCACAATGGAGAGCAGACCTCTCAATTTGACTCAAAAAGTCGCTCTCCACATGAGATGGAATGCTCTCGGCGCGTGCTCCGACCATTTCAAACGGGCCTCTTGCGCGTTTCGAAGGGCGAATGTGCTAGCTGTGCCTCGGCAGCGCTCGCGGCGACAGCAGCACGAGGGGGCGCGTTCCGCTAATGTGGATGGCACCGTACCATACAGTCGTGAGTGAGTGAGTGAGTGAGTGAGTGTTGCTGTGGCACGGCGCGGTACCTTTTTGTTCGAAGTGTGACTGCATGATGGGGCAAACGTTGGCCCGGCAGCTGATGCTTAGCGCGTCCATCCACATCTCGAAGCGGCTCCACCGGGTCGACGCTACGTCCTCGCTAGCGTCGGGGCCTCTCCTTTTGCATGGCTGGATCGGCCCCTCGGTCTTACTTCCATCGACACCGCATTCATGCCCACCGACCCACTCCGCGGGCTCATTGGTCACTTCAACACTCACGCTGCCCCGCTGACTATTGCTCATGGCGCAGGGTAGCAGCGCAAATAGCATGACTTTACATCGTCCAGTCACAACAGTCGCAACAAGTAGTATCAAAATGTGGCTCGATCGTGCACTGGCGCGGATGATTGCTTCCGTTGATTAGTCAAGACATTGTCGTGCAGTATGCTGTACAAGAGGTGGTTAAGATAGCAGTGATCGAAGAGGCAAGGCTAACTTCATGTCTATAAATCATCCAAGGCAATGCCTACGAGATTCGTCCATGGTGCCACATCCTCGTCTAGGGAATAGGCATACCGCAACACCGCTAAATTGAACTCTTTGCACCTCAGCCTTGCCACCGCCTTGCCTCTCCGTTCTCACCCCGTCTCGCGCACACAACGATGGTGTCCACACCGGCGTCATCACCTTTCGCTCGAGCGAGCGCGCTGCTCAAGAGTGGAGCACCTGCCACGTTCACAAGCTCAGACAGCGTCTTGGTCTCATCATCCCAAGCCACTCCCATCCTCCTCTCCTTGCTCATCGTCGCCACCTCTTACCTGGCCTGGCAGCTCTTCGCACCGGTGAAGAACGCTCGCATCAAAGGTTCAAGCATCCGAACCTTGGCAGCCTCCATTCCGCGTCTGGGTCAAGTGGCCTTCTACAGAACGCGGGAGTCTTTTCTGTACAGGGTGCTCGGTAGGCCCGAAGGCGCTCTCGATGCGCAAGCCTATCACCCCTCGGCAGTGAGGTTCAACGTCAGCCAACACAACATCATTGTCAGTGGAGACCACCAGGACGCATCGACTTTCTTCAACACTCGAGCTCTGAGCTTCACAAAAGGTTACTCTGTCCTCTTTGGCGGCACTCCCAAGGACCCCGACACCGAGCCGGAAGTCGCAGCTAGAAACAGAGCTCAAGATGACAAGTACATGGTCTTCTTTGACAAGAATCTCAAGCAGGCCATCAGAGGCGAGAGGCTAGCTGATTTGACGCCCGACATGGTCGAGGACTGCTTGAAAGACTACGAGCACTTTTTCGCCAACAACACGGGCAACGGCAAGCTGGACCCGCACATGGACGTCTATCCTTTGATTTTCCAACTGAGCGTGCGCACCGTCGGGCTCGCAGAGCATGCAAACAGTGCAGCGGCAGCTAGGGAGATGTACGACGCCTACTGGTCTATCGAGAGGGAAACCAATTACTGGTCGACGCTCTGGCCCAATTTGCCCCTGCGTTCCAACCACAAGCGCAAAGAGAACTCCAAGAAGCTCTTCACGATGATTCATGAAGCCATCAACAAGAGGATCGAGGACAAGAGATCTGAAGACGATCAGGTTCAGCGTATGATTGATGATGAGACCTCAACGATCGACATTGTCAGGTGGTGTGTGGGCAGCCTGTTCGCAGCGTAAGTTGATGGAATTCCGCAGGAGCCTGCTATGTCCTCGCCAGAGCTCACGAAATTTCCGCCCTGCGCCCTCCGATCGCAGCGTGGTAAACTCATCGAGCATGTCGGCATGGCTGCTGATCTTCGTTGGAGCTCAACCCGAGCTGCGCCAAAGAGTCAAGCAAGAGATCGTAGAGACTTTGAGAAAAGGCGCAGAGGAGCGCGGGGACGACTACGAGTCATTGCCCACATTGGAGGCACTTCGTCGTGTGCCGCTGGAACAATGGGAAGGCACAGCCAGTAGCGTAGCAGATCGCAAGAATGGAGGCGGCGCATTCCCTCTTCTGCACGCTTGTCTGAAGGAGACCATGAGGCACGTCCTAAGAGGAACCTTTTTCCGCTACTTTGCCGGACAAAACGAGTCGGACAAGTTTGCAAACTCCAAAGTGCAGATTGGCGGTCACGACGTCAATTCGGGAGACTTTTTGGCTTATTGGATCGCTGGGACTCATCAGAATTCTAGAATTTACCGCGATCCTCAACGCTTTGATCCGGATCGATTTGCCATCAGGAAGGAAGGCAATGGTCCGCTCGAGTTCATCGGGTGGGGTGCTAGGTGAGCGCTTGACGTGATTCGTGCGCTCGTCTTTGCGAGGGCTATGCCACTGACTCTTGCGTCCCGCTCTCTTCTCAATTTTCCAGTCACCACGTGTGCGGGGGTCGCAGATTTGCCCAGCTAGAGATCATCATTGTCGTAGCGACCTTTTTGATGTGCTTCGACTACGAGACGGTGGACCTGCAGGGCAAACCTTACTCCGCAGAGACTTGCCCCTCGGCGGACACGGATAATAATTGGAGAGGACCCAGCAAGCCAGTCCGACTGTCGTACCGTCGTGCGGCCGACTTCAAGGCCTAATGGTTTGCTCAGCATCTTTTGAGTCGCGTTTCTCTTTATCTACTGCAGGCTCCCACTCGCACTGTTACACCACCGCTTCAGCCTTTCTCCCGCCCGCTGCACTCTCGCCGCAACCGCCAAGCAACCGCAATGATACAATGCTAGCTTCTTGATCATGCTTTGCACTTTCTCTGGCTTGTATGATGCTCTTCCAATCTGTACGTATATATCGGTGTCCGACGATGCTGTCTATCGCAGTGTATCTCGTCTGCCTTCTACGGAAGCCGAGCATCGGCCGTCGCACTGGTCGGGAAACGCAGGTGGGCTCGCTACCTCGAACAAGACTGCTTGGCGGCAATCTGTTGCAGCTCCTCTAGGATGAGCTGGCACGCATTCTGCACCACATCTTCCAAGCTTTGGTGTCTTGTCTCGAGCAGTCGTAAGCCGCTCACTGGACCGCCTGACTGCATCTCTGAGGCATTAGACGAAGCTTTGACCAGCGCACCTCGCTCGACATCTCTCTGCTCGAACAGATTCTGGTGCGCTTTGACGTAAGATGGCCAAAGAATCAGGTCAAAGTAGTTTGGCGGGTCCTAAGAGACCAAGACAAGGAGAGCAGGATGAGCGCAGGGCGAAATCATAAGAATGGCTGGCAAAGACAGCCACTCACGCTCCACGTTGTGCCCTCTACTCGAGTGAGCGTGGTGAGGACAAAGCGCATGATCAGTGTTGGCGTTTGAGATGCAAATGTTGATCAAGAAGCGCTCACCTGCTGTGTGATACACCCTTCCCTCTCGTCTACTCCTCACATCCTCTTCCGAAGCCCTCAAGAACAGTCTCACATCCAGCGTGCTAGTCACACGCGAATCATAGTATAGCAAGAATCCATCCACCAAAAAGATCTTTGGATTACTTAAGCGCTGCAAGAGCTCTAGAATGCGCTGCACGGTTTGAGAAGAAGAGGAGGGCATCGAGGTTGTCACTTCAGGCAATGTTGACACCTCTTTGGGTGAGACGGGAGGTGTGCCGCCCGATTTTAATTGTTCCAGAGCCGTTGCGAATCGGGCATAGTCGATCTGAGACACGTTAGGAACGGTGCCAGCGAGCGAGTTGGAGCACACATGTATGTATGCGTGATTCGAGCTTGCGTCAGCGCCTCGATCTCTGCGCGCTGTGTAGCAGCAAGCTCTTCCGCTCTGCGCCAACTCACACACTGATCGGGATCATCCCAGTCCTTGCCGTCGATTCTCTCATCGAACCCCAGTTCCTCTTCGGGAAGAGCAAAGTCGTCCTGCCCCACTACCTGCACCCGGGCCTCGCTACCATCACGTCCAAGCGTCCCATCGACGAGCGTTTGCTGTTCGTATGCATGGTTGAGCAGAGAGCTCAGATGCGCAGCTAGTGTCGACTTGCCCGAGGAGGTTGCGCCACCTATGCCGAGCAGCAACACCGGGGCAGGGCTCGCAGGCGACGTCATTGTCTAGAGTATGGAAGACGCCGAGGCACAAAGTCCTGACAACCTGTCAAGTATGTGCTTCAATGAATCGCAGCGATGTTGCGTCAGACACGCAGCCAGTCGCCGCGCGGAGTGGTGAGCTGACTCGACTCGTGCGCGTTGTGACGCTTTGAGAGACAATCGTGAGTGTCAACAAGCCAGAGCGACGGATGCGTACTCCATTGATGGCGAGGTGAGGTGAGTCACGACTCACGATCCACGACTCACGACTCAAGACTCTTGACTGTTATCTCATGATACGGCCGCAAGCTGGACGCGTTTCTCCCGTACGAGAGACGGGAGCACTCTACTTAGCGGACCGAGCGTGGGGCACGCGCAGACGATTCCCCGCGTAGACTCGATCAATGCAGACTAGCTGCGGGGACTTTTTGTTTCACAAGGTTGCAGATGGATGGACGGGTGGATGCTTTGCGCAGAGCTTGCGAGTCATCCTCTTACAGGGCCACACCTCCCTACATGTATACCACACCTCATTCCCTGGCTCGCTCGAAGTTGGCGCGGATACAGCGTGCAGCAGCGAGGCTCACGCAGACACTGAAAGAACCGCGCGGTTGCACGCAATCAGGTCTCCGGTCTCTCCTTTCGTCGGTCTGAGCAGTCGGCCAGACAACTCGTAGAGCGCACTGCAGCTTCGCACCCACCTTGTCTGTCGCAGCGAAGCCGATCATGCCGGCTGACTCGGGGTCCTCGACTCCCACGTGGAGCGCCAGCGCCGCACTCACACCAGCCTCGAGACTCGGCCGATCTGTGTCTCACACCGATCAGGTTAGGTCGAGCAGCAAAGGTTCACAAGCCAGCGTACGACGACCCTTAGCCCTGCCTGTCAACGTCGATACCACAGGAGCGATGATCATGGCTACGCCTTCTTACGATGCCGACCTCCCAGAAGGTTCCTCCTCGGGGCAGTCGCACCGAGCGACGCACGCGGACAGGCCGAATCTAGGAGTGCGGACTGAGCTCCCTAGAGGGGCGAGTGGTGCGGGTGAAGATGTTGGAGATGAGCAGCGTGGAGAGAGCTCAGTGGGAAGTCGTGAAAAGGATGGCATCGAGATCTATCTGCCTAACCATACTGAAAGCGTCAGCCATATCGCTCTAGATGTGAGTCGCGCAGCTAGCCAGTTGTAAAGGCGGTCGGGCTCCGCTTGTGGTGGTCCTGGCTTGCTCCAAGATTTGCTTGGAGTCGAGAGGCGATGCATGTACGCTTACTCGAGTATCCCTGACGTGCGAACAGATTGGTGGCTCCCTGGCCAAGGTGGTCTACTTTACCCATTCTCGTCCACCGGTCTCCACGTCAGGTGAAGCGTCCACCAGTCCTTCATCTAGTATCGATGACGCCATTCCAAGGTGCTCGCCTTCAATCTCTACCTCTGCGTCCGGGCTCTTCTCAAAGAACAGTTTGCCAGGCCTGCACTCCGTGGAGCACGCGTCAGGAAAGGGGCACTCGCAACAGGTCGCCTACACCGCTGATGGGACACAAGCGGTCCCGTCTGGCACTCTGACGCCAACTTCCATATCTCGTGTCCCTAGCGCGTCCGAGTTGCGTCCGGACAAGAAGGCAGATGATGGCCAAGAGGATAATAGAAGTGGAGCGAGCAGTTCCGCTACTGATGCCGGTCGCGAAAGTCAGCGCGAGGGTAGGGGCCCAAGTCTTGCTAGAGGACGTGGTGGTGGTGGAAGCATTCGGTCCAGCCTATTCCGTCGACGCTCATTGCCCTCCTCCTTACCGGGCGGGAGACTGAATTTTATCAAATTCGAGACGTCCGACGTCGACTCGTTGTTCTTGTTTCTCTCTACACTCATCTCCTCGAGCGCAACAGCCAATGGCGTCTCCTTATCTTCCATGCGCAAGTCGGTCAAGCTTTCTGCGACCGGCGGCGGCGCTCACCGATTCCACGAGAGGCTGGAGAAGGAACTCGGCGTGGAGGTACGCAGAGAAGATGAGATGAGAGCACTCATCACGGGACTCAACTTTGCCACGCTCATTCCCGATGAGGTCTTCAGCTACTCGGACGAGTTGGTTAGCGTTCTTCACAGCCCCTTGCCTCGCTTTTCTAGCAGGTACAGAGGCAGCGCGCTAATAGGGACAGCGCCGAACGATGAAGAACAGGCGGACACAGCAATGTCTGCTTCCTTCTCCTCCATCTCTTCCGCGTCCTCTTCGCCCTCGCCGCCGACCAACGAGACCCGAAAACCACAACAAGCACTTCCACGTCCCTCGCCAGACCCTCCTCTGTACGCCCCCGTCTACGATTCGGATCCCTCACCAAAGTTGCCTTGCCTTTTGGTCAATATCGGCAGCGGAGTCAGCATCATCAAGGTGGACGATTTTGGCAAGTATGAGAGAGTGAGCGGAACGTCTTTGGGAGGCGGAACGCTTTGGGGACTGCTCAGCCTCTTGACGGATGCCGAGAATTTCGATGGTGAGTGCGCACGCAAGGCGAATGTGAAGGTCAATTTGGCGCCGCATACCTTTTGGGAATAAGCACCATTGGAATGATCGACCTGTAACGACGAAAGCATTGACCAATGCATATCCTTCCCGCTTGTCGCTTCTGGAAAGCAGAGATGCTCGAGCTTTCGACACGAGGCGACAACAGCACGGTCGATATGATGGTTGGAGATATCTACGGCTCTTCAGATGCACTCTCTTCGCTAGGTCTTAAGTCCAGCACTATCGCTAGCTCGTTTGGCAAGGTGTTTAGGAAGGAGCCAGGAAACGATTCGGGGGGCTCAGGTGGCCCCTCTGCACATAGTCACGAAGAGGCTCAGACGGATCAGGCCTCCAGACAGAGGCGCAAGAAGAAGAAGTTTAGACAAGAGGATATCTGTAAAAGCTTGCTGTATGCTGTCAGCAACAATATTGGACAGATTGCGTGAGTCAGCTTGAGTGTATAGCAGCTGCAACCATGACAATCGCTAATCGATGATGGCTTGCTCCAGTTACATGAACGCGGAAAAGTTCAATCTAGACAGGATATACTTTGGCGGAGGTTTTCTGAGAGGGCACAAGGCGACCATATCGACGCTGAGCTACGCTATCCGTTTCTGGTCCAAGGGCACCAAAAGAGCCTACTTTTTAAGGCACGAAGGTTACCTTGGCGCGATCGGAGCTTGGATACACCAAGTGGGACCGGCCGACCAGAACGCCGGAGCTGCATCAATCGCCAAGGTTGCGTCCACGGTAGGAGCAGATGCGCCGCCACAAACTGCGGACACGGGAGAGCCACTCGCACATTCTGACACGACGCAGACCTCTATGCCCAGCGCATCTTCCCAACGCACAAGAACAGGCTTGTGGACGCCTGCCCAAGCTAGCGATGCGCATCAGCAGCACGCTGCAGTCAACGGCATCCCATCTCCGGTTGTGGAAGTGGCAGAGCCGACACTTTCGAGGGACACACGTGTGCCGATCCGGCCTTCAAGTGACGCCCTGTCAGATTACACTAGCCCTCAATCTAGCGCTGCTCTGCCTTCTCTGTTGGCAGAGGCGCTAGGCGAAGCGCCGCTGGATGAACATCAGGGCAACGTAGCTGGCGCGCTACCCCATGCACAACGCGGGCAGCAGCCGAACGGCTCCGCGCCACACCCTGCGAACAATGGCAGATCTGCGCAAAATGAAGGCGTTGTTGCTGCTAGCGATGCTGTGGGCGACAGCGCTGACCTGCAAGCTCTCTTATCCACACTCGCGGTCGAAGATCGAGACATTTTGCAACCTCTACTATCGCAAGGAGCAGCGGCATCTGCTCGCTCTGCTCAAACTGCGCAAAACGAAGAGGCGCAGAGCATTGAAGATATGCAGGACCTGTTGAAGAGGATAGAGGCGGCTGATGGTGCGGTGGATGGGCTGGAAGCTAGGCTGGACGGCTTTTTGAGCAGGCTGGACCAGATACTGGATAGTCATTCGGAATGAAATCATCGAGGAAGCGCATGGCCATGCTGTTGTCCGCAGTCCAATGTGCTGGACTCTCCTCTACAGATTGCACGCTTGGCCCAGGCTTTTCGAGTACCGCCTGCCTAATACCTGATCTGTGAAGCGTGAGGACGAGCTTCACCCAAAATTCGAGTCTGATGAGTGTGCATAGATGCTGCATGCTATTTGAGATGATATTCATCGCAAATGGGGATCATGTATTCGGGTACATCTGTGGAGCGCGAGCTTCTTACCGCACGACACGCGGATACGGCGTGGGTTTAAATTCTGATCGTGCATGATGGGCGTGACGCCCCGCGCATTAATCAAACGCCACTCACGACTGCGAGATCTTCAGCATGATATCCTGGCCGTTGATGCGCGCTAGGAAGCTTTGAGACCAGAAGACAACCAAAACTGCGTCCGGCGCGCGAGCGCGTTTTAAAGACTTGGTCGTCGGCGTATGTACGCCCCTACCATCATATCGCTCGTATCCACCCCAACCAAAAGTCTGCACTCGTGACTCGCATTGCTCGTCTTGACCAACCTTTCAGCAAGGTGCTGTGCTTCTACTTGCCAAATCTGGGGTGGATCTAGACTCGCGGCGTGGTGTGGTCAGGTTGAGCATACCACTCCCGGATTGGAGCCAGGAGCGAAAAAGGGAACGATCGCAGTGCCGGTGCTTGCAGACGTGGATCTGTCGACTTGGCAACTACCAAGCTCGAGCGAATCGTGGCGCCGCAGCACCATACTCTACGCCCCAAAGCTTGCCGAGACTTGACAAAATCCCATTTCAAGTCCCTCACGTATCAGCACCCACACCCGTCGGCCCTTCGAAACGCTGATATGGCTCGCAAGCGGGCATCATCGAACCGGAGGCGGTCTTCGAGCAGCAAGCCAGCTGTTGCCGAAGAAGCCGCAAACCCCTCTGCCAATGGCCCTGCAAAGGCTGGCGCTTTGGCAGATCACAAGCAGTTGGAGCTGCTAGATGAGAAAGAAGCTTCGACAGGGCTTGGAGCGGAGGATCAAAAGGCGTTTGCGGTGCTAGTGGTGCTTTGTGAGTGTGCTTGATTCGAGTAGATTGATAGCGCACGCGAATGGGCATGTGAGAGGATCGCGAGGCGAGGCGAGGCGAGGCAAGGCGAAGCTGTCTTGCGCAGGTCACGAGCTCTTGAGAGCTACGACCCGCACCATCCTCTAGAGTCAAAAGTCATGCAAGCAGTCGTCTTTCCATGGGTACCAGTGGCCCAGCATCTCATTCAGCACTCCAGTGTTCAGAACATCTCCGTGCACACATCAGCAGAAAGCAGTGCGCCTTGTTCACTGAGTCCCATCGCTCAATTTCGGTCACTCTTTGCCCCATCCTCTCTGCAGACTTTCTTCAGGGTATACCGGCTGGTCTCGCTTTCGGCACTATGCCGTTCCTGCTCAAGGCACGGCTAAGCTATTCAGACGTTGGCATATTCATGCTGTGCACCTATCCGTATTCTTTGAAGTTTTTCTGGTGCCCCATAGTGGACAGCTGGTTCGTTCGATCCCTGTGAGCCTGGAGATGTGGACGCCAGGAGCAGCAGCTGCCAACATCGAGGAAAGTACGCTGATAAGACAGCCCCTTCTGCGCTCGTTGATCTCTTCTGGCGCCTCTCAGACGGACACCCTTGGGAACGTTGTCCCTCGGAAGGCGAAAAAGCTGGATCGTACCCATTCAGCTCATCGTAGGCGTCATGCTTTGGCTTTTGGCAGATAATGTGGATGCGCTCCTAAACGCGGTGAGTTTATGCTCTGCTCGCATCGCGTACACGGCCCTTGACAATTTCCGACTCCCTGTGAACAGTCTCGGCCTAATGTCTGGCTCATCACTGGCCTCTTCTTTGCGCTCGTCTTCTTCGTCGCAACGCAAGGTTTGTACTCGAGACTCCTTCCTGGATGCGTGCGAGCGTTGCCTCATTAACACGATCCCTTTTCAACGTCGTGACGCAGACATTGCTGTTGATGGTTGGGCCTTGACATTGCTCTCGGAGGAAAATTTGAGCTACGCCAGCACTGCTCAAACTGTAGGCTTGAATACAGGCTACTTTCTCAGCTTTACGGTGTTCTTGGCATTCAACAGCATTGAGTTCAGGTGGGTCAGCGCGCACAATTAGGTGTCTTGTGACTTCCGGTGACGCCTCCACTGGAGGCTAGTCGTGCGTCTCACCTGCGCGTGCTCTTTGTTGTTTCTCTTCCCTCAGCAACAAGTACTTCAGAGCGACGCCCCTTGAATATCCTTTGCTCTCGCTTCACGCATACCTCAAGGCGTCCAGCGTTGCCTTTATTGTTGTCACCACCTGGCTGCTTTTGTTCTACGAGGAAGATCCAGAAAATAGAGATGTGGCAGAGATGGACACGATGGACGTATATTCTCAGATTTCCAAGATCTGCAAATTGAAACGTGAGTGGAGATCTGAGCTCGGACGACGTCTGCTCACACGGTCACGCGCGGATGTACAGATGTACAACTCTTCTTGGTCTTGCACATGGTTTCCAAGATCGGATTTCAAGCCAACGATGCTGTGACGCAGCTCAAGCTAGTGGAGAAAGGTTTGGGAAAAGAAGACTTGGCCCTTGCCGTGCTTATCGACTTTCCCTTCCAAATGATCCTTGGCTACCTGGCTGCCAAGTGGAGCAAAGGTTCTCAACCACTGAAACCGTGGATATGGGGATACGTTGCTCGTATCGTGTATGCGGTGGTAGCCATTGGACTGGTAATAGGTGTCCCAACTTCGCCCATCGGCCTGCCATACTTTATCCTTATCCTCACTTCCACCGTGCTCGGATCTTTCGCCAATACGGTTCAATTCGTGGGCATATCGGCTTACCACACCCAGATCGCTGATCCACTGATTGGTGGAACCTACATGACCCTCTTCAACACCTTTTCCAACCTGGGAGGAACGTGGCCCAAGTACTTTGTCCTCAAAGCCGTCGATTGGTTCACTATTTCGCACTGCGCTTCGCCAGGCGTGGCTGGCAAGATCGAAGATTTGGCTCAGGCGGCCAGCAAGCTGGTAGGAAGCGCGTCGAGCGGCATACTGGAAGAATGCACGTCGGACGAGGGTAAGGCAAAGTGCCTGGCTGGAGGAGGAGAGTGCGTGATCGAGAGGGACGGGTATTACATCACTTCTGCACTGTGCATAGGCGCTGGAGCGGCCCTCTTTTTGCTCTTCATTCTGCCCACTGCTAGAAAGCTGGAAGCTCTTCCAGCTTCAGCTTGGAGGGTCACGAGCGGCAAAACGGCCAAGGCAGCTTGAAAGGCCGTCTAGCGAGCCGTCGCTCCCCTTCGGCTCCCATTAAGCCAGCTTTGCATAACCATAATTTACCCGCTTGAAGCAGACTCCGTGCGACACATATGAAAAACAGCGTCACCAATCGCAATTTGCAATCTGAATGACATTCAAGATTCATGAATTCGCGACAGAGAGCTGCGTGCCATGATGGACGAGAGGTGCGATGGGCAAAGAGCAGCAGTAGTAGCTTTGACACGTCGCTCCTCGCTCGCCAGCTTTGTCTGCATCCATCAAGTATGTGGTACAAATCGATGATTTGCAGATCGAGGCGTGGCCGAATCAAGAATGTCAAGTTTGAACGGAAGTCCGCGGATGTGCTGACGTCTTGCTATTACCAGTGTATGCATGGCGCTATCGATCCCAACCCTTGACGTGCTGCTGAGGTCACAAGCCAAAAGTGAGGATCAAAGCGTCTGTGGTGCATGCTCCCTCTTAACCCCAAGCTGATCTGTCCGAGGAGAAATCACGAATGGCAGGTGGGGCCAGAGCTTGCAGCTTCAACCCCTTGCTGGGCTTCGCGGATTCAGGTCAAGTCACCATGCAGCGCTCGCTCCCTTTCCCTCCCTTTCCCTTCCTCACTCACGCGTCACGACGCACGCGCACTGCTCGGCACGCTTACGTACCGCTGCTGCACCTTGCGTGCATCAGCAGACATGAGAAGCCCAGCTTGAGCGAAGCGGCGGAGGGGGACGTATGCAGGGTCCAACAGGAAGAATGCCACGCTAGAGCGGTTGTCGAAGGCTTGCTGGAGTTTGGGTTGGGCAAGGCGGGCGTAAGAGCCTAAACTTGCACCATCACCAATCAACGCCATCTCCTCCAGCAGCAGCTCCAACGCGGTCAAGCACGAACCTAGCTGAAGCAAAGAGTCGAGTCGGGGGGGTGGACGGCGCACATTTTGCGGTGCCTTCTCACTAAACGCCGCGAAAGTGGGCCTGCGAACGCCGAGATCATGTCTCGGCTCAGACCGCCTCAAGGCGTACTGACGTGCTTCTGCCTCGTCGCTCTCTCACTCTGCCTGGCTCCCTTGACCATCGCGCAGTGCGTCTTTGTCTACCTCCGAACGCAGCATCGATCCAACGGCGATGCTGCGCAAGCAAGACGATCTGCTGGTCGGAATGGCAGAGAAGATGCGTCGCAAGGACCCATCGCGCTGGTGAATGGTGGAAAGATGCAAAAGGCGTTGTACGTCGTTCGTGCGCTTCACAGGCAAGGATATCGAGTGGTCTTGGTCGAAGAGCGTGGATGGGGGTGAGTGGTGGTGGTGGTGGTGGTCGTCATTGTGCGTCGATGCCTTTGTGCTTTGGGTATGCACTCACCATACCCTGACCTGCCATGTGAATGCCCATCACATCGTCAGGGAGCTTTGCGCTACTCGATTCTCAAACAGCGTGCATCGTTTCGAACTGGTGCCGGGCGGAGGGGGCCAAGCGTACATTGACGCTCTGGTGGATCTGGCTATTCGATTGAACGCAAAGTTGTTCATCCCATGCAGTGGGGCTGGCACCACGATCGAAGATGCCAAGGCTGCCGAGCTGATGAGGGCCAGGGGCAAGGTTCGAACGTTGATTCAGGATGCCGATTTGGCCGAGGCTCTGCACGAAAAGGTGAGCTGCTGAGCAAGTGCGATGCACGCTGGCTTGCGTTTTTTTTTTTTTGCCGAGCGCGCTGACCAGCTGCGGTGTGCCGCCGCCTTTGCAAGGATCGATTTGTCGATCTGGTGCACGAGCTAGGCCTTCAAGCTCCCACTTCCACCATGCTGCACACACCAGACGAAGCTCTTGCTCATCTGCGCGCACAAGACGCTTCACGAGGCGGCGTCTTGCTCAAGGCTGCCACTGTTCTCGACGATGTGGGTCGGTCCGACATGACGACTTACCCGCTTCAAGATTGCGACGGACAAGTTGACTGGGAAGCTACGGAAAGGAAGATCAAGTCGGGATTGAGCATACCCCTTTCAAAGGACACGCCATATGTTGCGCAGGAATTTATCGGCGGGGAAAATGCTTCTGAGTGGTGCACGCATGCCACGGTGTGGAATGGCACCATCACCGCCTTTGTGTGCTGCCCTAGCGTGAGCCTTGCATCGCGTACGAGAAGTCACATTTGTAAATTGACATGACCGCCTTCAATATCCGATGTCCACAGAACGACCTCTTGATGACGTACCACGACGCGACGCACGCTCGAATCGGTCAACTAACACTTCAATGGACGCGCGATTTTCTAGCGCGTCTCTCATCACATCCAAAATGGTCTTTCACCAGACTGACCGGTCAATTCTCCATGGACTTCATCTATCAGCCCGCCAGGCAGAGGTTGGTGGTGATCGAGTGCAATCCGCGCGTCCATACCGCCATCTGCTTGCTGAGGGAACGAAAGGAGCTGGGTCGAGCTCTGGATGGAGCTCAAGATGAGCTTGTAGTGCCTACTGAAGGGACTCGGACGGTCTCGTGGGTCGGTCACGACATCTTTGCCAGGCTGCTACCTAGCGTACTTTCCCGCAGTATAGTCGAACATCTCTACGGCTCAGCGGGTCTGCAGTCCTCTGCACCGACAAGATTTGTGCCGTCCAACAAGGACCAAAGGGGGCACGCGGATCGCTCCTACGATTTGGAGCAGGTGGGACTGGACGGAGCATGGGACGAAGAGGACCCTTTGACCTATTTTGCCCTGTACCATATCCAATGGCCAGCGCTTCTGCTTCGACAGGCGCTCTTGCGGCGCAAAGCCTTTTCTCGCATAAATGTCAGCACGGCCAGGATATTCGAATGTTGACCTGCCACGCGCGCTCGCATCCGCGACATCAGGCAGGATCGATGGTGCAACTGCATTGATCTCGCTTTTGACTCGAACTCGAACTCGAAGCAGGTCACCAGCCGGCCCACACCCTGCGCTTCTCCTCGATACATCTCTCCAGCTCGGTTCTTGGACCGCTGTCTGGCAGTGGCACCCTTTCGCTGGGCCTTATCCTCACGCTTCGAAATATAGGTTTGGCTCGGTTCAAGAGGCAAAAGATCCTCAAGGATCTCATGGCGTGATAAGGTTCCGCAACGACGGTCAAGCTTTCCAACAACTTCCTCTCCTGTACTTTGCTGTTCTTCGATGTTGGCGATGATGTCGAATGCCGATCGATCCTCGCACTGCCATGCTCCTCGGCAAATCCTTCCATTTCGGACAGGAGGATCCAAACAAAAGCTGCGTTGTCCAACGTCGTCCTCGCATTTCTCTCGCACACGACTTTGTCTCTCGGCACTCCTGCGCGAAACAACTCTTGCGCTATGCTGAGCGCTTCGCCGTGCGCATTGGCCACGGCCGATCCGGTCGGGATCAGCACGCTGGATGGGTGCGCCCGCGAGAGGGCGATGCTGCGATCTATGCGAGAGCGGAGTGAAGGACCGATCGATCCGTCCGGATTGACCGGTACGCCCAAGATCACAATGTAATCTGAGCCGAAGCTGGACTTTGAGCTGTAGCATGGCTGGGACAAGCTTGACAATTGCTGCACTTCGCTTCGAGCTTGCAGAGCTTCGACAGCTAGGGGAACACCCTCTGACACTCCTCTTTCCCACAAAAGCTGGCGCAACTCCCACTGCGCTACAGATCTCTTCCGTGCAGCTTCCTCCCCCTCGGCACCGCTGCGAGCGCTGCTTTGCATTTGCTTTCGTTGCTGTGGGAGTAGAATGTGGGAGTAGCTGGGGTGCAGTGCAAACCTTTGGGTCCGGTGCAAGGAGAGGATGCAGCTCTAATTCCTCAATGTGAATTGTACTTTCTGAACGGGTTTCTAGAGAAGCCTTGGGGAGGCGTGTAGATGAGGCTTGAACTTTTGATAAGCGGGTCTTTTGTGTCCATCCACACACGTCAGCGCTATGCCTTTTTGACCTGAAATCCTATCCGAGGTGGAGCGCATCGCAGAGAAGGGGAAGCACAATGTAGATGGGTCAGCAAGCAGTCGACGTGGCCTGCCATGCCTGCTAATGCCCAATCGCACGTACTTCTGCCGAAAGGGACGTGTCACAAGCCAACGTCCAGAAGCCTAATCGGAGCTTGAAGGTTGGTGATCATGCGATGAGCCTTTTTGGAAGGATGGGGGGAAAAAAAGGCCAAAATGCGCGCGGAGCGAGCGTCGATCGAGGCCGAAGGAGGTTCATGCATCATCAGCAGGGGGATGCGCGCTAGCAGCACAGCCTCTTCAGAAACGCGCGCGGTTTGCTGTGTTCTTGATGCATGGGCCTGCTGACAGGCAGAAGACCAGCGATCCGTGCGGCCCCGCGTGACTTGCAGCAGTCCCCCACCCTCCCTCGTCACAAGTCGCTAAACGAAGAGGAATAACACCCACACCCACACCCACCCTGACAGCTGACATTCTGATCGAACACTGGCCTTTCTGATCTCGTGATCGACTCAGGGTGCGCTTGATTTGCCCTCGAAAGCAAACTTGGCACGTCTTTTACAGTCGTCATGTGAGCAAATCTGACGTTGGAGATATTTCGATCGTACGAATATGAATCACAATGTCGCATCGACACACACCATGCATCGCGTATAGTCAAATGTGGGATCCACATTTGTGCTTTGTGAGTCAGAGTCAATCAAGTCTGATGATGGCATATATGGTGATGTGAGGGATTTTAGACGCGCACGTACTCGTGCACTCCCTCACGACTCAACACTCGCACCGATTCGAGGTGATGCAAGAAGCACAGCACAGCACAGCACGCACGCGAAAGCACATCCACACACGCGTACGCTTGGATTCCATCAAAAGGATGTAGCACGGCTTAATTGCTTGCTTGCTTGCTTGCAGAGCTTAATTCGAGATTCGTGATGGTTGTGATTCAAGATTGTTTGTTTGTTGCGCCCGTCGTGCGTGCGTGCGTGCGTGTGACGTTTGCGCAAAACATTAATCAGCTATGTATGCGGTGCCGCGGCGTACAGTATACCAGCAAGCATGCATGCAGCATCAGTCCAAATCTTAATTGTGCTGATGATGCGCGGCGTGCACGGCAAAACGTGAGTCGTGAGTGGTGATCGAGTTTGAGTGTTGAATCCGTGCTTGCTGTCGCGGTGCTCGCAGGCGCAGTCTTGAGTGAAAATTCGAGGGCGAGCTATATAGTCGATCGAGTAGTGCTGCAGCTGATCGAGGGGAGTCGGGAGTCGTGAATCACAACACGTTGCGGATCGCGAGTCTGATGAGTGCATGGAGCTAGCTACGCGCGCGAGTGTGAGTGTACCAAGCTGCGAGCCTGACCTCAGCTCGCAGCCTAGCGCAGCTTGCCCAAATTCATCCGCAAAACTTGCCCAAATTCATCCGCAAAACTTGCCCTCTGGACTCCTACTCCTTCCTTTCTGCTGCATGCTCAGCAGCAGCAGCAGCAGCAGACCTCACTCACGACACGGCAGCAGCTGCTTGCTGATCTTCTGCCAGGGTCTATTCTAGTCAGTCTACTTTGCCAACCAGCGTCACGCATCAATCACACAACAGTCTTGTGTCGTGAGTGATCTGCGACGTACTGTACGTGCGATCCGCCGTTTAGCGCGCAGGGACCTCAGATCGGGCCGCAAAGCTCCCGAACAGCCGCAGATAGTGTGAGTGTACAGGTACCTACAGGTATAGATAAATTCATGGAAGCCACGCTAGGAGCGCAGGGCATGCAGCATCGATCAAGCAGAAGGGAAATCAGGCCACTTCATAGGCCCGCGCATTGGCATTCCATTTGCAAGGTTTGCGACTCAGACTACATCTTCGTGTACTCACAACTCGTGTGAGACTCGCTCGAAATTCTCACTCGAAACATTTCCACTTCTCTCCTCGCATTCATAACGTGGAAGCGCAAGTTCGGATCTCGTCTCATTAAGCCCCTTACATTGGTCTCCCTGCACGCAAGTCTCGCCTCTTCGCTCTTGACACCTACGCATCTTCGTCGCAAGCTGCTGTCAACATCATTCCCAGCATTCCAATTCCCGCACTCATCATGACGTCCCACGCAAGCCTCGACTATCCTTTCGATGCACCTGGCTCCACCTTTCGAGAGCAGATGCGGGATCTGCCATACCCCGCATATCCCTTCGAAGGTCATGCGCTCCTCTCTCGAATCTTTACCCCCGCCTTCTACTCTTTCTCCCTCTCCCCCATTCCCGTCTTGCTCTTCAGCCTGGCCTACTACCTCACCTCTCACACCGCCAACCATCTGCACTCGGCCCCGCCTACCGACTGGACAAAACCCACTGCAGCTGCAAAGAACGGAGGAGGAGGAGGGGGAGGACATTTGAGAGCAAAATTACTTAGATGGATCATCTTGGCTCATAATGCTCTGCTCGCAATCTACTCGGCCGCTACGTTTTTCCTCATGGCACCTCCCGTCTTGGACCTCTTCTTCCAGGGTTGGAGGGCAGCTGGAAGCGAAGGTGAGCTTCGCATTGGACGGACGAGGGAAGAGAGACTTAGCGGGCCTTGGGTCCGTCGTGCGCGCAAGAGGCAGACATGGCAACTAGGTGGGGACCAGCAGGTTGCTTGAGCAAAAGCCTCGATGTGCTGCTGTGCGGAGGTCGTGCAGCATACATGCGTGAGAAAGGCCAAAGCTGACGCTGAGGACGTCAATCTACCTCCCAGGCTTGACATTGGCTCTCTGCTCCATGCCAACCAATGATCCCTACCTTGGCCGCTGGGCGTACATTTTCTACCTATCAAAGTACTACGAAGTGATAGGTAAGTCTTGCTGAAGGAGAACTTGAGGGCAAGGACGACATTGAGGAGCACGAGCTGACCATGCAGCCACGCATCCGCAGACTCGCTTATCTTGTATCTCAAGGGAAAACAGATCGGACATTTGCAGAGCTATCATCATGCGGGAGCGCTCATTTGCATGTGGATTGCTGTCCGCTACCAAAGCCAGCCGGTCTGGGGTGAGTATCACAAGCTTGCTCCAGCTCCCAGACTGTCCTCAAGGTCGCACGCATGGCTGACCACCAAGCTACCACTTTCTTAACCTCTCGCAGTGTTTTGCGTCTTCAACTCCTTTGTGCACACCTTTATGTACTCTTACTACTTTTGCAGCGCCATGAGGTGGCCTTTTCCTCGCGCCCTCAAGAGGAATCTCACCACCATGCAGATTCTGCAGATTGCCAGCGGTGAGATCAGACCAAGCATAGACGTTCGATGGAGCTGCCAAGCTGACCCTTGACTGTACTGCATCTGCTCAGGAACGCTCTTGACAAACGTCTACCTGCTCGTCCGCGTCCAGCCCGCCCGAGTGCTCACAGCCTTGACGAGATCTCAAGTCTCTACTCTGCTGCCAGCAAGCATCTTCGCAGCAAGGCATCCAGCTCCTTCGCAATTTTTCTCCGGTCTGGTCAGGAGCGATCCGGGCAGCTTGTCCACCTCTGCTGAGAAGGCGATGCTGCTCGGTCATTACGCCGCCCAGAGGGCCCTCACAAGAAGCTCCGAGAGCTGTCTGCAAAGCAAGGGTGCCGAGATGGCACTGCACGTCAACACGATGTACATGACCGTGAGTGCTCGCGCAAGCAAGCTACGGATCCCCGTGCAGCATAATTGCCTCCTCTGCCTCGCCCTTTTTGAGGTTCTACTTTGGCTGACGGGCCTTCTCGCTGTCCCACACCTTTACCCCTCACAGCCCCTGCTCATGCTCTTCGCCCACTTCTTCATGCGCAGCTACCTCAAGCCCAAACCCAGAGAGAATGGTATCGTCAGCGGCAAAGCAGTGACAAGGGCTGGCGAAGCAGGTCAGAAAGCGGCGAGGCAGATCGAGCGGAGCGATGTACCCTCTAAGTAGCTCTGTTGCTGCTCGCGGACGATCGGAATGCGACTCTTGGGCACTGCCATTTGCACCCTGCGTAACGACTTCGTCAAAGTCGATACCTGATCCGAAGTCTTGGCTTTTTTCTGCTCAGCCATCTCTGCCGACTATCCTCATCCTGCCAAAATGTACCAAATGTACCACTGAAATGCTCGCTGCAATCCAAGCACAACTATTTCCCAACGATTCAGGAGCCAGCCACCCCAAGGTGTGACGCGAGCGAGCCACTTCCTGCGGCGGTGGCCGCATGGCGGGGTGATGCGTAATGCAGGACCTTCTTCAGACGCAGATGACGACTTCGCTGGTTCAGTGTCATATTGAAGTGGTGAGTGCTGATGTTAAATTGAGTAACAGTGACTTGAACGAGTTTCAGTCGGGCAAGGTAGTGTTGCGCAAGGGGCGGGCCCCTCTCGCATAGCAGCAGCCCTTCGTCTGTAGATGAAACACTGCAGCTTTGCTGGCCTAGTAAGGTCGAGCGGCAGCCTGGCAAGCCTTCAGTTGATCCAAATCTGTGGCGGAATGGCGACATGGACGCAGGTGTAAAAATTCAGCTTGACGGGCTCCTGGACATGTCAACGCGCAAGAGATGCATCGACTCACAGTAAGAGCAAGACTGCATGTCGTTGCCGGTGGATTCGAGGCATCGAAGAAAGTCTGCGGAGGCGAATGTGTGAATAACGTCGAGTCAGCGAAATGCTCGCATCCACACCCGAATGGTCAGCGTAGGCCCCCGCAAACCGCGCCGCGCCGCGCCGCATCGCAACGAGTTCGAGCTGAGAACCCCTGCGATCCAACCCCACCACTCAGCGCCATCCTCTTTGCCGTCTACTGACCCTTGCTCTGCAGCTCGCAATTTCCAGCAGTCCTGGGGTCTTGACTCTGAGCCCAAGGTTGCTGCTGCTGCTGTGCTTGTTGGGCATATTGATCGGGGGCCGGGGCAGCCGCTTGACCTCCACCTCCAAAGAGCATGTTGGAGATGCCGTGGCCCACAGTCTGATAATTGCAAAAGGCGAAGAAGGAGGAGCGCAGCTATGAGTAAAATACGTGAGGTCACTGAGCGCAGATCGATGGCTCATAACTCACCGAGCCGACCGCTACACCTGCTGCGGTCGAAGCCATCTGAGATTCGTGAGCGCACAACAGCAAAGGTCAGTCTCGCGAGCGATCCGTGTTGGCAGTAGGAAAATTTGACACAAAAAGCAACGCACCTGGCCAAACAGACCTGGTGCTCTTTGCTGCTGAGCGGCGGGAGCGTGCATCTGTTGAGCTGGTGCGTGCTGAGGAGCAGCCATGGTGTGCGCACCGCGGCTACCGGCAGGAGCCGAGCGACCTCCGCCAGAACGAGAAGAGCGAGGCATGCTGAGCGAGTAAGGAGCTGGTGGATTCGAAAGTAGTAGCGTGGACAGCTTTGTCTTGGGGTGTTGAGAGATGTGCGAGGTCACTGAGTGCTAGTTCTGAGCGGGATGGGGTGAAGGTGGCAAAGGGAACAATCCAGCACTTGCATGCAACGACCCCGTTAGGTACCTGCGTGGCTGACCTTCAAAACGCGTCTGACTGGGCCCCGCTTGGGCCGAGCCGATCAGCAAAGCGGCTAGGCGGCGCGAGTGGAAACGTCTAGCAGGGAGAATCGATGCGCACGTGGCCTGAAGCGTGAGCACACGCGGCCGCGTGCGGTTTCGCTTTGCCATCCTCAGCGCGCGGTTGCTTCGCTCACCTGCCTCGTCCCGCCGCACGCTCGGTCTACAGACGTGCGCGTCGAGACGTCGATGAGCTCAGCGTTCTGACGACGAGCGCGATTCGCCGTGCCCTTAGAATACAATTGCACTCCGATATCAAGGGTGGGGTACATACGAAGCTCGAGGTGTCATCCTAGGCGTAGCGCTGAGCGAATGCTCGCCCCTCTGAAATTGAGCTTCAAAAGCTTCAACTGATCCGCCAAGCACACCAAAAGCGTCCTGTGTCAATCTACCAATCTCTTCCAGCTGCCAAATGAGGTCCTTCATAGAGAGCGCGTAGCTAAAGTAGAGCAGGTAAGCGCTGCTACCTCTGACCGCCCTCCTCTTTACGGCTGGCAACTCTCGAATGGTCTCCAGCAAAGCCAATCGAGACCTTTCGGCAGGTGGCAGGTAAGGCGGCATCGGCGTCTTGAGGTGAAAAGCACTTCCAAGGAGGTAAAAGAAGAGCAGCACGTTCCCGACCATTTCCCTACGCACACCAGTGGCATCTACCGGCACCACGAAATCGCTCCGAACTCGGGTGTGCCAATCTCGTCGCCCAGTGACGCCTCTCATGGCATGCAGCTTGTCCAAGATGTTTTGACAGCAGCCCAAATACTTTTTGTACGTGCTTACGGGGAATGGTCCTTTGAGTCGGAACTCGTGCTTCGTCTGAGCAAGCAACCCTTCCAAGCTGATCAGTTGAACTTGCAATTGGAGCTCCATCGCTTGCATAATGTCATCGCCGTGCAGTGCGCTCTCGAGCAGCGGTGCAGCTTCTTCCAGGTCGTCGTGTATTCCGACCAGATCCGAGTGCGGTTCTTCGTCGCGAGGCGGACTTGAGCTGTACGTCAGGACAAGTCGCTGATACAAAGCAGAAAGGTTGAAGAGCAACTCTGACAGTCCATAGGCCAGCTCGCGTCGAGCTTCGAAGGGCCAGACCAGTGAATTCATAGCTGTAGCAGACACGACACCAATCACCACGGCAATGGCCCGTCTGATGGCTAGCTGCTCAACATCCATCCCTTCTCCGCGTAGCGTGTACGAGTAGAGGGCGACGAGGTTGTAGGTGACGATAGAGAAGCGTCCGGATTGTGCCCGCACCGGCTTGCTGATTATGTAGTCGAAGCACGGCAGACTGTACAGAAATCCAAACATCGCCAAGGCGATCCAATTGTCCTTGAAGATCATCCGAGCAAAGTAAGCGGCTCCTGCGCCCACGATCGTCCCTACAGTCTGATGAACCACCATGTTGTTAGACTGTCCCATGGTTGGTTGCAGAATGACCATGAACGTGACGATGGCCCATTGCCCTTGAAATTCGAGGAACACGGGCCGCGTAGCGGTGATGAAGGCAGGCGAAGCAAGCAAGGCGCAGCCAATGCCCGCTTTGAGTCCAAATTTGGAATCAGGCTGTCGGAGCCATTGGCCGAGCTCCCAAACCCATCTCGCGGCGCGTTGCTTGAGCGTGCGAGCAGCGGGTGTCTGTGCGGTGTGCAGCTGGTGCCGCTTGTGCGAGGGCCAGTCCGGCAAAGTACGAGTCGAGTCCAGCGACAATAGGTGTGCAAAGCGCTGCCACACATTTCTCGTCCTTCGACGGCGAGCAAATGGACTTGGCTGGCGTCGTCGTTGCGTCAAGAAGCGCCATGGACGCAGGCACGCCCAAGGAGTCAGGGCGCTCTGTGATTCTTGTCTTGCTTGCCGTATGTGGTCCATGACGCTGATTAGATGCTGCAGGTCGCGAGCAAATTCCTCGAGCAGGAATAAAAAGTAAAAGATGACAAAGACCTCTTCATCAGCCTGGAAGCCCGGACTCGCACCAAGCATAGGTCCAATGCCGGCATCCTCGCTGTCGCTGGCTTTTTTGGCGAGAGGGTAGACAGTGTACAATCTGGGAGATATCGCGAGAGAGCATCAGTCAAGGCCTAGGATCATTCAGAACAGGTGACACGCCCGCCACTCACCTCTTAGTTGAAATGTCTTGCTCGTGCTGGAAGCGCTTTAGGCCGAGTGCAACGTCTTCAGCAAGCGGTCGAAAGCTGCCACCTTCGCTCTCTGGGAGGGAAGGCGAGGCATTTGGGGAGTTGGCTGCTGCAGGTCGCGTGCCAAATGCTGACCTTAGATCGTTCAAGCTTCGAGCACAGGTGAACTGAAAAGCACACCGTGTGAGACATGTGTATCCCGGCATCCGTGAGCTTCGCGCATTCTTACTCACTACCAGACTACGCATGTGCGGGCCGACTCCTTCGAGAAAGGCATTGAAAGCGACTGCTCGTTCTTGGAAATGCGCCGCCTCGGCTTGCTCGTCGTTGGAGTCGTCTTGGTCGTCAATCAGCGCGCTTAGTGGACGTCCGCTGACAGCGCCAGCTACAGCCATGTTCTGATCGTGTTCAGGCATTCGAATGCCGTGTTGCTCGGCAGCTTGCCTCTCTACTCTTTGCGCTGCCATAATGTCGTGCTGAAGACCACATGAACTACGAAGACCTCCGAGATGAAGTGCCAGACCGTTCATGCACTCCACTACGCTAACGTATGAGCTAATTTGACCACGCATGCGCCAATCGAATGGAGCCTCCAACTTTGCTTCTCCCAGATTCTTTTTCAGCTACGGAAGCAAAAGATGATGATCAGCCATCTCGAAGTCGGTCGCTCTCGAGATTGTAGCTCACGCTGGTGAATGAAGCGTGCAGATTGTCGCTGGCTTTCTTGATGCGATCTGCTCGAATATGGAACTCGTCGGGATCGTCCAAAAGGAACGTCTTGGTCAGGACGCGCAGCAGGGTGGCGAACCCCTGCAAGTTCCGCTGAATGTCGGACCTATGAATCGTGAAGCGATTCAGGTCAGATGGGAGGTCCAAGTCGATGTCGCAAAATGTTTGAGTCACTTACTCTAGGTTCGTGCATGCGCTCTGCGGCCAGAGCAAGAAGCAGACGGTATTGGTGACAAGTGCACCGACTGCGACCACCAAAGAGACATCATACACCTTGTCCGTCTCGAAGCGGCCAAAATGCGTGCCGCCTTCTTTTGCAATGCTGCGAGAAGTGTGGCGAGCTGAAAGCGTCAGCTCGGCAACAAGGAGAATGTCCCTGCCCGCATCGACAACTCACACCGTGAACACAATGACGCCTATCAAACTTGCTGCTGAGCTAAAAGCCGGACGAACAAGTTTGGCTCGCGTGTAGCCCACCAGTCCCATGCCGCACCCGATAAAAAGCACCACGGTCAGGATGTTGCTGAAAGCTGCGAATCCGGCTTGATGAAGCGCTACAGCGGTGATCATCGATACCAGACCCAAGGCTATGGAGTAGACGAAAGCGAGGGCAGCAAAGATGTCCGCTTCGATCATCGAGCCCATCGATCTTCCTGGATGGAAGTAGACGCTGACTGTAGCAACCAGAAAGAGGTTGGAGATGGGTATGGCCACGCCGTCCCTATCTGGCAGGATATCCGCCATGAGCTGAGATAGCAGCGGCGCATAAGTAAAGAGGGAAGCCAAAAAGTAGGCAATGGCGCACTTGAAGATGTCCTTGTGAACAGGCCGGATACGTGAGCCGTTCATCACTTCCCACAGCGTTCGCCAGCTGCGCCTGGGCGAAACTTCCGTCCTAGGCACAGCAGCTTGGAACGGCTGCTGGTCCGATCTGCTCGGCTCGCCTTCATCATCGCTATCATCCAATAACCTCTTATCCTCGCTATACGCAAGCGGATCTTCGCCTCGCGGAATATGTTCCGGATCCGCATCGATGAAGGAATCTGGCTCTTCGCTGATGGACTCTGCATCGCTCGCAGATGTTCCGCGAGCCGAAGAGTGAGGCCCTCTTCCAGGACTCAAAAAGCGCGTCCACTGCCTCCGATCCGTATGGCTGGGAGAAGTGGCCCTTTGCGTCTGACGAGCCGTTGCGGTGCGGCCCCTCGAAGTGGTGGGACTGCCGAGAGAGATGATGGACGAGTCGCCGGGCTCATGACCCAAGCTGGCCGTGCTGTCCGACAAGACCGAGATGCGTGCATGTTCCAAATTCAACCCGGCGCTAGAGCTTGTGCCTCTCCCGTGTCTCGCATTTCCGCTCGTAGCTGTAGAATGTCTAGCAGAGCTCCTCTTACCACCGGGTGTCCTGCTCGGCTCCTCGAACAGCCTAGCCAAACTTTCCCACTGCCCAGCACTCGCTCCTGACGATCTATGATCCTCCTTCGCTCCCTCTCTTCCCGATCTCAACCACCCGCTGAATTCGTCCCTGTGTATCCAGGCTTGATCCGCATCCCTTTCAGCTCTCGTGGAGCTGGATCGCGCAGCAGATGCAGCCCTGATCGAAGCTCCTACGGCTCCCCATAATCCCCTTTGGCTCGTCGTCGCCTCTGCTGCATGGGGCAAAGACTGAGCCAGCAACGCTCCCTCCGCGTCGTTGTTCTCCGCATACCTATTCTGTGCCCAGCTAGCACTGGCTGGTATTCCTTGCGGCATTGCCCGTTGTGGTGTTGTTGGCGTCGATGGGGTCTGCAGAGAGGCCTCCCGCACAGCGGCGGGTCGAGACCCAGAGGCGGACATTGTGCTCCTCTTGAGCGCTAAGACCTCGTCAGATCGGACGCGCGCGAGCGAGCGACTGTCTTACCTCTGAATTCTAGACTACCGAGCTCGGCGAAGCGGGCTTTCGAGATGGTCAAGAGGGAAAGGAGGGGGAGGCATAAGAGACGTCAGCCACGCTGTGATCGCGCTGACAACTCTGACTCTTGACTGTCACGGTCCAACTGCAAGCCAGGAACGCGGACTCACGACTCGACTGGCTGCTTAATTGCTGCGCGCGCTCAATGCTGGGGCTGGCGCGCCTTCAAGTCGTCGCGCCGCCAAGGCCAAGAATCACGAATCCTAATCAATAAAAAGCTCGCGCCTCAGGGGGGCTGTGCATACATGCACCCGCCTTGGCTCGAAGCATCTTCGCGCCGTTCACGGTCCACGACGGCGGAGAGCCAAGTCGTCCGTCCATCCATCCATCCATCCATCTCGTCAAGAAGTCGCCTTCTTTGGCTGACGCTCACATTCACGACATTTGATTCGCGCCTCTGTCTCGTTGAATTCTGCTTTCGCTTCAATGCTATGAGCCAACAAAACGTCGTTGTATGCAGCGATGCGGCTGAGGTCAAGACGACACGCGAGCCGCCCGCAAGGAGTCGATAGGTATGCGAGCATCGAGCTCGAGGTATACGATTCGGAAGTCAGGCAATGCAATACAAAGAAGGTATCGACGAATAGTTTTGCGCGTCACTCTGAGGCAGAGAGGAGCGGGTATAAGATCGATGCGCTCAATCGACTTCGAAGGTCAAGGTACCAATGAGCGAAGTGAAGGAGGGTGGGAAAGCAGCTACTAAGCCTAGCTATCACAATCTACGAGTCGCACTTCATGACGATGTTGCCGTAATAAGGGCCATCATGATCGTCTTCATCGTACTGATAAAAGTGTACCGAGTTGGAGCAAGCGTCGTTCTCTTGTCCAGGGCAATCCACTGCCGTTGTAGCTGCCTCATTCAGCCACACTTCTCCGGAAGGCGCTTGGTAGCCCAGCGTCTCTCCTGGCAAGTGAGGAATAGGATCTCTATAATGAGTGACGTGTTTTTGTCCCGGTAGGAGATTATCGATGGCGCTGGCGAATTCGTCGTTGCCGCTACGGGGCAGACCAAAGAGGATCACCTTGACGTTGGAAGATGGTAGATTGTGCTTGATGAAAGCTGCGTCCAAAAGTCCGATGGACGCGCCGAGACTGTGACCAAAGATGGAGATTTGAGAGCCTGGGTATTTGGAGAGGGCAGATTTGACCTGCGAGAGCACCTGATCCGCCGTGTCGAGCCAAGCGTCTTGGAATCCCCCCACGACGCTCGCATCCGCGCCAAGGAAGCTCAAGCGGCTATCCAGATCGTCCCTGATAAAGTTGGCGTCGTTGAGCAAGGAGGACAAGCTGGATGTGTTGGTGCCTTGATGAGCGACTACGATTCCTTGCGATTTGGAATAAGCCACGTAGACTCTTTGCGTCTTTCTGCCGTCTCCCGTAGCCCACAACACTTGTCCGTCGTCGCCCACCTTGGAGCCGGCTTTGACGGATGGGCAGTACGAGTCTCGAGCAAATTTGGCTGGCGCGATGAAAGACGATAGTTCAGAGACGGAAGCGGTTGTCGGGGTCGGATCTCTTTCTAGCACGGGTGCGGCGAGGATCGCAAGCGGGGCGGCGATGGCCAGGATGATGTGAGCAAAACGCATTGTGCGAAAGAGACAAGATGGCGTACACGAAATTAAAAGAAGGGGGATTTGATGAAAAGCGTCCGCGGATTGCTGGACGATAAACGGGAGGGTCCTGCGGGCTGTAAGCAGCCTTGAGAGACGGTCCAAAGAGAAGTAAAAGCAACACCTGATGAGATCGGAGAGAAAGCTGGGAATGTGGAAGGCGAAAGGGAATGAGTGAGGGGCAGTTGGCTCATAGTGAGGCCCTTTAATAGCGCTCGTTCACTCCCGTCTGTGGCTCCACGAACGTGTGATGCTGAGGCTAGCGTCGAAACCTTGCGCCAAGCTTCCGACGCTAGCGTCGCCAGAGCCTTTTCATGGCAGAGGTCTGCTTAAAACGTACAAACAAGATCCGAGCAGAGCTCAAAATTCATCCTGTTAGCCCGAAGCCAACAAAGTAAGAGCACGTTCTGGGCTGCACCGGCAAGTCAGCTTCTGCATGGCGTCCAGCTAGATGGACCGGCTCGCTCGGCAATCTGTCCGAGAAGGTCAGATGCTGCTTGCTGGTGTGAACGACGCCGACGCCAAAAGCTGCAGCTAGTCTTGAATGCAGGACCAATGAAGCAACAGCCGCATACAAGCAAGCCGAGTCGAGCCTCGAGGCATTCCTCTCGCTCATATAGTAGTACTACTACTAGGTAGCGCAAAGATCGTGCTGTTTGATCTTCTGTTAATCTCGGATTGTGATTTCTCTGAGCGTCAGTGACCCATACAACAGACCATACAATTTTGTGAACTAGTCGAAGCCTGGAGCGAGCGTCAAGGTGGATTGATCCGTCGGAAGCTGTTCCGCTCTGCAGGCAAGGCTGATGGCGCAGGAGACGTTGCTGAGCACGCGCGGAAGAAGCTAAAAGAGCTGCCGCTACCGTGACTAGCGCAACCTTTTCCATGCGTCCTTCGCCGACCTGCAGCGGCGAAAGCATCCGCGGCCGCGCGCGCGCGCCCACACAGACGACAGCTCGGGCGTGCGCATGTGCGTGGTGAGGGAGGCTTAAGGGAGAGGCGAGCAGCACCAAATGTGGGACGCGCACGCCTCTACTTGCTGCGTGATTGACTGACCACGTCAACAAGAGTCACCTGGTGATGAGCAAAGCAGTGGCAGATCCGTGAGTGGGTGAAGGAGACGAAAGGCTCAGCAGAGGTCTTGCGCTGGAGGCTACAAGGAGGTTGGATGAGGCGCAAGGCATGTTCGATGAGAAACGCCCAGATCGAGGTCGAAGAGCCCAGCTCGCGAAAGCGCGCATGAAGAAGCAGTTGTGTATATACGATGCGTAGCTGCCAATTTGAAGGTTGGGTCCAGAGTTGGGGCATTGAAGGATTATGATCTGTGATGAAAGCCGGGGATGAGAGGGTCACTCGAGTCGCTTTCGAGACGGGTGCGTGCGTGCGTGCGCATGCGCTTTGTTGTTCTTGCGTCGCACACCTAGAGGTTGAGCTGCTTGTAGACGGCCTGTAGCGTCTGCTCAAAGTGTCGGTGCGGGGGTTGCGTCTCAGGCGGTGGCAGCGGAGGAAATCCAGGCTGATCACCTTCCGGTCTCTTTCCCGGTTTCCCATGTCTCTTGTTGTTCCTCTCCGCAGCTTCTATGATGGCAGCGACCACGAGACAAAGGGTGAGATAGAGCATCCAGGCCCAGAACAAGGCTGCCAAGAAGCGGGTCACGGGTCTGGCCCTTCTGCCGCTGCTTTGTGCGGCAGGATTGGCAGCGTGCGGATGCGTGGGTCTCACACCACCGAGGTGCGCGACTCGAATAGCTCCTGTTGGAGGTGGAACTTGATTGGGCGTCAGTATCACAATCCTGGCAGTGTGTGATGGCTGATAAGGCGAAGCACCGTAGCCTGGGTGAGCGGCGTGAAGAGGAGAAGCAGAATCGCGTTGACCTGCCGCTACCGAGTCCTCGTAGGATGGTGGAACGGCGTTTGGACCGTTTGGGTTTGTGGCAGCAATGGCACTGCTGCTGCCCGCTTCGCTACCCTCAGCCAAGGAGGGCGCATCCGCATCCTTCTTGGTTGTGTCCAGCGTCATGTTGCGCTGATCAGCTGCTGATCGGTAGACAGGCCAGGCGGTGAGAGTATGCGGGACTGGGTGAGTTGATGCGACCGCCGAGGAATGATGATCGGGCGTGAGGTCGCTCTCGAAGAGAAGGCTTGGATGAGGGTCACTGAGTCACGAACCAGAAGGCGAAGGGTATGATGGTGTTCAACGTGGATGGCTCTTGATCACAATCACATTCACAGTCATAAGTCAAAGTCGCACTCATCAGACTCACCACTCAGACTTGTGATTCGATGAGTGGATGCGAGGGAACTTCTCTCACTCAATCACCCGACTCACGCGTCACGCGACTGAACTCAAAAATCTAGCTGAGCGTTTGGGTGGCTGTGTGGGTGGATGAATAATCGTGAATGATGTCACGAACTCGTGACTCAAACTCGCTTCATTCTTGATTGACTGCTGCTGACTCTGACTGCTGCTGCTGCGCTTTATCAAAATTAGGCTCTTGACTCAGCTTCAACATTCAATTCTTGATTGACTCGCGATCACGTGCGCGTGCGTGCCTGCGCCGTACCCCTACCTTCACTTCAAAATTCAGCCGACTAAGCTTGAAATCAAACTTTGATTTGATTCTGAACAAGATCTTGTAACAAACGGTGATCGATGCCGCTAGCTGTGTGATAAGGTATACTCACGATTCTCAATTTGATTGCTTGTTGAGTCACAGAGTCACACCAAAGTCGAGTAGGTGGAGTAACGGGTTTTGACTGGGATTCACCGGCGAGTCTCCGTACCCTGCGTCTCCCAACGACATCTTCCTCTTTCACACTCTCTCTACACATGTACTAGCCCTTCGACTCGTGACTCCAGCCTGGACAGTTTCTGTACGCATTCAGATTCCATCTCGCTAATCGAATCTCGGATCACAATAAGCCCCGCCCCCTCAGCTCATCCGCATACGTGATTGTCATCCCTCCTCCCTCTGCAGCATTCGCCCCAGCAGCACCCCTCAAGCATGTCCGACCCCTCCTCGTCCACGTCCTCATCCACATCCAGCGGCCCCTCTAATCGAAATCCCACCCACGTTCTCCCAGCTTCAAAACCTGAGCAACAACAACAAGCAGGTGTGGGAGAAGCGCTCAAGAGTTTCAGACCTGCTCAAGCTGCAAACCGATTGAGTTCTGGAAGGGTTCATTGCGCCAAGCAGAGCCTGCTTTTGGGAACGGCTACAGCTGCGGGTGTGGGGGGAATCAGCGCTTTGGCCGGAAGGGGTGAGTAGTCGATCAATGTGCAGTGCAGTGCAGTGCAGTGCGGTTCGGACTGGGATGACGGAGCGTGCTGGCTCAGAACGCTTAGACGGTTCGAAGCTGATGTTACCCTCATGTACGACGCCGATCTTGCTCAGGCCCGAAGAGGAGCTTAAATTGGGGCATAGGAGCATGGTTCTTGATCACAATCAGCAGCTGGTGAGCTTCCCTCTTCTCCCCAAAGAGTGTGCTCGCCTTGACGACGTTCAAACGCGCTTTCCATCTTACCCCAGGGAGCTGTGTAGACGGTCTAGAGCAGCAGAGGCACAAAGGATGAAGATTGCCATAGAAGCCTTCAGCAAAAAGAGGGCTGCTGCGGCAGGTACGAGCGGCGGGGCAGGAGGGACGTCTGCACCATCATCGCAGAGGTGAAGAGCAATCGCAATGCATAGGAATCAGAAGGCGACCAGCACGTCACAAGCCTTCGCGTCTTGTTTGAAGCTGCTCGGGGGGTCAAAAAGCTGCTTCCAGCGGGCTTCCACCGGACGAGAAAATGGAATGGGGATATCGATTGGCGGACGAATGACGTCGTTGGAGATGGGTAAGATACAGCTGATACGTGGATGCGGCGAGAAGGTTCGATGAAAGGGCAGCGATGTAGGATGGGCAGCAGCAACAGCGCGGAAGCGGAATGATATTGATAGAGAGGGCGAAGGCAGTGGCACAAAATTCGTCGAGAGCCGCAGGTGATCCGCAAATTCGTACGACTCGACCGAACCTGGCTGGGGCTGGCGAGGCTCTGAAGGTCGGGAGCGCGTCTGAGAGCTGGTTGTCTAATTTAGAGCGCGCTCCAGTCCATTTAGAGCAGCACGACGGCGACGAGGACGGATCCTGCTCCGATAGTAGCGGGCCAGTACGTAGCAGCCATAGACAGAGCTCCATCGCGATGATCTTTGATGAGCACGAGGAAAGAGCACAGCTTATTCAGTCTCTACCTCCAACGCTCGTTGGGATGCGGAACGACGAAGGCGCAGACTTACAGCGGTTACCCTGATCATCGTAGATGATGTTGGGGTTGGAGTTGCTGTTGGTCGCAAGGGGACGCGAATAGGCAGTGTAAGTGGTCGTGGCACTGGACAAGAGGGAGAGGACGAGAAGCGGGAAATAGGTCATAGATTGCGTCAGGCGAATGGGGTCGATCTCGACTTGTAGATGTCGATGATCGGATCGGATACGGCGAGCCTCTTGAGAGCACGGAGGACCCTTACGCCGTGCCGCCAGGACGATACGCGGCTCGATCACTCACGAGTGCGAGTAGCCATTGCCGTTTCGGGTGAAGCTCTGGTTGTGAGGGAACGAACAGCGTCAGCATCGTTGAAGTGCGGGTCTGGGGGTCAGCTCAGACACTTTTGAACCCACGTTGTCGCCATCGCCATCATCGCCATCATCGTCGTCGTCGTCATCGTCAGCACCGTGACTGTACTCCCAGCCAGTGCTGTCGCGACGAGCAGCACCGGCCTGAGGAGCGACCTGCGCAGCGTCGGCGATCGCAGCTGGAAGGGGTGCGCGAACAGCAAGACCTTGCTCGGTCACCTTGTTGGTCGGCATAGCTGCGGCTACAACAGCCAAAGAAGCTACAAGAGCGATACGAATGAGAGAAACTTGCATCTTGCGCGTCGTGGAGGTCGAGTGTAGATGGTGTGAGGGGAGATGCGCTTCGTTGCGGAGTAGGGAAAATTGCAAAAGGACAGTACTGGTCGATCGATTGGAGGAGTTGGATACGGGTGTGCCAGCGAATCGCGAAATGGAGTGGGAGGTGGGAAAGGAGATGTGGAAGGAAAACAAGGTCAAGGATTGCCAAGACTTCCTCTTTATAGACGTCCAGACGAACTCGCACCGGCTGCGCATTTTGCCAAGCATGAAATCGCTGCGGTACATTGACGATTGCTCGCGTGCCACCCTGATTGCTGTTGTCGTGCCGCACTGAGCGCCTTACAAGCCTTGGCCAACCGACTCGTCTGGCGTGCAGATTCGAGGAGGGAGGATTCAACGGTTGACCTGCAGGTTGGAGCTCTTCGGTCTGCGAGGCGGCGCAGAGCTACACCCCGGTAGCTCAAGCAACGAGGCTGGCTCTTTGTGAACCACTCTTGACTCAAAGCATCGTCTTGCCCAAAGAGCATGTCCGCGCCTTGCTCGTGCCTCGACGCTCCTGAGAAGCGCCGGACAACGCCGTGCACGACCGCCGTCGCGCCAGGCGTAAGGTCTTGAGCCCTCCGGGCGCTCGCAGGTCACAACCGGATACCATGACCCTCACTCTCCGGATGCACGATTCGGAAACGTCGAGGCATACCGTGATAGCGCCTTTTGTGCTCGTGACCAACTCGAGGTGTTGCCGGTCACGGGTAGGCTATGTACTTCCCCTTGTCCAACCGCGACACTTGCGCGGTCTTGGTCTGGAGCGCATCAACGCCGAGTCCGGAACCCGTTGGGCGGTAAGGCTTGTACGGCACAAGCGCGAATGAACCTTCTCGCGCGCCCTCCATCCACTGGCCAGACCAAATGCTCGAGAAGCTCATCTGTTGGATAGGCCCAGTCACGTCTCGCGAGCGAAGCGTGTCGTAAACGACTGCAGTCGTGAGTAGGCTCGAACTGGGGTCTTAGCGGAGGTGCATGCCTCGAGCGAGAGCCGTTGGGCGCGTCACGCGCGAAGAAGCAAGCACGCGCCAGCGAGCGAGCGAGCGAGCGGGCGACCCCTTGCGTCCAAGCGTAGATCTGCATCACTCGATGGAAGTACGGATGCAAGAAGCCCTTACTCAGCCTTGCCTGTCTCTCGTGTTACTTTAGAAGGAGGAGGCCCGGGCCTCAGCTGGCCGATGAATATGCTTGGCGCTTGTGGATCAGGCACAGATCGCCCCCATGTGTTGAGGGACTCCTGCTGTCAGTCAGGCGGGAGCGCGTGTTTCCCAACCTACAGCTTAGCTCCTGATTCGAGCAAGCATCGTCGGGTACAGATCCTTCTCGACTCGAGAACATGCCGTCAACTTCCACCGTTCACGATCCACAAACGTCGCGGACACAATTAAGCCCTTCTAGATGACGACATGCTCCACTCAAGCCGCTTGTGCACGGAATTGCGATGCTGGTTCACGGGCATGAGAGCAAAGCTTCAATGGGTCCATGTCGCCCGCCGGTCGCGAGAGTTGCTCGGAGCCACAGCACAGGACCCTGCTGAGTTGCCGCGCGGCGAGTGCGCAGCTGAAGCGGCGCACAAGTATTCATGCTGGCCGGCTCCATGCTGACAGCCGAAATGGCCCATTTCAGGCTACGGCGACTTGAGAAGACATAAAGTGCGTGTCGGAGTTGCAAATTCTTCGAGCGCGGCTGGTTTCGACAAGTCGGAAGCCGTACGTACGTACAGCTTTCCTCAAGACAATCGAATCGATGTTATAGATGCGATCATTTTTCTCATGACGTGTCACGCCTGCTGAGATTAGGAATGGTTCCGCGCAGGAGTCATACTACCAGACGAAGCATGAGCGGAACTCGTCCTTCGCGAAACACTTCGTGGCTCGTCGTCGGACGTCGAGCACCTTGCTGGAAGCAGGCGAGGTACCGAGAGTCGCGAGTGCGGCAGTGCGCATGTCCCAGAAGGGAGCGGAGTCTGGAGAGCCGACTCGTGATTCACACTCGTAGAGTCGTACGCCCAAGCAGAAGGGGCCTCGGCTACAGTCTTGAGTTACACGTGTGAATATATACATGCAGCTACATTTACGTACCGCGATGCCGCTGGCTCGGAGCGGAGCGCCACAAAAGCACAGCCTCTATAGCCGTGCTGCACCGGGGTTGCTTGTGCTGATTGCTCCAGCTCAGCAACATGTCGTATACAGCATGCTTGTGGTTGTCCATGCAATCATATGTAAAAGCAAAATGATCGTTTGTAAGGCGGATTAGACTTCTATCTTGAAGCGGCCGTAGTCTCATTGCAGCTTGACTTTTGACTTACAACCTTGTTGTGGGTCAAATTCACGACTTTTGGCTGACGCTCACAATTTGAGTGAGTATCGAGAGTCAAGAGCCGAAGGCGCGTCGCAGCATTTTGCACGCCTGTGGAGTCTCGCCTGAAGCAGGAGCACGGCAAAGCAGCACCCAGCAGCAGCATGGCGAAGGTGCCAGCCAAGCAAAAGACGCCGGCGGCTTCTTCTCCTCCTGTCGCGTAGCCCGGTGCAGGCACATGCACAGCTTGTTTAATTTTTTTTTTTTTTGATTTTTTTTGGGGGTCAACACAGCGCTGGCGCCTGCTTTTTTTTGTCCTTGACATTTACATTTGAATTGAGCACGACTTTCGTTTACCGACACCGCATAGGGGCTTAGACCGCTTTCAGCAGCATCGGAGGTTGGGATACCGTGCCTTTCAGCTGCTGACCGTGCGTGCGCATCGCGCAAGCGAGCGGGCGAGACATGTGTGATTTGCTTGCTTCGCATTTTCGCAACGCAACGCAACGCACCGCATCGATCGAGCGATCGAGAGAGAGAGCCAAGCAGTGCGGCTCGCACTGCTCGCATGCAAACCTGCGGCATCTTGCTTTTGCAGGAGAAGCAGTCAGAGTGCGAGTCGACATCCGGAAAAAGGTGGATTGTTCACGATCCTCTAGAGCAGTGATTCACTTCGTGATTCGAGGTGTGCAATCGTGAAACAAGAACGGGTGCTTGCAGGAGCGATGAACGAGGTTTGAGTACATCGCAACTCGACCCTTGCACTCGTGGATACCAACCACTCACCTACACCTCTATTCGGTGCTCGCACTTGCACACCTCACACTCACTCACTTTCTGGACAGCGTGAATGCGCTGCGTCTATCGGCAATCGCGCCACGTAGAGCATTCGCACAGCCCGGCGCCGTGGGGTCGGAGCCTTGACTTTTGGAGTGCGCACCTAGCAAGTCGCCAACAAACAACCTCTCACCCCTCGAGAGCACGCCAGGCGCGACAGATCAAGCAGGCTCGGTCCTCTTGGCTCCTTCGGCTCGACTCTCCTCGATCCCAATCGTGAATAGACGAAGCGCTCAGCTCTTCCGCGGAGCGGGCGCAGCAGCAGCATAACCATCGATTGGTCATTCGACACTGCTGCGCAAAGGTTTCTTTCCGTACGCACGACATACCTACTGCTTACACCATCGCGCTCATCTACGCCGGACGCACAGTGGGCGACTCGGGCCTTAGCTTCGGCTCCACAATCCTTCCACGCACAGTCTGTCGGAGAGGAAATACACCTCGACTTTGATCGGACTCTGGTTGGGAGTCGAGGAGCGACAAGCGTCGGTTTCCGCGCGGTCCGAAGATTTCGCACATCGCGCGACTATAGTCTCTTTGGCCCATACTCTCGGTGAGTGTGCGGATGTAGCTATGCTTCGCGATGAGTGGTGTCTGCGCGGAATGCGGTTGCGATCAGAGGGGTCAAAGCCGCAGACAGCCTTGCATGGATACGAGGGAGGCATGATGAGTCAATGTCGCACCTCAAGCCGAGATAGCTCGATGGGTGTCGGCTGCGTTGATTGCAGATGGCTCGAGCGATCGCTGGGACGCATGGGTGCAGTCACGAAGCTACGTGAAACTCACGACGTATATGCTGCCTCGTTGGTGCATGGCTCGAGCCGCGCAGCTGTACATGCTGGCATTGCCTGCCTCGAATGCTGGGTTTGGTGTTTGAACTCCAATTGCAGGGCGCATCGCACGGCTAGAGTCGCTCAGATTTCGATGCATGCTGGTCATATGCCTCAGATGCTATGGCTACGCTGGCATGATGCGAGTGCCGCCGGTAGCTCGAGGCGGGCCATGAAGGACGAATCAGAATCAAGGTTCGTGATTGATTCAATTGCATCGCGAGTGTTGGCGTCCGCCATCGAAGAACAGCGCATACGTGCTGGTCTGCTCTGAAGCGGAGGAATGGCTTGCGTATATCCATCACAGCATCAGCGCAGACTCTATCACTGCACGAGGTGCGACGATCGCGCTGATTGCTGATGGTCTGGCTCATCGATTCGCAATCGAAGCATCGTAGCTGCAGTGGCACGAATTGAGGTCAAAGTCAAAGTGCTACCACGCCTTGCTTTGCGCCTCTTCGAGCGTCAACAGCAGTCCCAAGTCATCAGATGGGCGTCTGGACATTTACCAGCAGCAACTGCGCCCAGACTCGTTTGTCTCGTTCATTGTAGCCATTATGCGTTTGTTTGCGCGTTCTGTACGCTGTTCGAGCGGCGCTTAATGGGGGGCTTGACGATGCATGATCGCCATCAGCATGGATGGTTGGGGCGCGCGGTCGTTTTGTGTACACTGGTGCCGGAGCGAGACTCGTGATTCACGATTGCCAAACTGCCTTGATTGCATGGGCGTACAACATCGATCTGGCTGCGCGCTGATCGTATGAAATGTAAGGGTAATCGAGAATGAGGAACGACGGTCAGGCCATATAATCACGATTCACGATTGCTGATGGTGCTGGCCGGCCGGCCGGCAGAGGGGGTGCGCCGCGCAGTCACAAGTCAAATGTGATTGGACTCGTGCGCGCGATGGCATGGCCGGGTCAGCCATGCATGCCACTCTTGACTCTTATTGCTTTCTTCTTTACTCGTGGCTGCGCGCCACACTTGCCTAAATTTGGTTTGGTGATTCGTGATCCTCATTCAGATTGTGGCCATCAAAATGAAGCCATGGCGGTTATGCAGAACATCTGCACACGCACACGCACATCTCTGAGGCTATGGCGTTGATAAAGGACGATCGAGTCAAGTCATTCCCCTCCAACGTCGAGCTTCATGGCCACACTCAGGCCGCTTTTCTGCATGCTGCGCGCGGTCTATCTGTGCACTAGCTGACGATACCATCACCTTGCTCCGCTGTCTCCTCAGACCACCGTCTTCGCGCTTCTGGCCGCAGTTCAAGACGGCACAGACAACTTGGCAGAGCGCGCACTCGAACCAACTCGCTTACATCTATCTGCACGCTCATCATCGACCACTCTCGACCCTGTCCACCTCCGACTGCACTTGCGGCTGTCATTGTCGAGGAGATCCGGTCCAGCGCCTATTGCTGGGCTCAAATCGCCAAAGACGTCAGCGCCACAGCCACTGCCCCAAGGGGCTGGTCTCGGCCAGCCTCTAGTGTCGGGTCAGCAGGATGATACGCCATACAGGGACGGCATCCAGCTTCAGCCTCCTGCTGTGAGCGGTGGTGCGCACGCTATCGATGCGGCAGCAGGGATGAGTAGCGGTCACCACGCGCGACAACCCAGCCAAGGGCAAAACATTGGCTATCCGATGCAGCCTGTTCAGCTGGCTTCTGCTATCTCGCATACACCCGCTGGCTCGGTCTCTGCCCTGCCTCCTTCGACCAACCCAGCCTCTGCCAGCTTCGGCGCAGCGTCAGGCCAAGCGCCCACTCGCACATTTGCCGCCTTGCCTCGCAACCGCAGCGCGTCGGGGTCGGTGCAGGCTCATCGAAGGAATGGCTCGAGCGCAGACTCGTTCGGATCTTTTCCTTCTTCTTACTCTGTCAACGATTCGGGTTACGCCGTTGAGCACTCTTTTGATGGCATGTGGGGACACTCTACGATGCCGCAGACGCCTGGAGAGCACTCTAAAGTCCAGACGGCTTTCGCGGCTGCCCTACAACAACAGCGCCAACAGCAACAGCAGCAACAAGCTCAGGCCCATGCCCATGCCCATGCCCAAGCCCAAGCTCAAGCTCAAGCACAGGCGCAGGCACAGGCACAGGCACAGGGCTCGTCACAGATGTTTAGCCATCCTCATCACGACGCAACACACCCAAGCCATGGCGCTCAACCCAGCCACCCAAGCATGCCTTCCCAAGGTCAGGCTGGCGCCGTGCCAGTCTTGCATGGCTCCCACTCAGCTCAGCCGTCCCAGGACTTGGCTCAGCAAGCAGATTTCTTTACCTCTGGAAGCCTGTCTAGTATGCCCACCAGTCAGCCGGCTTTCCAAGACCCATTCTCCAGCTTGATGGATGCAACCACATCCCTCGCCCATCTCAACGCTCCTGGCGCTAGCTGGCCTACGGCTGACGCAACCAGTGCCACGTCCAACGACCCCAACAACTCGCTTACTCCTCGCGCTCTGGAACAAGGAGAGGCGAGTCATGCCCAGCCGTCACAAGGAGCCCAGGCTCACAGCCTGCAAGGCGCAATCTCGGCGGCTCATCAGAGTATGCCTGGACACCATCACAGCCCTCACGCTAGCATCCAAAGCCGCGATGTGCAAGCGATGGGTCCGCCTGGCGTTCAGTCACTGCAACGTGGGCAAGGATTGCCGCCTTCGACCTCGGCTCAATTGCACCAAGCTCGCTCGAGCGCATCATCAGCTAGCGGTCCGGACCACGCAGCGCTCGAGGCAGAACAGAGTAGCGTCGCGGCAATCGGTCAGATTGGATCCTTGTTGGAGGCCGTGGCGGAGCTCGCCATCAACGCGAGGGATCTGTTCCTCCAAGGAGAGCATGGTGGGAGCAGCCAGTGCTTAGGCGACCTGCAGCGTAGTCTTACCCAGATTGGCGAGCTTGGATCTCGCAGTGCAGCGCTAGTGCACTCCGAGAGCTCGGAACAGTCGCTGCAGCCGGCGAAGATGGATCCTCAAGATCAGACCCACCGCAGAACAGGCACTATGGACAGCGAGAGTGCGCGCAAGAGGGCCCTACCCGTGCTGGAAGAGCTGGATGTCATGCCTTTCAAAACACTGCGAGCACAGGATGGCACGCCCATCGAGCAGCTTGCATCTGCCCCGCCCTCTGCTCCGCCCTCGGCACCTCCAGGCATGATCAAAGCGCCAGGTGTGGGTCATGTCCAAATCCCTGTACCTCCAATGTCGGCTCCTCCACTCCACCACACCGTCTCAGCGCCACAGGTCCCTCAGCTGCACACTATCCAGACGCAATTCCAGACCAGCAACGAAGAGGCTGGGCAGGAAGACGGGCACCAAAGTCAGAAACGCTTCCGCACAGCGCAGCACGATTCTTCTCAACAGCAGTCGCCAGTCACACCACATACGCCTTTTAGCCAATTTGTGGCCAACCAGCTTCCCTTTTCGAGCTACGCGCAAGGCTTTGCGCCTATTCCTGCGAATCAGTACTATGATGGTGACGCTCGGTCGCGCAGTCAGTCTTCGGCAAGCGAGTCCCTCGGCGGTCTCGGGCTTGCTGCGGACCTGGGCAGATCGGCGCAGTACAACCATCTCACGAATGGCGTAGCTGGGGTGGCCTTGCAGCAAGGTCAACACCAACCGCTTCGCCCGCCCTCGCCCGAAGACACTGGCTTCGAAGACGCTCAGGAAGACGTTGCTGATTCCGTTGCTCTAGCAGCTGGAAGGTCCAGGAGGGCAAGCGCAGCTCATGAAGACGGAGGAGATACTCAGAATGACAGCGTCGTGAACAAAACGAGCGGGTCTGCCATCTCTCCGGAGCTGCGTGCTCGACTTGACGTCGTCTTTTTCGAATACCTCCGCGGCGTGTGCTCCGATCTAGAGGCGACCGATAGCCACGGCGATCCGATTCACCAAACGCTCATGCCCAAACGAAGTGAGTTGAGTGCTCCTATTGCGTCGAGTGCGTTGCTGATTGTCCCCGCTTTCTCTTGCAGTGGCTCGCCTCGAGCAATCAGAAGACTTTCGGCCGTTCAAATTCCGCATCCAGGCATTCACAAATTCCTTTCAGGATCTTGTAGGCCAACGACTCGAACCCGGCGTTTCTGTCAGGACAATCAAGCTGTACCTCTGGTCCTCGCCCTACATTTCTCGCTTCGCAAAGAACAGCATGCCATCCGGTCAATTCAGCAAGCACAAGTCCAAAGGCTCGCACATCTACATCATCGAGGCGAAAAAGGTCGGGACGGGATCCACCGCTTCGGACGGCACGCCCATCTCGAGTTGGGACTTTCGCCAATTCGAGCCGTGCATTCCCAGCCCTGCGCAAAAAGTGGCCTACACTAGCGGAGACTTGCTGTGGCAGTGGAACGTTCGCGTCTGGCATCCACGACACGCCTCTGTACGTGCCGTCTACAGTCTTCTTGCGCATCCTGCGTGGGTGAATTGGAAGGATGGCGACCACACAAGCGGCGTTCTGCTCGGCTCACCCGGGCCCGATGGGCAGGGCGGTGAAGTCCGCATCCAGGCACACTACGTCAACGATGGCCAGCTGCACCGTCTGGAGCACGCCTTTCATCTTGCGACCGCAAAATTCGTACCAACAGACAAGAGCGCGACTCAGAGCCTTGAAAGTACGCAGGACGAAGACGCGCACGAGGGAGCAGAGCAGGACTTCGCGCCTGCTGAAGATGCTGTGATGGCTTCGGCTCCTGGAGAAGCTACTCGGTACGAAGTGATCGATCCTCAACAAGCTCCGCGCGTCTTGTCACAGATCGCCTATCCGTTCACTCCCCCCGTGTTCAACAACGGCGTTTTCTTTGCGCCTCAGGCTCCAATTGAGAATCACCGACAGCAGCCTTCCAGAGAGTCGCAGCATGGTCAGGACGGGTCGCCTTTGCGTCCTACAGAAACGGCACTTCCTCCAGCGATCGATCAGAGACAGGGGCAAAATGTACCAGACATTAATCTGTCAAACATGCTCCCTCCTCATCTGCAAGCTCAAGCTGGTCAGGCCCCGCTTGAGCCACAGAAACAGATCCAAGCCAATCAAGTTCGCGCCATGCTGGAGAGGCAACAAGAGCAAGCATCGTCCTTTCAGCTCTCCCTACCTCCTGAGCGGGCGGCTCGAGCAGCTGCAGCTGCCGCGGCAAATTCGGCCAGTCAGCAAGGACCCATTCCAGTGTCGGGAGGCGCTGCGTTCCAGTCCCATATTGCAGGCAACCATACGCCCATGTCTTCGCTACCTGGAGATGTTCGCGCAGCTTTGCCTGCCTTTTCGCCCCTGGCTTCTCACTCGGTCATGCCCAGCAATGCTGATCCCATGCTCTCGCCAGCGGTCGCTCTGGACTTTGATCCGCTCGCAGAGCATGCTGCGCAGCTCGAACAAATGCAACGAGCAAATCAAAATGCTCGCCAGTGAGCTGCAGCGGTGCCAACAGATTTCAAGGCACCTTGGCGCGCGCTTTTCCAGGCTTTCTACCGATTCGCACTCTCATCCAGGCGCGCAGGCCGGGCCCCGATCTCCGCGCACCTCTCTCCATCCCTAATCTTGCGCCCTTGTTCCAGACCTAACCCGCGTCATCGTCATTGTCCTTTTCTCGGGGTCAGCTTTCGTCATCCGCATCATCACCAGAGGCAACCATGCATCAGACTCTTTGAATCCGTATAGCAAAAGTGCCAGCCACGAGCACGAGAAGGTCGTGCTGCTTCCTTGCGGCCAGCTGGTTGCGCCTTCTTCCTACCTTACACCATCTCACCGCAGTAATCTCGTCCGATTCAAAATGCGTGCCTTTGCGTCATCGACCGTTCTCTCCCTTTCGCCTTCTTCTGTATCCCAACGCTCCTTTTTCCAATCCTCGCTGGTCCAGACATCAAAGAAGTCTTTTGGCACGGCGGGCATCTGCTCGCACGCTGCAACTTTCCTCGCCTCGACTTGGTCCGCTTCGTCTGCTGCAGCACGGCAACAATGCATCCACGCTCCTCTCTCTTCCTCGACCAGCCTACATCCTTTCCTTTTGCTTCTCCCATTCTCCTCTCGCCAAACCGTTTCCCCCGTCTCCCCTTTTCCCCGCTGGCGAAACCGCGTCACCGTATACTAAAAAGTCACTAGAATGTTTTCCGCGTATAGTCGAACATCGAAATTCGAAAGGCAAACAAGAAAAGGGCACTCGGAGCGTCGCGTTCTGGCAGCGCTGGCAGCTCACCTCTTTCGTTCGAGAAAGCGAAAAAGAGTTGAGCGTGAATGAGCGTCACTTGCGGATCAAGCCCAAATCGTAACCCAAGGGGAGGAGGGGGCTCAGGGGACCGGTTTGTGAGAGCGTGCAATGAAGCTTGGGCGACGAGGGTCGCGAGGGGCATGTATTCGAGTGGTGACGTGTAAAGCATCTTGATCGTTCGCGCGAAAAAAGGGGGGGGGGCGATGGTGCTTCAAACTACTGCTGCACAGCACCGAAAAGTGGTCGAGAGAGCTTTGGAGTTAGCCAAACAACGTCTTTCGGGAGCAAGAGCAAAAAGGCAAAACTGTTCCGGAGAGGGGGAAGAGAGAGAGAGAGAGAGAGCTCACCAGATCGTCCACATCTCGCGCACGCAACGGCTGCGCCTTGTGCGCCTCCGCCTCTGCCTCTGTCTCTGCGTTCAAACGGCCCATCTCGATTCTCTGACCCTGCTGCACCTGCCTCTCCAGCAGCTCCTCTCGCACCTCTTCTCTTTGCCTGTTGGCCCGTGGAGCTTGTTCCAGATCCGCTGCTGCTAGATTGAGATATTCGGCGACGAATAGACGCATCAACATGGTCCAGCCGTAGTTTGTGCCGTAGTCCAATGCAGAGGCGTCATCCTGCAGTCGCAAGCACGATGCGCATGCGAACGGGGATGAAGGGAGGAGGAGGAGGAGGAGGAGGAGGAGGAAGAAGGATGTGTCAGAGTCTGCGTAGCTGGATGCGGACGGGGGCGGGGATGGAGGCGCGGGTATCATGGAATGTGGAAAGACGAATTGGGAGAAAAAGGGGGATAGATACGCACCTTCATGGTGTGCCAAACTGCGGGAAATGGCGTGGGAATGAGATGAAGGATAGGCACTCCATTTGCAAGAAAGGGCAAATGATCATCCTCTATGCCACCCCACGCATGTCCACCGAACCATTTCTCATCATGCCTGTTGGGTGTCTGATTAGGTGGCCAAAAGAGCAATTCCTGCTGCAGCCTCTTTTGAGCTTCGGACAAGCGCGTATTCAACCAGCTGGTGCCTGGAAAATATGGAGGAATCTGTGGATGACTAGCTCCTAGGAGGTCGAGTAGAACTAGGTGCTCTATCGTGTCGATGCTGCGTACAGGCCTTTCGCTCGCGAATCGAGCTTGAGACAGACGCGCTGCTCCCACTGGTGGTGCGTGCGGCGGCGAGTGTGCGGAGCGAGTCCAATTGCTCGCCAAATCCCTTCGAGTTTCGGGCAGCCAAGGGAAAGGGAAAGAGAAAAGCGGGAAAAAGAGGGAGCGCAATGGGGTTGAGCTTTGCTGGACTTTTTCAAAAAAAAAAAAAAAACAAAACAAAAAAAAAAGAAAAGAAACCAACGCGCACACGATTGCGTCCCAGCACTCCCGACGAGATGAAAGCTCCCACACACTTACTTGCTGCCATATATGCTATCTGTGTGCGTCCACTGTCCATAAGCTTCTTCGCCGTCGAAAAAGATGAGCTGCAAAGTGACATCCGATCCTTTACCCTTTCCTTCCTTGGCATACCTCCTCTCCGCCTTGTCCAGTGCCGCATCGAGGGCAATAGCGGTATCGACGATGATGGCGCAGGGAGCAGCGCTATCCGTCGCACCCAAAAACCCTCGTGGCAGCACTTTGGAATCGTAATGAGCGGCAAGCGTAAGACGTCTAGGACTAGCTGGATTCTTGGTGATGACCAGATTGGTCATCTTTTTGTTTCCATGCGGCGTCTTGGTCTCAAAGGGCAACGTCTGCACGTGCCAACCCAAAGATTTGGCATCCTTGTTCAGAGCTTCAAAAGGCTCCTTTAATGCATCCAACACCTTTTTAGAGCCTGCGCTCTCGGGCACGCGAGGAATGAGGATGCGAGAGAGGAGAGAGGTGCGATCTCGATGATCTACGAATCGAGCGGGATCGCCCAAAGCTGGGATCAGCGAGAGGTTCTTCAAGCGCTCGAAACGCTTCTCCAGCGACGCTTTGCGCTGAGCTGTGCTCGCTGTCACCAGCAGCAGCAGGCACAGACCCACGCAGATCACAGCGCTCTGACTTGCCCAAGCTCTACTGCCCCCTCTCAAAGTCCATGTCGACCTTCTCCTTCTCCTGCTGCTGCTGCTGCTGCTGCTGATGATGGTGGTGGTGTTGCATCTCCGGTTGACAATTCTGCAGCCGTGCTGGCTGTTGCAGCGAGATGGTCCGCCTGCTCGACTGAGCTCGCGCTCCTCTTCACGCTGCTCCTTCAGACTAGATGGCCCAGCTTCGTTCCCCTTCCCATTCCCGTGCCCGTTCCCGTTGCCAGCCCACCACGAGACTCTTTCCCACCGCATCGTGGCTCGATCTGTCTGCAGGTGTCGCAGCGACCGAGGGCGTCGAAAGGGTGTAGAGATGAAGGTGGGATTGGAAGAATCTTGGAAAAGAGAAGTCGCACTCGTAGACTTGGCTTTGGTTATTGCCTCCTTTTCCTTCCTTGCAAGCTTGTATTTTGATAGCAGCAGTCCTGCGTGCGTGTGTATGTGTGGACGGTCGAGGCAATACGCCTGAAAGATTGCAAGAAAGCTTGGACTTGACGCTCGAGTGCGTTGCCCCCCCTTCTCTGCGTCTTCGTGAGTGTTGGATGGTGGTGAAAGGAGTTTAGCAGGTGGTGGGGCGAGCGCCATGTATCCTTGCGCAAGCTTGGTCCTGTATCTTGCGCGGGCGCAGAATTCGCTTCGTTGGCCGAGGCGGGCGCCCACACACGCGTGCGCGCGCACTACGGGTCTGTACACTCACGGCTTTGTATGAGCAGCGTTTATATTAGAGTCCAGAGCGTGAGTGCTGTGTACCGCGGTCTGTGTAGCTGCTGAGTTATCGTATATGGCGACCGCGGTGGCTTGATTGATTCACCATTCGAGATTCAAGATCGTGATTGGTGATTTGATTGCTCGCGTGAGTCGCACATATGCATTTGAGCAGCTAGGCGACGATCCAGAGACAAGGTGATCCTCCGTCGGCGTTGTTGATTGCTAATCGTTGGTAATGAAGGCAATTAGTTGGGCCTTATTGCTGGGTGTTGGGCGTCATGGGCAGTGACAGACCTTTCAGCAGAGCTTAATTGCATGATGTCCAAGCTGTTGCATATCAGCAAATGATTCTGAAGCAGCATTTGATTCCATCCTGTCGTAAAAGTGAATGTTTTCATTTTGAAACTCACCGCGAATATATCTTCCATCGTGAATCGCAGAGTGACCTGAAATCACGAATCAAGAATGGGAAGCTAGGCATACAAATTGCACGCACGCACATGCCCTGCTGCACGCGCGCGGAGTGCAAGTCAAGAAGATGAGCAACGCGTTGGCAAGGCTTGGTTGGACGCGCGCTCACCGTGACTCTTGGCTCACGTGTCACAACCCGCCCTCAAGCAGGCAAGCAAGCAAGCAAGCAAGCAAAAGCCACGCTCCATGCGGAATTCAACCCAGATAAACGAACCTGTGCTCCAATCATGACAGCAACTAATAAGCTTGATTCGTGATTGCCGCGATGGTCGCAAAAGTTTGAATTCCATTGCCCAAAAGAAGTGGGGGGCAGCTAGGCAGCATGCGCGCGCGCAGCATCGACGCAATTAAAAGGCAAGAGCGCGGGGGCCAAGCTTTGAAATGAAATGGGGTCCGTGCGCAAACAGCTATATGCACAGCACCCCCGCGGCCGTACTCCCGACTGCCCTTCTATACATACGGCGCTATCAGGAGCATCATCCAGCAAGAGTTCTGCTGTACCGTACCGTCGCGGAGCACATCACGATCGAGCTGTTCGAGCTACTCTTGTTTCCCCATTGCTATTCTTTCGCAAGCACACTTGTGTTGCAAGGAAAGAGGGAAAAGTCAAGTGGCAAGAAATAGAACGGAACAGATCAAGCCTTGAACGGATAATTTGTGTCGGGGGGGGGGGGGAGCGCAGCAGGATCATGTCGTGCGGTCGACGTATACACTCAACCCTCGCGATTCATTCGAGATCTCAGCATGCATGCATGCCAGCGATCGATAGACGTGAGAGATGGCAGGCTGAACAGATACTTTTATCTAGACGCGTGTGAGTGTGCATGTTGTCGTAGGCAAGAGTCTGGGCGTGGGATCCGCAAGTCACATCGATATGAGTATAGTATTTTATGTTACACGTGGGAGATGGTCTGAACATCGCAAAAGGAAGGAAAGCGAAGAAAAGCGGGGGGAGGGTGGGGGCGTAAGAGACGTGGATGCCCAGGAAACAAAGTGGTCCTGGGGAGAGTCTTGATGAGCAATTCTCATGTGGTAGCCCCAAGCCGTTCATCTGTAGATTGGTAACATAACGATAATGATGCCGTGGGAGGCATTCAAGAGCACAAAGATTGCGCAGCCATATGTATCAGGAGAAGAAGCGACTAGACGTGGAGTGGCGAGGGTCGCATTTGGTAGGGTGCGCACATCTCCCGCGGTCGTCAAGGCCGATATCGCTTCAGGGAGAGAGGGGCGGCGAAGGAGCAAGATGTTTCCACCTGGGATGAGAGAGCATGCTAGGTCTATCCGCCATGCTCAACGATCCTCGTCTAGCGTGTTCCCTCACCGCAGCCTGAGCATCTTCCCTGACCAAAAAGGGAGAAGGTGGACGCTGCACAGGCGTCTGTCGACCGCTCGACGATGTTGCCCATTCCCTCTGCATCGCGCCGCGGTCAGGCTCAGCTTCGCCTTGACCTGTGTCCATGTGCATACCGCCTGCCGAATCCATCCATGCGCTCTCCACCATCCCAATGTCCGCCTCGGACTGCGATGCGGGGCGCGGCGCGTGTGATGCCGCAGGATATGCAGCTCTTGGAGCCCCAATGGCCCAACCAGTACTCAAAGACCTTCTGGGTGTACTCGCCGGACTCCTCAATGTTTGAAAAGCAGGCGATGTGGGTGATCTGCCCACCTCCGCATCGTGTAAGCTTCTCCTACGATCCCCCCCTCCATCCCCTAGCGGCGAAGGTCGAATGGGAGTGTGCGAATGCATAGAGGAGCCCGACTTGCGTATGGGACTTTGTGGCAAGGTGGACTCGGAGCTCCATCGGGCAAATGGTGCAGAGGGTGGGGTCAAGGTAGGTGGCGTGTCCTGAGTCGAAGCGCGGGCCCATGATCGTCAGCGTGCGCATCGATTCCCCTGCATGGCAGTCATCTATCATCCCTTCTGTGTTGGGAAACGCGCGAACAATCACCATTCGGAGGACACTGATGAAGTCCCACTCACCTCGTCCATGGCGTCCCCACGCGGCACATGTCCGCACGCTGCTGGTTCTCCTAGCTGCTCTGGCAAAGACCCAGGGCCTGCAGTCGAGTGCCGCGTCCAATGCTCGCTCGGCGCAGGCTGCAAGAATGCAGCCGACAATGCCTGCTGTCCTCTCCTACCCGTGCCATTCGCATCCAGATCCTCGTCCATTCCCATTCCCAGTGCAGCAACCGCAGCCGCAGCTGCACTCATCCTGACCCGATCCGACTCGACTGAGGACGAGGATGCCTCATCATCGTAGTGCGCATACACAGTGTTTGAAGCGCTATCGTGGCGAAGCAGAATGCGCGCATGTCGATTTGGGCTATCGTGCGCGGATGCGACGAGCAGCTGTGCTCGTTGCTCCTCGTTCGCTAACCTGAAGTTTGTAGGCGTCTGCGTCCTTGCTCGCAAAAAGGGACGTTTCTAGTGGGCGTTGTTCGGGCCAAGCAGCACGCAACCTGGGTCAACCACTCGTACTCCCAGCACACCTGCTCCACTTGCACTTTATCACCGCAATCGCACAGCGCTCACCTGCGTGCCCCCCTTGCTCTCTGGCGAAGAAGGAGAGGACGAAGAGTGGCTTTCGCTCCTTCTTCGTTTGAGCGTAGGACTTTGAGCCCAATTGGAAGGTCCAGCCTGATCCTCTAGGGGCCGCATAGCTTCAGACCAATGGCTCACAGACAATTCGTGCAAGCTTTGACGAAGAGGATGAGGAGGGGTGAATTGGGTGGGGAAGGAGGAGGGGGACGAGGATGAGGGTGAGGGTGATGATGATGACGATGAAGCCATTTGCGAATCCTCATTGTGATCCGGATGCCTAGCTCGATCTGGATTCGACTCCATGGCTAGCAGCAGCTCTCGCTGGGCATCCATCCTGACCCGCTGAGCGAGCAGAGACGCGAGATGGGATGGTGCCCGCGCTTGTATAGGTGGAGCTGCGAGCACCGAATCGCGCGTCCGCGTGCGGTGGCGTCACAAGGGCGTCATGGGGAGATTGAGCAGTGTTGATGGGGGGGGGGGGGGGGGGGGATGCTCAGTCCAAGTCCCACCGAAGCAAAAGCATGGAGAAGTCGACACGAGTGTCGTAGGTGTTGTGATGATTGGTATAATTCCACAAGCTGAACAGATCAAGCATATATATATATGCTCGTAACGCCATCGCGAGCAAATAGAAATTTCAACGTCTCACTCGTCACCGCTGAAGACGCAACTCTGGTCGCGCGGCGACTGACTCCTTCATCTTTGAGGCTCCGATCGAGCCCAGCCTTGAAGGCGCATTGCATACATGCTGCTTCCACTACCTACATATATCACCGCGCACCGTACCCATGCTGCCTTCTCTATAGCTCTGCCGATGCAGCATGCATGGTGTGCTCGCACGCACGCGCGCGCGCGCACGCACGCACGCCTGAGGATCTCGCTCATCTGAATTGGCCGGTCGTGACTCAGACTGTTGAGTAAGGTGCTGGGTGGCACGGGCCACTTGACTTGACTTTGACCGCGATTGTACGTTTCGCTATAAGGTTGGCTGGAGCTCATGTTCACGATCGAGCAGCATACATATCGCCCCCATCTGTTCAAGATTGACGATCCATAGGCGCATTTATCAGCCATGCAGCGCGTCGATATACGATGTGCGAGCTTTTGCACCTGCATGGCGCTCAAGCTCACAGGCCCGGCAGCATCAGAGCCTCAACAGAGTCGAGTCAAGAGTGCGAGGCATGTTTCCATCGCAATTACGAGCATACCCTCTGCGTGCCCAGCTGACGCGCTCACAACGAGTGTTGTGTTGCAGAGTCGTGACTCGCAGACAAGCGCAACACATCTTCGCTAGAGAGGCCCAAAGCTCGTGGATAAAGTACAAATGGTACGGCACGGCTGAATGGATGACCCGCACAAACAACGTTGACAAGTAGAGTCGCTCATCACGAATGGTGAATCGATTCAATGTTGAGTGCACTCACGAATGTCATTTTCAGTCTGCTGGGGATGAAGAACAGACTTGCATTGACGACGTATCATATCCTTCCCTTTACCCTTCCTTTGAGCGCAAGAGTCCTACTAACTATCATGAGCAACGTCCCAGCAGTGACGCAAGCACCAGCAAAGCCTGCAGAAGCCCACCAATCAAAAGGAGCAGCAGATCCAAGAAGAGCGCCACTAGCCGGCGTACCGAACAATCCTCCCAAGCTGCATACAAAGAAGCACATGCCTAATCTTGTTCCAAAGGTGCTGGTCGATCCTAGTTGACCTATGGCCGAGGGGATCAGCGAAACGTAACAGCCGGAAGAGTATCCGTAGAGGATTGCAAAGGGGATCAAACCAGCCAGGGATTTGATGGCGAGGGGAAAGACAAAGACGACTGCGATGCGCAGAGAAGGAAGCGAGGTGAGCGAATGCAAAGGAAATGAGGAAAGCTTTGAGCTCCAGCAATGCGAGACTTGATGCGGCCTCGTCCTACTCACGTATGGACGACATGATCAAGTGAGGCAAGATCGTATTCATCCGTCCGAATCTATCCGCCACGAACCCAGGTAGCACGCGTCCAAAGACGCTTCCAGCGTTGAGCACCGAGAGCCAATAGCCGCTTGCAGGAATGTCGTACGTCCGAGTAGCGACGTCCATATAAGTGAAGGGGGTGTAGAGACCGAACAAGATGAGCATAGCTCCGAGCACAAAGCAAGCGTAGGCTGGTTGTTTGAAATGCTGCAATTCGAAAAAGGAGATGCGCCTCCATCCGCCATTTTTGTAGGATTGTGTGGGGGGTAGACGGGTAGGCATGGTGAACCATGCAAAGAGGAGCAGAGCCAAGGCGAGGAAGCCGACGACCCTTTGAGCCCAGGCGTAGCCGATGGAAGATGGATCTTGCAGTTTGGTCAGCATGATGGGTAGACATATGCCGCCTGCTGACGAGCCGCTTGCTAGGATGCCCATTGCAGTAGCTCTTCTCTTCGAGAACCAGTGGCTCGGCACAGCCACCGAAAGGTTGAACACGATTCCGAATCCAAGTCCTAATCCCACACCTTGAGCCAGAAAGAATTGGTAGTACTCTCGGCATAGGGAGAGCAAGAATTGCGAAATGATGAGGATGACCATGCCGATGGTCAACAAGGGTCTGTACATGCCGACATCGAAAGCTCTGCCTGCAAAGATGCCAGATGAAAAGATTCCGGCGTACTGAAATGCGCCGATCCACGCAATCTGGCTCGAGCTCTTGTCCAGCAAGAAATTTCGAGCGTAGTACTCTTGATAAACGCCAAAGGAGTTGGCAAGTCCGAATGTGATGAAGGAGCAGCACCACGATCCTGCTATCGTCAACCAAGCTCGATGTCCTCCTTCTGGAAAGTATACTTGTCCATCGCCCGTCTCTTTCGCCATCTCTTTTTGCATATCCAGCACCTCCTCCTCCCCATCCATCTCCCCGCTCTCTCCTCTATCTCTTGCCTCCTCCCCTTTCTCCGCATCCCGCGCTGCTCCTGCCTGATTTGTGGCGCCTTGATCAACCACCTCGACTGTATTTTCAGCAGCTCTCGATGACTCGAGTCGTATCGCCTCTTGTTGCGACGCATGCACAGAGCGTGACATTGCTGCCCTAACCTGTCCTGTCCTGTCCTGTCACCATGCACTACGTTTGACGCTCTCGAGTCTCCTTGGGCCCCCGCCAATCCCTTTTCTTTTCCAAAAAAGAAGAAAGAAAAAAAAAGGAAAAAAGTGGTGTGGGCCTTACTGTATCAGAGAGGCGGGGGGCCGGCGTAGCATTTGTCGGTTGTGCAAGTTAAACTTGGCGAAAGCGAGAAAGAGGATGGAAGTGCAAGAGAGGCAAGATGTGCATGGAGCAAGCATTTGCTTCGAACCGGATGAACTTCACTCGGAACATGGCCTGGCATGCAGCCGCCTCAACAGCAAATATAAGACCCCGGGGGGCAAGAAGAGCCGGATGGCGTCCGAGCGGACCAACTTTTTGACGAGCAGCAAGCATGCAGCAGCAGCAGGGCCTGACAGGCAAGTTGCTGCACCGCCGTGCCCGGTATACACTCTCGACGCGTGACTTTGCAGTCACCGACCGATGCGCCGAGTCTTGAAATTCCGACATGTGTTTCATGCGCATGGACGCAGCAGCAGCAGCAGGGAGCAGAAGCAGGAGCAGGAGCAGGAGCAGCAGGCGGCTAGCTGCAGGCTGCGGGCATCAGCTGCGTCGATCGAGCAAGCCAGTTCGGCAAAACCTCTTTGGCAGCTGGTACTGTACAGGCAGCACGTACGTACAGTGATGCAGCTTGGGCAGGCATCGAGCCTCTGGCGCCCGGGGCCATGTTGATGGGATCCGCTCTCTGACTCTTCTGGACACGAATGCGCGCTTGGTAGATCTGGCAGCTGGACAGACAGGGTCTCGATCAAGGCGCTTTGGCGGCGCAAGTGGGGGCACGACGCTGTATATGGAGAGAAGTTGCTTCGTCGAAGCTTCAGCCGATGGTTCCTCTTTCTGCTCGGGGTTATCGATTAAGCGGTCAAGGGGGGGGGGGGGGGAGACAGATCGACATCCCTTCAGCAAATCAGCAATTGACGAATCAAATGAACGAATGCCTCACCATGCCCGTGGCTGGAGTGAAAGCTCGTTATCACATCAAGGTCTCTCAGAGGGCCGTTCGTGCTCGTCCGAGCTCGGTCGAGTCGTCGCACGAATAGGCTGATCTGATTATTTGCAACAACGGTGACGCTATACATTCACGATTACTCCTTCGGGGGTTCCAATCAACGAAGCACGGCCGCGGCCGCGTGAAGCAAGCGCGTGCACTGCACGCGCAACGCGGAGAATCGTCTGCTTGGGCCGCGTCCGTGCGTGCATGCCGTGTGCAAATCCTCCGATCGGAACGCATGTGCATTGGGGCAATAAGCGCGTGGAGGCAGCTAGCAGACGAAAGTTCTAGATGCCCGCCGAGTGTGAGGCTTTTCTCGTTTTGATGTACGCGCTGCTGCTGCTGATTCAGCCCACAGCCCGCACGGCGTTGCAGCACGCTACGCTGCTGCATGGTGATTGGTGACTTTAAAACACTCGAGGGGTCCGAGTGTGATTGTGATGTCGCTCGAGAAAGCGAAGGGGCAACGAGGCGAATTTTTGGACAGACTCACATTCGTGCGTGCTTCATGCTCTGCTCTTTCATCCATTCCGAATGCGGAGTTGGGCGAGGCAAACGTTTTGCAGCTAGGGAGCTTGGGCGTGATTCAAGAGTATTTTATGAAGAGCGAAGCGAAGAAGAAAGTCGATTTGGACCCATTGTACGCGGCATCCCGCACTCATTGGACTTGAGAAGGATGATTGCAAGGGAACAAGCCAGAAGCATCGCAAGAAGAAACGGATAGAGCACCGCGCGAGCTTTGAACGTTGGAGCGGACAGAGCAGACGTAAGCCGATATCTCGAGCTGCTCCACACTCACGACTAGGGCTGCTTGCACGAGAAGGGCGCAGGAGCGGCGCATCGCGTCGCATCGCATCGCATCTCGCGGGGGCAGAGCGTGTGACCCCGCCGCTTCCCTTTGTTGCATCGACAACGCCATATCTGCCCACTTTCTGACAGCAGCGTGGCTGGTGCCATCGTTGCATCATGTCCTCGACGTGGAGAAGAGCTTTACCAGGAGTAGCCAACTCCCTCAAAGTTGCCTTTCAAGGTTTCTGTCTTGGCAATCTGATCAGCAATCACATGTTCGAAATTCGACCGTCTTCGGGATCATCCATGCTTCCCACGCTGCTTCCCAAGGGCGACTACCTGCTTTTGGTCAAGCTGGATCTTCTCCACGCTTGGCGAAGCGCATCCTTTCCAGCCTTGATGGGTCAAAGCGAAGTCGAGCAATCTTCCACGGCTCTACAATCCTCCACCAAACCTGGCAAAGGCTATGCAGACTCGCTCAAGAGCCTCAAAAGAGGCGAATTGGTCGTCGCTGCCCATCCCATCGATCCCGAAAAATGGGTGTGCAAGAGGATCATAGGTTTGCCAGGCGATACGGTCCTAGTAGAGCCACGCTCCATCAAAGTGGACAATGGCACGTCTTACCCTCTCAAAATTCGTACCCATGCTGAAACTCAAACCCAAGCATCCGATCCACTCATCGATCAGAGCTTGAGGGGCGTCTTGCCGCGCGATCTGCAAGAGCTCTTAGCGCTAGAAAAAAGGAGCAGCGAAATCGAACCTCTGCATCCACATCGCACGGATGATACTGGAGGAGACGCGTCGCTCCAGTCGATACCGCGCGACAAGTCGCCGTGGGAGGAAGCTCTATCCCATCATCTCTCGACCTCCTCGACGCGCAAAGCACCACCACCACCACTGACCGCCTTCAACGTCCGTCCAAACAACAACAACGACGCGTCGCAGCAATCTTCCAGCAATGCATCCCTCCTCCTCCTCCTCCTCTCCAAAGAAATCGCATCATCGCCTTCCCATCCTCCTCCTTCTCCTCCTCCTCCTCCTCCTCCTCCTCCTCCTCAATACGTCACCATTCCCGCCGGACACGTCTGGCTAGCAGGCGACAACACCTCTTCTTCCAGCGATAGCAGGTACTACGGACCCGTACCCATCGCGCTCATCAAGGGCAGCGTCGTCGCTAGAGCTTTTCCCAGTCCAAAGTGGATGATGAGCACGTGCGCTTTGAAATGGATGGATTGAAAGGCGCACCGTGCGCCGCCGGCGCCCCCCCCCCCCCCCCCCCCCTCGTTGGCTTCGTGCGACGTCGTCGTCGTCAAAAGGTGACGATGACAGTCATCGCTGCATGAGGCCACAGGTACGCACGGTGGGATAGACACCTCATCACGCCGAATCGCGGCATCACGGCAGCGCGCTGCAAGACTTTTCGATTGATGTAGGCAAGATGCGCATCAGGCGCTTTTCATAGTGGCGGAGAGATGAACGACCAAGGGGGTATCCACGAGGAGCGATGAAGTGTAAAGGGCGGGCGGGAGCAGCGTAGCGACTCTACGTAGGAAGCGCGATGGCGCCTCGGACGATCACAAGACGGGCGTGACGTGCGGCTTGGCCACTTGCTCGTCTACACCGTTTGCCACTTGCTCGAGCTGCGCTCGTGCAGTAGGGTTCAGCGCAGCAACGACGTCCTGAATGTTTCCAGCGATGCTTCTGAATCGTTCAAAGACGGGCACGGGGTCCATGGGCGACTCGAACCCGATATCCTCCTCGTCCGCCTCCTCATCCTCCTCATCCGCTTCCATATCCTCGAAATCTTCCGCGCTCTCTCCCGTCGCGATGGCCAGGTTGCGCGACCTCAGACGAGCACCTTCCCTCGCCAGCATTTCCAAATACTCGTTCTCCTCATCCACCACATCCCCATCCGCATCGTCGCCAGCAGAAGCGCCACCATCAACATTAGCGGATTCTTCCTCCCCCTCTTCAACTTCGTCTTCATCCAAATCGTCAAAAAGCTCCAGCTGTTCCTTGCGTTCTGCGATAGCTTGCGGCAGTCCCTCTAGCACTTCGACCGTAGCCGCAAGCAGCTGGGGCAAAAGGGCCTGCACATCGTTGGCCAACGAGGGGCGAGGCAGGGCAAAAATGCCGCAAAAGGCGCTCGCAACCACTTTGCGCGAGTGGACATTGCCGAAATGAGAGACGTCGGTGATGATGGTGTTGAGAAAGGTTGCCGCTGCGTTGTGCGTCTCGAGCGACTTGAGTGCCAGGGCGGGATTGTAGACGAATGCGTCGAGAATGACCAGTTTGGACCACTTGCGAAGCGAAGCGGAAGATTCGCGCCCTTCCGCCTTGACATGCGGCAGCGTCATTTGCACGATGCCCGGCACCGCTTCGTCGATGGTGCCCGTAAGAAGTAGCAAGGCGACATCGATGAGCTTGAGAGCAGATACGCGATCCACCACTCCCAAATTCTCATTCGTCATGCCGATTTCGAAAATCTCCAACAACATGCGCCGATAATCGGGTTGGGATTTGATGACTTCTGTGCCGTAAGAGACGATGTTGTCGAGCGTGGGCAGCATCTCGGACAAGTAGTCGATGCCGGACGCTTTGAAGGTGGTGTGCAGCTGGACAAAGATGGACCACATGCCTTCCGAGACGCGCTTCTGATTGAAGACGATGACGTCCGTCAGGTCCAGCACATCGTCGTAGAGTTCTACGAGGCGCGTCTGGGCGAGTGAGTTTTGCTGCCGGCAGACAAAGAGGAATCGGTGGATACTCACCGACGCATTCCTTTTCGAGCGTGTAGCTGACCACTGGCAAAATGACCGTCTCGAGCTGGCTCAGGATCTGTTGATTCTCATCAGCAGCAGCAAGCACTTGATACATGGTCTGACAAGCTGCCACTGCAGCGAACACTGCGTTCGAGGGGTGAGAACGCGGGGGGGGGGGGGGGCAGGGCTTGATCAGGTATACGTTGACTGTGCGCCTGACAGCAACACCGCTCACTCTTGCTTTCCGCCGAAGGATTGTAGTCCAGCTCGCCGTTGATGTTGTTGAGCTCAGCATCGGCATTCGCCAAGTGCTCGCCGAGCACTCTGATGTACGAGTCCCGAAGGTGCTGACAAAATTCCACAGCAAAGGGTAGGATCTGTTCGGCAAAGGAGGATACGACCTTGCTGGTGGTAGCAGAGAGCGTATCCAGGTCCGTCTCGTCTGCCAATTTGAGCAGGCGCTGCATGAGCGGTCCGGCGTTGGGCGCCATGGCCGCGTGAACCTCGTCGTGATCGATCAGCGTACCGATAGCTGCGGCAGCTTGCATGCGCACCGGCAACTCGCCATCCTCCAAGCACTGCATTACGCCCTTGAACGTGGTTTCCAAATTCGTAGTGTCCTGCCACCTCATCGTACCAGCAAAGACGCGCACCAGATCGCAAGCGCGAAAACGCAAAAAGCGATTTCCGCTCGCCAATTCCGGAATGACCGAAGTGACAAAGAGCGTCTCGAGCTGGTTTGAGATTTCTGAAGACTCTAGGATGGTGTCGGAGATGGAGACGAGCATGTTGAGCGCACCTTCCTTTTCGTTGTCTGTTCGCGTCTGTATGACGGAAGTGATGAACTGCAGCTGAGGATGAAACGTCGACTTGGTGCGCTTGGAGATGAGGGCTTGCAAGAACGAAGCGGCAGCACCCTGAGGCGTGCCAAACTCCTCGATGGGATCCAAATGGCTTCGCACGTAATCCACCGCGTCCAGCTCCCACAGCTCCTCGTCGGCTTCGGTGTAGCACATGAGTGGGAAGACGAAGCGCTGAACGAGATCATCAACATGAGGCTTGAGCAGAAGCCAAGTGGACTTTGGCTTGACGCAATCCTCGTAAAAGGCAATGATAAAGTAGTGCGCCTTTTTGCTCAGCCACAGTCCCGAGTTGAGCCGCGCAACAGTGAGCTCGAGGTAGACTTCGAGGATGCGCGGAGCAAAAGTCGAGACAAAGTGTTCGGCAAACGGCTTGTACTTGTCCAAGCTTTGCGGCAGTTGACTGGGATTGCCGTAGCTGAGACGATCAAAGGGCGTATGCGAAGTGAGCGGCAGTGTATGCAACGTCTTCCCAAAAGAAACCCTTTGGACATGGCTACGCACCGAGTGAAGAGCTTGTTGAGGTTGAAAAAGGACCACTTCTTGGCCTTTGTCCAAGCAGCTCTCTCCCTCTCATCCTCATCAGCAGGCAGCTGACTAGGGTCGACCTGATGCTTGACAATGGCGATGAAGAGCTGACCCCAAGGCACGATGGATTGGTGCGATTGGTGATGGGCAGTGAGTTGAGAATTGATAGAGAGCTTGTACACCTTGACCAGCTTCCAAAGCAGCTCCCCACTCTGGGCCGACGACGCGGTGGGCGATGCGAGGATGGACTGGCCGGTGGCTACGAGGCGGGGCAGCGTCGCTGCCGATACCGGCTCCAACAAGGATGACTCGTCCTTCCACCTGCAAAGCGTCAGCGATCCATCGACCAGGGTTGTTCAGCATTCGACATGGGCGGACCGTGAGCGGGCATAGACGGTGTATGCGGGCAGAGACTCACCTGAAAGATCTGACCACCTCCAGCAAAGCGCAAATACCGCCATACGTAGCATTCTGATCGCCGGAATTCAGCAATTCGCTTATCCTATCTATCAGATCCGGCCAACTTTTTGGGAAATCGGTGGTGACGATGGCATTGAGCGTAGCAGCCACGTGGGATCTCAATTGAGGAGGAGAGGAGATCAAAGTTTGCAAAATGTTCGATCTAACTTCTTGCCTGTCCTTTTCCCCGATCGGCACATTGTTCGATGGACCGCCAGCTGCTGCACCTCCTCCGGCTTTGGCAAGATTGATGGCTCGCTCGTGATCCCACATGCGCCGAGCGCGGTTCTTGACGTAGCTGTCGTGTGCGTGCGAAGTGTTTCCAATATAGTGAGCACTCGCACTCGCACTCGCACCCGCACCCGCACCCGCACTCGCACCCGCACTGGACACGACTTCTGCTACCGCACCACGATGCGGCGCGCTTCTCGACTCACATGGCGGCAGCTTGTCTGCCCGTAATGTCCAGCTCAGGGTGGGCTACGATCTGTAGGGCGGTGGCGAGCATGCCATCTTGCTGCTCCAATTTGCGCAATTCCAGCTCAGCAGCCAATCGATGATTAGGATTCGCACTGCGAGTTGGGGCCGTCACGAGTGCGTTTGAAAAGGGAAGGGGGGGGGGGAGGGAAGGAAAGGAGGTGGGTTGCGGAAAATGTCAGCTGAGGCAAGTCAAGTCGCTGCTGCACTGTCACCCCAAGCGTACGGACGGCGCCGACAAGGGACACGCACTCGAAGCTGGATGCGAAGATGTTGTACAGCTGCTCCATGATCTTTTCCCCGCCAGGTTTGTAGCAGAGGTCCGCGGCTGGAAGTGCAGAGTGAGATCGAGGTGTGAGGTGATGGTGGTGTGAATGACGGGTGAAAAAAGTCACACGGATCCGTCAGAGTCCTCGAATTTGAGGAGATGCGAGCCAGCGAGTGGGGGTTGTGTGGGGGTGAAGCTGTCAAAAATGGGAGGCTCTTCTGTTGTGCTTAATGCTGCCGGTCGATCAGTCACAGTCGTGAGTGCTGAGTAGTCACTATAGTCACGAACGTTGATGCCAATCAGCAATCGTGAATGTGAATGTGAATGTGAATGTGAATCGTGAACCCAGAACTCTTTGAACCTCGAATCACGAATCTTGAGTTGTGAATGAAAATGTTGTGCATCTTGATTCCTGATTCAATTCAATTCCTGACTGAATTCGCAACGTGTCCACCTCTACTCGTGACTCCGCCTGCACCGCCCTAGCTCTAGCTTCTGTGATCCAAACCAACATCATGCACCTCATCGCACGCGCCCACGCGCACGCGCACGCGCATGCATGGCGCCAACTCGCCCGTCCGGCCAAGCAACAAAAAGCTCGCCCGAGCAACAAAGGAAAAGAAAAGAAAAAGAAGAAGAAGAAGAAGAAAAGTTTGTGGTAAAGGCCTCGCTCCGCTACACTTTCCGCGAGCAGCAGCGGGGCATATATGCAAGATGCAAGGCAGCCCCCGCCGCTAGCATTTGAATCGCACGGAATACTCTTGACTCTTGACTTCAAGTGCGACTCCATCGCAAATCAAAGCGCGCCTACGCGTCACGTACGCCGCACAACAACAACAACCAAAAAAAAAAAATCAAAAACGGCAACACAAACGCAAGCAATCACGAATTAACTTCTCGTGCAGCAGGAACAAAACGCACCACTATAATGCCCCGCGAGTGCGCGAGGAGGCGTCGCGTTCTCGCGATGATCTTTCGCGCTTGCGTGTTGCTTTCACGCTTGACAGTTCTCGAGCCTCAGGCGCCAAAGTGCCACCCGATTGTGCGGACTCGCAAGGGAAGTTGCGCTTCTCGTCAAGGGCATGAAGACTCACTCACGACTATATACCGCACGCAGGCGCGCGGTGGCATCAAATGCCGCCCGCCGTCTTTGTTCGGATCGCTTCTTGCTATACAAACGCTGCACAGTCGCGATGATTGGACCAGGATAGCCCGGTTACAATGATATCGGCCATCGCGGCAGGCGGCAGGATACCGAGTTCTGCCATTCAGATGGGGAGGCAGTGACACGTGCGTGTTCGGATTCGGATTCGCTGCGAGCGCAGCATGGCATGACTCTGTGACTCGGGCGACATGGTGAGGGGGAGGGCATCGAAGCAGCAAATGTCCTGAGCAAGAGATGAAGGAAGAGGCGAGGCGAGGCGAGGCGTGGCGAGGCGCTCGATCAATTTTTTCGCCTAATACTTCTTGGGCAACGGGATTTTGGAGGCCCACTTGATTTTGGAGCTCATACCCATGCGCAGCCACAAGAAGCCTGCTAGAGCGCCAAAGAGGTGAGAGGCGTGCGATTCTTTCCCCGAGTCACCGAAAAGAACGCCATAGCCAGCTCCAAGAAGCATGGCCCTGCAAGGCGAGATTGAATAGGCAGGAGAGGCAGACAATCATGTGCGATATGCGTGGACGGCGTCAGCGTAAATAGAAGGACCAAGGCAGGCATCGCGTCAATGAGAGAACTCACGTCAAGACCAACCTGTTGGTTATTGGCAATGCCTTGACAGATCAACGCGTCCGTGTGGAAGGGGTCGAGCAGGGGTGCGTCTCAGCTTTCCAGCTCCTGTGTCGATCGGTCTTCGAGCGGGTCGAAGAAGGAGTTTCTAGGCGACAAAGGCCGAGTCAAAACTCACAATGTGACGAGGGAATAGGACGATGCCTTGTTGCGAGGGAAAGTAAGACACGGTTGCTACACCGTAAATGGCACCTGAGAGAGAAACGATGTGGTTTGAAGACGGCTTTGATGAGGTCCTGGGTCATCAAGATGGCCAGAGAGATGGCAAGGTACGCACCGCTAGCCCCGTGCAGTGGGCGGGCGCTTCGACGCTCCTCGTCCGCATTCCTCCAAGAGCAAACTTCGGCAAGCATCGGATCCACGTATTCGTCCCAGACCACAGCGCCACCAGTGGCTACGATGCCGCTCGTCAAGTACAGACCGAGCCATCCTACCGGTCCTAGAAGCCTCACTAGAGGTCGTCCAAAGATGAATAGGAGCTGTGAGAAAGGGCGCGCGCGAGGATGGAAGAATCAGTGTCTGCCGCATCTCCACTGCGTTGAGGACCATACAACACGCACTACGAAATTGCCAAAAGCATGCCTGTGGATACCGAATCGAGTCAGCAGAATTAAGGTGTCATTTGATTGAGGCTCTGCACACCGACTTACTGCAAATCACTATGACTGAACATGGCGGTGACCAATGTCCAATACTTGCCATTCCTCAGATTCTCCATCGAGCAGCATATGTTGCTGTTCATCCAAAGCAACCGTCGAGGGTCTTTGCGCTCCGACCAATCCTCATACGCTCTTCTCCACATCCTAAAGACACCTATCCAGATGGCAAAGAGAAGCCAAACAAGCATGCTTTTATATTTAAAAAAGAAAGAGTGGGTAAAGTTCCAGGCAAAGGTCCAGCTGAGTCCCTTTGCGGTGATGAATCTACCTTTGGCCAGGAAAGGTCCTTTCTCAGCGTGCTCCGCGAGTTGAAGCGTATCTTCAAAGTCGTCGAGCTTGATGTCGCCTCGATCCAGTTCGTCCACGATGTGCGGGTAGTCGTAAGCGATTTGCTCCACCACCTCACCGAATGCCTTTTGCTGTATCTCCAACCTCCTCTTGTGCTCCTTGCTGATCTCCTCCCAAGCCGCGTCTCTTCTCGATCGAGCCAATTGTGGTGAGAGTTCGCTACCTCCGCCCCAATCGTCGTATTTCCTTTTACGCAACACCTTCTGCTTTTTCATAATCTCATGCACCCAATCGAAGTTGCCCTCTGGCTTCTCCTTCTCCGTCTCCTCCACCTCTCCTCTCTCCCGCTTCTGCTTCTTCACCGCTTGAAAAGCCTCTTGATACTTGATCGAACCAGGCCGTAAAGGAGGTTGAGATACGGCGGACTTTGCTGGCTTTGTACCGTCTGGCGCAGTGGACTCGCTAGCACCGCCGCTGTCGAAGTCAGCTTTCTCGGACGATTTCTTCTTCTGAGACTTTGCCGAGGGGATCGACTTTGACACCTTGGCTTTAGCGGGCGCTGAGCTGGATAAATTTCGCCGTGTTGTAAGTTGCAGAACCGAGTCGCGCTCCGCGATGCTATTGAGAAGGCCGGATGTTGCATGTACTTTCGAGGAGCTGTTCGCTGTGGGTCTGATTTCAGGTCTCGACAAAGCTGCGCTCCGTCGTTGTGCACCACAAGGTGCGCTCCACACCGTGTTGCTTGTACTTCGCGCGCCCGTCAAGTCTGAGCGCGCCTGAATGCTGGTAGAAGACGAGGTGCTTGGAAACGTCGACGAATGAAGACGCTCGGTCGGATCGCGATGATGGGCAGACGCCGCGCCTGAACGCGTGCGATGTAGGCGGACAGTCCAACAAGCGCATGTATGCGCAGCAAGAGCTGATCGATCGATCGATTGAGCTCGTGCGAGTCTGCTGCTGAGTCTTGCTAAATCGCCAAAGAGGGGGTTCATGGCGCAGACGATGCCTGTGAACGGCTTGGAGACGCGTGTCGGGTTCGCGCCAGGAGCGAGCCAGTGGAAGGTGATGGCTCTGCTTTTCACCCAGTAGATCGGGTCCGCAGATTGGCTACCATGCCTGTGGCACGAGATCGAGGATTTGGATAGAGTACAGTAGGTGACGAGCTGTTTGAGTGGGCGAGCAAGCAATGATCGACGTGCTCACCAGCTCAGCTCCAGGGCCGCATCGTCGAGACTCAACAGAAGAGAGAGGACAAAGGAGAGTCAAAGAGTCACGAGTGTGAGTCTGATGAGTGGCGGGCGGGCAGCACAGAAGTCACGCTATAGCGCTGCACGGGCTGCTATATGCACGCTGCCTGATGCCTCCAACCGTGAATCGTGAATGTGAATCACGAATGGTGAATCTCGCAGCTCGCCAAATCCCCAGCCACTGCGTAAGTCACGTGTTCTTGCTCCGAATCCGCTACTGAGACCGGGTTATCCGCCTCGAAGCGCCACCGCTTTGTGAATTAAGGGCTCCGCGCGCCGCGAGCGGAATGGGCGAGGCACCTCCACTTTTTTGAGCAGGCTTCCCTCCCGCTCTCTGATGACCGGCACCCCGTTCTGCGCGCCTCCAGGCGATGCAGCGAGGCATGTCAGGGCGAGGGTTTGTGTCGGACGACATACACATCCACGCTTTACATCGACTTGGTGGGTGACCAAGCTCTGGCTGTACAGCACGCAACGCGCTCCGAACCTTGTCAGGCAACCTACACAACCACATTCGTCGAGACGCACCCATACACCTCTTCACAATTCCCCTCCACCAACACCTGCTCATACGCATTCGTCAAGGGCATCCTCATCTTCCCCCATTCGCAACCATGTCGGCTCAAGGAAGATGCAATTGCGGCAAATTTGCCTTTGAAGTCCCACCTGTGAGTCTTGTTCGCCTTACCAGACGGTGCTGCCACCTTCGCGCACACGCACACGCACACACATCAACCCTTCTCTCGCCCTCTGAGCCGATATGAGCGGCTCGGCTCATGCCCATCGCTTGGATTTAACCGCACAGCTTCAAGGCATCGCCATCTGTCACTGCAAGCCCTGCACTCGAGCGGGAGGAAGCATCGGCTCTTTCAATGCCGTCATTCCAGCCGACGGTATCACCTTTACAAAGGGAAGTCTAAAAGAGCTGGGCAATTATCAGGATACCGAGACTTCTAGTGGTAATCCCATGGCCCGTGTGAGTGGTGTGGTCCGTGCAAGCGGTATGAGGGGAGAGGCGTTCGAACGCAAAGGGTTAGAAGCTGTCTCCTGCTTTGTCTCACATCCGCTCGTCATCTGCGCGCAGCACTTTTGCGGATCTTGCGGTTCCGCCATCATCTCGGTGAGACATGCGCAATTGGAAATTTTGTAGGGGGAAAGGTGCACGGTGTCTTGCAGGCTCACAGCACAAGCTTCTGTTTCCCTGTCACTCTTGACGCGAGCGCAGATTCCCAAGGGTTCTCCCATCGGCTTCTTCAAAGTGTCTTCCTTGGACGATGCGCAGGCGTACATTGGCAAGGACAGGAAGCCTGATCAAGTCATCTTTCAAAATAGCGCGCCAGACTTTGTCAAGAAGCTGGATTGGGGAGAGGGCGTAAAGACGGCATCGGAGGCCTGATCCATCGACAGCATGTCTGCGGAGATGCTGCTCGCTCCAGCTCCGGTCTGTGGTTGCTGGCGCAGCCCAATGTCAGAAGGATTTCTCCTGCCAACGAATTGTGACTCTTGCTTGCGAGAGTCAATGATTCATTCAAACGCATTGTCGAGCGAGTTTCACCGAGTACCCTCCAACATACCATCCGCGATCGTGAATAGCGTTTGGGCACGAAACACGCCAGTCACCGTAGTGGACGTGCTATAGTGCGCGACTTCGTGCGCTCTCGTCTGCTTCTCATTGGACGAGGTAAGCGTCGTACACCTTGTCGACAGAGCGGCGCAGGAAGAAAGGAAGTGTGGCGCAGAGAGCAAATCATCATTAGCATTCTCGAATGTCACGTCTAAGATTCTCCAATCACCAACCCGACTCGAGCGCTGGCTGCGCGGCACGCTTGACAAGCGACTCACCACGCTCCTTGTACCTCTCACAGCCGAAGCGATGACGAGGCTCTTGCAAGCCTTTCTGATCTCCTCATGCTCATCCTCGCACTCCAAGATCAGTCTCAGTCTGAAGCAATACTCTCCCACCTCCACCTCTTCCTTGCCCTCCAGCAGCTTTTGCCCAGCTTCTGCCGAATGACCGTAGCGAGTGCCGGAAGATTGAACGTAGAGCGTGCGGCCTGAACGGAGGAGAAAGGCGTAGCGGGCGTCCAGCCAAGCTGTACCTTCTGCGTCCGTGCGCAAATAGTCCGCCGCTCCTCCCTCCAGCAAGCGAGCGCCGTGAAATGGGGATGTCGCATCGCTGCATTGCGTCCGCCAGCACAAATGCCGCGTGGTGTGAGGTGGGAGGGGGGGGGGGGGGGGGGGCATCTTCCCGTCAACTTGCTTCTGATATGTTGTGCTGCGTCGCCCTTTCATCGAATGCCGGAGCAATAGCCCCACTCACCTGCTCGTCAACACTGCACTCTCTAGCGGTATGATTTTGCGCATACCTACGCTCGTCTGCCCGACAACGTGCACGGATCCAACGGTACATTCGCACCTGAAAAGCGGTACGAGCGCAGGGGCGGCAGGTTGGAAAGAGGTCAATTTGGTGTCGTCTAGCGGTCGACAGTTTGGTGAGACTGATGGCGCAGCGTCGGAGCTGGTCTCTTCGCAGGACATCCTGCAAACTGCTCGACGCGACGCCCGAGATGAATGAAGAAGCAAGCAAGCAAGCAGAAGCGGCGCCCGCTGGTCACGAACGGCGATTGGGCCAAAAGTGAACGGTTGTCGTGGAACAGAAGGTCAACTGTGCGCGCGTGCATGAGCAAGTCATCTGTGCACCTATGAAAGTCGCAGCTGCGCGCCTCGATGGCCAGCGGCCGAATTGTCAGGGTTGACGTGTCGTGCAGGCCCCAATACAAAAGTCAATATGGAGGCAGACTGGGCATCAGGTGTGCAAGCGCTCAGTCTGAGTGGAGAAGAACCGCTGCCGCTCGTCGCCTCGAGCGCCTCACACACTCCCCCTCTCCGTCACACCACGCAGGCTCCCTATACAGTACGTGCGGTAATCCTGTCATATTAGTGAGTCATGCAAGGTTGCATTTTGCAAAACGTACATTCTCTACTCTTTTCGCCGCGAGAGCTGGGCTGCAAATCGAACGGCAATGTCTCAAAAAGAGCCTCGCAGACATGCCCCGCAATTACTTCTTCCTTCTGCTCAAAACACACCCCCCTCCGCCGCTTGCCCGTCGTATGGCCTCATTCCTGCTTGTTCCCATAAGCCGAATCGTGAATGGTGACGGCTCTTCCAGAAGGATCGCTCGCGCAGCCCCAATCGCCTCTGGGTACCCATCTAACAGCTGTGGAAGCGGCAGCAGGGCTGGGGAACCAATGTTCGAACTGCTCCCTGATCCAGTAAGCTTCCTTGGTGTCCGGGGTGTCGAGCGGGTACCTTTTTGCTCTCTGGTTGAACTTGGCGTCCGAGATGGCGCTCTCTGCGTGCGACTTCATGCCGTCAATCCAACTGTAGCCTACTCCATCACTGAACTGTTCCTTTTGCCTCCACAGGATCTCAGTGGGCAAGTAAGGCTTTTCATCGCCCTCTGGAGTCAAATCGAACGCCTTTCTAAGCAAGTACTTTTCCATATGAGGCCTGCCGTCCTTGTCCTTGGTCTGCAGCGTTCCCTTGTTGAACTCCTTGTGCTTCGCATCGACATTCATGCACACATCCAAGAACGCTCTGTCCAGGAATGGAACACGAGCTTCCAATCCCCACGCCATTGTGCTCTTGTTGGCTCTCAGGCAATCCGCAGTGTGGAGGTTCTTGACCCTCCTCACGCACTCTTCGGCAAACGACTTGCTATCGGGAGCAGCGTGGAAATACAAGTATCCGCCAAAGATTTCGTCCGAACCTTCGCCAGAGAGAACCATCTTGACGCCCATAGCTTTGATCTTGCGCGAGAGCAAGTACATCGGAGTGGAAGCTCGAACAGTGGTCACATCGTAGGTCTCCAGATGGAAGATGACATCGGAAATGGCGTCCAGACCTTCCTGAACCGAGAATGTGTACTCGTGGTGCACGGTGCCCAGGTAAGCAGCCGCAGCACGAGCAGCCGCCAGATCGGGGGAGCCTGGTAGGCCAATGCTGAAGCTGTGAAGTCGAGGCCAGCTCGCCAAGTTCTCCTCCCCTGCGTCTTCGTCAAAGCCCACAGCCAGACCGTCCGGCGCACCTCCGGTACCCAAGTCAGGTGTGGAGGTTCCGGTGCTGTTGGCTGAAGCGCCAGACCTTTCGGCCGCTAGAGCTGCTGCTCGCCTCTCGGCGCGCTTGGCCTGTATGGCCTCGTAGCGCTGCCTTTGCGCATCCGCCACCTTGTTCGTCTCGCGCGCAGCGACCGCAGCGATCAGACTGCTATCCAGTCCACCCGAGAGCAGCACTCCGTACGGCACTTCGGACATGAGTCTCTTCTTCACTGCCATTTCCAGCTTTTCCCGAATCAGCGTAAGATCTGCATCACCAGTGGGCAGCTTTGAGGTATCCACATCTCCATCGATCCAGTTTGGAGAGTAGTATCGCGTGATCTCTTTGCCCTCGCCCAGCTGCGAGTCGTACACGTGACCAGGTGGGAAACTGTCGATGATTTCGCACTCTTCGTGGATGGCTTTGAGCTCGCTGGAGAAGTAGACTGCGCCTGGGCTCTTGTAGCTGGAAGCGACGTAAAAAGTGGTGATGCCGATGGGGTCTCGAGCAGCAATGACTCGGGAAGGGGTCACGCTGGTGTCCAGCAGAACAAAGCTGAACATTCCATCCAGCATCTTGACAAAGTCCACGCCATGCTCGCGGTACAGATGGATGATGACCTCGCAGTCGGAGTGCGTCTTGAACACCGCGGATTGATCTTTCAGCCCTTTGCGCAGCTGCCGGTGGTTGTAGATCTCTCCGTTGACTGCCAAGATGATCTTGCCATCTTCCGAGACCAGAGGTTGTGCGCCGGTGTCTGTGCAGAAGTACAGCATCAGAGATTGTCATGTCAGCTATGGGCTTTCACACTCCAAAGTGGCAGCATGCGCTCCAATGGGGAGACAGAGAGGCTCGCAACGCCCAACGCTAGACCAGACACTGCTGTATGCTCGCGCGCCCCAATCCACACTCACCGACACCGACGATGGCCAGACGCTCGTGGCAAAGGATGCTTCCCAGCTTTGGTTCATCCTTGCTCGCTTCGTTGGTCACCACGCAGCCGCTCCAATCTGGACCTCTGTGTCTGATGCAGCGGCTCAAGTTGAGCATGCGAGGCCTGTAGGAGGCGGCATCGGGATGATGAATGCAGGCTAGAATGCCGCACATGATGGACGGCCGCCAAGCTGCTGGCGGCGGGCGGGTAAGAGGCTGAAGAAGGTCGGGAAGTGCGCGTTGGGTGAAGAGGTGGTGGAGGGAGACGAGGGCGTTGGAGGAGGTGCTTGGCTCAGGACTCCATGCAGCAGTCGTGATCGTCACGAGTCACGAGTATCACGAGCGAGATGAGTAGTCAACTCGACAATGCAGCGACTTGACCCCATCAAGGCTCACTCACTCACTCACGACTGTGACTCAAGACTTTCTTTCGACTTTCTTCTTCGCCGCGCGAGCCTCGCCTCGCCTCATCTTCGAGCGCATGCCTGCATGCAGCGCGCGCGCCCTTATCGCGCCTTTGGGGTGCAGCAGCAGTGCGCATAGAACTCGCGAGCGTTGCTATGCAGCATACGCAAGACTCTTGACTCGTGACTCGACGGCGTGGATCGACCGCGGGCGCAGATTCTGGATTAAAATCAAGATTCAAACCGCATTCGATTCGCAGAAACCCGTGACTGATCGCGGCTAGCTCAAACGTGCAGAAGGCGCGCGGGCCGGCTGCGCCCTTCTTGAAACAGCTCTAAATTGAATCCCATCACTTGCGTCTCTCTCGCACCTCAAATCTTGTACTTTGCCTCAAAATCCAATAAAGCTCACTTGACCAAGCCAACAAACGGCAGCAAAGAGTCAACAGTCAAAGAGTCCCGCCTCGCAAATCAGAAATCAATGAATCAAGAATTGTTGAATGTCAGTCCTGAATCTTGAATGAAGGAAACAGAATCATAATCAAGAATCTTGCATCTTGAATCCTCCCTCATGAATAATTACATGAATCATGAAGTTCAGCCAAGTAGACTTTTCAAGGTCGGATTCAAATTAGAATTTGAACGTGTACTCTTGACTGTTCGAATAGTGAACTCACATGATCACTCCCAAGTCACGAGTCGACTTTGCGCGACAAGCTTGATTCAAATCACGAACAATAACGAAATCAAAATGATGAGTCAAGAGTCTCTTGTCTTGGCGGCATGCGCTTACCGCGATTCACGATTCGTCGCTGCATGGCCCCGCGCCTGCACCGGCGCTGTGGTCGACCATGCTGCATCCATCCATGCTGCGCGAAACGCGACCGCCCGCTTGCCGCCTCAGCACTCACTTGCACGGCGGTGCATGATGAAGCTGCTTGCGGTGATCGTACCATCCCATGCCGCCATCCCTCGGATTCCGCTCTGCTGCAGCTCACAGCCACGAGCTCCATTCACTCGTTCCCAGATCGCACTCGCGACAGCACCTCGCAGCGCCATTCTAAGTTTGGTTAGATTTGGCGACAATACTCGGCTCCCCAGACACCTGCCACCCCACGCGCACGTGCACTTACTTGCACCAAAAGCATACCATCCCGGCTGCCAGAGCTTCCAGCTTCCACCGCGAGAGGCGGACATCAAGCACGGCAGATAAAGAACGGTTCGCGCGTTGGGCGCACCTCGAGACAACGGTCACTCCGTACGTGGACAGGAGGCGCTCTGCTGCGACGATGCCCATAGCTTCAACTTCAGCACAATTGTCACAGTCCGATGAGCGCTGCGAGAGCATTGTGAGGCGGTGCGCAGGCTGCGCACATTCCCTCTTGCCATCTGGAAGCAGAGTGGAACGTAGAGAGGTAGCTCACGCGAGACAGATGGGGATGTATGCGCATGGACATGTAGACACCGACCCCTCTACCGACTGGTCAGGGCATGCGCCCAAGCGTAGCAGACGGATCACGCCTCTCAACCTCAAGAAAGGGAGGAGCAGCGCATTGAATTTGAACATGCGCCGCAGATCGATCTGGCTGATTGCCCTCGCTTGCGCTGCCATACTCTGCACGAAGCCCACACTGGCTCGAGAGGAGGCGACCGTCAATTTTCAACCAAGAGATGTGCTTGCTGCGCGACAAGCCTCAAGCCAGAGTGAGGCGCTAGGTAGCACGTCAGGCTCGTTGTCAGCGTTGCCCTCCGAAGCTACCCAAGGCATCACCTTTGTTCCTTCCAGCACGCTGAGCAACGGCTCCTCGATCTCCACTCTGGGATCAGGAGAGGCGACCAGTACAATCTTGTATCCCACTTCTAGCTCGGACGGCTCGGATGAAGATTCGGTAGCTCAGTTGCCAACTGGAGTGAGCAGGATGGAGGGACAGCCAACACCCACGAGCCCCGGCCAGCCGCACGATCCTCTGCTGGCCATCATGCCCGACTTTGCATTCAGCATGCCCGCTCAGATTGTCGCCAACGGCATCAACTTGGCGCTCGTCACCATCCTTGGCATTCACCTGCTATTCACGGCTCAGTACCACTACCCGCTGAGCTCGAGAAATTACCTCTTGCAAGCAGTCAGCACAGCAATGCTTCTTATCAGCCTAAGCGTGCAATTGAACATTGTCCTCAGGAAGCTCCACCATCAAAGCCACACGTGGCCTTACATGTTCGCATACATTGGTGTTCAGATTCCCCCTCAGGACGGCACCTGGACGACGGTGCAAGAGGCCTTTTTCCTGCTCATGCGTGCTTGCACAACTGCACTGGCACATGTGAGTCGCATGCCTCTTTGGCCTTAAGCTGTGTCAAAGCATTGACCCTCTTTCGCCTTTCACTGTCCGCAGTTGACGCACATTCAATTCTTGACGCTGCTGTTCCCATCGGCGCTGGAGGCACGCTTGATATTGTGGATGTTGGGCCCGCTGGCTCTTGCGGCTTCTGGCATGGAGTTTACCGCTCTCTCCTCATCTGACGACGTCAAAACCTCAGATCTAGGAGACGCAATTCGGAACATTTGCAACAGCACATTGACCTTGCTCTACACTTCTGCGCTGCTGATTTGGGGTCTCTTGGTGAATCGCAGAAGAGCCTGGAGGACGGATGGAGGGACGGCTGCTTTTGGTGGCGGTAGCGTCGGATTGGCCATCATCAACACGGCCATCAGCTTTGTTGAGATCGCCTTTGATCGCGTTTGGTGGCTGCCGGACATGTGTTGGACACTGACGATCTGGCAAAGCTGGCTCGGCTTCTGGTGGTGGGTCGGCTCAGGCATGGTGAGTATCGTGTCGACGGTGATTCGCACCTGCGCAGGCTCACGCGCGTTGGCCACGCGCACTCTACAGGGCATTGGTGAGGTGGAAGACAGAGTCGAGCGACAAGAGCGCTTGCGAAAGCGTGAAGAGCGCATCAAACGCAAGCGGGACCGAGAAGAGCGACACAGGAGGAAGGCCGAGGCTGCCGCTGCTACAGCCGCTGCAAATGGCACTGAAGCTGGCAGTGGAGCTGATGGCGACACTGCTTTGATGGGCCACGTGAGGAGATTCAAAGACAAGATGGTTGGCGAGACGAACGCTAGATTGCGAAGACCACATCACGGCTCATCTTCTGAACCCAACGAGGAGATCGAGTTGGAAGGCGTCTCGGGAAATGAGGCGCGCAACGCTGCAGAAAGGAGGCATTCACCCGAAGCTGATTTGCGAGGTGTGGAGGTGCACGATGAGGCCCGCAATGGCCCTCCAGGCACGGTCGTGGGAAGCAACAACCCAGCGGATGATGCCTTGACTACAGCTGGATCGTCCAGCGATACCCATCCCACATCCACCTCTGCTCCGGGTTGGTTCCAACCGCTGGGACAGGCGCTCATCTCCTACACGCCCAGTTGGATCACGCGTCGTTACAACAGATTGAGAAGAGCTCACGAAGTGGCAGCTCGTCGAGCCGCTACCGAGCAGTCTGTGCTCCGGGATCAGATGTTGCACGCGTCTAGGTCGACGAATGGACCCGGACTGAGGCACATGATGTTCGATCCGCGCATCGAGCGTCGGATCGGCATGGATGAGGGAGAGGCTCGGAGGAGCAATAGCGCCAGAAGGTCCGCAACGCAGGTCCGGCATGTGCCCGCTTTGGGTCTGGACGGACATGCCGGCGCGGTCAATTTGAGCGCTGAAGCTACCGAAAGCATGGGCCGCGATAGCAGCGGCACCCTTTCAGGAGAAGGCACGGGCAATGCCACGAGCACAGATCAGAGGACATCTTCTTCTGGTTCTCGGAATAGGGACACACCGCAAGCTTCGCCCACGATGACCTTCCGTGAAGTTGGTCAAACTGCTTCCGCTCGCTCTTTGTCTCGCGAGCAAAGTCGATCGAGAACTCGATCGGCACATCATCGATCTACACCACCAAGCGGCATGGCGCAAGAGGCCCGCTCAACGACAGCGACGACAGGAGGATCCGAAAACCCCTTCTCGACGCCACGAGTCGAGGTGCGGGGAGCAGGAGCTCGTCCACATGATGGGGACTGGCTGGACGAAGGACCGGTCATCATTTCTGGGGGTGGTAGAGCAGACGATGACGATGAGCCACCAGCAAGCCTTGCCGGAGGTCCTTCTGGACGCGAGCGCCAGTTAGCTGAAAGCCAGGCCTCAGCGACACCGCGACACGATTCCACTCGCGGTGATCCAGGCACCAGCCCGCGCTGGGCCTTCGCGAATAGCATTCGACAGCTCCGAAGGACGGATAGGTCTCATTATCCTTGATTCCACTCGTCCATCGGAGCGCTGCGCATTAGCTCGACTGGCAGTGTTTCCTCAATGGAGTCTCGTAACTTTTCCATCTGGTTGTCGTCTGAACCGACATGTACTGTAGATCTTCGGATTGACTCGCCCCTACTCGTTTTGCCCCTCTATGTGCTGCCTCGATCAATATGCTTCCCTCATCCTTTGTAATTTCACCGCGTCGCACCTCGAAACCCAAGCGCGATTCTCGTCTTAAGACAGGAAATCTTGAATGTGCGTGCAGTCAGGCGTCTCGAACACACTCTCGTGCGCGCACGTGACCGGCCCGAGTCCGCAGAGACGTGTGCGGTGACTCGACCTCCACGTTGGCTTGCCCGATCATAAAGTCACAGTCACGATGCTTCACGAGTTGCTGATCCGTTCGTTGCTCGACCTGTCGTCCATCATCCGCTTGTCGAAGGAGTGGAGGAGACGTTGAAAGGAGCTCTTTGCACTCTTTTTCTCAGCGCTCAGGGCGACTCGTTGCGAGGCGCGACGTGCTCAGCAGCAGAAAAGGACGAGGAAGAGGGGCAGGAATTTGATCAGAATACAGTCTTCCCGCGCTGGGCAACATGCCTCAATACGTGTGAGTAGAGTCACCGCATCAGCTTGAACATTGTCTCAATGCGTTGCCCCTTCTGCACCCGCTTGCAGCAAGGTCGCTACTTGCTCCCTGAACCAGTGGGCTTTGGACTTTGATGGGAATAGGGACAGGATATCGAGCTCCATTAGGAGCGCAAAGGCGCAGGGAGCGAGGATCAGGCTGGGACCGGAATTGGAGATCCCGTGAGCAAACCTGATAGGAGTCGATGGGCAAGAGAGCAGAGCGAGGCTCAAGCAGCGTGCTGATTCGCACGCGCTCTTCATCCTCGACGCCCCTTGTTGGACTTTTGCAGCGGCTATGGGGTAAGTTGTGGGCGCGCACCATCCGCATACATGCTCTACAACGCTCTGTTGCTGATTTAGCATCACCATCCCGCGACATGCTCAAGTGCTTCGATCACTTTCTCGAGCAAGACACGACGCTTCACAGCTGGCAGGTGCTGAGGGAACTCCTCCAGAGCGATGCGACGGATGACGTGATTGTGGATACTGGCATGTGAGCGTATGGCCCGCATTTGGGAGGAGCATTTCGCGATGCCCAACTCACACTTCCTGTCGCACCTTGCCAGGCCGGTGCTGCACCGCTCAGTGCTTTACAATTGCCGCGTGCTCATCCACAATCGACGCATCCTCCTCATCAGACCCAAAATGTGGCTGGCAAACGATGGCAACTACAGGGAGATGAGGTACTTTACCCCTTGGACGCGCAGAGGCGAGACGGACGAGTTTGTGCTTCCAGAGATCATCAGGTCTCTCTCTGGACAGGAGACTGTGAGATTTGGCGATGCGGTGGTGCAGACTCGCGACACTTGCATTGGTGTAGAGCTGTGCGAGGAACTTTTTACGCCGGATAGGTGGGTGGTCACGTCGCGAAGAGGAGGGCTCATGAGCGAATACTGTGCTCACTCCTTCTGCACACACAAGCCCTCACATCGCTCAAGGCTTGGATGGAGTCGAAATCTTCCTCAACGCTTCTGCGAGCCATCACGAGCTGCGCAAATTGTCGACGAGGGTGGAGCTGATCAGAGAAGCGACGCTCAAGGTACGTGCGCGCGTCGACCTCGCATCTGGGAGAGCATTTTCTGAAGCAGCTTACTCGCGCTTGGCAGCTTGGGGGCGTGTATCTGTATGCGAACCAGCAAGGTTGTGACGGCGATCGGCTGTACTATGACGGATGTCCCCTCATCGCAGTCAACGGCTCTCTCGTGGGCCAAGGTACGCAATTCAGTCTGCAGGATGTACAAGTCGTTTCTGCTACTGTAGATCTGGAGGAGGTCAGAGCCTGCAGGAGCGCAAAATCAAGAGGCATGCAAGCCGCCTCGAGAAGTCAAGGGAACAGGCAGGGGCAAGGTTTCGAGAGGATTTTTGTAGACTTTGAAGTGTCCAAGAATACGAGCGAGGCATTGCTCTCTGAGCATCCCAGCAAGTCTAGAGATCCATTCTACCATCTTCCAGAGGAAGAGATTGCGTGAGCAGATGCCTGCGCGCACGCACTCTGCCTCGACTTGGTGCTGACATACACCGACGACGCATTGGACCACAGCTTGGGCCCCGCCTGCTGGCTCTGGGACTACCTTCGGCGATCTCGAACTCAGGGATATTTCATACCATTGAGCGGAGGCATAGATTCTTGTGCGACGAGCGTCATCGTGTACAGCATGTGCAGATTGGTGTACGAGCAAGCGGCGTTGCCAGACAAGACGCGCGCCTACAACAAAGAACAAGTAGACACTTCGAAGTTGGTGCTTGAAGATTTGCGAAGGATCGTGGGAGAGAAAGAGGAAAGCGACTGGATTCCTGCTTCTCCTCAGGACGTCTGCAATAGACTTTTCGTGACTTGCTACATGGGCACGAGTAACAGCAGTGCCGACACGAGAAATAGAGCAAAGCAGCTGGCTCAGGCGATTGGCTCGTGAGTGCCTCCGGGGCAATCTCTACAAGCGCAAAGCTGCGGCCGCTGACGACTATCGCTTCTTTACCAGGTACCACATCGACCTGAACATGGATCTCATCATCACTGCCATCGTCCAGCTCTTCACACTCGTCACGAGCCAGACTCCGCGCTTCAAGGTGCACGGAGGAAGCTCTGCGGAGAACTTGGCGCTTCAAAACATTCAAGCTCGATTGAGGATGCTGCTGGCGTACCTCTTTGCGCAGTTGACTCCCTGGGTGCGCGGTCAGAGTGGTAGCCTGCTGGTGTTGGGCAGCGCCAATGTCGATGAGAGGTGAGTCAAGGTATCGTCCGACGTTTCGTGTCGACTATGTTCTGACTGCCCCCTGCGTCGCGTCTCGCACAGCTTGAGAGGCTATCTGACAAAGTACGACTGTTCATCCGCGGACCTCAATCCCATCGGAGCGATCTCCAAGACGGATTTGAAGCGCTTCATCGCATACGCGACAACAGCTTTCGACTTGCCCGTACTGCAAAGTTTCCTCGACGCTGTGCCTACGGCCGAGTTGGAGCCCATCACTGCCGATTACGTCCAGGCCGATGAGGTGAGCTGACGCGCGATTGATCTGCAGGTACATCTCCAGACTGACTTCTTCTTACTCCCTCTGATCAAGGCTGACATGGGAATGACGTACGACGAGCTGTCGATTTTCGGCAAGCTCAGAAAGGTGTCAAAATGTGGACCGTGGAGCATGTTCAGCAAGCTGGTGGTCGAGTGGAAAGATACTCATTCGCCCACGCAGGTGGCCGAAAAGGTGAAATTGTTCTTCTTCGAGTATGCTAGAAACAGACACAAGATGACGACCATTACGCCTAGCTATCATGCTGTGAGTCGTGAAGCGGTGACGTGGACGTCGAAAATAGGTGGCTCACTTGTCTCTTTGGCTTGCGAATGCAGGAGTCATACAGCCCAGATGATAACCGTAAGTACAGAGAGAGGTGCGCTTCGCTGCTAGCAGCTGACTTCTACTGTCATTGTCTTCTCGCTACACGCCATCGCTGCACAGGCTTCGATTTGAGGCCATTCTTATATCCAGCCAGGTTCCCGTTCCAGTTCAGGTTGATCGATCAGCTCTCGGCGAAGCTGCCCGATCAGAGTCGGAATGAAAGGGTATTTCGTGCAATGAAGTGAAGCGCAGGTCACGACCAGACAAAGGTTAGCAGGCTCGCTTCGCGACGTCGTAGAAATCATGGAGATTGTCAAAATCTTAACAAGTCACCTTAGACGGCTCACACTCGCGTGCATACTCGTGTTGACATGTCAATCGGCCAGACCGCATGCGCGCTTTCATCATCGTTCATTCGATCCGCAGGAAGCGGTGCAGTCGCTTTGGAGTAAACAATGATCGGGGGTAAACGAAAGGGGCGTGGAGCGTTCTCTAGCCCGGCCGACTCGAAAAACAGGTGCTGGTACTCGGTCTTCTCCCCTCAGTGAATGGGCGCCTCGAGGATTGCGGTCTAGGCGGTCGACGGCTGTGTTGGAGCCGTGGGAGACGCACTGGGTTTGCTCGCATTGGACTGCGTCGGGGCGGCGGCAGCCGGATTCAAGAATGCCTTGAATTCCGTATTGTCTTCTGCGCGCGGAAGTGCGGGCAGGAGTTGGGATACCCATCCAATGATCTGTGGAGCTTTCATCTCGATGCTTGCGAGGTGAGACAAGGTCGCAGCATCTCGTCGTGGTGTTAGAGAAAGGTCACGCGTGATTGGGCAAGGCGCGCAGCAACGCTGGACTTACCGGCATCCGGACGAGGTGGCTTTGCACGTTGCGCCCTTCTCCGAATTCGACTTGGCGTAGCTGCCTTCCGCCTCTCCAAAGGGTCCGTAGGCAACGCTAGCTTTGGCCGTGGTGGAGGAAGAGTTCATGTAGGTCTGCAACGAGGATGTGCTGCCGGAAATTTCGAGCACGACATTGGTGGCCACCAGGAACGCTGAAGGTGCGGCATTCCGGACATGATTCAGACAGTTGTTGGACGGCTAAGCAGCTTTCGCCGTGAGCACTCACCGACGGGGTACATGGGAAAGGACGAGTATTCTTGGCGTGCAGTGTCGGCGTTAGGAGCCGTGGAATTGATGAGCTCCTTGAGCTTTCCGAAGCCGGGAGAAAGTCTGTGGTTTGGGCGTACAAACGGAGTGAGCGCGCCCAAGTATTTGTGGACGGCAGGGCAGGGCACCTTTCTACTCACTTGTCCTGCTGGCTAACAACGAGGTCTTCATCATAGAACAGCTCGCCGCGCAGCCAAGGTCGGTTGATGTCTACGCGCATCACTTCGAACGAAATCTTGACGTTGGATTCGAGCATTTCCTTGTTTGCGGAAGCTTGCGCGTCCGAGTGCGAGACATTGACGGAAGCCGAGGCAAAACCATAACGAGCCTTGGCGCCGAATGAGTAGGACTTGGCAGACTCTTTGGACGATTCGTTTGAGCTTTGCGAAGAGATCTCGACGGTGATTGGCGTAAAGTAGTCGACGAGCGGTCGAGCGGCGGTCCCACCGGCAGCACCTTCCGCTCCAGGAGCTTGGATCGTGGCTGCGCCGGGCTCAGGTACTTTGGCGGGAATGGAAGCTTGCTGGGCAAGCATGGCAACGAGCTTATCCTCGGGCTTTTCAGCCTGATCCCCGCTTGCCGATACTGCCTTGCTTCGCAGCGTCGAGAGCCTCTCAATTTCGGCCAGGTTAGCTGTGATCTGCTTGCTGAAAAATCCATCATCGCCCGTGGCCTTGTCGATCAGTTCGCGATTGGCATCTTGCGCGACTGCGATTTGCTGTTTGATTTCGGCTTCGTCTTGCAAGCGCTGCTTTAGCTGATAATCCTGTTTGCACCGCGCAACCGCATCGTCATTTGTTGTATTGCTTTTGTTGTTCCCATTCTTAATCGCAGCTTCGTCCCGCGTCTTGATAGCAGTGTGATACGCCTTCAAAGCGTCGTCGGTGGCTTTCTTTGCGTTGTCTACAGGACCAAATACCGCCGAAGAACTTTCAGATTTGCCCATTAATCCCATCCAAAACGCAGCCCACACTCACTGTACGTGGTTACGGCGGCTGTCTGCTCCTCTTTGCTCATGCCAACTTTTAGTTGGGCTGCATTGTCCTTGTCTTTCAGGAGTCCAAGCATTTGATTGGTCTTCAGCAGACGCTTGATCTCGAAATCGTACCAATCGACGGACTTTGTCTGATTTGTACCGAGGGCGATTTTGTCTAGGCACTTGTTCGCCCTGGTAGTGGGGCGCAGTCAATGACGGGCTACAGCATTGTTTTCCTGTTTTCTGTCGTCTCGCACTCACCAGTCGCTCGGCTCGAGCTTGACTTTGCTGTACTCGCAAGACCCATCAGAGTCCTGGACGACGGCCCATCGCATGACTTCCTAATGTGCGCAACAGACACGGGCACAAATCTAGACGTCGTTAGTATGTGTTTCAGGCTGACATTGCGAAGAGCAGCACTGCTTACCTTGCTCTTCTCGACGCGAGCGAGGGCGGAGTCTTGATCAACAACGGCGAACCAGTACTCCACCTCCTCTTTCTTGCCCGTAATGACCCAGTCCATGTATGCAGCCTGCACACGCGCGCGCCAAGTTTTGGCATTCTCTGCAACCCAAGCATCGTACACGTTTCGCTGCTCCTTTAGATTCTTGGGCCAAAGCGCCTTGGCAGAGTCTTGGGCTTGGCGGAAAGCAGCATTCTTCTCCTCGACTGCCAGCGTATACTTGGACTGCATGGAAGTGTAGCGCGAGATCAATGTCTCGTCCGTATCGGGAATCTCGGCGCTCAGAATAGCCATCGCTTTCTTGTAGCGTTTGTGACCATCGGTAAGCTTGGACTCGTCATCGATGCCAACCGGCGTGCCTGTTGAGCGGTCAGCATACAGTGTCAGTACGTCGATGGCCTATGGATCCAATGTGGCGCACTCACTTGCTGGGACCAGCTTGCTGATGGCTGCAGCGTAGCTTCTAGCCACGGATCGTCCGGTAGGTCCCATGGAAATGTTGGCGAGAGTGGGCATGTCGTCACACAGGATGGCGTTGTTGAGCTCAGTACGCTGAGGCAGAACAAGGTCTATGGCTGTGTCCACTTTGTAGTCGTCCAGATTGACGACTTTACCCGGCACCATGATGGTGAGATGCTGCTCAGGAGGTGTTGGCAGCGATGCCCTCAGAGCTTCGCGGATCTTGGTCGAAATATCGCCTATGCGATTGATCTGCTGCGATTCCATGGCGGCACGATCTGCTTCGGTCGCCATCTTGAATGCGAGTGCTTGGGTATGCTTGAGCGGGCGTGAGGAGATGGATGATCTGAGGATGGAGGCGGACAATGGAATGATGGGTGGCCGAGCATGTTTCTAGTGCTCAAAAGGAGCTCCTTTATACCTTTGCGAGTGGCATCGACGCGCCCGAGGGGTGCCCCAGCACACATCACATGCCAAGGGCATCGTGCAAAGAGCGAGGCTGAACGCTTTTCTTCTTTCTCCAACAGCTCGTCCGTACCCGCGCATCTTGCTCGACGTTTCGTCTGCAAATTCGGTGTCGCGCTCCGCTTCCCGCAATGGCATCCCGTGTGGCGGGCAAGTTCACGGAGCCCGTAGTGAACGGGGGCAAGTCAGTTGCCCCAGAAATAACGACCAGAAGGGGTGAGCGTTTCAAAAGACGTCTCGAACCGTGGTCACAAAGCCTGTACTTGATCTTGAGCAATGGAAAGAGATGTAAAGGACTGAAGCTAGCGAGCAGCGAGCGCATCTTTGTGCGGCGGATGCAAGATGCTCGCCGCGGGATCGGATCCCCCACCTCCAAGGCTGAGCTTGAACCTTGACAATGAGGCGCGACCACCCCGGCTTGCCCCACCGCCACGCCACGCTGCACGCGCGGGAATGCAAGAAAAGCCGCTAGGCGCGTAGAGCTTGCTTGCTTGCTGCTGCGCATCGCACTCACCGCCTCGAAGCGGCTGTCTGGCTGGCTGGCTTTGTACGGCTTTGCTGGTGCACTAGGCTCAAGAGGGGACAATTCTCTTGCTCGCTGGATCGCTGGGTCGCTGGGTCGCTGGGTCGCTCGCTCGTGGCAGCAGCAGCTGAGATGTTTGTGGCCTCAAATTCGACGCTTCACAGGGGAGAGTGACGACCTGACGAGCGCTGGACCATCCCTCTTTCCGCGCGCCTCTACCTACGCCTTGGGGTTCGTGCTGAGAAAAGCCACGCTGCACAAGGTGCCAGCCAACGGTTGCGTCCATCACCCTTTCCGATATGGATGTCTAGATGCCGAGCGTTTGCACTCATCACGATTATCCGTGAAGCGAAAGTACTGGGACGATGGACAGAGAAAGAGCGCGCATAGCAGCCCGGTCGTGTACCGCACCGTTGAAAGTTTGAACCCAGATCGACCGTCTTGGGAAAGGCCGGCCTTTTGACCCCGCAAGGCTTTGTTCCCGTCAGTCCCGCGTGCGCCACTATACTAGCGACAAGCACAGCAAGTGTGGTTCCGATGCAAGGAACCGCATTCCGGTCGAACACGGACGCATGCGCTTTGCCTACCGCAGCGTCGAGTTTTGACGCGACAAGTCGAGGAACTAAGCGTGGCGCGACGATGTCGGTCCTTCCTTTCGTCGGTCCGAAACCCTCACCCAGCCCGAGGGGGGAAGCGCGGGGTCCGGACCTCTTGAGCATGTCATGTCTTCGTGCAGGTCTTTTTGTCGCCACCTGATGTGCAAGAGCCGCTTTGCATTTGCTTAAGCGAGAACAAAGAAGGGAGGCGAAAATCACGCAATGGCCAACCGACGGTCTCTGATGCCCAACCGTTAATGCATTACAATGACGCTCGCCGCGCTTGCTTGAACCTTCGCTTTGGGGAAAAAGACGTCCGAGATGAAACTCACATTCAAGTATTACTTGACGCTTGCAACGTCTTTGACCCGCTTACTTCTGCGTGAATTGAATGATGTTGCAATTCGTACTTCTTGCCTTTTGGTTTGCATCACACACTCGCTCGCCCACGCTGTCGAGGTCGAGAGATGAGTGGTTCGAATCGAAGAAGCTGCGTGAAATTGAATGGATCTTGGATCACCAATCACGTGAATAGGCGAGTGTCCAGACAAGACCCTTTGGAGTCAAATTCGTGTTTCAATTTTGAATCATCCAAGATTGTTGAATCACGAATGGTGAATGGAGACGATAAGGTATCAAGAATCTTGAATGTGAAGCAAGATCAAGAATCAAGAATTCTTGATTGTGAATCAAGAACCACGAATGTCTTGCACGCATCAGACCAACACTCACGTGATTCGGGCGAGCACGCCACACGCGCATGCATCAAAGACTACGTGAGCCGCACGTGCCGCGGCGCTAGTCATGGGTCTTCAAATCGAAAGTCAAGAGTTTTGATGGGAGTTTGAGTATGCTCACGATTCCTGATTACTGTACCTATATTATATGCATATATGCACGGCGCCTTAATCGCGTGCTGAGAGCGAAGAAGCTGATCGGAGCGGTGACGGGCCGTTCGCACTTTTGAGAGCCACAATCGTGAGTCAGGCCTATTTCGGCCAACACAGCATCGGCGATGCCCGTTCCCCTCCCCATCTCCATACGTGCCACTGCCACTCGAACTACTACCCTCGCCACGCGCACTGAGAAACCCGGGGCGTAGGGTACTGTCACTCATCCGACCCGCCTGAAGCATGGTCGACCATCCCGGACAGGAGCAGGCGATGCCAGCCTCCACCTCGCAAGCAGCTCTTCCCATTGCCGGACCCACCTCCCCTCAGTCTGCAGCTTTGGGCAACGCTGCCACTGGCGGCCAATCGTATCTGCTGCTGCCCAGCTTTACGCTCGAGTCCGGTGTGGAGCTGCAGAATGTGCCAGTAGCGTACAAGACGTGGGGCAAGCTGAGCGCGAGTGGGGACAATGCCATGGTCGTGTGCCATGCGCTCACAGGAAGCGCAGATATCGAGGATTGGTGAGTGTGGATCGAAAAGCTTGCGCTGCAGTAGTAGTGCTTCGGCTGAATGCTCTTTCTGGCTCGCAGGTGGGGACCTCTGTTGGGTCCCAGCCGGGTGTTCGATCCCACTCGCTTCCTCGTCGTCTGCTTGAACGTCCTAGGTAGCCCGTATGGCAGTGCGAGTCCTTGCACGCGAAGAGGTGGGGAGGTCAGAGGAGCGGATGGATCAGAACGAGCAGGCAGGCCAGTCGTGCACGCCGATGCGGATGGAAAGGAGACGGTGCATTGGTGGGGTCCAGAGTTTCCTGCCACGAGCGTGCGGGACGACGTCAGGTGAGCGGCCACATAGCTACCACGGCTGGCTATTTGCCGTGCTGACGCGCGCGTGCACTCATGACAGGATCCACAAGCTGGTGCTTGACCATTTGGGTGTTACACAGATAGCGGCAGTCGTCGGCGGCTCGATGGGCGGCATGGCTGTGCTCGAATGGCCACTGTGCTTCCCGGTCCGCTTTCCGACGGAAGAATCGGCCAGCGTACCGCAAGGTGCTGCGGCGAGTACGTCGGCTACAAAAGGAGCTGATCGCAATGCCGCGCAGCCCCAACGACCATACATTCGAGCCATTGTGCCCATCGCCACTGCCGCTCGACATAGCGCTTGGTGCATATCGTGGGCGGAAGCGCAGCGGCAAAGCATCTACAGCGACCCCGCATACAATCACGGCTACTACATGCCCTCTGCGCCGCCTCGCGCTGGTCTCTCAGCAGCACGGATGGCCGCACTTTTGACCTACCGCAGCAGGGACTCCTTTGAGAGCAGATTTGGCAGAAGGACCGGCGGTCCTGCGAAGGGCAATGGCAAGGTTGCTGCTGCCGAGATTGCAGCGTTGAGCGTCCACGACGCCGCGGGCCAGCACAACGAGGGCAATTCGAGTCCTCGCACGCATGCAGTCGACAGAAACTCGAGCTCTCCCGTCCCAACGCTGTCGTCCATCGGTGCTCAGATGGCCGCGGCGAGCGTTTCAGAGGGTCCCAATGGTACTGTGCCACCTTCCTTGCTGGACCCAGCCGCCGCTCGTAACGCTCTCCGCGCTCCGACGAGCACAGTCAATGCTCCAAAAGTATATAGCGCGCAATCTTACCTGCGCTACCAGGGCGACAAGTTCGTGAAGCGGTTCGATGCCAACTGCTACGTCCACCTCACGCGCAAGATGGACACGCATGATGTGGCTCGAGGGAGGGAGGACTGGACATTTGTCGACGAAACGGAGCGGGAATCTGAAGTGGAAGGAAATGAAGACGACGAAGCTCTGGCGAGGGTGTTGAGTCACTTGTCGTCGAGCAGTGCGACCTCTCACGGACCGCCCCCGCCGCGCGTGCTCATCGTCTCCATCCAGTCCGACGGCCTATTCATGCCAACAGAGCAGCAGCTGATGTATGATCTCATCAAAGGAAGCGAGCTGGTCACGATCGAGTCTCCGGAGGGTCACGACGCATTCTTGATAGAGAGGTACATGCTCAGCTATCACGTAGGTACATTCCTCGCCAACGTGTTGTCCAATGACGACTTGGGACCGAACTTGTATGCGGGCGCAGGTGTCGGCGAGATGGAGTGGAGCAAGTGGAACGGGGATGCTGGGTACGAGGGCGGGGATGATAAGGTGCAGGTCAAGGAGAGCGTATATGGAGAGGTCGAAGACGTGACGCGTTGGTAGCCAGCGGCAGGGACGAGCTCGGACGTCATTGACGAAGGAAGACCGTGTACAACGCTCGGTACAGCCCCCCAATATAATCGTTTGGAGCGGGTCCCAAGCATCGCTCTCGGAAAAATTTGGGAATTTCTGATCGACGCCACTCTGGCTTTTTTTTTTTTTTTTTTTTTTTGCTCGCCAAGGTAAGGCGCTGGACGATGTGGCGGCGCCTTTTGAGCGAGGTGTCGGGCTGAGTGCCACACTCATTGTAGCCAACCAGCCCGTTGACGGAGGTCGTGGGCCAATAGGCATGCGAGTGCCGATTCAAGGTTTGAAGGGAATGCGAATGCGGATCGACGCCCCTGCATTGCATCCTGCCTGTCCTTTGCTTCACGTGGGCTAAGGAGCATCGTGATGGGGCAACTGTTTGCTTGTGCTCGTGGACTGTGTAGCCATGCAAGCGCGACGATCACTGATTGCAGAAAGATTTGTGAAACGCGATCGACAAGGAGTCAAAGTGGTTTATTTTCACGGGGACGGAACGTTGGAAGGTCGCGATCGAGCGATCGAGGGAGGAGTTTTGCCGAGGCTTGTTCGTAGCAGCATGCAGTCAGGACGCGGCGGGTGAGCGTCATGTGCGGCTGCCCCGAATGCCTGCACTGCACTGCACTGCCTGCGAGATAAGGCACGCCACTCGTGGACTACACTAGCGGCAAGGCGCACAGCGACGAAGCGGAATCGTGCAAACTTGACGCTCCACCTTCTTTTCCCCTGCTTGATGCTCATCATGAGCAATCATAGCACGCCAGCAGCAAGCAAGCAAGCAAGCAAGCAAGCAGCACGCAACGATCGGCAGCGGGGCTGTGTTGCTGCGTACAGTATGAACGCGTATACAGTCACGAGTAGAAGCATCGTCGGCGCATAAAGCTGCTCGATCCTCCTCCGCTTTATTTGCTGCAATTGAGCTGCAGTCTGCAGCAAGTCTGCAGACCCTTATCAGCATGCAGCAAGCAAGCAGCAGTCAGTCTTGAGTCACGAGTGGCGGCAGCGATTTGCAATTTTTTGCGAGATGCAAGCTTGCGCTCGATCGTGATCGTGCCTTGCGTAGGTGGTGTAGTCGCAGTTTGAGTGGTGAGTGTGGTGTGTGTAGGTCGGTCTCTCTTGACAGACAGACACCCGCAGGTGCGTGTCAAGCGCCCCCCAATCCGCCTGCCCTGCCCTGCCCTGCCTTTCCTGCGCCCGCCGCCCCCACGCCCACGCAGACGCCCACGCAGACGCCCACGCAGATTTTTTTGGACCTGCGCAGCGGTGCGATGAGCGAGCGCATGGAGGCGCTATCGCTGATGCTGCTGCTGCGTGCTGATGCGTATACGCGGCGTGAAGTCACGAGTCATGAGTGTGCAATTCATATTTTGGTTTGTGATTGCTGCTGTGTGCATGCATGCCGCCTCGAGCGCAGAGCCGCACCGCACCGCACCGCACCGCACCGCACCCGCGAAGAAGAACCAAAGGCAACAAACACAGCTAGCAGCAGCAGCAGCAGCAGCAGCAAGCAGGCTTGGCGAGCATCATTCATGATCGCAACACTCACGACTCATCGCGACTCACACAAGCGCACAGCAATCGCATCTCTCCCGCCGCCCGCTCTTGCATCACCTCCATCATCCATCATCCGCATCAGCGAGCTACGCACACCACCTGCGACCTCGCTGCTTGCCGTCGCGCCCCCTCGGCTTAAATCGACTCCTTCCACGGGCCCCATTCCGCACCGGCTTTCCCCTCCCCCTCGGCTCGCTCATTTCGACCCTTGGGCGTGTTCCCTCGGCTTGCTGCATGTCATCGTTCCGCATCATTTTCTCGACACACAACTACTGTACACGCTCAATTTGGACGTAGCATACAACCAGTGCGCCCTCATCATCACGTCACTGTCAGCATACAATCGACACCTTTCCCCATCATCACGACCGCGCATCCCACCCCGTGAACAATCTCGCTTCGCACACGGCGTGCTGCGATCAGACTCGCTCTTCATTGCGCCCATTGCGATACGATATACCGGTAGCTCGCACGTAGTGGCGTGGCGAAGGTGATACACAAGTCGCATTGCTGCTTGGAGTGCCTACCTCCTTCCACCCGCAGCTCATCTGTCATCGCTGCCACATTCCTGCCCGAGCCGCACCGGGCCATGGCTCCCATCAGCAGTGCGATTGCTGGCGAGCAGACAGAAAGCAGCCGCACGCTGGACAGCAATGAATTTGCCGTACCTCAGGCTGTGCGGCAGCACAGCAAGCTGATGAGCCATTCCCCGCGCAGTCTTGGCAAAAGTACTGGCAGCGGCAGCGGCGCATACAGGGCGCCACTTTTGCAGGCAGCTCCAGTACCTCGACCTGGCCTGCCTCGTACGCTCTCCTCTTCCTCCGTAGTGGAGACCATCGCTTCCGGTCAGAGTTCGAGGGCGCAAGCTGGCTCTGGACGAGCGCAGGATGCTCCGACATTCTCGCACAAGTCTCCTTTGAGCGTTCAGACATCCACCGCCGCAGAGCCTTCGCTCGCAGTCGCCGCTCCTGCTCAGGCCTCCTCTGCCACTCGAGCTCCCGCACCATCTTCCACACCCGGCACCTCGAAACGATCGCTTGGGGACGGCGAGTACTTTCCATCAGGCGCAGTCACCGCATCTCAGTCGCGCGCTCACTCTCCCGCACCCAGAGGCGACCGTAGTACTCGCGCTTCACTCCTCAACAGTCCGGCTGCCACTTCGCTCGCAGCTGCCGCTGCCGCTGCGCAGCTCCAGAAGGCCTCTTCGCAGCGCAATCCCGAGGCTGCTGCTCAATCGCGCGCCCGAACATCGAGGAGCAATACGCTGCAAGATCTGAAGCGCTTCAGCGCGAGCATTGGCGATGCGGCTCAGGCAGCGGCTGGAGCTGTTGCGCCAATGACTGCGCCCGCATTCGGCTCCGAACAGCGAATGTCTGCGGACCAACAGAGAATAGCCGAAGCTCGAAGAGCATCCCACTCTCGAGGGGGATCTCAGGGCGAAGCATCGAGCCCCACAACACCCACAAATCGTGCGCGCACGGGTCCTACCCAGCAGCCGCCACCGCCGCGACCCCTGACGGAAGCGGAAGAGCGCGCTCGAGCTGCCGCAAAGGCAGCAGAGCAGGCAGCATGGGAGAGGACTCGAGGTGCTGGGAGCGACGTCATGAAATTGCGAGGAGGCGAAGCGGACGAGAGACGCAGAGCTCGTGCTCAAGATGACGAGGATAGCGATGATGGCAAAGCTGCGGTGGCCAGCGACTGGCGCGAAAGCGATGTCTTGCCTAGTCTCGAAGAGTGCGAAAGGTTTCGATCAGAGGTGAGTGTGGCAAGAGCATGTCCCAGCGCTTTTACGCCAACTGATCACGCTGCCCTCGCTCGCAGCCCGTAGATGTGCCCAGTGCAGATGTCCTGCTGGAGAGGGGCATTTCGGACTACACCCTGCTGCCCCGTATCCTGGGACGAGGAAAATTCTCTACCGTGTTCATGGCTTCCAAGAATGGCGAGCGATCCGCAGTCAAGCACACGGCCCTCTTTCCGCATCATCAGCTCATCTCGACTAGGCTGTTGAGGGAACCGACCCTCCTCGCAGAGCTGCCCCCTCACCCCAATCTGGTCTCCGTCATCGAGACGGTCCGCACGCCTGGCCACTTTTATCTCGTCGAAGAGTATCTCGGCGGCTACGTCACGCTGGAAGCGTTGATACCGCTGGTTGGAGGCTCCGGCAAGACGGGTGCTCCGCAGCCGTCTGTGCTGCCCGTCGATGTCGCCAATCGCGTGCTGGACCAGCTCATCAGCGCTGTGCACGCCATTCACTTTCCTCTGCAGATTTGCCATCGCGACATCAAGCCGGAAAATATTCTCGTTCATCCCGACACTTTGCAGCTCAAATTGCTAGACTTTGGATTGGCTACGCACTACAGCAAGAGCGAGCCGAAGCTGAGCACTTGCTGCGGCAGTCCTGCATTCCACTGCCCCGAGATCGTCAAAGCTCTGGCGAGCCCACCGGGCGCCGTCTCCTACTGGGGACCAGAAGTCGACGCCTGGACGTGCGGCGTCACCATGCTGCGTTGCCTCACCGGGGTGCGCTTCCCTCTAGGTGCGAATCACACGAGCTTGCGCAGCATGTCCATCCGCGCGCAACGGGCGGTAGCGACGATCGCGGATGCTCCGCTCAGAGACCGGGTCAGCGCGCTGCTAGAGATGGATGGCGCAAGGCGGATGCAGCGGTTTGCAGCCCTGGCGGCAGATCTCGAACGCGAACAGGGCGAGCCGGATCGCAACCAAAAGGCGTTCAAGAGCACGACATTTATACCGATGGAGCCCACGCATTCTATGCAATTGCCTCTTCTCACTGGACCCCTGTCGCGCCGCGCGACTCTCTCGCCGGGCCGAACCACGCCTGCCCCCTCGAGTCGATTGGCGACACCCGTCGGGTCTCGCGCTGCCAGTCCTGCGCGCACACCTCGAGGGGAGGAAGGCCCTGATCAATGCTCTATACCGCCAATCGTACTGCTGAACCCTACTCTTCAGCAGCCTCAACGCGTCCTGAGCTTCATCAAGTACTGCTTGCGATGCGCCGGCATCCTCTACCATGCCTGGCCGGATTTCTCTGCTTCGCTGCTAGAGCCTTCTACGCCCGGCGCAACGTCGATGGCAATGTTCAATTCTTGGAATTCTGGACTAGCACGAGGTGGGAGCGGAGAGGTATCGGGATTGGCGAGTCCGACGACGCCACTCTATCCACCCTCTGGTGCTTCCGTCGCCAGCGAGAGGAGCGATGGCTGGGCGCACGTGCACATTCTGCAGTGCGTCATCGAGCTGCCAGAGCCAGAGCCGGAAGAGTCGGACAGCGGGTTCAGTCTGGTGCAAAGCATCATGGCTGCGTTTGGCCGGAGGCCGTCCAACAAGCGCACCATGTCCACTCCTGACAAGCCGAGATCTACTGATCGGGAACCTGCCAAAGCACCAGGCACGCCTGGACATGCCAAAGCCACTCCGGGCGCCAGTGGAAGGCAAGGCATGATCCGCTGTCTCTCCTTCTACATCATCCTGCGATTTCCAAAGATGACGACGTCTAGCGGTCGTCCAGCGTTCTCGAGGCAGACTTCGCTCGCTCCCAAGCGACAGCGCGCCACGTCCTCTGCTACTTCTACCGCCGCAGGGTCAGAGTCACCCACAGTGTCTCGAGGGCCCAGTCTTGATGTCGACACCAGCGCGTTGACCGTGCGCCCCGACACAAGCGAAGAGGGTAGAACAAGAAAGCCTCGAAGCCGCCCTCTGAGCTCCCATTCCTCATCGCACGTCCCCACCAGAGACTCTATCACTGGCGAGAGTCTCCAGTTGACCGTCGAGACGATTGAGCAGCTCAAACGGAGTGCAGGCACGGGGCAGCCGAGGTCTCCCTCGTCTTCTCGCGCCCCTTCGCGCACTCGGAAGCAGAGTCGCGCTCCGCGTGCTCGCAAGGCAAAGGTCCTTGTGCAGGTCACCGACGAGCGAGCTCTCGAAGCGGTCCGCAGTGCACTGAGCGTTGGCGGCACTACCGAAGGTTCGGATGAGGATCCACTCCGGGAGGATGATGAGCCCGTGACGCCGCAAAAGGGAGATCAGCAGAGTCGTCGGAAACATCCGCACAGGTCAACGTCCAGCCTGTCTGTCGCCTCCACTCTGCGCACACCGAACGAAGCTTTTGGGTTGCAAACACCTAGAAATACGTCTCGCGATCGCGCGCATCGCGCCAGTGTCGGTTTTCCATTTCCGTCGCGCGAAGACGAGCAAGAGACAAGAGGGCGACGGGGAAGGGACAATAACGATGCTTCACGTGGGTCCCGTGCACCTAGTCAGCTCTCTACCGTGCCACTCAAGGAGGAGTCGCCGTCGGCAAGCGATGGTTTGAGACAAGCTCTGGTCGGCTTGTCTGCCGCTCTAGACTCTCTGGTCGGTCCTTCCAAGCTGCCAGCCGCGGACAAGGTCCCGGAGAGTGCCGTATCCTCGCAAGAGCCCTCACCGCTCCAGTCTCCCCGCCAACCGACTTCGCGAAGTTCGAGCGACACTTCGTCATCAGCTTCAGCCAAGGGCGCTGCAGAGGCGTACGAGCAAGCCAGGACTCTTCTGCAGGGCCTCAACAAGCACCTCGCCCACGCGGAGCGAGAGGGTGCACCTGCACTAGAGGACATCATCTCGCCAGAAACGTTCACCCTCTTTAGTACGGTATCGCCAGCCATGGGCATATGCGATCGGGAACTGGAGGGCTTGCCAGCGGTGCCAGCCGCCGTCGCTCAGGAAGTTGCTCTCAGCGGTCTCGCTACAGCCGCCTTGCAGATCGTCGCTCGGCATGCAAGCCCGCGCGAGCTGTTCATGGCTGCACAAGAGCGTTTGGAGATGCTGAGCTCGTTGTCAGATCCTCAAGGCAGCGACGCTTCCATGCGCGAAGCCTCCGAGTCGGCAAACCAAGAAAACCAATGGGGAGTCGAAGTGCCCGATTTTGCACGAGCCAAGGAGCCGCACAGGCCATGTTGTGCCGCTATGGAGAGTTGCGGCATCATTGCTCTGCTCGCGGTGATTGTGCCTCGCATACGGACAAAAAAGCCGCTCAGTTTCATCCAGCCGCTAGTGCATCTTCTCCCGAGGTCTGTCAGCAGCTGCTTGGCGAATGCGCCAGATGAGGATAGCGCAGCTGACTCACGCATCAGTCGCTCGGCTTGCTCCGCCTCGATCATGCTGGCAGTCTGCCATCTCGTCAAGGCCATCACTGATTGGGAGGCTCAGAGCGCGGGAGCCTCTCAGACGTCAGGGCCGAGCGGCGAAATTCTGGAGATGCTTTTCGGCGTCTTTTTGGCTTGCGCTGCGAGCCTTCCGAAGCAAGTGGATCCTGACGATGCGGAGCGCTGCTACGCTGCTGCAGAGCTCCACTTTCGAAAGAGGCATCCACGTTTCACGCTCTCGTCTGGCGCGTCCGCTCCCGAAGCGGTTACATCGCCCGGCCGCTCGGCCACACGGGGCGCAACTTCCAATGACGAGGTGTGGCAAGCGTTGCGCGGCACAACCACCGCTCTACATCTCGAGCTGCAGAATCTAGCGTTCAAGCGGGAGGCCCCGAGTCCATCGGCAAAGGAGGACGATGGCATGCTTCAGCGCAATGCGACTATGAGCGTGGGCTCCTTCATGCTGCTGGTCCAGCTGCGCGCGCGCAAGCTCAGCTCTATCCCCGCATGGTCGCCTGACGAAGCCGAACGCTCCATCTCCGATGCGATGCCCATGCTGCATGCATGCTTTGGCGCAGGACCTCCCACGTCTCTGAGCTCATCTGGCACAGGCCCGCCAAGCAGCGGCGAGCTGCTGGCTGATTCTGCTCAGCTCTGGCTCATGTGGTGCTTCGAAGCGCTCCAATCAAAGCATCTCCAAACTGAAACTGTGTACGTGCTCTCGCAGAGCTTGTCGACGCACGCTTCACTCTGCTCTCGACCAATGTCGCGACATGTCAGCCTGCGCTTGTTCTACGATCTCTTGTCCATGCACGCGCCTATCGAGCTGGCTATGGACGTGCTTCTGGACAGCTTGACAGATTCGCCCTTTCCGCAGCTTCGAATGGCCTGCCTGACTCTGCTGCGCGAAATGCTCGGCGAAAAGCTCGGCAAGCGCAAGGATGTCAAGGGCGTGCAGCTTCTGGAGCGTTTGCGACGGGTGGTTTTCGTCATGCCGTCCGGTGCGCCCGACTGCGAGCCAAGCGCCCATCCTGCAGCAGATCAAGTAGAGCAAGCACATGCTCTGCTGCGCTCTTGGTTGGAGGAGCAAGGAGCTTGGATGGGCGAATGTTGCAACTTGCTCTATTTTTTGCTCAAGCGAGATCGCGAGAATGAGGTGAGTGGCGGCGGGGATCGTCTCTTTCCCCCCTCTCCGATTAAAGCGACTGCTTACACACTAGCGATTTCGCACCTGCCGCCCTTCGCAGACTGGCATCCACAATGCTGACAGCTTATCAGCAGTTGAGACTGCTTTGACGCGCCCGCTCACAGAATGGCTGAGGGCATGGTCGGAGCGTCTGTGTCTGTGCGGCGCTGCATCGGCCGCCGATGGAGATCGAGATCGAGACTGCGAAGCGATGCGCACGCAGTTGGCGTGGATCCAGATTGCTCTGGAGCGAGCCGAGGAGGCCATTTTGGACGTCGAGAGGTCATTGTAATCTTATGTTCGCAGTAATTCACTACATCAGAGAGAGAGAGAGAGAGAGAGAGAGAGAGAGAGAGAGAGAGAGAGAGAGAGAGAGAGAGAGAGAGCGAGAGAGAGAGAGTGAGACAGAGCTCTTTTCAGACCCGCGACCGCTTGTCTCGCTCGTGCGATTCGTTATGGGATGGCCAAGGTTCATATCGAGTGGACTTTTGAGTCTGCTTGCTGAACAACCCATCTGTCTGATTTTCACGTGTGGAAAGGACCATAGCTAGATATGATTTGACTTCTAAAATCGCTGCTTACGAGGAGGGCGCTACTCTCAAACAGGCCAGGCGGGGCCAGCTTGCAGCAGCAGTCACGAGTCCAAATTTTGGACCTTGAATCACAATCAAAAATGGAATGGGCCGTTTGGCATGTCCTGAGCCAGCTAGCCCGCAGAAATCGAGACACGTGATCGTCATGCACCTCTTGAAGCTCTGCGGGGCCATTTCTCCGAGCGGATCGCTGCTGCGTTTCGCCTGCGGGCGTGCGGGGGGTCGATCGCTAAGCCGTTGCCTGCGAGGATGCGCCTCGCCGGCTCGGAGGCCGGACCGCGATCCGAGAGCTCTTGCGCGTGCTGATGAGAGCTTATAGCACAGCTGCTTCCATCTCGAGCGACAACGACTGCAACTTCGGACTCGGACTCGGACTCCAGCATCGCTCGAGCTCTGCGTGCAAGGTCGCAATATCTCGTAGGCCTGGACTGGACTGGACAAACATGGCTGGAGCAAGAGAGCCGACGAGCGCTGCAGCAGGAGGCGCGCCAGGGAGCGTGTCGCCGGGAAGGAGCTCCATCCTGCCAGAGCTCATATCTCAAGGTCTGACCATCAACACTCTGCGTCACGCCGTCTTTCTCTACGTCGTACACACCTACCTGCTGCGTGCATGGCGTCATCTTCGAGCGTACGGTGTGACGCCTACCATCTATCAGCTGTACACTTCCATTTCGCGCTTGCTCTTGAGCCTCACGCTCAAGATCCCCGCATTGAAGCGCAGGGTGAACAGGGAGCTGGACAGCGCCACCAAGGGCATCGAGGACAAGCTCATCGCCAAACCTCCCGCGGGTCTCAATGTCACAGACACCAACGAGTCGCTGCCGACGCGTGGAAAGAGCAGAGAGTGGTTGCTTCAGGCGCTCGAAGAGCTGCAGAACTTGGAGCTGGCCCCTTCGCAGCATGGCGATGAAGGACACAGGGGCACCGAGCGAGCAGATGGACAGCGTGTGTGGAAGGGAGGCAAGATCAGCGGTGCCGTGTACCATGGCGGTGACGAGATGAGCGAAGTCATCTCCACCGCCATTTCCAAATTTGTTCTGACGAATCCGGTGAGTGTAGCACGGCACGCAGCCGCATGTATGCAGCCACGCGTGTGGTCCCCACTTTGCTCACCCGTGAGTCTGCGATCGCGCACGTCTTGCTCGCAGCTGCACCCAGACGTCTTTCCTGGCGTAAGACGAATGGAGGCAGAGGTGGTGTCGATGGTGCTGAGGCTCTTCAACGCGCCAGCTAGCGGTGCCGGTACCACGACGAGCGGAGGCACAGAATCGATCATCATGGCAGTCAAGGCAGCTCGCGATTGGGGTCGAGTCAAGAAGCACATTACGAGGCCAGAGATCATCGTCTCCTCATCAGCTCACGCAGCTTTCCACAAAGCGGCCGCTTATTTCAAGATCAAGATTGTCACCGTAGAGGTGGACAGGGTGACGCGCCAGATCAAGCTTGAGCAGGTAAAGAGGGCCATCAACGGCAACACCGTCTTGCTCGTCGGAAGCGCGCCCAGCTTTGGAGAAGGTATCATCGACGACATTCCTGGTTTGGCTGCTCTTGCTAGGCGCTCCAGTATCCTGTGCCATGTCGACTGTTGCCTGGGCAGCTTCCTTGTCCCTTACCTTGAGCCTGCCGGTCTTCCATCTCAACCCTTCGACTTTCGCGTCGATGGCGTCACGTCGATCTCGTGCGACACTCACAAGTACGGCTTTGCACCAAAGGTGAGAAAGAGCAGCATGCGCGTGATCTGGTGACGAGGAGCTGAGCGGTGCTTTGCGTTGCCAGGGCTCGTCGGTCATCATGTACCGTACAAGCGAGCTGCGTCGCTTTCAATACTACGTGCAGCCCGATTGGACAGGTGAGCAACTCGACGGGCGCGGCGCACGTTGGCCTCGCTGATCGCGTCAAATCCAACCCCTTGCCATTCAAGGCGGAGTATATGCTTCTCCTTCCATAGCCGGCTCGAGACCTGGTGCGCTGATCGCAGGCACTTGGGCAGCGCTGATGACCATGGGCGACGACGGTTACACTGCTTCGTGCGCCTCCATCGTCGGTGCCGCACGCCGCATAGAGCAAGCTATCCGGGACGAGATTCCGCAGCTGGTGGTCATGGGCAACCCGATCGTCTCGGTGGTTGCGTTTGCCAGCGCGGGTAAAGTCAACATCTACGAAGTGGGAGACAATATGAGCAAAAAGGGGTGAGTGTCTGGCGCTGGTTCGTGGCTTGGATGCGCTGCCCTGCTGACGCAGTCGAGGTCATCGGATCGTGTCGCGATCAGATGGCATCTCAATGGTTTGGCGACGGACCCACCCGCTGTGCACATTGCCTGCACGCGTCTGACGGTTCCCGTAGTTGATGACTTTATCAGCGACCTCAAGGCATCCGTAAAGGAAGCGAGAACGCGATCAGCACAGCCTGGCTCCATGGCCGTTCTCTACGGACTTGGCGCCAGTAGCGCCATTGGACCTGGACTGGTGACTGAAATGGCGTCCAGATTCATCGACACGCTGTACAAGCTAAGGTGATCAATCAGGAATCAAGAGCGCTCGAAGGTGGCGACCTGTCCCGCTCGCTGGTAATTGTTGCAATTGTAATGTCTTGCGTCATACTTTACATTTGTTCTGCATTTGCCCCTCACCTTCTCGCGTATCTGCTGGAGGTGTCGCGAGAGGAGGATGGGGCCAGGAAGGGATCTGAAGTGTATAGATGTGCATCTTGAAGTGGAGGTTGGGAATACGTCATGTTGCCAAAAGATTGTTCGCCTCCAGTCGCAGCCTGAGTGTAGAGGTTGGAGGCGTTGGGATCCACAGGCTTGCGGGCTTGAGCAAAAAACACTCGTACAGGCCGATGACAGATGTTTCGGATGCTGTACGAGTTGTCTGTTGCATCGAAGGCCGAGTTTCAGCGTGGCTGTTGAAGGACGACATGCACCGGAGATGAAGGACTCACCCTTTGGAACCATAAAAATACCACCCGGCGCCAGTCTGAAATCCGTGCGATGTATCGTCACATCTACAGCGCCCTCGAGGACCACAAAGACGTAATTGTTGTCCTTTGAGGGTTTGTACGGCTTGTCGCCCCCGATCTCGATCTCTAGCATGCCAGAAGCCATGTGATCCTCGAGCGTGAAAATCTTTTCGAAACCAAAGGAGGCGTTGGCTGCGGGACGTGGCCTGACTTGCTTGCGTGTGCAGACGACGCCTGATGGTGCGCGCGCATCAAGTGTCAGTGCAAGCGGTCTGCGGCGCGCATTGCACCCGCGCGCGCACGCAACTCACGTCTTTCCACTTCCATCCCAGCAGCTGCGTCCCATACGAGCGCATTGGGCGGTGTCTCGTCGTCCCACCCATCCTCAAAGTTCTGCGTAGGCTCATCTGCGGCCGGGCCAGCGTACTCCGTAATCACCTCGACCCCCTCTTCATTCTTTGTCACGCTCGGCGTCCTGGTTGCGCCATTGCCTATCGGCTTTCTGGCCCTTTTCACCACCCTCTTTTTTCTCATGCCGCTGAATGTGCCCTCTCCTTGAGCTCTAGGCACGCGGATGATCTCTTTGAGTACAGGAACCGCAGCTCCTCTTGCCACGCGTCTTGCACCCTCTTCCTCCTCGCTCTCCTCTTCCTGAACTGCGGGCAAGCTGGGTCGACCATAGCGCACCGTCTCCCCTCGCCAGTGCTCCAGTGGCGCGTATCTATACCTTCCGCTCCGTCGCAAGCCCCCTTCGACCGAGGCAGAACGCTCGCGATCGCCTGCAGACACTTGTTCCACCACGCGCTGCTGCTGTTGCGAAACGTCCGTGCTAGCCGCTTTGCTCTTCGCAATTGCTCGTTTTGGGGCACTTTGCGAGGCGGAGGGTTGCTTTGGAGGGCGACCGCGTTTCTTGGAAGGAGCAGCCGCTGACGCTGCAATTTTCTTTGCTGCTGCCTTCGATTTTGCAGGAGCTCGCGTGAGCGGAGGCGAAGGTGAAGGCATCAGAGCGTCATTGTCAGCAGCGCCATTGAGCATAGCTCGCACATCATCCTCTTCGTCCTGGCTATAATCTTCCAAACGGGCAGATCGAGCCGCCGCAGCCTTCCTTCTCGCTGCCAATCCTGCAGTAGGCGCAGACGTCTTTTTGCCATCGTCCCTGCTCTTGCTCGAGCCAGCGGCAGCCCTTGGTTGCTGGAGCAGATCCTCCTCGTCCGAATAGACATCGTCCATATCGCGCGGACCATTGCCGCTCAGATCAAAAGAGTTGCCGGTGCCGAAATCCACTTCAACATCGTAGTCTTCGTCTGGCAATCTCGTGACGCGCCTGCGCGAAGGGCCCAAGTCGTCTTCATGATCGACCACGGATCCTGCGTCGGAGTCTTCGTCGGCAGGTCGAGTGTATGCGCTGGTTCTGCGAATCGCTCTCCGCGGTGATGGAGGCGAGCCTGCGGTGGGATTGGGAGGGCACAGCGTGTACGTGTGGGAGTGCTATGTGAGCTGGCACAGCTTCAGGCACACGCATGTATGCGCTTCTCTATCGCTTGCACTCACTCTGTTCGATGTCCATTCTGCTGCTGCTGCTTGCCGCTGCGCGATCGCCTCTTTTCCTCTTTCGTAGTGATGTTCTGGTCTCATTCTCGCTCTCCTCCTGCAAGCTCTCCTCGCCGCTCTGCGCCCAGTCCTCGGCATCATCATCCTCATCATCCTCATCATCCTCGTCCAGGGCTCGTTGACCTGCTGCCAAGTACGCCGACAAGTCATCGACTCCTGCTGCTCCTCCCATGGAGGGCGCCCTCATGCCCGTGCGAGATCCCACCCCTGCCTCGTGAAACATGCGTGCCCCGCGTGCTGGCATCTTGCTGATCCGTCGTGCTGTGGTGTGCTGTGGTGTGGTGTGGTGTGGTGCGTGGTGTCCGTGTCGAGATCGGCTGTGCACGTATGCGCTCGGACGGGGTGCGAGCGCGCGCTGCCCAGTACGAGCTCGAGGACCTTTTCGGTCGCCTGTGAATGTGAATGTGAATGTGAATGTGAATGTGAATGTGAATGTGAATGTGAATGTGAATGTGAGTTGTCTGAGCGAAATGGCGACTCGATCGCAGGCGCGATCGCAAACGCGCACTCACCCCGATCCACGCGTCTTCTTTGCGTCTTTGGGGATGCGAGCGCAAAGCAGCAGCTGCAGCAGCATAGCATGGAGCAAGCAACGCGTCGCGCGCTGCGTGCGTGCAGCAGGCGAACGCGTGTGTCCGCCGCCATGAGACATCCAAGATCAGCAGGTATACAGGTATATAAAGAACGACCAAAGCGGGTCACGTGATCAGACCAAGAGAAGTAGCGCCTGCATGCATGCATGTGCATTTGATTCAAATTGCGCGCGCTGAATATGCGTGCCACAACGCGCACGCGCCCATACCGCGACGTACGCGTGGAAGCAAGGCAGCGCGCCTAAATCATCACGAATATATAGCTGCTGCATGCAGCAATCACAATCACGAATCGTCAATCTCGAATGACGGAGTTACGAAGCCGACGTCCGCGGCGTTTTGGCTCGACCGTGCAAGGCGAGTCACGAGTATGGCGCCGGGCCACCGATCAGGTGCGCACGTCAAATCGCGGATATAGAGTCGTGAGTTGCAAGTCATTTGATTTGATTGTAAGAGGCACAAGTGTCAATCAATCAAGCAATTAAGCGATGAGTCTTGAAGTGAGCCGCGCGACCACAACGCGCTGCAGCTATAGATATAGGTGTAGGAGAAGTCGTGAGTGCTGTGATGGGAGGTCAAGAAGACATCATCAGCATCAGCATGCGGGCATGAGGCATCGCGGGCATGCCACGCACGCACGCATTCACGCACGCACGCATGCAGGTCATCCACGACTCATAGTTCCTGCTGAGCATCATCACCCACACAAGCGACTGCTCCACTACTCCACCACTTTCGCCGCCGCGCTCCTATTAGCTCAACATTCACCTCATCAACAACGCACATCTCCATTTACATCAGCTAGTCTCGATTTGGTGTGCTTCGGCTTCTGTGGGCTCCTCCTCCCCCCCCACGTATCCGGCTCGGGTAGATGGTCACAAGCGCTCAGCCACCTCACTTGCCCCTCAGTGGATTAGAGTCAGCCTAGTAGTAAAAGGCGCTCATCCCCCCTCCACGGCCGCGATCAAACGTCCCCCACAATGCGGCCAACACCTTCCCAGCGTCGACGTTCGGCGGCAGCGGCAGCGGCGGCCGCCACCGATAGTGCTGGTACAGAGGCGAGCCCCAACTCGGCCACTACGGCGTCCGCATACAAGCGCCAAGTGGGCCATCCTACGCAGCAGCGCAAGAGGAATGGTCTAGGCCCGCTGCAAGCCTTTCAGACTCCATCGGGATCCAAGACTCCCTTGCTGGTGGTGCTGTGTTTGCTGCTGCTCTTGCGCATAGCAAGTCGGGCATGGGCTGCAGAGGATGAGCATACAGCCGCACAAGCTATCCGGCAGCAGCAGCGGCAGGAGCGAGGCTGGCGGTCAGACTCGCGCAACGCAAAAGCGGCGGCACTACTCTTCAACTCTCCAGCGTATCGCGGTCAGCCTGGTGGTCTGTTGCACGACGTTCTAGCCGGGCCGAGCGGAGGCATGCTCAAGGTGCAGCATCCCGGTTCATCCGGCAAGACGAGCGGCAAGTCTATCGCAGCAGAGGACGAGATCTGCAGACCGACGGGGCAGATCGAGGATGCGTGCTGCGACTACGAGACGGTGGAGCGACGGATGAACACTGCCAAATTCTTTCAGACGTTGCAAGGCTTGGTGGAGACGAGGTACTTTAGGTATTACAAGGTGGATCTGTTCAAAGACTGCCCATTCTGGTACGAGAATGGTCTGTGCATGAACAGAGCTTGCGCAGTAGAGAAGGCGGAAGAGGTGAGTGTCGCTCCAGGGGCCATACATGCACGCTGCTCTTTCCCTTGACACAGCGCGCACTCAATCGCTGATGAGCTACCTCACTCCTCAGGACGAAGTACCAGACCAGTATAGAGTGTCTCACCTGTCCTCACTCTCCACTGCCGATCACGCCGAGGTCTTTCCACCCGCGGTGCAGGGCGAGGATGACTCCCTCAGTGGATCCAGCTGCTCTTGCCGCGAGACGGACTTTTGTCACTGGGAAGACGAGGAAGAATCTCCTGAAGCATCTTGGGTAGATCTCGTCAAAAATCCCGAAAGATTTACGGGCTATGCGGGAAAGTCGGCGCAGCGCGTTTGGCGCTCCATCTACGAAGAGAATTGCTTTGGCGCCCCAGGGGCAGGAGCCGCCTTGTTGCCCTCGTCATCGTTGGGCTACGTGAGCAAGAGTCAGCTCAGCTCGCCTGCAGGGCTGCCCAATTTGATGAGCAACTTGGCCTCTCCACCAGATGCAGGAGCGTCAGAGCAGTGTCTAGAAAAGAGAGTCTTCTATCGCATCATCAGTGGTCTGCACGCCAGCATCAACATTCACCTGTGCCACGACTACTTGCTGGACAACAAGCAGTGGGGACCCAATCTGGAATGCTTCGTCACTCGCATCGCTCAACATCCCGAACGGCTGCAGAACGTATACTTTAACTACGTCCTGCTGCTCCGCGCTCTGGCCAGAGCAGGCGATTACGTCGACGCCTTTGTGCTGCGGCCGGGAGACGCGATCGCCGAGCTCGAAACGCGCACACTCCTGTCCAGCCTTGTCTTGCAAGCCAGATCATGTCCGCCGAGCTTTGACGAGGGAACAATGTTTGCGGGACCGGATGCCAAAAATCTCAAAGTGGAGTTCAAGGAGAGGTTCAGGAATGTGTCGAGAATCATGGATTGCGTGGGCTGCGACAAGTGCAGATTGTGGGGAAAATTGCAGGTCAATGGCATTGGCACCGCATTAAAAATCTTGTTTGGCCACGACCGCAGCGATTTCGAGTAAGTAGGGATGCGCAGTGCCCACAGTGTCTGAGCCGCGTCTTTTGCTAACATTTGCATGCAGTCCCGCACGCAATCCCGAGCTTTTGGCCAGGAGCGAACTCGTCGCGCTGATCAACACTGTACATCGCTTCGCAGAGAGCGTGAGTGGTGGGGTGCGGATGCTTAGCGGCGCTTTGGCTGACGCACTTGCCACTGCTTGCAGCTGCGAGCTGTAGCGACATTCAGAGACATGTATCAGGACCAACTTTCAGCGGACAAGAGCGCCGACTCGGTCCAGCAAGCTTCAAAGGCCCAATCGCCTGCGGAGCAAGTCCAAGGTCTCAGCACTGGGCACAGCAACGTCCCTCAGGAGCCCTCCGCTGCCCCATCTTCGAGCTTCGGATCAGAAGTGCCGCAATTCGCGCGGGCACCTCGCTCGAGCTGGACCGCTACCGGCAATCACACCAAAGCCGACATTCAGCGGGATGGCTTCAGCGTGTTCGAAAAAGCGCTGCAGGCATGCGAAGCATCCTGGGCTTTGTGCGTCGCTTGGTTGGCAAACGCCTGGCAGAGGGTCTTGGCTGTCAAGGATGTCGTGGTGACCCCCTACGCCGCATTCGGACCGAGATCCGGTCCAGCTCGAAAGCAGGACGAGTTGTAAGGCGCGTCCCATGCCAGCACCCTTTTTGCAATGTGGCTGCTTGTGCAATTTTGTAATGTTATCGCATGCAATGTTTGCAAGCAGTGTGCGGCGTCATGTACCGGTATGGAGCATGTCCGTTGGGGCGGTCGAGTGGACTTGATCGGATTGCCCAAGTACGGAACTTTTTGCGTGGGCGACGCTATCGTGCGAGACGAAGCGGCGTGTGCGCGCGCGCGATGCAGCGAACTTCGCAACTGCGCGATACACGCCGACCGAGCTGATGATGAACGCGCGCACAACAGAACACTATCGACCGTCCTTGCACCTTTCTCACCTGACCCAATCACCTTCCTGCTTCGAAGCATTGCTGTCAAGATCGTGTTCATCACCGAACGTAGCTAGCGCTGAAACGCACCAGACAAATCACGTGGCTACGACACGCGCGCTCTCCCTCCTAGCATCACAGACACTCGACCAACATGTCGGATTGGGGTGAGTAGCAGCGAGCGCAGGATGCACAAAATCGCAAATTGCGGCAAAAGGGCTGGCCTTGGCTCGAAAATGTGCTCGCTTGCGATGCCGTGCGTGATGCGGATGTATGCGCTTAGCAGCCGCACATCACCACCCCTTTTTCTCGACGCCAACTCGCAGACGCATCATCCGATGATGGGGCAGCTTCAAAGCCCAGCGTCAAACCCGCCGCTGCGCCGGTGGCCAGGAGAGGCAAGTTCGACGATGAAGATGTAGAGGAAGAGGTCAAGGTGAGTGAGGCAAGTCCCCCTTCAAGTACGTATACAAGGGGCATCGAGCTGACGCGCTAGCGAGTTGTCCGCACCCGCTAGGATGACTGGGAAGAGGAAGACGAGAAACCCGTGCCGGCGCCTTATGTGCCTGCACCCAAGAAGAAGGGAAACTTCAAAAGCAAGATTGCAGAAAAGGAAGCCGAGGAGAGGAGAAGGGCCGAGTTGGGAATCGGCGTGAGTGCGGGGAAGCGGCAGGGCGACTGAATGCGCTCATGTGCTGATGGCTGATGTCGTTTGCGCTTTTCACATTTCCACCTTTACAGTCTGATGAGGAGCTGGAAGAGGAGGAGGAAGAGGATCCCGCAGCAAAGCGAAAGGCGGAGAGAGATGCGCAGCTCAAGGCGGACGTCGATAATGCGGCCAATTTGCTAGGCGTGACAAAGGTCTCCGGTGCCACCTCTTCGGGTGCCGACGCTAGCGGACTGGGCTCGCTCAAGAGCGCCAAGCCAAATACGAAGGAGGAGTGGGAGAAGCACGCTTTGGACATCTTCAGCCAGCTCGTCAAGCCTTTGAGCTCTAGACCGGGCTACGACAAGCACTTTGTGCCCGCCCTTTGCAACGCTCTGGGTGGTCCTGACGCTGGTCTGAGGGATGTGGACATGAGAAAGCTGGGCAACAGATGGAGAGAGCTGGCAGAGGAGAAGGTGAGGTGGGACAAGGAGAGCAAAAAGTTGGGAGGAAGGAAGCCGGCTGCTGCTACTGCTGCCAAGGCCAAGCCAAAGACTGTGGGCACATCCAGCGCAAAGAATGTGTGAGTGATGTCGACTGTACCGACACTTTCTGGACGTCAGAAGCGCTGCAAAGAGCCGGCGTCGGCGAAGGCGCTGCTGAATCTCATGACACTCTTCGCACATCTGACACGCCCTCGCCCTGTCTTGTTCCCACAGCATCGATACGAGAGCATACGGCGACGAGGCGCTGGATGATGGAGACGACTTGGACTTTATGTGATCGCTTGGGCGCGCCAAGGACGTCATAGAGCCGAAAGGGGGGCAGTACAGCGGGACGCGAAGGGATGGGTCACCCTAGAGGCTTAGGCACGGGCGTTCACGGGGCCGAGACTTCACCTCAGCTGGAGTTTGCCAATGTCTCGTTCTATCGCAAGCTGATTCCTGCCGCATGTATGCTAGCAAAAGGTTGAGGCGGCGGTGCCAATAGTCACTCTTGCAGCTCGACGCTGCGATCAGCATCAAAATCGGCAGCTCGTCACTCTTGCGACTTGTGATTTGCCAATCATGCTCGCTAGACGTCGAGTCGAACGCGTCCCTATGGTGGCTACTTGATCTTCGATCATTGGGCTTTCGGTGTTGGTCTACTGCGTGAAGCGAGAACAAGTCGATGTGAGTCTGAGTGAAAGTTAGAGTTTCATTTGGAAATCATGATTTGTTTGTAAGTTACGTATCACGAGACCCGCAACGTGAGCTCGGTGCCCGCGAACGCCCGCCCAGCATAGAAAAGTGCCAATGTGAATGTGATTCGTGATTTTTAAAATCGCCCACAGCAAAGGCGCAGTTTTCACGTTCTTAGCGTCGATTGATTGATCGCTCGTGCTGGGTGACGGGAATAGGCGGGCGTGTCTATCTGCAGCGTGTGTACGGTACGGCGGGCGGTGCACGACGACCGCCTGCTTGCGCGTGCTGCTGCTCGCTGATGCCTGCATGCATGCATGCAGCAAGCAGGGCGACAAAGAAGCCGAAGCCGATCAGCGCTTTTGTGAGCGCGCGCGCGCGTTTACCCAAGCAAGCAAGCAAGCCGTGATGCATGTGATGCGGCAATTGAAGCGGCAGCAGCAGCAGCACCTGCTCGCGGCGAAGAGGAAGAAGATCGACGATGACAACAGCAGCAGCAGCTAGGCAGCAGCTAGCATAGCATCAGCTAGCAAAGAGAATCACGAATCGTGAATCGTGAATCGTGAATCAAGGGTTGCGTGTCTCGACGCACTCACGTCATCTCCAAGACTCACATCTCACATGAGACTCACACTCGATTCACTCACCTAACTTCACGCTTGACTAGCAACTCTATTGTCGCTGTCCCTCGTGTACCCTACAACGTCTTGCTCTTCGCCAGCCAGCCAGCCAGCCAGCCAGCCAGCCGACCGCCCGGGCCTTGGCACAACATCGGCGCACTTTGCACTCCATCAATCCTTTGGATCGCATACACTCGGCGGGGCAGCCCAGTAATATCGACGGGTTGCTGTACGAAAGAGCCAACGCTGGAGTGGAGCTTTTTATCGCAAGGGCCAGAGCCAGCATCTCTGCGTCTACCTTGGCCGTCTCTCGAGTGTGTATGCAGCACGCTAGACCAGCCACAACAGTCCTTACTCGCTTCTCTGGCCAAGCAGTCGCTCCTTGCTCGCCCACCACTCGCGCGTTCGCGCTCGCACAATGCAAGCCGACCCTGGAGCGGGTCCGAGTAGAGCGACGAGTTCTTCGTCTGCGTCGTCGTCGTCATCGTCTGCGTCGTCATCATCACCATCAGCTCCGAGCAGCGCATCCTCCCGATCTGCTCACGCTTTCTGGGTCCGATCACCCCTAGAGCGCGGCTTGTTGCGTGAACCTTCATCCGATGCTCATGCCGCCTCTGCATCTTCCTGTCCAACGGACCAGCGCAAACACAGAGGGGTCAATCTCAAAGCCCAGGAGCGCGAGTGTGCCGGTAGTGAGAGCGATGGCCATGGAAGGAGCGCACTGAGGGATCAAGGCACACTGGAGGGTTTAACCAAAGTGTACAGAACCACGACCGCTTGGATAGTGGGCAGAAAATTGGACAAGCGAGAGGTGGATGAGCTGCTGTTCAGTGAGTGGCTCGGCTCGGACGCGCACCGCTAGAGGTGCGATGGATGACCATGCTGGGAGAGCGCATACATGCTGCCTCTATGTCATGTCGACCGGTCCTCGTGCTTTCCACGGCATCCAAGCAAGCTCACGCTGGCCTGACGCGCTTCTCGTTAACCCCGCGCGCACACTCGCAGGATATCGGACAGTGGCATCAGCCGGCACCGCTTCCCTGGTCAGCACAGCAGCGGCTTTCCCTGTGAGTGGAGCATAGAAATTACAAATGAGACTCTCCGAAAGCGTCTCGCCTCGTCTCGCTCTTCGCTTAGAGGGCTGCAGAGCGACCAAGCAGGGGTGCGTGCGGCAATGGCAAGGCTCACATCTCCCTCTCCTTTTCTCTCTCTCTCTCTCTCTCTCTCTCTCTCTCTCTCTCTCTCTCTCTCCGCGCCTTTCCGCGCCTCCTTTTGCTCAGTTCGATTCGCTCAAATCGCGCTTGCAGGTCAAGTATTACCCTTCCATTTGGGCGTGCGGCAGAGCGGTTTTGAAGGAGGAAGGTCTCAAAGGCTTCTTCAGAGGTGAGCGAGCTTGAGTGAGGATGACGCGTAATGTGCCTCGCGTCGCGTCGCGCCAAGCTTCAGCAATCCGAAGTTGCGACGTCGCAGTGATGCTGTTTGGCAGGTGCTGATAATGCTCATGCGCGGCGAAAAGCGGGCGGCGGCGAGGGGCACGCCAAGCGTGGTTGCCGCCTCATTCCAGCTGACCAACCTCCGACGCTTGATGTCCCCTCTCTGCAGGGGTCTGGATTCCACTGATTACCATCAGCTTTGTTCGCACATCATCCTTTTCTATATACGTCTCGACGAAGGAAGCGCTGCATCGTAGAGGCGTCTTCGCTGAAGCTCCCAACAATCTGGTGCACACTGCGTTGAGCGGTGCTGCGGGTGGAGCTACAAGCGGGGTACTGATTAGGTGCGTGTCGGTCTAGCCACTGATGTCACAGCTCGGTGCTAGCAGCGATCGGCTTAAGCCTGCACCACGTGCCGTCAACATCGCTCTGTGCCGCCCGCTGACCCGACCACTGCCCTGTCTGACCTTCGCGCAGCTGTGGTTCAGCGCCTTTCGAGCTGGTCAAAGTCCAGCGGCAATTAGAGTACCTCACGGCTGTGCAACAAGGCCTGATTAGCAGTAGCAGCGACAGCAAGGGAGGCAACAAGTATAGGGCTCAATCCGGTTTCCAAGCTGCTAGCAACATCTGGAAGAATCATCGAGGCCCGCGAGGTTTCTACCTCGGCTTCCCTCTGCACATTTGCAGGGATACGCTGGGAACGGGTGAGTCGATAATCTCGTGGCGCTGATGGAGCGGAAGAGGCGCTCATTGGACGCATCGGGACTTGCTTCTGCAGCCCTCTACTTTGGCTTCTACGACACCATTAGAGCCTTGGTCGGCCGACATACTACCACCAAGCCCGGCAGCGGAGGCTCGCCTGAGTTGTGGGGCTTGCCCGGACCGGTCGTTTCCTTCGCGTCAGGATCAACGGCTGGTATCGCATCTTGGTTGCTGGGTGAGTGCATGGTGGATCGAGCTCATCATCGAGTCGCAGAGTCATGCTGACCAAAAGGCTCGAGCATTTAACACACCGAGCAGTCTATCCGGTGGATCTTCTCAAGACAAATGTGCAGCAGCGCGCGCTCTCGAATCACCCCCAGCAACTTACGGGGTGGCAGCTGTTTCAGCACTTGATGAGGGAAAAGACGAGTCCCAGCGGATCTGCAGAGGGCGGATCGATAAGGAGATTCCTGAGGCTCTATAGAGGATTGGGCGTCTCGGCACTTAGGAGCTTTGTAAGCCACGGACTCACGTGGAGCCTGATCGAGACTATCCAAGCCAGGATCGACGAGAGGACGAGATATATGCGCGAAGGCGTGTAAAGCTTCGCCTGCCACCTGTTCCCACCCTCATGCGCCATCTAGACTCTTTAGCCACCTCTCCGACGCGACGGTCTTGCATTACCATGAATAGAAAAGCATAATCAAGGTCTGGACGAGCGCTTTGCTGGGCTGTTTATGGCAGATGGGTGCGCCGACATTACGCCTTGGGCAGGTTAGGACCAGCGCCTCTAGGCAGCGTCTTTCTTCGAGGCGGCGGTTGAACGATCGACGACTGCAACAGAGCTTTTGTGGTTCGTCTTGAAGGGTTTGCAATGGCCATCGGACGTGAATGCGAGGCAAGCGGCGTGGAAGGCGCCACTTGCTCGCGCAGAACAGCGAGCATTGAGAAAAAATGCGACGCAAGAGACGCGCGGGGGAGGTGTCTGGGGTACGAGTGGACGGGGAAGCGCAGGACCTGCGAAACGTTTTGGCGACATTTGCGATGGCCTATGGTATGGTGACGGTGAGCAGAGTCTCTGTTGTGGAAAGCAAATATGAGTCGGTCAGGAACTGTTGCGACAGCGAGAGCCGGATTCTGAGGAGCTTGCTGGACGGGCCGAGCGTCGCGGGAAAGCGTTGGAGAAGTCCGCGCACGATCAGTCTGAGTGTGGAGCCGGACGTCACGTTTGATGCCCGGCAAGATGTTGCGTCGTGTAAAATAGGAATCGCGTAGCGCTGTAGAGAGACGCGAGCCTGTCCTCTCCCCCCCTCTTTTCCGCAGCCGTGCAGTGCTTCGCATCGCTCCCATCGCCGTCGATTACGATCGGAATGATTTGATGGACGCGTATACGACCTGCCCTCCCTCCCACAGGCTGAGATGAAGCTCCGGCTTTTCGCAACACGGTAGATACCTGATGACCGTATCGCATCGTGATTGAAGAGACATCGAGAGTGGTCACCGATGTGAGCACGGCCAGGTCCCCTTCTGCGCGGGCGTTTGAGATGCTTCCGTCTCTTCTCACAGCGATTCAAATGACCATTCACGTGATTCACGATTAGCGGCATGCATGCATGCATGCATGCATGCATGCTGTCTGCAGCATTGCAACATGTTCAGCTGCCAAAGTCACGAGTCGGTCTGCTGGATTGCTGTAGCAATAGGTCAGTGACTGCATCGCTCCACGATAGACGTCCCGCAGAAGAGCGGAACGCTGCCGAGCCTGGCTGGCGCAATCGTAGCGCATCCGCTTCCGGATTATTGCTCGTTCGAGTGACAAGTTTGGAGATTTGCGGAAGGTTAGGGGTTCAAGTCCCCTGTTAGGTTTTTTCAATGGCTGCAACATTGCAGGCGCAACGCAACGCCATTGTTTCCCTTTGCACGCCATATAACACAATTGGCAGTAGACACATTTCCTTCATCATCAAGAAAGAACAAATGCTCCTTACCGAATGAACACGATTACAACCACCGGAATGCTGATTTTTCGCAGTGTGCGCTCCGTTGCGCACTCGCGCGCGCGCGCGCCCGCGGCAACAATCTACGCGATGAGAATCACTGAATGTCCGCGCTGACATACCTTCCTTAACATACGCGCACCCGAATAGGCGGCTATACGCCGTGATAAACAACAGCCCGACTCGTGACTGCGGACAGCATCGAGGCACAGGAGCGGTGTAGCCTCCTACGTGACGAGAGGCGCAGATTCTCTAGATTACTTTGCGCCCCGACTGCTTCTCCGCGCATTTCTTGAGCCGCTTGGGGCTGTGCATGGTCCCTCGCTCACTGAGGGTTTCTCTGCCTTGGCGCCACATCGCGGATCGGCAGACGGCGCGCTGACGCACTTGCTGTCACACGCACATCCCGTGCTTCGCCATGTCACTCGCGACTCCGCCTACAGCATCCAAGCCCTCCCCTTTACGAAGGCTGACTGACGCTTCATTCACGATTGAGAGCACCAAGAGGATGATGCTGCATGACCGCAACCATCCACCAACGCGAGCACCCAGATCCGGGCCCTCCCCTCTGACGTACCGCAACGACCGTACTACCGCACCGGAAGCAAAGACAAGTGCTTTCCACATGCAGGGTGGGCATGCGAGGCACAACACGCGACTTCATCCACCGAACTCAGCATGAAGCACAAGCCCTGAGAGCGATTTCAGAGTTTTGCGCAACCCATAGCGCATCGTGGCAGGTCTTGCCTCTCCGAGGTCATTCGTTGGATATGGTTGCACCGTCGTTGCGTGCGCAAACTCAGCCTGTACGCGCAGCAGTAGCTTTGTCGCTTATTCGCTCCGTGGATTTGACGCTTACAAAGTACATTTGTCGCTGCCAGGGATACACTCGCAGTCAGCGAGTATCACGAGCATACATTCGGAACGAACGCCTGCCTCTTGATGTCTTTGCGCGTCGTTACCAAGACCACGGAGCAGCGTTTCACATTCAGATCAGGCAGTCTCCAACTTAGGGCCCATCGAATACAGCACAGCGCATGAACAACGGCTACAAACCACTGCATCACCGCGCAATCGTCACTGAACATCAAAGCAGCTGAGCAACGAGCACAGAATGGCCACTGACCATGAGAGACGCCGCATCACGAATCGCATCTCTAGGGAATTGCGCTGAGACCGCACGTGATCCGCATTACGGTTGCTCGAAAGTATCTCTGTCGGCCGGCCAAATTTTTAGCGCAGCTCTACGGACCTCGACCTTCATGCAAGCGCTTCGATGCGACGATCGGGTGTGTATACCAGGCATTGCTCCTTTGCGGCAGCCGGGAACTGATGGCAAGCTGATCACCCGACGTTCATCAAACAAAGGATCTGAGTTCCTTTTCTTCTTAGGGCACACGGGGCAGCAAAGATGTTTGTCGCACCTGCGAGCGCTCGAACACAGACGAGAGCTCTCGACATGCGGGTGAAGCTAGTCGCTCGGCCATTAGCAGGTGACATGAATGAATTGACGGGAACACAAACACAGGAGGGCGACACTTGATCAGAGCTAAGCGGGTAGTCGGGTTGATCCCTGCCGCAGTGAGACCTTGAGTTCTGGGACTCGCGATCAAGCTTCAACTTTACGCGCTGCTCGTCGCACATCTACGGGAGCGCTGCTCGAGAAGTCAACAAGCTGCGGCTTGCTGTACTTGTGCCGGACAAGTTTCGTAGGACCACAACCAGGTATCTTCAAAAGTGGCGATACTGCTGAGTCATGATCGTTGCGCGGTTCACCTGGCCGGGAGTGAATTCGTTGGCGCAAGAGTCGTCCGCGTAATCCATGATGTTGTGGATCGGGTCGAGACCCGGCATCTGTGGGCAGGTGTCCTTGCCCTCAGGACAACCCTTTGACTGCTCCCGCTCTGCTGGGGTGTCGCCGACTTGATCGCCTCCGTCGCAAAATCCTTCAAAAGGATGTTCGAGGCCCACCCAATGGCCAGTCTCGTGACTGATGGAGCGGCCCATATTAAAGCTCGGAATTGTGCCGCCTGGGACGGTTCGGTAGTCTACTATGATGCCGTCGCTATCCGGATCGTCCTGGTAATCGGTAGGGAAGCTGGAGTAACCGACCAGCCCGTCATCGTACAGGTTGGTCGTGTAAATGTTGAGCGTCTCTACTCCTCCCTTCTTCAAGGTTCTCTGCATCACGCGCTTGGCAGCTTCTCGCGGAAACGCGTTGTTGAACCAATCTGCATTCGTCACGACGCTTGCCGAGGTCAAACGAAATTGAAATGGCATGCCTGCCCTGGCGTAGTCGCTGTTGAGCTTTGACATCTGTGCAGCCTGCACGTCTGGGCTGATCGAGCCGCGTGTGCCATCCGTGATGATGTGCCAGGCGACGGGGACAGTGGTGACGCCGACGAGCGAGGCGCTCGTGCTGCTGCTATTGCTCGCCGCCGCTTAGGGTTAGGGTTAGGGTTAGGGTTAGGGTTAGGGTTAGGGTTAGGGTTAGGGTTAGGGTTAGGGTTAGGGTTAGGGTTAGGGTTAGGGTTAGG